ATGAGCAAGGCAATAAGGATATCAGGAAAACGGTCTATATAAACGTCCTGTCTCTACAGATATTTCAGTCTTCGTAATTCAACTGTCTAGCGTAGCTAGTAGTTAGTTTGAATACATTCTCATACTTCTGAAGCTCATACCATTCTAAGTCACAAATGTAACTATCTTATTATATTCCTTCCTTAATAAGCTCTGGTTATACATTGTTCCCTTGCTCTAGGAAGCTAATCCCTTCCGAAGTGGCTTACATTGGTGAAGCCAGCCGGTATTGGGAAAGTATTCCTAACATCCCTTCCGAAGTGGCTTACATTGGTGAAGCCAGCCGGTATTGGGAAAGTATTCCTAACATATGGCTGGAGGCCAAACCTAAATAATTAGAGGATAAATATGATTAGTGCTAGCTACAAATTATAGAATAAAAAAAAAAGCCTAATTTTAAAGATATAAATATTATATCTATTAACTATTAAAGTCCTGGCGGATCTACACACAGTATTTATTAAGTACCCTAAGCCTATAGAAGGAGTAGCCTTAATCCTCTCTAGTAAGGATATACTAAGATTAATTCTTTAATATTATAAGTTAGGAAAGAATAAAGGATTATTATATATATAACTTATTTAGAGGTTGAATATAGTATTAAAGCATAAACTAAGTAATTCTAGGAGAGGTATAAGTAGTAATTTATATTTCTCTAAAGATAACTTTAATAGGGTTTATATAAACCTTAATTTAGAAAATAAACTATAAAAGATCTCTTTTAGGACCTTCTAAGAGTAGAAAAATATTACTTAAGATAAGGGAGTGGTTCTGGCATACTCTAGTAAATATAACCTAATTTATAATGCTAGGACTGAGGAGGGAAAATATTTTAGAAGAGAAAAGGGTAATATAGAGAAACAGCTACTATAGCCTACTATAGGAAAAGAGCTTTTAAAGATACTGCTTTATCCAGAATTTTTACTAATTATATTTACTAGGGAGATACTAAAATCTAGGGAAATATTATATAAGAAGTGAGTTAAGTTAAAATCCCTAAGCTTAATATTAAGTTCTCTTACTATATTACCTCCTTCTAAGTAGTAATAGGAGATAACTGATAGCTAAAGGGTAAGTTCTAATTTATAGAGTTTAGTGCTATTAACTATTTTAGAATAGGTTATAAAATATTTCTATAAAGGGTCTTACTTACTAAATTTAAACTATATAAAAAAGGAGAGATTATCTATAAGTTCAGCGCCTGAAGGTATTGGAATTAAGCTAAGATAATATAAATATATAGTAAGAGATAATAAAGTAGTATAGGTAGCTTAGGAAACTCCTGGAAAGCTCTTAGTAATATAGTATTATAAAGTTACTTATGAATTATAAAGATTACTACCTAATAATATTAATAATCTAGATAAAAATAATATAAAACAGCTTATCTATTTCTAATATTACTAAGCTACTGCATAAGCCTTAAAAATATATAAATATATCTTAGGGTTAATATATATTATCCTATTTAAATACCTATATACAGCTTTAAGATTCCCAAATATTAGTGATATAGCTATAGATAAAAGATATTATAACTAGTTCCTACTATCTAAATGTCTAGTAAACTTATAAAATCTTCTTAGTATCTATATATATAAGATAGAATCTAGGTTTATAGAAGTGTAAAGGTTATAGATCGCCTCTTAAGTAGTTATATATCTATAATAGAACTTAAGGTAATTCCTAAGGACAGATTTTATTAAACCCTGGGAAAAAGATGAAAATATTATTCTGCTTACTTTTAATTAGCTTTACTTTATAAGAATAGGAGGTATTAAGGAGGGAGATCTTACCTACAGCCTCTTACTTCTCAAGCTGATGAGAGCTAAGTTTAAAATATACTACTAGTATAAGAGGATTAATAGGCTCTTATAAATAAGTTATAAGGGATAGCTATAAAATATATATTATAGCTTAAGTTAGTAGCTTATAAAGAGTAATATAGTATACTACCTCCTCTATATAGTACTTTAACCAGATTATGCTTCCTATTTAATAAGTTATCCCTATTATATAGGCTATAAGGATTAAGGTAATAAAATAGGATTTTATTATATTAATATTAACCTCTAATAACTTATTAAAGATTATTAGGGGTTTAATTAGATTTAAGGATCTCTAAGCCTTAATAGAGAGAATATATATAATTATATAGAAATTTTGCCTGGGATATATAACATATAGTAGCTGAGTAAGTGGAGAGATATAATGTAAGAATATAGTATAACTTTTAGAGATGGATTCATAGCCAGGATCTGTAAAGAATACTGGGGAAATTATAAGATTAAGAGATTTAAGACTAATTAGATAAAGGTATCCTATAAGATAGGAGATATATATATTATATTTTTAGTTATATCTTATAATTTAATAGAAGGCAATACTTATATAAGCTTAAGGAGGATTATCCTCCTTTAGTTTATTACAGTTTGCAATAATAATAAGATACTTAAAATTCCTAAAGCAGGCTCTTAGAGTAAACTTTTAGTAGTATATAAAGATAAGATAAGTAGCCTAGTTATATCCTTAGGACTTATAGTAAAGTATAGGAAAATTCTATATACCTTTCCAGTAGTAGTTAATCTTACTTTATAATATACTATAAGTAAAGTACTTCTTAGAAAAATATAATAGACATTAGTTAAATATACTTTATAGAAGAAGGCTTTCATTTCTAAAAATATACTTTATAATAGATTTAAAAAAATAATTAAGGTAGCTAAAGAAGCTATAGCTAGGGAATTTAGAGTGCGCTATCAGGAGTTTATCTTTATAGAAATAGTAGCCTTTAGAAATAAGAGTATTATAAAGTATTTATAATAGAAACCTGGCTAAGCCTTAGGAAAGGGATTTAAATAATATTATAGGGAGGTATTCCCTAAATAATTACCAGAGGATAATATTACTAAAGAAGATAAATTAATAATAAATAACCTACAGAATAAACACTTGGTTAAGGAGGGAGAAAAATAAAAAAAAAAGAAAAAAAAGGGGGGATATATTACTATATAGGTTATTTTATATATCTTTTTAAGCCTAGGGTTAGGCTTATAGATAGTAAGAGGGGAATTATATTAGGGAAAATAGTTTATACTTTAAAGGATATTATATGATATAGGAGTAAGGGTTTTAGATATTATATAATATAGTAAGGATATATAAGAAGAGAAAGATAAGGAAAGATAAAAGGGAGACAACAGCTCCAGATAAGAATAAGATAATAGAAAAACTAGCTTTACTTTATCTTATATAGAACTTTGCCTTACTTTGCTCTGCTTTACCTTACTTTACTTTACTTTATCTTTACTTTACTCTTCTCTATTTACTTTATCTTCTTTTATACCCTTATTCTAACTATCTTATCTTACTTCTAAGCTTCTTTATAGTTCCCATCTGTGGGAGGCTTCTCTCTCCCTCTTAATTTTCTCACCCTCAGGAAGGCCTTGACATCGAGTGTCCTACCCCCTGAAGTGGCGGTCAGCCTAAATCCTTTACAGGAATAAGATAAGGAATACCTATAACCTATACCTAAGGAGTAAGGTATTAATAAACTCTGTCTTACCCTTAATAAACAAACAGCTGACCACTATAAAGATGCCATTTTATATATATATATAAATAGTAGAAGAATAAACTTTAGGATATAAAAGAATTTATATCTTTATTAAGTATTAAAACTATAATATTATTATTATATAATAGTAATAAATATAATAATATATATAGTATAATATTAAGATATAATAATAATAATAAATAGTAGAAGTAATAGATAAAATATACTTAATATAATATTATATTAATAAAGGAATATAACCTTAGCAAGTCTGGGGACCAGACTATGGAAGGGGGGGAAGAGTTATAAGGAATGGAGTAGGAATATATATATAGTATAGCTACGCTTAGGCCACAGGTTATATACTCTAGGAAGAAGCAGTATTTAAGCTATATATAGTATCTACCTTAGTTTAACTTCTTAGTTATCAGTTTTAATACTAATCCATACTTATTGCTCCCCATCCTGATATCACGCTTACATCCACCCCTCACAAAAGTCTTGTCAGATTAGGAAAGGGTTCCTAATAACATCATGTTTGATCCTGCCTGATTAAACAAAGAATGTTCATGATTCTATAATACTTATCACTATCAAAGCTAGTGATACTGCATCAGGGGCATTATTATCTAGTTGGGTTGGCAGGAAATGAGCGCCACACACATTACTGCACAAAAGACCTTGCATTTCCATCATATAGAACCCTTAAAAGACTCAGCATTAGTACCATACATTCCATTAAAGATCAAGTGTATCCTCCCCCCAAATTTCAACATCCTTGATAACGTCCCAGCTTACAGGCGTAACTACCCTTACTGGGCGTATCTGTCCACTTTTTGGATCCTTGAAATGCCTGACGTCTCCAAGTCGGAAGTACAGGTCTCCAATACCGAACCACCGAAAATTATCATACTCCTTTCCAGCTGTCCTTGCGCCGATGCCAAAGCAGTGGGTATCAATATCTATCTCCATTATAGTCGCAAAAAAAGGGTTGTCTCTACGGAGCAATGTCCTAAGTGCTTTCAGGTTTGGACAAACTTCTTTCAAATCTTCGAGAGGTGAAATATCCTTGTCGATGGCCACACCAAGCTGTTCGAGATTTGGACATTCACGGACAAGATTCATGAGCACTTCGCGACTCAATGACCATCGATCAGAAAGGAGCAGCTTCTTTAGTGTTTTCCCGTGACGTGAAGAGATTGCCGCGAGATATTCTGAACCGATTGCTATGAGCTGCTTGGGTACATCGGCATTTATTGGCGTAATAGGTGTATCGGGCGAAGCTGGTGCAGATATCCCGTTCGTCGAAGCTGTCGCCGAGGACGGGAGACTTGCTTTTGGGTTCCGGTTAATCAGATATATCTCCTCAAGGTTTTCGAATTCAGTCAATGGTTCTGCCCTTTTCTCATCAAGTTTGTCTATTCTAATTTTTTTCAAGTTCGTGAACTCTTTGCCCATATGGCTGCTCATCATCCATGTGGAATCAATGAATATAGTCCCAGGATCGTGCGGGTCCATACAATTGATTGCAGTAAGCGACTGAAAAGTTGCTGGATTCATTATCGAGTCAAGCATGGCCTCCTTCCGCGCGAACAGGTTCTTCATTGCGTAATGTTTTATTGGTAGGCGATAATTTGCAGCAAAGCAGCGTCCAAATAGGAGCGATAACTGTATGCTGGGTTCGCGTTCTCGACGCATTCGTGGATTCCACTCCAGCTTTAATGTCTCCAGTCTCTTTGCTTCTAGTAGCAGCAGACTTGGATCGTCATTGTAGCACAAAGGGTCCATGCCTTTCAGATGCAGGTACTTCAAGCTCGGAATTCCCGGAATTATAACTGTTGGCCGTGGAATCCTGCAGGTCGGAAAGTTGATGATGAGGCTCGTGAGCGTTGCTCGTGAGGACAGACCTTGATACACTGTCTTCATCGGATTTGAACTGAGCTCCCACCTAAAGCTCTCGAGTTTGTCCATCTTGTCAATTGCTGCTCTTATGACAATGTTTAGCATCATAGTATTGTCGGGTATTCGGCCTTTCTCAAATTCATCTTCTCTGTGCTCTTTGAAATGGCCTACGAGCGTCAGTGTCCTAACATAGCCAGCCACCGGTCTAGACACAAGCCCATCGAGACCCATGGCAAACGGGCTGCCTGCTCCTAAGCCTTCGGGTTGCCCGTCGAAGTATCGTATGTTCGGATAAGAGCGGAGTGTGACATGCTCGTACAAGCGAGGAAGGTTCAAGTAATACAATAGTCTTGAGGCGCGCGTTACGCGTGCGATGTCACCCACATTGTCAAGCTGGTTTAGACGTTAGTGAATGAGTTAACAACACCCGAAATTCGACAGTGATACCTACATAAGAGGTTATGAGTAATATTAAGCTCAACGGTAACTGTTTCCTTGCTTCACGCGAGCCATTGTACGTAGGCACTGGAGACGTTGCCAGGATTGGTACGCCATCTATGTTTGCGGGATGGGGCTGCAAACCCACGAGGTGAGAAGGTTTGCGAGACATCGCCATGGCCATTAGTGTTGTCGTGGGGGAATCTCTATTATTAAGACTATCTGTGATTGTGTGAGTTCTTTGGTCGTGCCGGACTGAAAGGAGAATCTTGATGTCCCGCTAAGATCTGCGCTACGCAAGCCACCTCCATGCGTTCGAGGAGCTCGAATCTGAAGCCCAAATCAATGTTACATTATTACTAAGGATTGCATGTAGGGTCGAAGGCATTTAGATCGAGTCACTAAACGTAAAAAGGCGTCTAATCTGGATTATTTACCATGCTCCACACGATCAGCTTATCAATCAGGCGGGATAAAGGGCGAAGTGATCTTGAATTTCCAAATTTAGGCAACAGTGTGCTTGTAAAAAGGAAATAGGTAATATTTGCCAACAGCGTGAACAACTCAATTTTGCCTTGGAAGCATACATTATTATCAAATCTCCATGGTCATGAATCTGGATAAATATAATTGAAATATATATATTACGTACGTAACTTTTTACCTTTGATCAAGGATTTTTTTTCTGAAGCTCCCGATGAAGCGCAAGCTGTTGACATATCGTTGATTAGGTAGCTGAGCTTGAAGTCCTATTAGACATGTCCGAAGCTGGCATAGATTAAATGTGCGTTCTGAATTCACAGCTGCAGATCGGTCTTGATTAGTTAATTACATAATTGACCCAAGTCTTTATATGAATGGACAGACATCAAAATCTGTGTTCCTTGAAGAACCAAGGCTTTTTACCAGAATACTCCAAACCTTTCCCTTCTCCGTACACAAAGGGTACGTCAAGTATGCTCTCAAAAGTCCTTGTCAGATCAGTTAAATCTTGCGGCGGATTCTCCACTGGTACCAAAACTCCAGATTCCCAGTTATTGCAATTGATTTTTGCCTCTTTTGCGACCATCCTGCCCCAAGCGCTATCTGAACAATTTGCACTGCCAATGTATGCCCAGGCGATTGGGCTACCGTCGCTCTTTTTGCCTCGAACAAGTAAGATTTTATTGTGGCTCAAAAGGCCTTTTCGTGTGGATTGATAGTCCCGAAAAATATCTCGCGGGAAATGAGCACTCTTCCAAAAGCTGGAATCGAGGCAAATCGTGCCCGCATTTTCTGGACCACCCAGACTTTCTCTAACGGTATCATGTGTGGGGAAGTAGATTCTCATGTTTGCTTTTATTTTGGCATTCTGGTTTTTGATGCGCTCGCTGCTGGCTGTTGTTGTGATATCTTTACCACGAGCAGCCTCGTAGATGCAGTTGATAGTCTGGTAATTTAAGTTTCCTATTGAGGACGCTGCAAAGTCAACTTGGATATCCTCATCTGTTTCGAGACCGAGCTCGCGTACCGCTGCGCTCAAGCCTGGAAGCCCGGTACTGTGCATATTCATATTAAAATGAGAACCTGCAGACGTGTGCACGAAAGCAAGTCTCTCGGTTTTGCTAAAATCAAAATTGAGTATTCCGTCTCGAACATCTTGTGTGACATCCTGGTTTTTAAGGAATCTCAGCAGGCTCTGTGCAAAGGAAGGCAATGTTTCCAGTGATGCCTCACTGCCGTCCCGTCGTCGAGGTAAGTCGATGAGGAAAACGGAGTTCTCCATGAAGCCGGTTTCACCCCAGTCATAGTCCGTTAAATTTGCACTGGGTATGACAACGCGTAGAAAACCAGAGAAGAAGAGCAACATCAGCTTGCTGTGCTGGCAACCAATCATTCCGGTCAATTTTGGCATGCACAATCGAGCCTGATCTAATCCGTCAAAGTCGTCACGCAACATCGCTTTTTCAGCCTGCGTTTTTGCGTGCAGTATCATATAGAACTTGGTCCTCCTAGTGTTAAACTTAGTTGAGAGTATCCAGTCCGGATCTATCATGAACGAGGACAGCACAGCGGTATGTACGTTATTCTTGTCAATTATGTCTTCAATTTTGATGGTACGTTCATCTGAGGTATGCCTTGCTGACCAGGTCTTCTTAATTGTACCAAAGGGAAAACGTAGCCCTGAAGGGAGAGCACAATGCATCGCACTTGAGGCGACAGCCCCTCCCGAAATCTTTTGATGGAATGTCGATAAAATTGCTGGAAGTTCGGTACGCGTGTTTGGATCCTCAACTCGTGCGCGTTTTCGCGGTGGCGGCGATATTGACTTTTGCCTTCTCCGTGATGCCGCTCGAGCAAGTCTTTCTTGCTCCAATGCTTTACGATCGAAAGACATTGAGCCAGTTTGCTTAGTTGACGTAAGATGTTCATGATTTGACATTGTAAGATTGCGAAGGAAGGCGTTAAACCTCGAGCTTGTCGTTGGCCCCTGTGATAGTCAGTCACACTACTTGTACAAGCTGTGCAGCACTGACTGCGTTGCTATTGGTTTCATGGTCCTGCGCCGTAGCCATAGCTTTTTGATTGCTCTCAAGAGACATAGCGATGGCTCTTTGTAAGTCTTCATTATCTTCGTCGGTGAGAATTGACGCCATCTCTAGGCTTTGTCGTGTTACTGTGGTTTATGGTTGCAGAGGCACAAGCGCGAGATCGCGCTGCATAGCGCTCAGGTTGGCTGGTTCCAACGGCCTCTCCAAATCGGAAATCTTGGCCATAGCGCTCAGCCTCACGGCATAGGTCACAGGAAATGAAATCAGACCTCTTGCCAGTTTCAGGTCTCGCAAGATATCAAGACTACCGTGACATAAGAAAAGTGTCTTACCTCCTGGCACGATTGCTTGGACAATCTGCGATTTATGCGAAGTAGGACTCTTTAAATGTTCGCATTGTCGTCGCAAAACATGCTACGGTTCTAAGCCAATGCACGAGCTTGCTAGGCCGTTTCGATGGTTGCCATTGGCGGAGAAGGCCATTATAGTAGCAAAAGACAGGCAGATGCAATTCCGTAAGATAGAAATATATCTTGGGCTATCAATTCAATTTTAATGCTAGGCTTTGAACTTAAAAATGACAGCGTTCAAATTCAACACGCAATTGGTAAATCAGGTAACGATCTGGGTATCAACCCACCACCACGGCGGGGTCTTGAAAATAACGCCGGTGCTCATGCCAAATGAGAATCATGTCACTCTTCCGCACCGTTCCCACAAACCCCAGACCAAAAAATATTCTCAAAAAAGACATGATGCTGCATCAAGGACAACACGAATGTGAACATGCCCTGAGTCCATGAATGATGATTAGATGTTGTGAGTTGAACATCGAACCGAGCTGTATTTCGGACAAACGTCTTTGGAAGGCCGTACGGAACAACTAGACGGATGACAACCCCGTCCTATGAAGGATCCATTTAGCTTTTGTGTAGCATGCGTATCAATAGATTGACGACGGAACGGTGTATACAAGGCTGTGTGGTCTACGTCCTTGCGCCGTACAAGCCTGGTAGAAATTTAACAAAGTTATTCCCTAGCGTTATTCGTGAGCAGTTTGTAAATATATGGCGCTTGTTTGACAGCCTGATGATTCGGCAGCGGGAAGACGTCCACATCTTAAGGAGCAGAGAGGCGCTTAGTCTTCCCAGATGGTCTCTAGATTGAGATCACTTCTCTTCTCTGCACCACAGACACTCCATCTCTTTCGTTTGTCTCGGTTGGCAAAACCAGCTGCGTTCGGCCGTCTGAATGACTCGCTGCCGCCTTCTGAAGCCCTTCTTAGGCGATCCATTTTTTCCGCCTCTATGGCTTCCGCTTCGGCATCTGGAGTATCTGGAATGGTCTCCAGGCTAGATATACTCGGACTTCGCGAACGCAGTGAAGTAGGTGTGGAGGGCATAGATGATGCGGATGAGTATGAACGTGTATATGCCAAATCATTAGGAAACGCCTCATTAAACTTTGTTGCAGACAACGATGGCGATTGTGGCGTTGATGTGGGCGTATTGTTCCCGACTGAGGTGACATGATAGAGCGGGGAAGCAGGTCGTCGACGTCTGAGGGGAAAAGTATTACCGTGGAATAAAGGGAGAGGCGAGCTATCCGTGGAGCTAGATACTGATGGCATGCGATTTTCAGGTGGCCTTGGTGTGATATCCAACTCATGGTCCTCATCAATGCTTTCAATATCCGATGAAAGAGTCGTTGGAGGCAAGTACACGTCCTCTCCAGCTAGACCAAGTGGACTCCGGACTCTTTTCGGTGAACGCAGAGGGCTTGAAGACCTCGCGTAAGGTGAAGATGAAACATACGACGACGCAAAAACAGGAGAGGAGTGCGCTCTCATCATCGGTGGGGCAGCCAGTGACGCAGAGCTTGACTGAGAGCGCAAGTGAGATCTTGAATACGGAGATCGGTTCCTCGGACGAGAGGTATGTGAAGATGCCTGCAGGAGTGAAGAGGGTAGAGACTGACCATTCGAGGCTCGTGGGGTAAATGGCAAGGGGCGGGGATGCCGCATTTCCAATGGCGCATCGTCCTGCTCCTCAAGCAAGAGCCGACTGAATCTTTCAACAGTCTCTGAAGTTTCTTCCTCATGAACGGCAATCAATTTGGAGGGCGATGGCTCGGGAACGGAGGGCTCTACACTTGACAATCCAGACGGCGGCGTTGTGGGGGGAGAAGGGGAAGGTCGGTCGGCCATGACTGCCAAAGTACGCCTGCCGTATTGAAGCCGTAGACAAATCCGAGATGGCCGAGGTGGAAGACAGCAAGAGACGGGGCGCGGTAAAAGACGAGTAGAGCGTCGTTTTCATGCCATCCGTTTATTTATTGAGGTTGTGCGATGAGGCAGACTCTGGCGGCACAGGATCGGAGCCGAGCTGAGATACAAGCGAGATGTTCCAGGTTCAGCGAGTGATGGATCAGGCGACACAGCAAGCACCTCTTACTTAGTATTCTGAGAAAATAGGAGCTGCCACAACCAAGGCGGAGCTTGCTGTCGGTGATCGGAGAGAAACTCTCCGCGGGCGGTAACGGAGGTAGCGTTGTAAGTAATGGGGTGCAGGCAGGAGGAGAAGCGTCGACCAAGTGTGTCCGTACAGAGGCAGGAAGGGCGTGTGACAAGGCTTTCCGTGCGTCAGACTTTGAAGATAAAGTCGAAGGACGAAGTTGACAACGGCGAACCAAAAGGTAAATGAAGCAGTTCCGCCTCAGAAAAGAAGGGAGCGTTACATCCCTAAGCCGCTGGGGAAGCACAGGGCCGAGCCCTGCCTTCGACTCCTTAACTTGGTGGGTCCAACACGCAGCCAACGCCGGACCTTGCCCACGATCAACGGCCTGTAGTGCGTAGCGCGCGATGATTCCCATGCGTAGATCGCTGCCGTGTACCGTCTGCCTGAGTCCTGAGAGGTACTGGCTGGTTACTTTGATCTGGATGTCGTTCTGCTTCAATTTTCCTCACCGCGCGCCATCGGCCACCTGACCTACTCACGGGTTTCTTTTGCGCCGTCTATTCACGCCTTCGACGATCTCCGCGGCTCGCCTGCAGCATGCCAACAATCGCGCATCTGTCACGAGGAGCCCTGCTTGTATGCGCTCAAAGAAACATGGCCCTTGTAATTTGAGCCCGCGATACGCCCCATCCTCCTTACAGTCAGCTTTGTAGATCGCACGAAGGTCGATCTAGGAACGACAGCGTTACGGACCTGGACGCCGTGAAATCCTGCAGAATGGTTCATCGGCTCATTCATGTGCGTATATGCAGACTATTGTGAATGGATCTTCGTCAATCACTATCGTGGACAAGTGGATGATCTGATTGTTCTGGGCGAGTGCGACACTGACGACACCCGCTTCGATTCACGTTTTCGCTCAGTCATGGTAACGTGCAAGATCTTCTTAGACATTTCCGTAGAGCATAACGAGAGATTGCTCTGTCATGCTCCTCAATCATATTAAATGAGTCACTGTACATCTCTCTCCATCGGTTCTTTCACCTTCTTATCGGGGCTTGGGCATCTCGGACTCCTCTGGACCAGAACCTGTGAACACTGCGTACGCCATAGTTCATTTTCGTTTGTCTTCTTCACGAGACTATCCTACACGCGCTGCTGCTTCCTTCGGCCAGAAGGACCATGCATTCACGCTGGGATACAATTCTCTTGAGTGCTTTACGTTGGTCTCGGTAAAAGCTGAAGAAAGTCAAGCTGTATATGTGTGCATAGACCTTAAAGATGATAAATATATTTCAAGAAAAATTTAAGACCCATTAAATTTTCAAGAGAACACATGGATAGCATGACATCAGCCTAATCTCGGACACTCTTTTACTGGCTAACATAGACACAGACGAAATATTACACCGTTGAACGTGTTGTTATGATAGATCGTCTGCATGGAGGTATTTGGTTCTAAATTGGAGCAAATGTTGCTATCGAATCAATCCTAGGGTTCAATTGGCCAAATAATGTTTTCCTCTCTGAGTTGAATTTGTTTGACAGATATTAGGTATAAAGTTATAAACGCTGGTAGGAAAGGGGGAACTAAGATTGTCGTGGCAAATGGATCAAACACAACGAACTTCGCAATCATCAAATCTCCGAGACAAGAAAATAAGTATCACATGTCTATGCCTTCGAAAAGAATCACTTGGTAAAGCTCGTTTTGTTACAGCATCTGCTCTTGATATTCTGCGACTGCAGTCTAAACGTCACAGAAGCTACTTGGTTTTGACCGTCGAAACGACGCTTCACATCTGCCATCGGACAGAATGCAGAAGCATACTTCGTTCCGTATATGATATGTACTCAGCAATTTCAAACTTATCTGGAGACACTAAATTATTGACTAAGTCATCCTAAGTTAAACCTAGGTGCTCGAACAAAAGTGGACTTTGTGTAAGAACGATTTTCCCCTCACAAAAGCAGCAGGGCTTTCCAACATCTTTGATACCTGAGGCCATAATTGACAGTTTCGGAATTAGAATGAACAGTTTGCGACCGTGCGTATAAATATTCATGAGATTCTGAAATTCGTAATGACCATTTTGAAAGGCCGTACTAAATATTCTCAAATGTCAACTCTCGACTCTGAGCTTCAGCGTAACGTAGAAATTACACAGACGTTGTTACTTGTGCTTACCATTTCCAGAGCTGATTGCTAGCTACCATGAATTGAATGTAGAGTCGCCTGACGAGCTTCAAGAAGAACCAAGTCCACTGGAATTCATGCGCTATGTTGCTCGCAATCGCCCGTTTGTCGTGCGATGTGGTGCGCGAGAATGGCCAGCGGTGAAGTCCTGGAATCTCAGTTACCTAACTAACATGATGGGGGGTCAATCTGTTAACGTGGCTATGACTCCTTTCGGGTGAGATGATAGGTTTGTTCAAGTCACTGGATCAACTGACTTGTTCGGGATAAGGAACGCAGATTCCGTGCTGCACTTGGATGATGGCTCGACTATGTTTGTAAAGCCTTACGAATGCGATCTTGTCTTTGAGAAAGCAGCGAGTTATATTGCTCAGCAAGAGCTTGAACGAGCCAACGGTAAGTCTAAGATATACAAGCAATTTGTTGACGACTGACTGGGTTACATAGGAGTGATATATTATTGTCAGACGCGTACGTTCTTCTAAAGAGATCAGTACCTCGCTGCTGACTTGAATTTTAAGAGAATGACAACCTACGCCACGAATATGAATCGTTGTTCAAGGATGTGCCAAAGTCTATTCCTTTTGCCCGAATTGCCCTGCAAAGAGACCCAGATGCCGTCAACTTTTGGCTAGGAAATTCTCGATCAGTTACAGCTCTTCACAAAGATCCATATGAGAACATATACGTTCAGGTCTTGGGTCAGAAGCATTTTGTTCTCTTGCCCCCCATCGAGTCTGCTTGCGTCAATGAGCAACTGCATCCAGCGGCGACATACAAATGCCGCTATCCAGGTATTGCATACGAATTGGGCAATGTCGAACTATTTCCGACGCTCGATAATCCGGCAGCTCAAGTACCTTTTGCGGCCTGGGACCCCGACCTGCCTGAAGTGAACGCGACAGCTTTTTCGTCCCTCAGCAGACCAATGCGTGTCACGCTTGAACCGGGAGATATGCTCTATCTTCCAGCATTGTGGTACCATAAAGTTTCCCAGAGCTGCAACAAAGAAGGATTATGCTGTGCTGTCAATTACTGGTACGACATGGAGTATTCCGGCTCATTCTACCCACTAAGCACTTTCTCAAGGAGAATTAGTCTCTTGGCAACCTCAGGCAACGCACTCGCGCCTGAGTAGTGTGTTCCTAACTATGTTTATGTTGTTTAAGTCTCAGAATCACGAAGAATTCATATTTCTGATAGGCTGGGATGAATGCATTACGCTTATATTATCTGCGCAGCTAAACTTGTCGTAAGAACATTGTGCCGCGCGATTCTTATCGAACTCGCAAAGCATTCGTTTAGGAACAGCTGTGAGACACATTTAACATCATTTAGCACAAGTTTTTCTGTAATACAGGGTACTCGCATGTGAATAGTACAGTCATGATATCATCTCTACCCGTTCGGCATACAAAGAATGTCGCGAATTCGGAATTTTAAAAACTCAAAATATAAATTCAACCATGAGAGTTCAATGCGCTTCGCTGTCTAACTGGGCTGACGACAGCGGCTCCATTTTCCCCTCTTTCACAAGTAAGTCTCGAATCCTAGCCAGTTCACCAGGATCAGTCTGCTCCAGGTTCTTCAGAAACTCGGCCTTATCTATCGTGGACTTGGCAGCGTACTCCCATCCTTGACCTCGCAGCAGCTCCAGCCATTCATCTGAAGACATGGCTTCCAGCTTTGCTTTGAGTATCTTGAGATGTTCAGGCTCGCGAAGCGGATCAGTCAAACTCATAGTGACAGCATCCTCGAGACCAGCGGCAGGTAAAATATGCGACTTGACACGCTGAGACGCACGATGGACGTGCCCCTCTTCTTTTGCCTGAGCGCGCGATGCAAGGGAAATGTCGCTTCCACGACGCGAAATCCGAATATAGCCCCCTTCATCGTCTGAATCTGTCCCTTGGAGGGTAGTTCCTGAAGATAAGTTACTATCTCCGAGACTCGAAGGTCCAGTGAAACTGTGGCTGGAGATGGAGCTTGCAGCGTCATCCGCTACACTGTTCATCACCGGGGACTCTTCTTCGGTGACACGACAGTCTGGGTATTCCTGTTCGAATCGCTGTATCATGCCCTGTAGAGTGTTGTCAAGGAACAACAAGCGACCTGGTTAAGTGTCAGAGTGTGTACTGAAGGACAGCGTTGTAGAGGACTTACGATAAGCCATGTCGTCACCAGACTTTGCTTCCTTGAGCATGGCTGGATGAAGTTTGGTCCTGATTTTTCTAGCACTGTCTAGAAGATCTTTGCTCATTTCTTTGGCTTTGCTGGCTGCTATGTCAACACCACTGGTGGTCCTGGGGGTGACGGTTCCGCTAGCTGGCGTGCTGGCTGCCCTAAGTTCCGAGGCCTTCTCTGATAGGCAGTAGCTGAGCGCCTTGACCACACCGGCACCGCCAACGATGTAATCTTCGTTCGGAGCAGGATCTTCTGGATGTTCCTCCTGTTGACCATTTTTGTTACCGATAAGATGAAGTAGAACCTCCGGTATACGTGGTTCTCCTCTCTCTCCATTTTCGAGGCTTACGACTTGAGCCGGCCCGCTATCATTCTCCGGGAGTTGAGCAGCGAATCGCTCCATGTTGCGAAGACAGTATGCGACCACTTGCTTTGCAAGTGCCTTGACGATCTCGCTATTGTCGCTGGTAGGAACATCGATGTCAACACTGATCAGGCTGTGAGACACCCTTGCCGCCATCATCAGGCTTGCATATAGTGCACAGGCTTCTTCCTGTGTTGCCACATCCGTTGCGCTTGCCAAAGCTGACAGCTGCGGGTTCTGAAGCAAATTGACATGGGCCAACTGCGGACTCTCAGGCATCACTTCAGCAAGCGCGATAGCCTGAGCAGGACTCATGCCGACATCCATGAGATGTATTCGTTTGAGATTGGTCATTTGAGGAAGGTATTTTCGCAGCAATCCTAACGCGCTTGGATGTTCAGAAAACAAATCGTGGTTGTGGCTGAGGTCCAGAAACCTCAAATCCTTGAGCCTAAGAAATGCAGGGAAAAGCGGTTTTAAGCTGGCTGGGACGAGATTGCAGTCTGCGAGCGAAAGAGCCCAGAGTTTCGACTCGGGGCGCAGAGCATCGGCAAGGTCGGCCATATGATCTCGTAAGTCGTTGCTCCCGAGATCAATCCCCTGGCAACAACCTGAGCGAATGTAGCGGAGAATATGTGACATGCCCTCTTTGTCAAGACGATTGCCGGCGACACCCAGCCGCTTCAGCCCGCTGATCGTAACACCATCAACAATTTTCCGAATGGCAGACGGGGTGAGCGAGCACTCAGCCATGATCAGTTCTTCTAGAGTATCGCCCCCAAGACGCTCGGAGCAAGCCTTTGCGAAGATCTCTGCAGGATCCGACACGCTTGGTCTGCAATTGCCGTCAGGCCCGGACGCTGCCTCCACGCTAGGGGGGAATGTGATCATGGAAACGTCGAGAGCTTTTAGGCTAGAACACATGTAAATAAACAGGCTGATATGTTTCCAACCCTCTTTCCCAATTTTGGGATTATTCTTCAAGCTCAGCTTCTGCACAACCCCTAGTTTCTCTTCAGATATACCGGCATTCGAAATGTCGCCCTTTCTCTTGAATCTGCTAAAGTAGTCGACAGTCTTTGCGGCAAGAAGACCTGCCATGATGACTCGAATGCCTTCGTCGGTGAGATCAGAGTCTTCGAGAATGAGCTTGCGAACAGGAACAACTGCGAGCCAGTCGCTTAAGGTAACAACATCTGCAAATTGTAGCCTCGAACCAGTCAAATCGAGGCAAGTGACGGTGCCTGGTGAATCGATATGGCAAACTGTAGGATTGCCCAACTGCTCTGTGATGCGTTTCAACACAGGAGTTTCCCTTAACTGGCAGCACCTCCTGTATATCCTTAGAGGGTCGGTTGTCGGACGATCCATAGGCCTTGGAATTTGCGAAGGAGGCACAGGAACTCCATTCTCATCAGAGTCTCTCCTGATCTGTACCGGTAGTGTACCATTCTCTTCTGCCTTTCTCCTTCGCTGCTCTTTCCGTTCCTTTCTCTCTTCCTCGTTCCGCTTCTTTTTCTCCTTTTTCTTACTGCTCTTCTCGTCGTCGCCTTTGATTTTGTCCTCTGGATTTGAATCATCTAGAGTACCCATGAACTCGCCCCCCTCTTTTCCAGATGCGTCCTTCTCTTCAGCAGCTGCCTGTGGATGCTTCAAGGCTTCGCCTTCGCCTCTTTCTTTTAACTTGGCATCCTTCTTTTTCTTCCTCTTGTCACCCTGCTCTGCGTCATCCTTGTAGCGAGGGCCACCGGCAATCTCTACGTCGACACAAAATGCGACCTTGCGCAACTTCGATTGGTCGAGCTCCGGCAGGAGACATCGTGGGCGATTGTGGTCAATATTCATGACGCGGCGAGGACAAAGCCCACCGTTTGGAATGGTTCTGCCAGTACCAATACTTGTATTACTGGACAGTCGCCTTAGCGCATTGGAGAAGAAACTCTCCTTTCCGCTTTTGTGCAGAGGCGGAGGACTGGGTTCGGCTTCTTCCTTTGGTGAACCTGGTGCTGCTCCATTAACATGACCAGCAGAAGGCTTAGCACTTGCAACAGGTGTGTGGCTGTTTGCTGGAGTGGCTTGCGACCTCTTAGCTCCGTTCGGCGACTGCTGCGATGAGGACAGGTTGGAGGACAACTTGGACATCCACGACATTCTGCGGGGGCTCGATCCCTTCGCGGTGTCGGTAGATATCTGACTGGTAGCTTTGTCGCCGCTCGCTCTTCCTATCAACGAGGGCCGCTTTGGCGGGACGGCCTTTGGTGGGGTCGGAGTAGGAGTTGCGATCGCCTGCGGGAGTTGTACAGCAGGCGCAGGCATTGCAAGTGGTTCGAGCGATTCATTGATCGCAAGTGGTGTTGTTGCGATATGTATCGGCGGCGATGTGCCGAGATCATTTCCTTGAACGCGTTCTACGTGAGCTCGCTGGCTTGCGGGGTCCGTAGACGGAGGAGGGGGCTCCAAAAGCTGGCCTGACGACGATATCGACGACTGTAGTCGTATGTGCTTGTCTGACAGGAGACGTGTTTAGCATACGCGATGAAACAGCATGAATGTGCGAATTGGCAAAAATCCAACACACGAGTTAGACTGGGGTAAGGCGTGTGAGGAAATGGTTTGTCTGCGGAGCGGGTGTCCGACAGACGAGCCAGCCAGAAGCATTGGGAAGTCTGCATGAGAAAGACCGGTGTGTTGCAAAGGAGAACGCGCAGAATGGAAATAAAGGGCGAACTTGTGTGTGAACTCCCGCTTACCTCTATTTGAGTGGTGCAACCAGCTCACATCGACGCCGTGAATGTCCTCCATGTCCAGAGCGAGCGCGGATTGGCGTAAGGTCTGGCGTGCGATGCTTGGACTAGCAGCGGACGTGCGCTCGTGAAGACAGTTGATGTTGTAGGCGTTATATCGCACCCATGGCCTTCTACATCAGTCGGTCTCGGCAAATCAAATTGAGAATCTAGTCAGCAAAGGATGACGGTAAGCAAGTGGTTGGCAGTGCTCTACGCGGGCTCGAGGGCGAAAGACGCAATTGCGGACGTTCAGCCACTGGCGTAGGGCGGCGATCATTCGCCAAACCCCTCCTGCTGGCGGGACGCAGGTGGCCGAGCGTGAGGAGAAGCGTGGGATCAACGAGGCGAGCTGGCGACGCCGACGCCGACTTGCTGAGCAGATTCTTTGCCCAGCAGAGGGTTTCTGGACGGAGAAAGGGAGGAGGCCAGAGAACGCTCAAGCTGTTTGATCAAGCACAGCGCTGTAAAACGTGCAGGCAAGCGTGAACCAACTAGCTTATTAGTGAACTTGGCGCACTGGGCGGGCGAACGTTGACAAAGAAGAACGCCGTCGAGGTCACGCCAGCGCGGGCTGGATGGTTCGAAGGTTTGGCGTGGCAGCCAGCTCGTGGGCCGTGACCAGCAATGAAGGTCGGCGTGCGATGCCGCAGCAGCACAGAAGCACGGCGTGAGCACAGATGAGCGCTCGGTGTGAGCACAGTCACGGTACAACGCAGAAGCGCCACGGCCAGCACGCCGCCGGCGCGGACTGGCGCTGGCCAGCCCTGCGGTCACGCCCTCTGGCTCACGCGACGCCGTCGCTCGTGCAAGCATCGCCGTACCTCGCCGCCTCTCGCCCGTCGCCTTCGTCCTTGGGACCTGTTCTCTGCCATCTGTGCGGAGGCGGCTGGCCAAGACCCCCGTTGTTCCGTCCTGAGTTCGATAGTCAAGGCTCAAGCACCGCACGGCGCTGGCCGTGTTCCGTCTTGCTCAGCACGACAGCCCTTCCCCGGCCGAACGCCGCATTTCGCTCGATGAGCGCCTGTGGACCGGCTGCCGCTCTGCCTCCAAAGAGCTGCCGCTGCTGGGCCCCGACGTTCACAGAGCCCCGGAACCTTCAGGAGCCTGTCGACGCCGAGTCTCCTGAGTCAGGCGGCGCACCCGCTGCGTTCCGTGTAGTGGATGATCCTGTTGAGTCGCTCATGATTCTTTTTCTGTGGCCGCACTGGCTGTGCAGCGCCCAGTGTCAGAGAGCCACCTGCAAGCGCATCGCGCTCTCATCAGCAGCGTAAATCACCGAAACCTCCGGTCCACTCATTTGCAGCTATTTTAGGAACAAGAAGGGCAGTACACCTCGGACTACGGCACATCCTTTTGTGGGACGGCAAGTGGGCACTAAGAGTGAAAATTTAAGTGTCTGGCATGATCACGTCAAGCGTTGGAAAACCGTGATTCAATTTCTCTTTTCATGGTCCTGCCTATCGAGACTGTTCACTCCCTGACGCCGCCGTTATTCACCGAACGGAAGACACTGTAGCTTGCGTCGACGTACGCGAAGCAAGCTGACCATGCCGTGCTATGCTAAATGAATAAATTTATCTTGTATTGACGTTGGTCGAGCCACCATTGCATTGAACGAGACCTTTTCAGCTCCCATCCTGGCAACTGCACATATATATCCATATTTTATTCCATCTCCTCTTTGAGCTCCTCGATCCTGGCTTTAACGCGCTCGCGTCTCTCCGCAGCTGTCAGCTTAGGCTTCTTGTATTTCTTACTCTCAGCCTTCCAGTACTCCTTGTCCTTCTTATCGCCCTCATTTTCGTCCTTCTTGAACGGATCCTCGCGGATTTGTTTGTGAGCCTCAGCGTACAGCTCCTCGAGACCGTCAGCTTCAATCTCGTCTGCGATGTAGCCAGCGAATAGCGTCTTGTAACGCTCCTCATCATCGTCGGCAAGCGTCTCCATGTATTCGGCGACGTGGCCACCGAAGATATACTTGCGCAGAATCTCGGAATCAAGCTCCTTGGTCTCAATGTCGTAACCAGGGAAGCGAGACTCCGAGTGCGGGATGTAAAGACCACCGTCGGAAGCACCCTTCATCGCACCAAAGACACGGGCACCCGTTGAAGTGCGAACGAGACCGACATCAAGGAATGCCTTGAATGGACGTCGTCCCTCGTCACCCTCAGTTGCCTCCGTCAAAGTGTATTCACCGTCTGGCTCCTCTACACCGGGGAAGTCCTCATCCAGGCCGAACTTCTTAAGAGTGCGACGAGCGACGAGGAGACCAGTGGCGTACGCGGCTGCCCAGTTGGTGAGACCATGAGTGATACCGTATCGCTTGAGCTCATGTGCATAGGCAGCGGCAACAACGCGGTCACCATTCAGCTCAGAGCTGACGATTTGGCAAATGATGTCCTTGTTGGTAAAGCTAGATAAATGTTAGCTATCATCTTGTATACTATGTCTTAGGTAGACTAACCGAACAACTAGTCGGTGCTTGGGGGCATTGTACTTGTTCTTGGCCTGGGCGATAAGCTCTGATTTTTGTCAATTTTCATTGAATAGGCTGTAATAATCTCGAAAACGTACTCTTGCGAGCCGCATAATCAGTTTTGCCCTCCCGTCGGCGCCTGTACTTGACTTGGTACCGCGAATAGTACGCTGTACTATATATTAGAAATTATCCACACCTGCCATAATGAAGAGTGCGTTCGCACCATTGTTCTTAACGGTCTTGGTCTGTTGCGCAGAAAAAATATCAAGTCAGCACCCTTCAACCATTGAGATAGTGTATGATCGAAGCATTGTGCAGCGACTTGCAGCCTAGACCTTCACTCAATTTTGCCGTGGCATGCCTGCCCTCGCGGCGAACGCGCACGAGGGTCTTTCATGCTAAACGTCTTCATCTTTGCACAAAGTATCAGCGCAGAGACTACTACAGCGACGGTGGCTCTCCGTTATGTTCTCTCATCTTACGCTAGTTCGCCCGTTTTAACGCAGACTACTACAGCATCGGAGGGCGCAGGCGAAAAGTAGGACTCGGTACTCGGATGCGAAGCCGTGCTCTGAAATGCCAGTCAGTGACAGGAGAAGACTTACGAAGGCCATTGTAGCGAATCAATCCGGGATTGATGTGCTAAGTGGTTGTTGGCGTAGAGGTTGCAAGTGAGTTGTGAAGCTCAAAAAGTTTCAACGAAAATGAGTGTGCGCAGAAATCACACTTTACCATATTTAGCTAGTCTGGTTCCTGTTTAGACAGCCTGCTCACAACGAAACTCCGAAAGACAATGCTATTTATTGGCTACTATGTATATGGATCTGATGACTTTTAGCCATCCAGATCATCTTGTTAATATGTGGATGTTGAATGCTTTGCTACACGAAATGCTCAATGTGCCATAACCAGCATACTATGATCCCGCAGAAATCTCTCGCGCAATCTACACAGCTTCTGGTTGGCCACGATTTGCGTCCTCAATCATCATGCTCAGCCTCTCCTCCATGATTGCACTGAGACGCTTAGCCTTCTCTTGCCTCGCATTGTTCTTTTCTCTGTCAACGATCCTCCTCACCCAGAGAAATGTGGTCCCAGCCCATGACAAGATCCACGCAAACAACACACCCAGACTAGTGCCCCACGCATACTCAAACTCTAGATTGAAAACGATGGCGGCGATCAAACCATTGTACATGCATATACCACCGATCCAAAACAATGTCAGATGAAGGATCATCCGTCGTATTCTTGGATTTGCCTCATAGCGCTGTCTGAACCGTTTCCTAAATGCACGACCTTGAAAGTTGTCCACCGAGATGAAGTCTTCAGCCGCATAGTATACAATAGGTTTCATGCGCGAGCCTTTCGGATCCGAATTAATTCGCACCGGGATTTTTATGGGAATGAGGGTAACCACGGCCACTAGTCCGAGGAAAGCCATGAGAAATCCGGGAGACCAGAGATATAACCATGGGATGACTTCGTTTCGCGCAGTTGTCGCGACTGTGAAGGGTATAAGTGCAACAAGAAGTGCAGAACCATATACCCAGCATGTAGCATCGAGTTCCCACTTGTGTTTTGATAAGAGTGGAGCACATCCTTCCCAGTCCTTGATCAGACGGACAATCCGCACAATAAGAATGTAGAGCTCGCCAAAGCCAAATGATATGATCGAAAGTCCTAGAATATGTTCATTGTAGACCGGCTTAGGGCCCAGCATCCCACCCTGACGCCACTTCTTGCGTTCGATGTGAAGCCAAGAGTAATAGATAGCACAGGGAACCACAAGGTCGAGAATAAGTATCACGGGAGGTCCGATGACTATGGACAAGTGATCCATGAGATTGACGTTTTTGTTCGTCAACGATTTGCTTTCTGAATACACCGTTGTGTTTGTCGCAGTAAGATTCTCATGCTTGAAGAACCCATGGGCTGATGTTGGAAATTCTTCACGGGTCGTAACAGCTGTGATCGGATCTCCATCCACATCTTTTGACTTAGTCCGGTGGTGTTGATGATTCGAACTCGTTGAGAACGGCTGCCTTGCAAAATCCTTTGAGATTCTTTCGTTTCGGAGATCCACTACTTCGTCCGCGCTGATGTCTGATTCCTTGTTGCCATCGCTTTCATCCTCACTGGAGTTTCTGTGGTTCCCAACGATGACAACGTCCTTCCATTCCATTTCCGTTGAGCGCGGCTGGCCCATTTTGAGAGATGTGACTGTCTCAAAAAAGGTGGACCGGCATAGAAATGTCGTTGGGATAGGTCGTGGTTCGTGGCGTTAAGGGGTTTCAGCCTTACAGGCCAAGCTGATCAAATTGGAAAGACCAGCTCGGATCTCCGCCAGTCATTTCTGCTCTGACAATTGTTGCCAGCTGGAGAAACGTAGAGCAAGCTAAAGTGAACAGGAGTAAGGACTTTAAATTTATTTACTTGTAAATACGTATCCTTACGGAGTTTGTGATGCAAGATACCGACCATAATGTTATTTGAGTTTCCACGTTAAGGATCTGTTGGAACAGAGTTTCACTCCACAAACAGATGGAAGACAATACAAGGCTGGTCTGCCAGAACAAGATCACGGCTTTGTTGCATGCACATGTTCGATTTCCTAGCAAATGATGGAAGTGCCGTGGCCAAATTTAAACGCAGGCTTTTGACACATGCTGCTTAGTCAGTGTTTTTCGAACCTGAGCCTTACGAGTTAGGCAAGCGAATAGGCGGACGGATTTCATCGGCGCCAAAAACACGAAAACACTGTTAGCGTTCCCTCGTGAAGTTGTCTTCATGAAACAGTTCGAAAGTGTCTCGAACAACCTCTTAAGACGCAAATCTTGCTAGAGGCTGCATATCGAAAGCAGTAAGGACTTACACTGCGACTTCAACATGAATGGTGTAGAAGTTGAAGAGGAAGATCTCTACGGTTTGTCTGCCTAGCTTCAAGACTAAAACTATCGGAATTTGTGCTCTAATTGAATAGAGGTCCTCAACGTCTCCAGAGGCGCCACGAAAATCGAGATCAAAAAAGCATACCACAAGGCTGCCCTTTCGTCACACCCTGATAAAGTCCCCGAGGAGCAGCGAAAGGAAGCAGAAGTACGCTTCAAAACTGTCCAACAAGCGTATGACATTCTCTCAGATGACGAAAAGCGGCACTTGTACGATACACATGGAATGGCTGCTTTCAAAGGAGGTGGCGCCGGCGGAGCAGGCCCAGAGGTAGACTTGGACGATTTACTGCAACAGATGTTTGGCATGGGAATGGGCGGCGGGATGCCGAGTGGACCCGGCGCAAAGAGACGCGTACCAAGGAAAGGGCCAAACGAAGAGCAAGAATACGAAGTTACCTTGGAGGAGCTTTACAAAGGGAAGACGACGAGGTTTGCTAGCACTAAGAATATTGTGTGCGAAACATGCAAAGGTAGCGGTGGTAAGGATAAGGCGAAACCTCAGAAGTGTAGCGCTTGTGATGGGCATGGTATGCACATCAGTTTGGCCGCCTTTTTTTTCTACGCTAATAATCTTGGGCAGGGCAGCGACTAGTGGTCCGCCAAACCACGATTGGACTTATGCAAGAGACGGTTATCTGTTCCCCATGCAGTGGTAGAGGTGAAGTTTTTAAGGACAAGGATAAGTGCAAGAGGTGTAAAGGCAATCGAGTCGTCCAAACCCGCAAGATGCTCGAGTTGTACATTCCCCGCGGTTCAAGGCAAGGAGACAAGATAGTAATACAGGGTGAAGCAGACCAGCAACCTGACCAAGAGCCAGGAGATATTGTATTTGAGTTGAAAGAGACGGAGCACGAGGTTTTTGCTAGAGCGGGTGATGACCTCGCAGCGGAAATCAACATTACGCTTGCAGAAGCTCTGACAGGATTTAGCAGAGTGGTTTTAACACATCTTGACGGCAGAGGCATATCGATAACGCCACCGAAGGGCAAGATTCTCCGACCTGGGCAGGTCCTCAAGGTCAAAGGAGAAGGCATGCCTGTTAAAAAAACCGATGCAAAGGGCGACTTGTTTCTCACTGTCAATATCGAATTTCCCGATGACAACTTCTTTCTGGAAAAAAGTAAGGCCGAGGCAATACGGAGCTTGTTACCTGGACCCGGACCACCAATAAATGCATCCGAAGTTGACGAAGTGCAGTATGAGGAAAAAGATGACTTAGACGACTTTGGTGCAGGATCTGGAGATCCTAGAGCAACTAGTGCGCAGTGGGAGGATGATGAAGATATGGAGGGCGGCCCACAGTGTGCTCAACAGTGATCTGGACTTCTCTGGCATTTACACGGATTGTTTGAGTTGGGAAAAACGCTTGACAGACCAGGAAGTGGTATTGACGCTGCGCCTGTCGTTTTCATGGACTGCACAATACTACGCCTTTTCTGGGAAGAACAAACTAGAAGTAATACAAGCGCTTAGATCTACTCTCGTAATATCGATTCAGCTTCCTTAGTTCAAACGCCTTCATTTTGGATGCTATTCTTCTGCGTTCTATGCGTCTATCATATAAAAGCGTAACAAGGATTGTCGGACTTCGGCATTGGATGAGGCAAATGTCAACAAGAACAACAACAGCATGGATTCAATCAAGCGTAAAAGGATTCAATCATGCATTTGAATTGGATCGACTAAGTCCACTGAACCGTGGCTTACTGTTTTGTGCTCAGCGGGGTATCTTCGATGTAACCGTAACCGTATGTCATCCCTCCTTTTCATATATACAATTGTGATCTATAAATCGTCTCAGGCGGCCGACCATCTTCTCGAATCCTTTCAGGCGATACTGTAGCACGATGTTCGAACTTGATATTACCATGTACGCCAGCTCCTCGGAAGTTGTGCCTCCTGTGCTAATTTTCATCGGATGGTCGTCTCGAAATAAAGGATGAGTTGAATCAGGCGAGTATATTCGTAGGAATTTTCATGAGAATAACGCTTTGTTTAGCTGGTGGCCGTAGATGCGAACGTCGGGTCTCGTAAAATATCGTCGAATGTGCGATGAACAAACTCGGATCCTTTACTCCCATTCGCGCTAGTGTAGTTGACCGAAATCGTGCCATGTTCTCCTTTCTCGCCAGTAACATCATCAGTAGTAGCGTTGCCATGACCATTGTGTGTAAGGCAGCCGTCGCATTGGCAACCATCTCCACACAAGCAACTGCCTGTAACATCGTTGCAACCAGGAATACTGAATTGTTGCACACTGAATGCTGAAGGTGAGAGCGTGGAGGTATCATCTTCGGTGCTCGGAGATTCGTGATCATTGGCGTGAATTTCATGTAAAGATAACTGGTGCGTATGCGTAGATCGTTGCAGCTCTCGCGCATTCATGCTGGATTGGAGAGGATGGTGCGAGTGAGACTGTTGCATCGTAAGTGGAGACATTGCTGCAGAGTTCTCCTGCTGGAGGCTGAATTGAGACATCTCAAAAGTCGGCGTTGCTAGGCCATTCTGTGCATGCTGCCATTGTGGCAAATATGATTGGACGGCATGAGCTAAGAACTGATTATGTGTTGGCACCTGGTCTTTGTCTATACTTTGTTCGTGGGTCACAGTGCTGGTATTGCCGAAGTGCTGGGACGCTTGGGCAAAATCTAGCGTTGGAGCTATGTGCATGCGACTCGAGTCAATGTACCCTCGCATAGCCAATTCAGTGTGATATCGCACATAATCAGTTGTTGTTCGGTTTGCAGGATGCATAGAGCAGCCAAGACACTCGCAGCCCTCACCACACTCGCAGGCGTGGTTTGCTTGGTGAGGACAGCCAAATCGATCTTCCGTGAAAACATTGCTAGCGAATACATGCGTCTCGAATGCAGGACCAGGTAATGAAAATTGCCTTGGATAACACGAGTTGGCCTGTAACGGAGCGTGACCATCGATCTGATTTGTATTCAGAGTGAAAGGCTGATCGCTCGAAGGCATGTGTCGAGACAAAGACGGGTTTTCCTTAGAGGAACAGCAGGCGCCCCCCGAATCAGTAAGAATCGGATCCAGCCCCTTCTTATTTCCCCCACAACAGCTTCCCGAAGTTGGAGTATTGGATATATTGTCATCTCGCTGTGGTATGCTGCTGTAAGCCGGCCAAGGGCCAGACCAGCCCAGCTCATCCGACGTCGTACCAAATCCACCTACACCTAGCATGCCTAGTTGGAGTGGTCTTCTCTGAGCTGAGGGATCACCGCCTTCAGATGGTATAGTCCTCGTGGAAGGTTTCTGTATGCTCGTATCGATAGCTTCGGTCTGGGGAGTGGAGCTAGTACTTGAAGCAATAGATGGTACATTGCTTGACGACTCAGACACCTCTGTAGTTGAGGCAGAGTCAACGCTGTGGTTTGCGTGTTGTGAAAGCACTGAAGGGTCAACTTCAAATGCCCTCTGAACATTCGATGTGTTCACGCTGGTAGAATTTTTTCTTAGCTTTGGTTTCTGCACTCTGTTTGAAGAAGCTGGAGCGGGCGAGTTGTATGCGCTTGTGCTTGAACTGAGAGACCCGGCGTGTGTTGAGATTGATTCGCCTGATTGCGATTAATTTTTACTGGTTTGCAAGAACTCAGCTTGACATACCCTTCGGAACTGTGTAGAAGACTGCACGTTGACAGCCGCATGAGCCTGAAGGGTGAGGGCAAGCACTCAATGGTCGTCCAGGCTTTCGTACTTCAATGAGGACACGATCACTATGAGTACACTTGGATGACCGGTGGCCACGAATGCAAGGTCCACTAAGACATCGGTAAGTTGTGGGTAATGACCAAGACGTTGCTACTGTAGTCAAATCCGTGAATACATACCACGCTACCTTTTTCTTCTCACCATTAATCTCAATGACGGGCATATCTGTGATAGACCCGTGGCAGGCTGAGGTAATTCTTTAATGCTTCAAGGACTGGTCGGAATGTCCCTAACATGCTGTTAGACTTGAGGTCCACGCAGATTGAACATCGGCCCCGAACTGGCGCAAGACGTGGACAATCTGCTCAACAGAACGGAACAGCAGACGCAAAGGCAAACAATAGAGAATCGCATCAATGTGTAAAGAGTCGGGAGAGCACATGAGATCTTGCGCTGGTTCAACCCAGCGACACGGTTGCGAGCACTCGGCAGACGATAGTCTCAGACACAATGTGCTCAAGCGCAGCCAAAATCAAACTACGATGCTGGAATGGGAAAGCGTTTGTAAGCAAGACGATTCGCAGCGTGGATTGAGCAAATTATGTTTGTGCAGGATAAGGCGGGTGCTGGACAGATCTGCTCACAGGCAAGTATACGCACATACCCGCTTTGCGAAGCCTGGACAACAGATGTGTTTGATCCTTCCGTTTCGGAGACCTCTGGCTGTGCAAGATATTGTCAAAGTTTCGACTGGTGATTCGAGACGTATCCCCAAGTTGGTATGGAAAGTTTGCTTTTGTGAGAAAGTGTGATCAGCCAGGTCTGCGCCCCGACGTGAGCAAGTTATTATATAAGCAAAAGCTGCGAAGGATGGTTTGCTCACATTAAACAAGCTGCATTACTCGCGCACACTCTTAGCGGAATTTATAGCGTACATCAAGACAAAAAGCACCCCACGATTCCACGACCGGCGAATGTTGATTGGAATAGGTGTGAGAAGGAGTAGTGTGTGGAGGACTTGCCGAACGTGTGCGCAAAGGCTTAGTTGTACTCCGTAGGACTCCAAGACAAAGGCCCCACTCTCTCGGTCTTTTGTCCAAGGCACGCCCTCGCCAGCACTTCTGGGGCCCACAGATCGCCGTGAGGCAGGACTTGGACGGTTCCACGACAGGGGGCTTCCACCCCGTCTGGCTGAGCAACGATGCCCGCAAGTCTGACGGGCTTAAAAGGCCGACGACCTTTGACTTTGCAGTATTTTCTGCCCGTGAGTTTGCCACCTGAATTTGGACTCTTGTCATTGGTCGGCGCTCGCGACTTGTGGGCAACGGCGTTTCAGAAGAAAACGATGACACGCTTTCTAGCGCCTACCACAGCGACGAAATCATCATACGGAGAGGCGTCTATCACGAAGACAGAAACTGAGAATGGTTGTATGTTGCTGTTTGGGGTTGAGGCTTGCGCCTTTAGACAGCTTTCTTTGCGATGGAGAGAGATTCCATTAGGACTACGGGACCTGCTACGCACTGCCGGCGTAGTTCTGAGCACGGCGCGCGGCTCAGGGCGTATTGGTCTCCACACACATACGAACTTTGCGAATACAATTCGCTCTACCGAAGCGTAGCAAACGGTATTGGCCATCATCGTGTATTGTCGCAAAATGTCTGCTGCATGAAAAAGGCCAACTTCAGCATCCCCGGTGGAGTTTAATTTCCTAAGTTCCGACGGGAAAGCCTTCCGCGCACACGATTATTCGGACCATTCAACTCGCCCTGTGTGACGTGCACAAGTTTTTCAGATGGCGGACGCTGAAGACGGTGAAGACTTTTCTCTGTTCGAGGAACCAAGAGATTTTTTCAAACCTGAGGCCCAACCCACCTTTGTCTCACATACGCTTCTCTCCGGCAAGAAGCTGACCTTACGTCTAGTAGGACATAATCCTCTTTGGGTAAGCCGTGACAGGAAGCTTTCATCGTTGTACTTCATACGACTACTTCACTTGACAAGCCAACGTGATTAACGGTATCAGGGTCATTTTCTGTGGAATGCCGGTCGGACAATAGCCGACTATCTCGAGGAGAATGCTTCGGAATATGTTAAAGGACGTAATATTTTAGAGCTGGGTGCTGGTGCTGGCCTGCCAAGCCTGATTTGCGCTCTAAACGGCGCGAACAGAGTTATTGTGACTGATTATCCTGATCCGGAACTCATCGAGAATTTGAAAACCAATATTGAACAGTGTTCAGCGTTTACCAACCCTGGAATACTCGAAACAACCGTAAGTCGAAATCGCGATCTAGCCCAATTTCCAAAACCGTTATAACTGATAATCTCGAGGGCCACCTGTGGGGTGATTCTGTTGATTCTCTTCTAGCTCTTCTTCCACCGAATAACAAGCCTACCGGCTTCCAGACACTGATATTGGCGGATCTTTTATTTAACCATTCCGAACACGTTAAACTATTGCATTCTATCGAGCACACCTTACAGCACAGCTCAGATGCTTGCGCCCTTGTGTTTTTCACTCCGTATAGACCATGGCTTTTGGAGAAAGACCTCGCATTTTTTGAACTTGCGAAGCAAGCAGGCTTTATGGTTGAGAAAATTTTTGAGAAGCTTATGGAGAAAGTCATGTTTAAGGAGGATCCTGGGGTATGTCACAATCCAACAAGATGATGTTACCAAATCTCACCCTGTCATAGGACGAGAAGTTAAGACGAACGGTTTATGGCTACCGGCTCAGGAGGGCTGGGACTAGTGAATAATTGTCATGAAGAACTAGAGTTTAATGCCACGGGTTACAAGCTCCTGACAACTATGTGTGAAGCAGGTCGCACGCACTCGTATAGCTGAACTTTCTGAATATTGAATATCATGTTAACTGCGCACTCGCAAGTGCTTCGACTTTGTTCAAACTGAAAAGTATGACACTTGTCCATTATTCGGAGAAGCCAGATCTGAGTAGACGACAAATATGCAGTAAGGACTAAGTCACATGTGCCCTTGAGACGTGTAGCAATGTGTCTCAGAAGATTATCATATGCCTTTATCAAAGAATGCGAGCTCGCCAGTGCGGCCTGAGTAGTACTGAACTAATGACCTTAAAGACCTGCTAACAATGACCGGATCCCACGAGATGGCATAATTATGATCTGCGAACATCTTCAAGATTGAGGCGTAAAAACCCTGCAGTGAGCGGCAACATGTAATATGAATACTTCAAATTACCGTATTTTGTCTGATAGCCTGAACTGAAACCCCAAGATGGGCGGAGCAATGCGTTCAGGGCCGGGGGAAATGGCTTCAGAAAGAATAACGAGCAGGTTTTGGACCGTATTTAACTATTTCGTGTGAAGGGTATTTCGAGATATATATGATGACTAACATAAGACAATAAACTTATCTTTCCCAGAAAGGCGAGGCTAAATGGTGTCAGGTCGAAGAAGATTTTGAGTCGTACTGTTTGCATAAGAATTGGAACGGTAACGTTGGACTTTTCCGTAAATACCTTCATCATATAGGCTTGAACCGGGAAAATATATCGACAAAGTCGTACTATCTGCTCGAGGTCAATGAGTCAAAAATTGGAAGATCAATAGTTCGCTTTGGTGTATGACTACAATGTAGGGTTGAAAAATGGAAGGCTTAAAAGAATAGCGAAAAAAGCGCTAGAACATATTGGCGTTGGCTTCAAATTGTGAGAGATTTACTCAATCCCGTATCCAACAGCCTGCATAGCCTACAGTAACCCTTGTTGCTTCTGTTGAGTTCGTGTTCACAGCCTCACTAAGGTACAATGCACAGTGATCTGTATGTTCTGGACTGGCAATCATTGTGTCAAAACTTTTCCGCTCCTCATAGAGCACCCAAAACTGCTTCTTCCAAATAACAGCGCAATGATTGACGTGGTCTCGGAAGGAGGTGAAATAATAGTCTTTCTCGGACATTTCGTGAATGCTGTAAATTCTTTGCGTTAAGTCTTCGTCGATGTATGCTGCCCAGCTCTGGTCATCTGCGTATTCTTGAATGAATTCTTCATCATAGCACGGCTCTGGGACCCAGTGATTGAGCAAAATGTCGTACTTGCAGCCCAACGCTCGAGCTTCACGAGGGGAGCTCCCGCATTCTAGCAATTTGGCGTTTGATGTAATGTTGTGTTGAATGTTGACGTCTGGCCGCGAACCGCCGAATGGCAAAGACGAGGAATATAGCCAAATAGCCAGCCATAATAATGAGGTAGCGAGGAATACAAGACCGTGAGAAATCAGTCGTTTACGCTGAGCATTAGCTAGGCGGCGGTTGCGATAGTCTGTGCTGTGTATAAACTCATCTGAAAAGTTGTCTAGGAAAGGTTGATTCTCAGGCTCTTTGTGCTGGGAGTACATAGCGCGCTTCTTGAGGTTAGAATCGAGTTGTAATGCACATCATTTCATCCGCTACGCAGGTAGCCATGTTCTATAATATGTTACTACTCGAAGCATTGACGCCGCCAAGTTGACAAGCCGTCTCACGAATTGTTCCACCCGAGCTTGGGGTTTCAGCGTAGTTGTTCCTAATCGACCTGGACGACAATTTAAGGCATGTGCAGTTTGGTGAGAAACAAAGAACACGTCGATTATGAATAGATCGTTGGCTTAAACAATGGCCCATTATATTGAATGACTGCAGTGCAGCTTTTCGACCGACATCCTGTTGACGGGACAAAGTTGCACGCGGAACAGTTCCGCACTTTCTCACCATTATTACCAGATTGAGCAAAGTAGCACAAGTCTTCGAATCGTGTAGGGCGTTGACAAGTCCAGAACCATGCATTGTATAAATGTACCACAATACCAGTGGGGTGTGACTTAAATTTCGTCAACACAATCGTATTTCGATCGCAAAAGAGTCATGGATGCTAATCAGTTCCGCAAGGCTGCACATGCAGCTATTGAAGAGAGTGAGTTTTCGAGGCGTCAACATTCGTCAGTAAAGTTCTGAAAACGGACAGTCATTCAGTATTATGATACCCTTCCCTCGAGAAAGGTTGTTGCAGATGTTCAACCTGGATATCTTGCACCTCAGCTTCCTGAACAAGCCCCATTGCAGGGGCAGCCATGGGAAGCCGTCCAGAAAGACATTGAGAAATTGATAGTTCCAGGCTTGACGCATTGGCAGCACCCAAATTTTATGGCCTTTTTTCCATCAAATATCAGCTATCCTGGTATCCTTGGAGAATTGTATAGTTCAGTATACTCCGCTCCGGCTTTCAACTGGCTATGCAGCCCGGCTATCACCGAATTGGAGACGGTCATGATGGATTGGGTTGCCCAAATGATCGGTTTGCCAGAATGCTTCCTTAGTAAAACCGAGGGAGGAGGTGTTATTCAAGGTACTGCGAGTGAAGCTGTTGTCACAGTTATGGTCGCCGCTAGGGAACGGGCGTTACGGAGATTAACACAGAGCCATGCGGGCGAGAAGGAGCGGGAAAGCGCAAAGGATGCCCTTAGAGGGAAGCTTGTCGCTTTGGGCAGTGAGCATGCACACTCTTCGACGCAAAAAGGAGCGCTCATAGCTGGGACAAAGATCAGAACGGTTCCAGTCTTCCGGAAGGATGCGTATGGAATGAAAGGCTCAGCATTGAAACGCGTGCTGGAAGATTGCAAGAATGAAGGTCTAGTTCCATACTATATCACTGTAACGCTTGGAACGACAAATACCTGTGCTATAGATGACTTTGAGGAGATTGCTGAAGTTTTGAAAGACTGGCCGGACATCTGGGTTCACGTAGACGCGGCTTACGCAGGATCTGCTTTGTCTTGCCCAGAATATCAGCATTACACCAAGGCTTTCTCATCATTTGACAGCGTGGACTTTAACATGCACAAGTGGATGTTGACCAACTTTGATCTTAGGTACAAAGATTCTTCCTCAAGTTTAGGCTCTGCTGACTTCTCTCTCTCCAAGCTGTCTCTTCATTCGCAAGCGAAGCGATCTCACAAGCTCACTATCGATCACTCCAAGCTACCTCCGGAACACATTCTCAGAGTCTGGTCTAGTCACTGACTACCGTGACTGGCAGATTCCACTCGGTCGTCGCTTTCGATCGTTGAAGGTGTGGTTCGTTCTTCGATCGTATGGAGTCGAAGGTATCCAGAAGTTTATTCGCAGTCACATCAAGCTGGGCGAGTATTTTCACTCTTTGATTAAATCTCGAGGGGACTTGTTCGACGTCCTTGCTGGCCCTGCTTTTGCCCTAACCGTCATTAGCTGTAAACCACGTCAACATCAAAACCTTGTAAAAGCTACTGACGTAGATCCGAGCCATGAGAGATACACGAACGACTTTACTCACGATGCTGAGTCGCAAGCGCGGCTCGACGCGAACGCCCTCACAAAAGCGGTGTACGAGCGTATCAATAAGAAAGGTGAAATTTTCTTGACTAGTACTGTTGTCGGAGGAGTATATGCTATTAGGATTGTCAGCGCAAACACGCAAACAGAAGAGCAATATCTCAGGCGCTGCTTTGACCTTCTGGTGGAGACTACTGAGGCAGTTTTCAAGGACCAGGATCAAGATCGGGTGGTTGTAAATGGTCTGTAAGTGTCAGCGAGATGTACATGGGCAATCGCGATTGAAATTTAAGGAATTAAAGACAAGGTTAAAAAAAGGTGTCTTTGCGGGCTCATCTTGAAATGGCATGTCACATAGGTAATAAAAGAGAGAATAGATAGCTAGTGATATCTTTTCTTAACTACTGCAAATACAGTCACGAATTGCATGTATTTGCAAGGTTACAAGCTATATGTGTGGATGTGATAGTTGTGATGGACAATTGCAGCATCTCGGATATTCTCCTAGTCACGATTCGGCCCACTGGGGGGAGCTTCTGGAACAATGAATCAATGGAAGCCAACAGAGAAGAGTAACTTTAAGTTGATGCTACAGGTCCGGGAATATCGCCATAACGAGCTATTTTGCATTCCTCACGCCAAATTTCCACTCAGGCATCTCCCGAATTTCACGCACGCCTCAATTAAAGTATATGGGAAAAACAAGCTTCCTGTTGGAGATATATACGAACACATGGGCTGTATTGTATCCAAGGAGAACATTGTCCCAGGAGAAGATGATCGCCATCCTTGCCGTCGGCAGTCTCTTTTTCGGCCACAACCACCTGTACAGATCTTAACGCCACCACCAACACCTCACAACCGCAAGCTCAAGCTATCTGAACCATATCTGGAAAATCCGCATAGAAAGTGGCAGAGACGACAAATGGGTAATCAATTGTTTTGTTCAGTACAACATTATTCTGCGCATTCACTCACGCCGCGGTCCACGGACTGTGAGTAAATACAAAGCCTGAAGTATCCGACGATGAGGGAAGAGAAGTAGTCATCCAAAGAAAACCTGTAATTGGTGATAGTTGGAAAGCGCAATCACTTATCATAATTGTAGGTACGATATCGCCAATTCCGGTATCTGGGCAGCAGCTTGAGAATCAAAAAGAGCGAAAAGGGAGCATTGCACGAGTGGGATACTCTCCAGGCACTGCAATCCCGTATTAACAAAACCTACGTTGACAGAATCCAGATGCAAATTCGGTAAAGCGCTTGGAAGTTTTGGCTGTGCAATAATAGGCGAAATCATCAAGCTCAGAATTCAGAACGTCGCAGAACACAATCTCTCAAACTCAAGCCGAATTGTGAATGGGGCGTTTGAAGGTCACCACAAGTCTACGAAAATCATATATTATTATGAAAGAGGCAACAAGATATCTGATTTGATAAGAGTCAGAGGCAGAGAGTCATCTAAGATTACCCACAATGAAGAAAATGTACAGCAATACTGGGGCAACGATCAAGCTCCAGACCAGATACATTTCAATTCAGAAACAGAAGATAGTGTGTTCATCCACGGGACCAGAACTCGGGCATGGAAAACAGTTCGCTAGTGGCCAATTGTCTACGATTTACACGAGAAGCTCTGTCCCAGACCTCGCTGTATCTGGGCTTACAACTAGCGATGCTGAGTCAAAGCTTCGATCGAGTTCGGCACGAGCTGACAACATATACACCTAGTTTCAAAAAAATTGTATTTAGTTCCCTGAACTTCTATACTGCTCCCAACACCTCCTCATACCGGTACTTAGTGTAGCATCACTCACACGCTGTCTACTAACCCATAAACGTTTCGGTCCATCTTCACTCACTATTTCCCTTGCAATGCTATCATCGCAGCCTAAGCGGTACTCATGGACGTACATTTGTAGTCTAAGATGGCTAAAGACATGTGTAACGCTTCCTCTTTCCGTCGTAGGGCTTAATTTTACATTGCGGTCATGCCCGACTATTCTCTGAACAAATATCCGTGACTCTGTCTTTCGTAATTTTAGACTCCAGTTTCTATTCGTTGGTAGTTTGTACGTTGGGAATTGCCACAAAGATGCGAGAAGTCCATTTGGCGGTCGCTGTTCAATCAAATAGTGATCTCCAAGATCTGTGTCTCGTCTAATGATGCATACTGCACATTCCTCTTCGGGAGTTTTCTTTTTCGGTTCGCGTTTAGGGAATAACGAACAATATGCAATTACTTTAGCATCTTGCTCGCTCTGAGGATGTGTGGGTGGCGAAGCACTTTGTGTCGCCAGTCCTGGAAGAGTAGTGAAATCATGTATTGAGCGCTGTGTAGTGGTGTTTGCTTTTGCACTTTTTGCTGTCCGAGAAGCTAGTTCTGTCACTGTTGCTGTTCTTTTGCGTCTTGGTTTGCTTAAGTGACTAGAGTCGCTCTCAGTATCTGCTTTCGCAACCGCTGCCTCGACTTCTTCAAGCTCCAGTTGTTCGCACAAATAGCAGGCGTCCTCGATATCCTCAAGCATGCCAACATCGCTAGAGGTCCTTCCAAGTAATTGCCCTTCGGCGTATGCACGGCATGTTGACTGGATTGGACACTCGTGACACTTTGGCTTTGGTGTACAGATGGTGGATCCAAGCTCCATCAATCCTTGGTTCCATCTTCCTGGAATGTCGCTGAGGCCAGACTCAATGCTACAACTTGTAACATTCTCCACAAGCATTGCTGCTGCCTTCCATAAAAGATCTTCTTTACTTTTCTCTTTGACACGAGCATACAACCCGAGTTGTCTGCATAACACGCGACTAACATTCCCATCTAGGACGGGTGCCGCGTGTCCGAAAGCAATCGATGACACAGCACCAGCAGTGTATCGACCAATCCCTTTGATTTTTCGCAGACTTTCGACATCGCCAGGAATTCTGCCATCCATATCGTTCACTATCTGCTGAGCCGCCTCAAGAAGTCGCGTGGCGCGCGAATAATATCCAAGACCCTTCCATGCTGCTAGTACCTCGTCTTGACTTGCATGAGACAAATCTTCTACGGTTGGCCACTTCGAAATCCAATTATTAAAGTATGGTATAACTACAGACACTCTAGTTTGCTGAAGCATGATCTCGCTAACCCATACTTGATACGCTCGTTCTGATCGTGAGCGCTCCAATTCTTCTTGGTTTCGATCAAATGCAGCTGGGTCAAGCCAAGGTTTCCTCCACGGCATCTTTCGCTTTTCAGAGATCGAGTCAAACCATGTCAGTAGAGATTCGGTGGCGTCGTGGTTACTGAGCAACGGCGCTCGATGGTACGCAACCGAGTGGATCCTATGAGGTGGAAACACGGGCGCACATGATTCTGTATCATCTACGCTCGACAAAAAGGCGTTTGCATCTTTGGTCTCAGACCGACCAATTATTTTTTTGCTTGACATGACTGACCAGGTGACGAAGACGAGATGAAACACGAAATGGGATCAGCCGAAAGCATTTGAAGATCTAAAGTTAATTCACAAGCTCCGGTAAAACTCTTAGTGTGATCAATTGTAATCGCTAGAAAGTATGACTTAATTGACGAAAAGGTAGTTGAGATTCAACGAACTTGTCACTCAGTCCTCGACTTTGGACAAAACTTTACTGTGATGAAATTATGCCTATATGTTCTGCCTTGATCCCTCAGGCACAAACACCCATGATAGATAGTTCTGAATGATGCTACGATTTCAATACTTGGATCATTTCTGCTCTTTAAGCGACACAGTTAGGGGACATTCGGCAGATTTTCCTTTCTCGTATACCGAAAATGGGAAATGCTTAGCAACCTAGGCTAGAGGCTTCCAATTGATCCACGGTAACAGCTGAGAATGGCAAATGGTTCCTTTTATTCCCGCTACCGAGCAAACACTCCCTTTTGTGGAGCCTCGGTTAGCATCTAGGGTTTCTCGGATGCTCCCGCTAGGGTATGCGGACTCTCAACTAGCAGATGAAGTAACTTGTATGCTCCCCGACTGATTCTTGTATTAGAGGGACCTTGCCCTCCACTGAGAGCTGACTAGCGCGCGCTGACTTGCGGGGTAGCTCTTAGGTGCCGCGCGTGAAACCTTTCTTAAGCAGTGGGATATACATCCGTTCCGGGTCCGGGTCCGGGTCCGGTTTTCAAGCAAAATAAATCTATCTAGCAACACAGTCCAACAGTAGTTTTGCATCGGTACTATTACGAACCAAGAACAGCATGCCCACTTCTAAATTTTCTGTGGAAGATCCGTTCACCTACCTTGTAGGCCTGAATAACCACCATGAGTAGGTTGCGTGTTATGCTACCAGGAGAGATTGCTCACAGTTCCATAGATCAGAAGCAGAACCCAACGCGGTGCCGAAGAATCAAAACCTGCCACAGCGACATAAATTAGGTTTGTACCCTGAGCGTATCTCCGGCACCTCTTTCACTGCCAAACGCGCACACAATCGCCAGACTTTCTTATATCGGATCTATCCGTCAACTGCTCAGTCAACATGGAAACGTGTACCGGATCATCCACTGTCTTTAAACTTGAAAGAGAGCGTACAACATCTACCAGACCAATTTGTCTGGCCCCCATTTGAAGTCCAGGCCGACAAGACGCTCATTGATAGCATGAATTTGATTGGTGGAGCTGGTGATCCGACTATCAAAGATGGGATTGCTTATTACTCTTACGCCTGTGGAAAGAGCATGGATGAGAAATCTGCATTCTATAGTGCAGACGGCGATTGGCTTATAGGTACACAGTCGTATAGTAATTTGTTAATCAGGTTAGCTAACATAGCAAATAGTCCCCCAACTCGGTGTTCTCGACATTCAGACAGAAATGGGAATGCTTCGAGTTCGACCAAGAGAAATATGCGTCATTCCACGCGGAATTCGTTGGAGAGCTGCCGTTCACTCCAGCCCTGCCCGTGGGCACATCGTGGAGACATTTAGTGGCCATATAGATGTACCAGAAATCGGCGTCTCAGGTACACTTTGTCTTGCGAATGTGAGAGATTTTGAGATTCCAATTGCAAAGTACGTCGATATCGAGGAACCAACAACAGTTTATGCGAAGTTTGGTGGAATGTTACACAAAGCAAATATGATCGGTAGTGCATTCAATGCTGTGGGTTGGCAAGGTAACTACTATCCTTTCAAATATGACTTAGGAAAATTTATGCCTCTGGGGTCGACGCTTTACGACCATCAAGATCCATCAATTTTCACGGTCTTAACGTGCCCTTCCAGCATGCCAGACCATCCGGCATTGGACTTTTTGTACATGGGTCCTCGGTGGTTTGTCATGGAGGACACCTTCCAACTACCATATTTCCATCGCAATGTCATGTCGGAATTTTCAGGTGTGATCAGTGGAGGTTTTGACCTGTCAAAAGTTCCGAAGCCCATGTGGGGTATGTGTGGGCTGAACAATAGCGTCAGCCCTCATGGTTTGAGCAAGGAAGAAGTTGAAGAGGCGATGTCGAAGAAGCTAGAACCGGAACGTGTACCCGAGAATCATGTTGGCTTTTTGTTTGAGAGTTGGTACGGGTGTTCCAACCGTTCTTGAAAATTATGTGCTAACGCAGTGATGCAGTTTCCAGATTGGTATAACCGAATGGGCGCTCAAAAGAGCCATTCCGACAAACCGTAGGTCAGATTTTGGAGGGTTTAAGAAATACTTTAAGACTTCTAAGATCTAAGCATTTTTGACAAGACCATATACATGGAATGACAAAATTACACTCAATGGAAAAAACAACTTTCAGCGAGAGATGAATGTATTTGTAAACTCAAAGTTTGCCAGTAAATATATGATCAATATTGAAGAGAGCTCGTGTAAGCCGCCTCACGTGCTAAATCACGGTTTTCCAAGGGATCCACAATTAGACACTACGCGATTTGCGATGAACGCGTCCATTTTGTAGACGATTGTGAGCTCGATCGTACCTATTCGACGTATTATCACTAAATAATCTAAGATAGGGAGTCAGCCCTACCCCGCATGATTCGGGGGTTGCGACTCGACGCGTGAGCCGGCATGTGACATGCAGCTTTGCTTGATCCTCGGAAAGACGGCTATTTGTTGGTTTGCATTCGTAAAGATTGTATAACTTCCCGGTGACTGTTGGAAATTCTGAAACTGAGACCAAGGAAAATCGAAATCCAGCTTGTACCCACTATGAAGGTTCCGTCGACCAACATCAAACTACCAAATCAGGTACCCAAGCATGTTCAATATGAATTCCTCTTTCTGCCAGACCCAGTTCCTACGGCCATGATTACGCTGCCAGTAAAGAAATCAGCGACAATTGAAGATCCCAAATCGGCGGACGGACAAGTTTGGGAGAGCATTCTGAAAAAGATTGAAGCTTCGCCTGGCTACCAACGACTGTACTGGGGACGTTGGATTGAGAGCGAGAATAAGGTCCAGCTTCATGTTGCGCGCGAGAAGAATAAGCAGAACAAGGACTTTTTGAAGTCCGAAACATGGAAACAAATCCTGGAGACAGCCCAGCAGTTAGCACCAGAGGGAGTCGATGTTCAGAAGGATGTTGTAGTTCGTCATGCGCAACTCAATCATTTCTCCTCCGGCTCTAGAGCCCTTGGCGGCGGAGCTCCTTATACGGGTACTGCAATTTACTTTGCTACAGGACGACGTAATTGGAATGCTGTTTGGGACTTGTGGACCACCATCGTGCCTACTGTGCCTGGATGTATGGGTGCCTCAGGTGGCTGGATTACTGACGACGTTGCCATACCGGGAGCCCCTACGAATATGAAAGGAGGTGGTAAATGGAAGAACTGCTTCATCGCTTGGGTTGGATGGGAATCGATAGAAGCTCATGATGCATTCCACCACACTCCGGAGTTCAGGAAACGGGGAGTGATTCTTCAGGAGGCGAACTTTGGCTACACGGAGTATGGTCATGTCTCTTTCACCCATGCCAGGGAGAAATGGGAATTGCCGCATGCAAAACTGTAGAAACTTCTGAATTGAATGGACAGGAACCAACAAGTCATATTGTACACCTTAGTGTACGGGGTTCGCTGTGTACAGAAATACAAAACATTCTAGCCCCTTAGAATGCACCGTCGACAGTGATTAGCTAAGGCTACACCATTGCCAAGCTACTCTCTGATATTTGCGGATATCTCATGTAGATTAATCACATGTTTGAGTACGACCTGAAAGTTTGAGTTCGAATAGTAGTTTTCCTAGATCTTCGCTGCAATCTATCTACTTAGTCGCAAAACTTGCAAGCTAGATGGATTGTCCCTAGGACTATTCAAAAAAATGCAAAAGACCAGTCTAGACACTGCAAAAATTGTCTTGCGACTAGGACAAGAGTGACGGAAAGAGAGGGCTTTGCATCTTGCATAAGGGCGCTCAAGCACAGAAAAAAAAGGACCAGCTATATATTTAACTGCCTCAGCGCATATTTCAACTAAAAGAGAATATGCAAAGTGTGCAATAATCTAATGGCATACTTAGACCTAGGGACAACAGAAGTTTGTTTACTCCTAGTGTACATGAGAGGCATGACGAACGCATCGTTGTTGCAATGACTGATTGACGGTCAATAAAGGGAGGATAGAGAGGAAAACTCGAGTAATCAATCAAATTAACAACAATGATTAACCCACTTGGCATAACTTTTTTTCAGTTCAAGTTCGACTTGGTCCAATGCAACGAGCACAGGCATGGACGAGACTGCTGACATAATACAGTAGTTTTCCTTGTCCTTTCTGTCGAAGCGTGACAGTAGAGCAATGTCAACGCAGCTATTCAACGCAGGCTATATCTGCCGCCACTGTCGCACGCGTATCGCCCGCCAAAATCATCGCTTCGCTTCATCGGAAGCTAGACGACGGGCGACGATCCCAGATGGTCCAGTACGAACACGATTTGCACCATCCCCGACGGGTTACCTGCACTTCGGATCGATTCGCACAGCTTTGTTCAATTATCTTATAGCGAAGCGAACAAATGGCAAATTTTTGCTCCGGATAGAAGATACAGATCAGAAGCGCACAATACAAGGCGCCGAGGAACGCATTCTCAACGATCTACGATGGCTTGGGCTTCGTTGGGATGAAGGTCCAGAAGTAGGCGGACCGTATGGACCGTATAGGCAGTCAGAGCGCAGTGCGTTGTACAAGGCGCATTCAGAAGAATTGATAGAGTCTGGGCATGCGTATCGCTGCTTCTGCTCAGCTGAAACGTTACAGAAGAAGGGTCAGCAGCGAAGTCAATCCGGACTGGCCACGATGTATGATCGAACATGTTATCATCTCTCCGCCGAAGAGTCGAAAGCAAGAGTTGCTTACGGGGAAAAATATACTGTGCGTTTAAGAGCGCCAGAAAAGCCAGTTGCTTATAATGACATTGTTGGAGGACCATACATAATGTCGGAGATGGCAGCAAGACGTGCCGCAGCACAGGGCGTATACGATGACTTCATTCTCATCAAGCAAGATGGGTTGCCAACATACCATTTCGCTAATGTGGTAGATGACCATCATATGAAGATCACACATGTCATCAGAGGCGTTGAATGGCAGATCTCAACGCCGAAGCATCTTAACTTATATGATGCGTTCGGATGGGTGGCACCTTCTTTTGGCCACATCGGACTGTTGTTAAATGAGGATGGGACCAAAATGAGCAAGAGGGATAAGACATTCGATCTACATATGTTCAAGAAGGACGGCGTACTGCCCGAGGCACTTATAAACTTTCTCGCACTATTTGGATGGTCGCATGCGCAGCGAAGTGATTATATGAGCTTGAAAGACCTTGAGCATAACGTAAGAGATCTCTATGAGGTTTTAGCTGCCATATTCTAACTGGTGCCCACAGTTTGACCTCAATCTGTCGAATACGAATCCCACGGTATCTCTCGCCAAACTTTGGTTTCTTGCCCCAAAGCATGCTATGAAACGAGTTGAGAATGGTGGGGAGGCCTTAGACGAAATGCTTGACAATTTCTGCAGTGCTGTGCAGACAGTCATGGCCGAAGAATTTGCAGAGAGAGAAAAACTAGAGGAGGGCTTGAATCCCTCTGCGCATCGTGGATACGTGAAACGTGTCCTAATCGCAGATGCAAAAAATTATGTTTCTGCCGTCGACTTCGCAAGAACGCATTCTTACTTCTTTCTTAAAAGTCCAGTGATCTCCGAGACCATTGCTGAGAGGAAAGCGAAGGCAGTCAGAGAAGCGCTATGCTCTAGCCTAAACAGTGCCTTTCGTGATGGTTCTGTGGACAAGCGATTGCTTCCCGCCCCAGATGAGACGAACGAGTATCTCCAGGACCTATACTCAAAAGCCACGGATGATGCTATCAAAGCGGTAACACAAACTCAAAGCGAGACCGGAGAGCGAATCAAGAAAAAGGAGTTCTGGCAAATCCTGCGAGTCCTGCTCACAGGTGGCCAAAAGGGCCCCAGTTTAGTTGAGACGATGGAAATATTGGGCCTTGAACGCGTAATAGAAAGGTTGAGTTCCCAGCCTAACTATGAAGACAATGTCTCCTGAAAAGCAAGTACATTCTCATCAGTTCCGCCATGCGCCTAGTACAATTCTAGTCATCCGAAGAAGAGGGTGGAGCAATAGGATGTTTCCCCGCATTCGGTCATGGAAACCCCGAGTCGAGGCCATTTACGGTCATAACAGAAAAAGGATTTATGTATATACTAAGTTGCAAAAAATCTCTACTTCACTGCATTTTATTTTCAATCTATATTGCCGTAATGGCCCAAAGCACAGAATACAGAAACCGGCTAGCAATTATTGCTGGAGGGATAGGTAGGCCTAGTCAGATTATTTTGCGGTGGTGTGATCACTCGAGCCCAATGGGATCGAAATTCTAGGTCATAAATTTTCTTTACATGAATGTGCATCATCTTCGACTGAACCATAAAGGAAAAGATCGAGCATATACTTCGTGGATGGCACATTTGTTGAATCCATAACTGACGGCGAAAAGGTGGGCTTGGTTCATCCATTGCTGTCCTGCTGCGATCCAAAGGCTGCCGTTTAGCTCTCCTGTATGCACCTTTCGAAGCTTCGCGACGTGACGAAGTGCTGCAAGATGTCTACGGCACCGCCAATCCTGAAGGCATACGTACATACGAAGCAGATATCACTTCCGAATCTTCTGTCTCCATTGCTTTCGAGGCAATATATTTCGATGCCATCGTTGATGAAGTCTTCCCAAGTATCCTCATCAACTCTGCCGGTTATGTGACGGTACAGCCATTGGAGCAAACAAGTGTTGAGGAAGCAAATAGAAATTTCTCGGTCAATTTGCTAGGGCCATTTATTACAGGAAACGCTTTCTTTCACCTCTATCAAGCTATGAAGAAGAAAATTCGGGATAATGGTGGGGTCAATGTACCTCCAGGACGCATTGTCTCCCTTTCTAGTCAAGCTTCACATCTTGCTCTTGACGGTCATGGGGTGTATTGCGCCTCAAAAGCGGGATTGAATGCTCTTGTACGCTGTCAAGCTAACGAGTGGGCTCGTTATGGCATTACATCAAATACTGTTTCTCCTACCGTAGCATTGACGGCGCTGGGCAAGAAGGCCTGGGGTGAGGGCAAGCAGAGGGAAGATCATCTTGCACGGATTCCGACCGGCCGATTTGTGGAACCAGAGGAAGTTGCCAGGACCATTGAATGGCTCTGTCAAGATGGAGCGGGAATGGTTAATGGTGCCGATGTGAGGGTCGATGGGGGCTTTACTATCAGCGGAGGGTTCACTGTACCAATTACGGAATACTAAGGTGTAAAGGACCCTCCCAATTTCTTTTCCTGCTGTAGAAAGGAATCAATTTTCTTGCCTGGTCATATATACCTCTCGAAACAACCAATCAGCAACGTTGGCATGAATTTCAAGCGTCCTCTTCTTCCACTCCTTTCTTCGCTTTCCAATTTCCAGTGGCCAGCGTTGATTAAAGCCATGTTCCAGGTCTTTCAATTCTTCCCAAGTAACATTACCACTCTTCCAGCCTGTTCGACCATCCCCAAGTGGCTCCCTTTTCTTTTCAGACTCAGCTAGCTCAAGATCCGCATATCTTATCGCCGCATCTCGAGCTTCGCCAAAGAGGACATCATATTCGCAACCGAGAATGTAAATTTTCTCAGGCAATTTACTCCTCTCAGCCCAGAGGGGTGATGCAAGAGGATTCTTGAGATCATGTTTGTGATGGCGGCCAAGATAGATCCAGTTGAAGTTTTTCATACCGCGGGCCAGAATATCTCTCCGATTTGGCGGTGGTGTGGAGTCCGATTTCCTTTGATGTACTGTTCGAACAAAGTCAGTGACTGGATAGTACGCAACGACGCCCTTTATCTTCTTGTGCAAATTGTTCATTTGAGGTCCTGTGAGCGCAAGGTTGCCGCCCGCTGAGTAGCCTATAATCGCAACTCTGGCTTTATCAACCGGGAGGTCAGGATCATCAAGTACGCATTGAATTAAGGTAGCCACATCTTTGACAGGCACGGGAAATCGATTAGGCACTTTTCGATAGTTGATGCTTACTACGCATATTCCATATTTGTGGCAAAAGATCGCATTGTCTCTGTCGTCAAGAAATGGGTGACCTATCATGAAACCTCCTCCGTGTATGTCAATGAGGAGAGGAAGAAGTCGAGCGTCACTACCAGAAACATGGGACTTTGGGATCCACACGTGATTTGGTAGTTGAGGTAGCTCCGGATAATACTTGACGAAGGTTGGTCGTTGATCTTGGTCCCGATTTTTCATGTTTGTCATGTAGAACCCGTACAAAGAGACCAAACCTTGCGCATTTTTTACTCCGAATTTGAGCACAGGTCGGACTAGGATACCAGGCACGTTGTGATTCCCATTATCAATACTGTCGCAGCCCATTGTAAGATGGGTTCAACAATAGTGGAAGAGAAGTCGACTGATTTATCAAAGGTCCAGCAGAAATGGCTTAGAAAAGACAAGGGGCGTTTGTTGAAGATGATGATTTGTACCTTTTGAGATGAACCAGACCTTTATAATGCTGCCGTCCACCACGGAATCCACCCCAAGCGTTTACCGAAGCTGCACATGACTTTGATCATCTTCAGTCAACCGCGGTTACAAACCCTAATTCAATCAGAAAACCTAGAGCCCCTCGATGCCACAAACCAAATCATTTTCCTTGAAGCGGCAGTCCTACTCTGCGTGCACGGTGTTGACACCAAAGTGACACTGGCAGGAAACCTTTCCCATGAGTTGCTTCAGAGCACAGCGCGTTTGAACAGCATTGCGGGATGTGATCGACTCTGGGATTTTATCTCCGACAAATAATGCGAGACTCGTGAGATAAAATTAGGCGGCTTCGAGAGTTTTATCCCTTTGCACTGGAGCATCATTTTCTTTTCGTAATCCTATGAAGCACAACCAAGCCCCTGGCATGGAAGCTGGGAGAGAAAGTCAACATCTAGCGAGAGTTAGTCAAGCTTCGGAACGTAAGTTCGCTGTTGTGCGAAGTGCATAGAATGATCTTCATTTTTCCTTGCAAGGCTCACAAAAATCTCTATATAGTCCGATTTGTTGCTCATTCACTTCTGAAGCTTTGACAAGTTTGTTGTGAGCTCAGAGATCTCGTCCATAGTAGAACCAATCAATTTATGATATGTTAAAGTAGAAAAAGAACCATGTGGCTATGAAGTGAACGGTGAAAATTCTTCCTATTCAATCATTCCAGTTTTTCCTCCGAATAGTAAGCGAGCTAGGAGAATGGTTCAAACTCTGAGAGAACAGAGTAAGCATGCCATGTATAAGTCGTATTGCCAACGTCACCCAGACGTCTCCTAATGTTAGCTTTCTAACATAAAATGCAAGGTATATCAATGTTTAGGGCGGAAAATAACAGAGATCTGAAAATTACAACACAATGTTGTGTAATTTGAGGCGGAGAATTCCAGGGAACTATTTAATTTGCTAGGAGCAGCACATGTCTTCGTCCACAAGTGTCTAAACCAGGGACTGTCCGCATAGAATGCTGAAACACGGCATGGCTTAATTTATCCCCAGTAAGAGATGTTGCGTCAGATGGAATGCTCTAGTAAATCGCTACATAAACTTCTTTTATCTAGGACCTAGTTTTTCGAGCGCACGCGCACCTTGCTCGGCCCATTCTTCCTTTGAAATCCACATGTCATTCTTGTCTGCCATCTGCATGCATGTCAGAATAAACTCGCGATCCAATTGGATGAACTATACTCACGATATTTGCTAGCACAGCACCACCTAAAAATACCATATGTCTTCTACGGGGAGGATCTTCTATCCTGACCTTAAATTTCTGTAGTACTCATTAGTACGAGAATTCAAAATTACTTAGATCACTGAATCTCACATTTAATCGCTCAGGATTGCCCTGCAAAACCCTGGTAAGCCACAATTGCTTCAATTCCTTTTCCAGTCGACTAGGAAGACCTGGATACATGCTGCTACCACCAGACAGGACAATAGCCTTGTACAGGCTGCTTCTCACATCGACATCTGCAGCTTGAATGGTGTTGAAAAGAAATTCTGCGATTCCTGGCTGTTCAACGTCAACCAGATGTGGTTGAAACAGACACTCCGGGGCTTCGAATCGCTCGCTGCCCACTCGGATGACTCGCCCATCAGGAAGAGTATATGACTCCACAAGTACAGTCGTCTCTTCGCTAAGCCGCTGATCGAGCTCGAGATCATATGAAACGTAGCAAAGCTTCTCCTTGATCTGGCGCACTGTCTCAAAATCCGCTGTTCTGTTGAGTGCATAGCCTCTGCGCAAAAGTAAAGAGATCAGATTCCTTGTCACGTCTCTTCCTGCAACGTCTAAACGTCTTGTCAAGTGATTTAGTACGGTGCTCTCGTATACAGGCACAATGTGCGTAACACCATCTCCACTGTCAACAACGACACCTGAGCTGAGACCCTGGGCGTACAACGCGAGCACTGCCTGGATGGCGACGTAAACGCCACCAAATCCGTAGCGCTCGAACATGACTTCGCACATTTGTTCGCGGTTCTTGAGCGGGTTAAGTGGTGGCTCTGTGAGCAGGATCTTGCGACCGGTGGGATCTAGGCGCATTTTCTCGAAGAAGGTGTAGTCCCAAAGGTGTTGCATATCGTCCCAGCGTTTTACAATACCATTTTCCATCTATCATCTACATCAGCTCCTGAAATTCTCTGAATCTGCCCGCGTATCCTACTGGATAGGTGATTTGCAACATCGAGCGGGCGGCGGCGGCCTCGTCGCCGCACATGATGTCCTTGATGACGACATCACCCAGTGTCGCATCTCGTTCCTCTGATCGGAGTATCGGTCGACCGACTATGGAAGGGTACTGGTGATCCGGAAAGTTCTACATTGAAGACGCCCTGTCAGCTTCTTTACGGTACATACTGCGCCCACCTGCAAGCACACACCTGGCCAGCGAAACCTGCTTTGAGGAAACCAGTGCCTCCGTCAAGCACGATTGGCGCCTCAGACATATTTCTCGCTGGTGAGAAGATTGGGGAATTTGTCGAGGAGTGGACTGGATTTTGGTATGCTCGTGAGGCAGCCGAATAATATGTAGCTTATAGCTTGCTGTGGAGGGGTGACGAAGTGCGTCAGGTAGGGTAAAGTCCACTTGCAAGCCACCTTCGACCATGCGCCACAAGTGTGGATCTCAATTCGCACTTAATTTCTTCTGAGTCTGTAATTCTGATCTCAATATTTTCGCTGTCCCTCCTCCCCGTATACAACTACGAAGCATACCTTTAAGCCATCTCAAGTTCAAATCTGGTGACAAGAGATGTGGAACTAGAGTCATATAGGAAGCGGTACGTTCGCTTTTATACTTGGTGTTTTCCTAATCCTCATGATTACACAAAAGCATTCTTTAATCTGTCAATCCACTGAACGATGCTGTGTCCATCTAGGTGTTGTCAAACTTATAAATGACCATCGCACACCTGAACCTGCATTCTTGAATTTGGTTGATAGTTTGTACTCATCCCAGATACAGGAACTCCAATGCTCGCACCTGACGGTCTGACCACCCTCAACTGCGGCACTTGGCGCGTAAGTTTAGAGCATCCAGAAGGACGGCGGACTCGCGATCAAATTGGGCTTGCGGTTGAGTCTAGGTTGAAATCACAGTCAAGTCCGGTGAATGTTGAAGGCATGAAGTCCCTATATTCATTTACTTTTATTAAACCAAATGCCGAACTACTGAGTAGAAAATGACCCTTCGCAATGGTCTTCGTGACGCAAGCCGCATGCAATTAGCTGGTACGCAGTGATGTAGTTCTAGATACTGATGCTCTTGTTTTCTACCGAGAAGTATATGCAATGAGAAAACAGCATAACTACCAAATCATATATGTAGAGGTTAGGAAGTCAGTCGTTGCATAAGGGCCGAAACCTCGTTGGGATTTTTTCCCACAACTAGCTATTGGGAGTTAAATGGTGACCTGAGCGGATAATAAATCAAAACGGACCGAGTACGAAACTTCATATATACTATCGCGAGACTCATTTATCTAAGTAATGAATGATCCTCGCGATATTTTGGTCTGCTATTTGAGAATCAAGTCATCCCTTAATTCTCGCATTGTTATTCATTTTTTAATTCTATGCTAGTTAACGCGGTGTATATGTTACATTTCCGGCACAGATCCATAGTACCATAGACATTTGGGAATTATCCTCTTTAAGGAAGCCAGAGTGCTCTAATTGACTCCTCTATTATTGCGCGAAAGCATTGGGTCATTGCAACATGTTTCTCTGGCTTAGGCCATCTGGACTTAATCGTTGCTCCCGACTTCGTATTTTGCATAGCTCCGTCACCTACAGCGCGAACATGAAGGAACTCAAAGATCATGTGCAAGGCTGAAACTCAGGCTGTCTCACTGACCTAAGTTTCGGCCGTATTCTATCGGGTCCTGCCAAGCCGTAGCTCCGTGCAAATGTTTTGTTTTTATTTCGAAACTAAGCAGTGTCGTTGCTTGGCCACATCGGTTCTCAACGTTTGTTAGCCCCGTTTTTATCAGTTTCATCAGTCGACTTCGCAAGCTCATCCAAAACAGGCAAGTCACTGGAAGACATCTCCTGATCTTAGTTGTAGGTGTATACGGTTTTACGTTGCAAAGCTAGAAGAACAGTAGAAAAAGGAAATGTTCATTCAGCTATCTTTTCTAACAACGGCCGTGTAATAAGCTTTCCCGCGCAAGACCTCGCACACAGTACGCAGCGGCGCGTTCAAGAACTTATAACCATTCCAAAACCCCATAAAACCTTCAAACCACTAGAACCTATGCCTCCTCCTCGGCCTTACCCAGGAGACCACGAGCGATGTGGCGCTTGCGCAGGTTGTACCTGTGAACAAGATTAGCTTTTTAACTGTGAGAGATTGGGTCATCAACGTACTCAATGGCTCGCTTGCGAGCAGCAGGAGACTGGGTGAATGCGGCAGAGCCACCGAACGGACCTGCAAGTGCCGAGTTCTGAAGACGGACGATGCAAACATTTGAGGCGCCGCCAACATTAGCAGAGCAGGTCATGCCAGCGGGCATCTGAACCTTGACTGGGAAGTCGGTCGTTGTAGCTGCAGAAAGACCGCCGATGCCAATGCCTGGAACATTCTGAGTGACTTGAGCATCCTTGAATGCAGATGGGTCGGTGCCACCAGAGGTAGCATCGATCTGGGCAGTAAGAGGGCCAGCACCGTCCTGGTTGACCTGGTGAAAGGTCATAGTGATGGTACCGTCATCCGCAGTTGTCGGCAGACCAGAGGTTTTGCCAGTGCCAGCCGCCTTAGCAACACCCTGCTCTGTCGTTCCCTTGGCGGTTTTGGTGCCCGCGGACGAAGCGCCGGAAGCACTGTTTCCACCCCCTAGGAGATTGGCGAGACCGCGCTTCTTGTTTGCAGTGCTTGTACCCATGAAGGTGGCAATGGCAGCTTCAGCATCAACCGGACCGCCACCGTTAGTGCGTCCCAGAGCAGAAGCTTTGCTTGTGCCCAGCTCTTTGGAGCGGATGATGGAAGTGTCGGCCTCAGAGCCGCAGGCGGGAGTGGCACAGTCACGTGGGGTGCCGTCAATAACTAATTGTGTGGTCAGAGATTTCAGCAAGATAATCATTCTGTATACTAACCGGAAAGACCAGGCATAGTAACACCATTGGCACCAGTCACAGCGGTGATGACACCATGAGCAGAGACATAAGAGGCAAGAGCCAAGAAGGCGTACGAGTACTTCATTTTGACTATTGTGAACTGAACGTGAGAAGTTCTGGTAAAGATAAAGATAAGTTAAAAAAATCTAATTAAATTACCCGCACAGCAGGATAAAGAGATGAAAAGAGAATTGAGAGAGACTGCCGAAGCTAGAAGATGCTGATGATGATGATGATGATGAGAGAATACCAAGACCCTCAAGGCATGGCTGCTACTTATACAAATCTTGATCAAGGCTGTGTGTTCTTCTTGGAAAGCTTGATCTCTCAAGTCGGCCGTAAGAATTTTGCCAAAAGCCATGCATCTTTGCATCAGAGACGTGTGATTGGACTACACCAGAAAGGCCCATGGATATCCTGAGTGGCAAAGTTGCAAGACCAGACATAAGCTGAGCCGTCGAATGGGTTTGGAGACAGGAGCCTTGCCAAATTCTCAATTTGTCACAAACAGAGCAAACATTTTGGACCATTGGGATCGCGACGATCGTGGACGGAAACAATCTTGGGAACAGAAACCGCTAAAGGTCGAAACCGGGATCTATAACAGTCTTTCAGAGCAGGAACTATGCGCCAGCACAGCCCGAACGAGTATTGTGGAGGCATAACCTCGAAGAGCAACATCCGGTTTCGAAGCATGGACTCGAGAGATAGCGCACGATTCAGATCTCCATCTCAGACGATGCCGTGCTATCCGACAAGGGTTGAGCATCCGAAGGGAACACGGACGACAAAAGATAATCGGTGTTGCCACTGCACGGACAGAATCAACTGTTCGAAAGAATCGTGATGGGATTGGATACTCGAAAAAATTACTAACTTTGGTTGTTGTTCGAAGTGCCTGGCCTAGCGTATCGTATTTGTCTCAAATCGATTCCTCGTAGGGCAAATGGAGGATCGCTACAAGACCAATTCTAACCACAACGATATGCCGAGTGTCGGGTAAGCTGATCTCTTATCGTTGCATGCTTACAATTTATCAGTAAGAAAATGGCTAAGTCTTGCCATTCTCAAGTGCTTGCTGCAATCAGTAGGTGACTTTTGGGAGGGCCAATCTAGAAAAGGCAGTTTACAGTCTCGCAAGGCAACAACGGATCGAGACAATCGCCGATTCGCCAACTGAATCTTGGAGCGTTTCGAAGAAGAATTCATGGGCTGAAACGACGAACATTCCATCCTGTTGCATGAATCGGTGCTTGAGAACGGACCTTTTCTGTTTCTACTGTGGAAGGTTTTGGAAGTTGAAACTTCGAGGCAACGGGAGGGCCAATGGACGGTGAGGCTAGGAGGCCTTAGAACTAAGGCACCATTCCACTTGAACAGGCAACTTTTGCGAATTCGTGGAATGTCGCATCAACACATCAACAGTGAATTGCTAAGCCTCTGTCGTCTAGACCGCGCCCTGGCTCTCGGTTGATCCATTGTCTGGTTTTCTTAAATTGAGAGCTCTTCTACTCAAGCAGTCCCATTAGGCCTCCTGCATCTCAAGTATCCATGCTCAATTTTTTGATTGGCACCCAGGACCACCTGCGCGATATTTCCATACTTTGTATACTGTATCCAGTGCCGCTGGTGAAAATCCTGAGAGGACTTTTGAGATTTCTATTGCCTTGATTTCCTTTCTCGTCTGGCCAGCTTTGGAAGCGTCTTTTAAATTCGAACTCATCTGGCAGTGCCTCGGCAGTTCACTGCGGAGGCCCGGCGCTACCATCCCCGCAGATTGGCAATTCGGCTTCCAAATGCTGATACCTATGTCATGTTGTGCGACTAGGCTGCTCAAGCCAGAGATCGCTTCATAGTCGCATTTTTTTTTTCTTTAGTTTTTTGTTTCTACATTTCCAATTCTCAGTTCCAGTGCGATTACATATCCTACCTTGTTCAATATATATCAAAATCTGTGAAAGTCGCAATAGCATTTTCGGCCCCTTCGTTTATCGGCCTTTGATCTTCCATCCCTATCTGTGCTAAAGTCATCCGTGGAGTCCAATTCCCTTTTCGTCAAAAGCCATACCCACAATGCCTCTTAAATCGCGTTGGACAACACCGCTACCTGATGTTGTATTGCCGACATATTTGTTCGGCTCACCAACGCAGCCACTGTCTGATAAACCATTGTTGATAGAAGCCAAAACACCAGACACACATTATCTCACTCAGAGCTCCCTCCGTTTGTACTGCCAGCGGCTTGCAGCTGGACTTCGTGCCAATGGGTTGCAGAAGGGAGACCGAGTTCTGTTGTTCTCCGGCAATACTTTGTTTTTCCCTGTGGTAATCATCGGAACGATAATGGCTGGAGGCATCTTCACTGGTGGGTTTCGTATTTCTTCTGGCTTCCATTGCTACATACTCCATATTGAAGGCAAGAATATCGTCTTTGCTGATTGGTGGACTATCTAGGCGCAAATCCAACTTATACACCACGCGAACTTGCTTACCAGTTGACGGATTCGGGAGCTCGTTTTCTCATCACTAGCGAAGCTAGTCTTGACACAGCGTCCGAAGGCGCAAAACTGGCCGGTTTGCCTGTTGATCGAATTTTCAACTTTGACGACGGCTATGCCACTTTCGAGAATCGAGGAAAGGATCAAGGTGGCTTCCGACACTGGTCTCGTCTGTTAGCATCTGAAGCAGAAGGCCAAAAATTCCATTGGGACGAATTGAATCCCCAGCTGATTAAAGACACCGTAGTGGCCTTGAACTACTCATCTGGCACCACAGGTGTTCCAAAGGGTGTGATGATCACTCACAGGAACTATATCGCCAACGCTGAGCAGATGGATCATCTTTCAAGACTAGCGAAAGACTACGAAGCAATAAAAGCAAGAACGCGGCTTCTTTGTTTCTTACCAATGTATCATGCCATGGCGCAAACGATTTTTGGCATCAACGCTGTCAAGAATTTGACGCCTGTGTACATGATGCCACGGTTTGACTTCATGCTTATGCTTGAATACATTCAAAAGTTCCGGATAACGCAACTCGTCCTCGTCCCACCCGTTGTGGTCGCGATGGCGAAGCACCCTGCCACACGCAAGTTCGATCTGAGCAGTATTGAGAGGGTTGGTTCGGGTGCGGCTCCACTCGGACGAGAAGTCTGCGTAGAACTCGAAAAGTTATGGCCACCCGGCCGCATCAACGTAAAACAAGGCTGGGGCATGACTGAAGTTACGTGTTCTGCAATGGGCTGGAATCCAGACGAGTATAGTGAAAGTTTCAGTGTTGGCGAACTCAATACCAATTGTGAAGCCAAACTTGTGGATGAAAATGGCAACGAGGTGAAGCAAGGAGAGCGTGGTGAAATCTGGGTGCGTGGTCCGAACGTTATGAAAGGTTACTGGCGTAAACCTGAGGCGACCAAGGAAACGATCACCCCTGATGGCTGGCTCAAGACAGGCGACATAGCTTGGTACGACCAGGACGGAAAGTTCTTCATCGTCGACCGGAAGAAGGAATTGATCAAGGTCAAGGGTAATCAAGTTGCTCCAGCCGAGCTCGAAGCACTTTTGTTGGATCACGATGCGATCGCGGACGCTGCAGTCATTGGTGTTCCAGCGGGCTTTGATGAGGCACCACGGGCATACGTTGTTCTCAACCAAGGCAAGAAAGCAACTGAGAAGGAGATCCAAGATTGGCTTGCGAATCAAGTGGCACCTCACAAACGACTCGCGGGTGGCGTACGTTTTGTGGATGCGATTCCAAAGAATCCAGTGAGTTTGCTGCTGAAGCCTGTCTCCTAAGTCTATTACTAATGATGAGCAGTCCGGCAAAATTTTGCGTAAAGTCCTTCGTGACCAAGTTAAAGCCGAAGAGGAGGCTGCGAAGGCCAAGCTATAGAGCCCACGAAAAGGTCAAGGATGTTGAGCTGTCAAAGATTTGCCCAGAATTTGAGGTAAACGTAGAATCTCTAAGGACTATAAATCACCGCAAAGAAGCCCTTGTTTGATGCAAGGGAATACTGCATGGGCTGCGCGAGAAATTCTGTTAATTAATTTCAACTATAAGCGAACTTAATTGACAATCTTATCTTGTAAATTGTCACTCAGATTGAACTCAAAATGTCCCTTGGTTTTGCCCTTATTTCATGAAAGCTGTGACCAGTGCATATTTACGGATGCTAATTTTAATTTGGCCGATGAGCGTGACTAACAACAAGAGAGCAAAAATATCTCAGTAAATAGGAAGGGGTTAAACACTTTAGACACCGGCTTTTCTGGAGCTTGCTACTGGCCAAGGTTATCAAAAATCAAATTGATAGAGATCCATGCCTAACAATGGTGTCGCATCACTGATTGTGGAGAACGATGAAAAAGAGGGTTGGGGCAGCGAGAATTGCAGAGACGATATAGGATTTTGATTTTGAGAAAATTCGATCGTGTGGAGCTGAAAAGAAAATCTTCGGATATATATCTATACGGCAATGGAAGGAATTTGAATCATATCGACGAGTCTGGGTAAGCAGGGAAGGTGGGAGAAACACGCGCTTGATTCGCTGCTGAACTGGTACGGCTCATGTCTATAGAAGCAGGAGCCAGTTAATTGCCGGCGCTGGAGTCTGCAGACATTACTATGCAATGAAATTTACGTGCCAGACGATCATGACTTTGGACGTGGTTTGTTCAAAGCAAGAAAAACAGGAGAATTGCAAGAGTGGCAAGGGGGCTGTGGCAGTGCAAGGGTCGCTGTGGCTCTTCCGATCTCTTTCGGCCATGATCTACGTCCGCTAACGTTAGGGTGGATCGCAAATCGTGCAGGATGATCGCTCACATAGTGCTGAGAGAGGTACTTTGATTCTCCCGGCGCGCAACGTAATGCGTCATTCATGGCAGACTAACTTAACTTGAATGTTGCCAGTTCGTATTGCTAAGGTAATCTTACTTCCTTGTTCTTGGGGAAATTAGTCCTAGTCAACAGAGTGATGTTCGTCCCTGTATCTTTTCTACGTAATATACGAATTGGAGGATGAGGCGGAGGCTAATGTAGGTTGACCTATAGTCTCGATTGCGGATCAGATCTCGGGGCAGATCTGATCCCTCGACGTCATCGAGACTGTCTCGGGCTCTATATAAATCCAGCCCGCTCGTAGAACTCTGAGCAACCCCCACTTGAACGCATCAACAAAGAACGCCAGGCTTCTGTTATATATCAATTATCAACATGACGAAAACTGCTTTGATCATCGGAGGCAACGGCAAAGTCAGCCGTGCTCTCACACCTCTTTTGACGGGAGCCACTCCAGCGTGGAAGGTTTACAGCCTTATTCGCAATCCAGATCAAAAATCCGCAGTTGAGGCCCTTGGTGCCGAGCCAATCGTGAAGTCTGTCGAGGATGCCAGCGTCGATGAACTTGCGGCAACTTTCCACAAGTGCTTGCCCGTGGACGTCGTAATCTGGTCAGCAGGTGCCGGAGGGGGAGACCGAAGCCGCACTGAATCTGTCGACCACCTTGGGGCTATCAAGGTCATGGATGCATGCGCAAAGGAACACATCAAACGATTCATCATCGTCTCGGCGTTAGACTTGCGGGACAGAAACCTCGATCCACCTTCGTGGTACAACGATGACGACCACCAGCAATCGGAGAAAGTGTGGTCTGCTATAGGACCATATATGCGTGCCAAATTCGCTGCAGACAAAGAACTTGTGACTGGCAATGATAAGAGAGGGCTGGATTACACCATAGTCCGTCCGGGTCATCTTACCGACGACGGTGCGAAGGGCACCATCAGTGCTGGACACGTACATCTAGGAACTCCAATCGCTCGCGCTGATGTAGCGCAGACAATACTTGAATGCATCAAAAACGATGGCACCATCGGCATGGCCTTTGATGTCGTAGGTGGTGAGATGGCTATCAAATTGGCAGTCGAACAAGTTGTTGCCAAAGGAGAGGACTGCTTCAAGGGATTCTATTAAGCGATCAACTGTTATTGTACATCCAATAATATAAAATGATTTGACGACCCATCAAGCTGAGGCTTGACACATGTTTCTTCATGACAAGACCCGCGTCTTAACATCGACCTTCTATTCTTGTTCCGCTGTTCTTCTCTTTATACATGAACGTATCAATTATCTTCTGTACGTGTGTTTTAAGTGTTTGAGTGGATGTTCCAAACACGAGTTATTGAGTCCTTACGACTTCTCGAATACGAATTGACTTTCCCTTTTGGCAAGGCCCATGGATTTGGTAGTGTCCAGACCGTGATTACTGGACTCACAAGAAGAGCCATTGCGCAAGAGTTGTAGTGGATCAAGCGAATGATATACCGAGTTGACATTATGCATGCTCACTCCCTGATGAAGGAGATGCATAGGGCCTCGTGGTGTCTTGCCTATGCATCTCCTTCATGTGTGGCTATAAGCGTCAGCACTCAATATAAACCTTGGCTTGTCAGTAAGCTATCGAGCCTACTTAGCAATCAAAGCATATCCTCTAGAACTGCGATCGTGTCCTTAAGATTAGGGTAAAGATATCCTGAGCGGTGGATCATGTGCGCGTCCGGCATGCGAGGCTGAAAAATCTGAACTCAAGGCAGGAACTGTTAGAAGTCCAGGTGAAATTCGTCCTACAATCCAATCTAACGACCGGCGTTTGAGAAAACTGGTCAACACACATTTATCTTTTGACCTATAAAGCCACTGAACATGGCCAACAGTGATAGGGACTAGTAAAACATCCTGAGCATGTTTAAGCACATTACCAGGGTGGCGTTCTGGAAAGTGGAAGTTAGAGATAGAAGAGACGCACAAAATGATGACGTGCCAAAACGGCAGTTTAATATCTTCATCTAGACTAGTTCTTCAACAGCATATCTGACACATCACGACATAAAAGCATACCCATCAGAATACTTTCGTTACGATGGGTGTGAGAATCTCGCTAAGCTCCTGGAATTCGACCCCGAAACCCCAAGCCTGACCGGCGTTCGTCAACTACCCAGTGGCCATAACGATGCAGCTCTTTTTTTCTTCCTTGAAGCAATTGGTCTATCAATATCTTTTGTAAGGCATGAGGTTATTCAGGGACGAAGTCACTTTGCTGTTTAATTATGGCGTCTACTGGGAGGAGCCGCCGGAGATGGTGATGATTTCACCTGCGCATAAAGTGTCAGCATTCCGCGTACATTGCGAGAATAGAGGATCAGATATAAACATATAACAACGTACCGTTCACCCACTCGCTATCTGGGGAAGCGAGGAAGGCCACAACTCGAGCGACATCCTCTGGCACAGCACAGCGGCCCATTGGGCAGTGTGAAGCCATCAGCCTTTCGATCTCCTCCTTGGGGAAGTCTGGCGTGGCACCTGGGATGTAGTGCCACGCGTTCTCTGCGAACATGTCGGACTTGATGCCACCCGGGGCAATACCGTTGCAAGTGATGCCTCTCTTGCCAAAGTCGGTTGCAAATGCCTTGACGAAGCCGCGCACGGCCATCTTCGATGCGTTGTACAAAGCGTGATCCTTGACGCCCATAAGACCGGCGGCGATGGAGGTCATGAGGATGATTCTGCCGTTGTCCTCCATGACCTTGTAGGCCTCCTGGCCGACGAAGAACTGGGCACGCGCATTCAGGTTGAAGACGTGGTCGTACTTCTCTTCGGTGATCTCCTCAGTCTTGTCCCACGACTCGGTGCCCGAGTTTGACATGACAATGTCGATTTTGCCAAAGGCCTTCTTGGCTTCAGCGAACAGGCGCCGGATCTCAGGCACTTTGGACACGTCGGCCTGGATTGCGACAGCTTTGGCGCCATTGCCGTAGCCCTCGATGAGCTTGCAGACCTCTTGTGCGGGGCCTTCGGACGAGACGTAGTTGACGACGACTGAGGCACCACGCTTGCCGAGCTCGAGACACACGCCTCGACCGATACCACGGCCACCACCGGTTACAAGGGCGACCTTACCCTCAAGGGAAGCACCTGGGACTGCGATAACCATTTTGCAGGGAAGCGGAGGGCGTTTGTGAAGATGAGTGGATTTTGACGAGGCTGCCGTGTGCACGCTGGCGACAAGTGGCAGCTATATAGTTATGGCGGTCAGCATACTCCACTCTTTTTTGGGCAAGCAACTGCAGAAGCGGGGTGTGGCATCTACTCACGCCAATTGAACTGGACGACTGGGCGAAGGGCAAAGCTTGGAGGGGTATCAAGTAGGGCAGATGACAGAGGAGAGAGAAGGGAAAGACGTATGGTCCCACGGCGGTACGCTCCAGTTATATACGTCTGTCTGCTGTACCTGAATCTTACACAGTTGCCAGTTCAGGCGGGCGATCCAGGTGGGGATCCGTATTCGAGACTGGCGCGGTAGTTCCTGAGCAAAATTCGCCGGCCTGGCGCTTGTGTGGCCGCCGTACTATACTGTGTCACCCCGGTAGCGCTGAGCGACAGTGTATCAGGGCCCATAATTAGAATGGGAGGATTATCGTCATTGGCGGGGCCATATTTGGGCGCTGTGCTGGACGCCTCCAGAAATTTGCCCAGAGACACGGCCAAAGTTTGTGGGCTTGGGGCTGGACATGGTTGGCAAGGAAACCAATGCACGGCCGAGGGGGTGAGCCTGGGCCGCCGCCGCCGCCGCCGCCGCAGGGTGCGGAGCATCGTTGGAAGGCTGAAGCCAACCGGCCTGCTCGTTCTCTCCGACTGCGTCTTCCACTCCCTTCGTCACTACTGCACTGCTCTGTTGGACTGTACTTCTGGCCCTCCTGCCACGATGACAGCGCCGCCGCCGCCGCCGTCGACAACAACAACAACAACAACAGCACAAGCATCATCGTTCGCGTCATCTCTTTCCCACCCTTCCCTGCACACAAGCCTTTCCCTAATCAGCATCTCTGTAGGCCAGCACAGCAACTTACACCTCCCCATACAGCGGACGAGCCCTGCAAGCACCAATACCCATCCGTGCTCCGGTCCATCGCCTCCTTTCGTGCCAGATGATTCACGGCTGTTTGATTGCTGGAAGAAGCACAAACGATCATAGTTTCGTACGCTGGAACTGTTCTGTAGACCTGACACGTTGTCAACAAGATTCCATTTCCGTGCATCCATTCCCGGCCGGTGAGCCTGGCTGCCGCACAGTCGTTATCAGTCGTCTGAAAATAGATCTGCCCTTGGCGGCCGCCACCACAACAGGTACGCAACTCCTTGCATCGTCGTTGAAGGTGCGGGCTACTGCAGCCACTTAAGCAGGACGGCGCAGACAGCTAAGCGTGGCCTGCTCTCTCCTCATCATCACAATCGTTGTTGTTGTTTTACTTCTTGCTATTATTGCTATTACTGTGGTACTATTATCATCATCCTTATCACAGTTACTTTGGCCCAAGTACTACTGCCGGGCACAGCAGGGGGACACTCCACTTCTGCAAGGACGATGTAAAATGTGGTGCACACTGGAGCTCAACAAGCACGACAAGTGCCACAGCCACGTCGGAGGCGGAGCGCGGAATGTCGCCGAAGATCGGAGGGAGCCTGAGATTTCAAAGCTCCCCAGAGCACGTCACGTGAAGTTGCTCCAGCTTCGGTACCTGGATCATCGTCATGCTCATGCATAATGGTTCAAGATTTTGTCGCCCCGTCATTGGCACCAATGCATGCCGGCACAGGCAAAGTGTGATTCCTCAGTTGATTTGAATTTTTTTTCCTTCCCACTGAGGCCAGCAGCGGACAGTCACGACTAGTCCTTGTGATTTTGTAGCCCGAGCACCAGCCTTTTCTCTTCGAATCTCCTCTTCTTGACTTCCGTTTCTGTCACTGTAGGCCGCGTGGTTCGGTAATACCTTGACCGACGTCTTAAGATTTCGCGATGCACATTCTAGTGACAAACGACGACGGACCGCCCTCGTCCAAGTCTTCACCATACGTCCTCAGCTTCGTGCGCGCGTTGCAGGCGAATGGCCACACCGTCTCTGTCTGCCTTCCAAACACCCAGCGCTCGTGGATCGGCAAAGCACACATTGTGGGGCAGTCGATAAGACCATCGTACTACCGACCTCCTCCTCCATCCACCGAAAATACATTGAACTGCGATGACGGACACATATCGGATAAACCCCTGCCCGCCTCGAGTCAGGAGGAGGAATGGATCCTGGTGGATAGCACACCGGCGAGCTGTATACAGATCGGCCTGTTTCACTATTTTAAGGAGCGCGGGCCGGTTGACCTCGTAGTGTCCGGCCCGAACTATGGGCGAAACACCACAGCTGTGTTTGCGCTGTCGTCGGGAACGTTGGGTGGTGCGCTAGAGGCGGCCGTGTGCGGAAAGCGGGCGATAGCGCTCTCATACGCCTTCTTTGATCGCAATCACGACCCCAAAATCATCGCCGGCGCCTGCAAAGCGTCCATCAGGGTGATTGAGGCGCTGTACAAACAGTGGGACGACCGAGTTGGCGTATATACCGTCAACGTACCTCTGCTGGAAAACGCCGAAAAGCGGGAGGTCGTATGGACACACATGCTGCAGAACGCATGGACGAGCGGCTCCTGTTTTACAGAAGTGGAAGTCTCCTCTGAAGAGGACAAAGACGCGAATGAGACCGAGCAAGAGATACGTCGGTCCGAGTCGATGAGCTCGGAGCGGCCAGCTGCCATGATGAAGGCGTTGCAGGAGGGATCAGATCAAGGCAAGCATCTGAGGTACACGCATAAGCATTTCAAGTGGACGCCAAAGTTCAAGGACGTGTATGACTCCGTGGAAAAAGCTGGCCCGGGCAATGATGGCTGGGCAGTAAAGGAGGGTCAGATCAGCGTAACTCCTTTGCAAGCAAACTTCATGCATGTCCCTGGCTACAGCGGCACCTTCACCATATGATTAACCGGTTGAAAAATGCAAATATGATGCATTGGGATATCAGCACATAAGCTTAGTTCGAGAAACATTTAGCGGCATGAGGAAAAGTAGATTTTAGACGCATCACGAGAACGGTTATGCTAATGACATAGTTTGGGATGTTGCTTCTCTTCTGCTCACCACACTAAGTCTTGGCAGGTTTGGGCTAAACATTTACAGTTCGTTTACACTTTAAAAAGCTCGTATGGCCGAAGCTCTGAATGTCGCTCTGCAGCAGTCAACGATCCTTAACGCAATGCGCGCGCAGGCCTAGTCTTTATTAAGCACTCCGTTCCTCGTTCAATCTGCAATCAAGTGACAATGGGACTTCCTCATACAAACATTCACACTGTGGCCTATGTGTCCACGATGTGCTGCGCGTTGTCCATGAAATGCGCATCACGCTCGTGCCTTACGATCTTGACATCGCTCCAAAACCCATCGTTGAATCAATATTTGCTACGTCGAGGAGAAGAGGGGAGGATGGTGTCAGGCTTCGACAATGCAAGCATTGATCGACATACAGTAGTAGCATTGAGTTGACAGAGTAGAGGAGGGAAAGGAGTCTGTATGTTCCTACAACCGAACGACCTAAAGAAGAACGGAAGAGTCACGCGAGAGGTGCGTGGTCAAACACGATATTGCGGTTCTCGTTCGTCGTATCAGTTGTTTGACGCTCGACATGCCCCAGTCGCCGATGTAGCCTTTTCCGGGGGGACTTTCTTTATTTGTGGCACGTCGTCAGGTGGATAGGAAAAACTAGGGCCCTTCGTCTGATTTTGCAATGGAAACACTTTCAATTGAAATCGCCAGCATTCGCGCTATGTGCTTCACATTGGGTCATAAGCGCTTGCTCATCCTGGGAGGTTTTCGACAAAACTATCGTGCTTGCTCATTGAGAGTATGCCTTGCAGAACTGCTGCGCATGGAAAACTTGTGAGTCTCTCAGTCTTCTCGTCCCGTGATGCCCCTGGCCATCGGAGCTGCTGTCCCGGTGCTCGTACCCGGCTTTTCAGGGACGTACTGAGGACCTCCGTCTTGCACGTAAAAATCGACCTCATCGATGATGTCCCATACAATGTCTTCCGCAATCTGCTCACGCCACCTCTCGCCTATGCCTCTGACCCTCCTTTTCCGCGCCACTTCGTCTTGGACCTCTTCGTTTGTCCCTCCCATCGCTACATCCCCTTCTCGTCCGGCGGAGGTACCGTCTGAAGCACTTCCGAGTCCGAGATCCACAGGCGGGAACCAAAAATCAGGACCAAAGTTGACTTGCGCAATCCCCCCACAAAACGCAGCGACAGCTGGATAGTAGCCCAAACTTCCGTCATCAAAGCCACTCCTCGCGCCTTGTCCCTGTCCTACGGGAACGGTTGACGCTGGCGGTAAGAACGCGAGCAACTTCTCAAACGCAGTTCCTATCAACTGACCGTTCTTGTACACTCTGATCTCACTTCCGGGTAAACTTCGAAGCTGCACATCTTCGTGGTTCGGATGCGGTGTGACTTTATTGTACGGACCCCTATCAGAGTAGCCTTCCATAGGTTTTGTAGCTTGATACTCGAACTGCTCGAAGTAAACGTTTCCTCTAAAGGGAACAGGAATGCGATCACGAATGATATCATCGGCGCCAGAGGGTGGTTCATCGAAGCCATCGGAGACATCGACAGCAGGGTTGTAGATGCCCTCTACAACTTTTCTGTGGAGCGCGAGGGAGGGAAGCTTGATGAGGAGGCCGATAACGTCGCCCGTCCGTACGTGGTCGTTCTCGTGCACTGGCGGAGGGTTTGCGGTCTTCGATTTGGGTTTTGACTTTGACTTCGGTTGAGGAAGCATTATTTTACCGGCGCGAGAGCGATGCATGGTTTCAAAGCGTATGTCCGTAATGCCATAGCTATAGCCGTCGAAGCCGACGGGCGCATCAAGGGGCGCTTCCCTTCGTGCCCAACCCATCCGTATGTGTGGCTGGGGTGTTTTCTCTTGTCCCGTTGGTATAACAGGGCCTTCTGCTGGAACGCCGTTCAAGATCTTAACTTCATAATATAAACTACCTTCCCGCGCGAAAACATTTGCACGCGACATTCGCCAACCCTTCTCGTTCGTGATGATCGTCGCCGTGGAATCGAAGTGAAACCAGCGATCTGTATCCTCAATGCTCATTCTTGGACCATACGGCCGCTGCTCTGTTGAGCGGTAGTACTGCTTGTGGTGGAAAAGAGGGTCTGCGACGCAGGGCGAGTATCGATATGCCCTCTTGTTCTCCGCGTGGTCGTATGCTCTGCGCAGCTCCGTCTTTCCGTCTGGAGTGAACAAAGGCATAGGCTCATGGCTGACAAAAACAGTATCGCGCGGTGGATCGTAGTCACTCAGCTTGGGCTCGGGAATGCTGTAGCGCATGGGCGATGGCACTGAAAGGCCTTTCTGCTTCTTGCTTGCGGATTTGCCATCTGGAGTGCCACTTCGCCCAGCCGTTGCCTCACGCTTCTTTAGTGTGTCTTTCTTCTCTCGCTGCTCACGCTGGATAGGCTTTGGCACTGGCTTAGCAGACGCTGCTGGATTGAGCGGTGACGGCACAGAGGGTGCGTGGCTAGAGTCTACATGGGACGTCGGGACTGCTGAAGGCGTATTGCCGCGATTTGGCGACAGTGATTCGGACATTATAGGGATCTTCTTGATCGCATAAGCTTCGCAGATGAGATGGTTCAAATTCCGTGTGATTGGGCCCAAAGGTTGCGTCGTGCTGAGCTCTTGGAATTTTCCGTCTCCTCAACGCGTCTATGTCGCGCGAGATTCAATGCAAGAAGTGGAAGAGGAGTTCGATCGGCGTTTGGTTAGTCCAAACTCCGATCAAAAATCGACCCTCTAAAAAAAAAAGTTCACCCCACACATTGATCGCATAACAATTTGCGAAAGCAAACCACTTTTACACTTACCACGTAATCAGTATGCCAAAAGTTCCTCGGCCTGCGCAACCTGACGCGCGCCATAATCCGCTTGCTGAAGATTATTCTCCCGTTCAAAAGTTCAAGCAAAAGGCTCCTAAGAAGCGCAACCGACGAGACGAGAATGGAGAGAGCGAAGTCATTGGCACAAAAGCTTCACGTAAAATACTGCGCATAGGTCAGGAGCTCGCGGACGAAGATGAAGAGGAGCGCAAAAGCAGATACGTAACCTCGAGCAATCCAGCATTTTCATTCGACTCGAGGTTTGAAGGGGACGTGCAGAGCGAGGACGAGGATGATCAAGCGCAATGGGAAGATGAAGAACCATTTGGAGACGATCTTGACCAGATGATAGAAGAAGAAGTGGATGTAAAGGATCTAGAAGCATTTAATCGTTTCAATCCACCGACACTTGACGACTCGATAATACGTGGCTTGGGAGGAGACAATGACGGAACTTCAGCAAAAGAGGGAAATATTCAGGGCGCAGGAGGCAGCAGAAATCTGGCAGATATAATTCTCGCCAAGATTGAAGAATTCGAAGCAAACGGAGGCAAACCCTCGGCCGATCTTGACGGGCCTGCTTTTATGGAAGACGACGAAGTAGAACTGCCGCCAATGGCTGTCGATGTGTACACTCAAGTCGGCCTCATCCTCTCGCGCTATAAGTCAGGCAAGCTTCCTAAGCCTTTCAAGCTCCTTCCCTCTCTTCCGCCTTCGATGCTGGCCCATATCATTCCTCTGACACGGCCCGAGACCTGGACGCCCAATGCTATATATCAGGCCACGCGCCTCTTTGTGTCCTCGAAATCTGCCGTCTCACAGGGCTTTCTTGGCGGTGTTCTTCTTGACCGTGTACGCGACGATATAAATGAGAACAAGAAGCTGAACGTTCATCTGTACAATGCGCTGAAAAAGGCGTTGTACAAGCCGAAGGAGTTCTTCCGGGGTTTCCTGTTCCCGCTCGTTGAGGATAATTGCACATTGAGAGAAGCACACATCGTGGCTTCGGTGCTGGCGCGTGTGTCAGTGCCAGTCCTGCACTCGGCATATGCCCTTGCGCGCCTGTGCGAAATAGCGGCCGAGCAGATGACGGTACACACAGAAGCTGGCGGTGCTACAAATATATTTATAAAAACGCTCCTCGAGAAGCGATACGCTCTGCCGTATCAGACCGTGGACGCCTTGGTTTTCCATTTTCTGCGCTTCAAGATGCCAGCTCCAGGTCAAATGGACGTGAGCGATACAAGCAGCATTGAAGGCAGGCTACCGGTAATATGGCATCAGTGCCTGCTGGCTTTCGCACAGAGATACAGGGACGAAATCACAGAAGACCAGAGAGAAGCATTGCTTGATTTGCTTCTTGTGAGGGGTCATAAGGACATTGGGCCGGAAGTGAGAAGAGAGCTAATCAAGGGAAGAGGCAGAGGCGTTGTCCTTGAACAGCAGGACAACAGCAAAGCGGATGTAAATGGAGGAGACGATACCATGATGGATTAAAGGATACGGATAGACTGAATAGAGCGAGGATCGATGATAACCTTTTTCACCCTCGCATGGGGCTTGACGTCGACAATTCTATTGCTATTTCAGTGCTAATGCCTGACAACGTGTAGGAAATGTTCCGCCAACGCCACGCTAAAATGATAATGCCAGAAACAATCCACTGGAAAAAAAATACTATCCCGGAAACCTTACTTTCGTCATCACCCTCCAGAGGATTATCGAGATCTTTATGCTGATTGATCACCGTTTTCGGAAATTGTGTTCAGAGACATTGATAGTGGATTCAAGACTGTTCGAGACCTGTTGTGTTGACCTCCCAGTCATTCAATACCCAGTCCTGCGTGAACGCCATGTCGCCAAATAGATCCGGCGCGAAGACGTCGGTCCCACTTAACGTGAGGAAAGCGCCTGGTTCGTTACTATCAAACGCTGGCGTTGAGACTACAGATACGATTTAGTCGGCAAGAAATGCTCGAATGCGACGGGCCTTTTCGTAGAAAGGACGTACGTGGTGGTGGGACACTCTTCTTCGCATATGCGCCGCTTTGGCCCGTGAACTCTTCACGAACCCACCACATGGTGTCATACAGAACGCTGCTGCTAAACCGGCTGCGTACTCTCAAGTCGAGGTTCCAGCTACCGTCGCTATGCCTGAACGCACTATTGCTCCTCCATAAGTTCTGCAAACCCCACGAACTCTTCGCTGGTTTGTCTCCTTCGACCACAGAAATGTTTCTTTGGATATTGATGGAGGAAAAGAGTAGGGCCTGGGCTGTGGAATAATAATCACCGATCGATTCCGCGAAGGGCGTTTTCAAGCAACGCAAGATGACGCATGCAGCAAGGAGGACACCGTGGTAAACGTAGAAGGTGCCGTAAAGATCAATTTGCATCGACTTCACTAAGTCGTTGAACTGATGGACAAGTGCGCATGCAGAGTCAAATGCGGGACGCCAACTCTCCAGGTGCTTGTCAGCTGGAGTTTTGAAGAATTGGAACGCGTGCAACATGAGCTCAGATATCTTCAAGTATAGAAGCTCCAGTGCCGACAGTTTCGCAGACTGCCGCGACTCGCAAAGTGCAAGCTCTGCGAGATAATTTTGTAGTAGACTGTCGAAGGAAGAGCATTGAACTTGGCTTGAGATGACAAGGCCGTTCTTTGCAACGGCCATAGAAGCACGTACGAGGATGTCGGAGACGTCCATTTGGAAACGCAGAGGTAAAGGCAGTGCCGCCATGTATTGTTGTGAATTTTGAGAGAAAGGTGTCATTATCTGACCAAAAGAATTCCCCATACAGCATGATGATCTGAAGACTTGATCAGTTCCCCATTCGCCAAAGCGTGGCACAGTGTTGAAACTTACCGCTGATACAGTACAAGGCAGTGAGCATAAAGTTGGAACCTTCGCTTGCATTCGGCTTCTGAAAGTGACAGTTTAATGCGCGAGTAGTCTTGGGTTGCTTCAGGATTGTTCATCCCAATCCTCATTGCCGCGTGCAACAAAGCGGAGGAAAACACATACGGCATCTCATCATATGTCTGTGTCTCAGGAAAGCTCCAACTGAGCAATAGCAGAATCGCGGTGATCGTACTCGTTCCCGTTGTTGGCGAGAAAATTGATGTCATTGCGTGAGTTAACGCTCGTGATCTCAACGCGGGCATAAGGCCAGGATCCTTTGGCCACCGTCGCGAAGCAACAGCCAGTATAGACCAGAAGAGAAAGGACGATTGCGCGTAGATATCATTTGGTCTCAGAGAAGAATCGATCAACGGTAGAAAAGGATGGTAGCATCGAAAGTATTTGCTGAATAAGTTGTCAATCACATCTGCGTCAAGCTGAAGGCCGTCGACGCTCCGGGCCAATGTTTGTGCTGAAGACTGATAGGTGTATTGTGGATGTAGATGTGGTGGATGTGGTGGTGGCGGCATCACGTCTGTCCCAGAGCTGGTTAATCTAGGCTCCTGATCAGATCTTATGATTGCCACAGAAGGATGGGCAATCGGAGTGTCGGTAAAGGTGATACCAGAGCTTTTTTGCGACCGACTCGATCGTGAATGAATGGAATCGCCAGCAGCCAGCGGACTGGGAGCGGGCAGAGCGGATAACGCTGACCGTGCAGCAATAGATGTCCGAAGGTTGTCGTCGCCAGTCAACTTCGCCACTAGCATTCGTTTTGGCGCACGCGCGAGAGCCTCCTTGTCGCGTTGTCGTCGTCCTCTAACATGTCTTGGTTCGTATGCACATGTGAGGCTCATTCGCGCGCATCGTTCGCAAGGCGTGACTAAGTCATCGTTCGTCCGGCACTTGATTTTCTGCTGTCTGCAATTCGAACAAGCCGTCTTTAATCGGTGGCCAGAGCTCTCTCCTGCTTGGAGCCGTAGCGGAACCGGAGCATGCTGATGTCGGTTTGGTGGCGTGGATCTCGGGAGTGCTCCATTGTGACGACCCCGATCCATAGTTTAGACCACTGTTTAGCTTGAAGTGCAAGACATGTGTTAGCAATAATGTTAGATGAAATGAGCGAAGAAAAACTTCCAGCCTTTGACTTTGCAGAGGCACCTCGTTCGAAAGACGGATCTAGGTGGTCTTTTATGAATAATTAGTGGGGCCTCTCGAGGATGGACGAGCATATACGTCGTTGAGTCTCTTGCCGGAGCAAATGGATTTACCCTAACCTGGTACGAGGCTCTGCTTGGCGTCCACTTCATAGTGCATGCCGATCAGCTTATCTTTGCACGTATGCGAGCGTCGCTATTTTCAAGTCGACGACATGGCAACGTTAAGGATCAATGTGATCCTGAGTAGCATTGTGTTACATCTGCTCTTCCTCAGCGGAAGATATTATCTGCCACAACGTATTATGTGACATCACTGGGTCGAATTCAACTTTCTACATCACACTCTTGTGAGATCCTCAGGTCTCGAACGCTACGTGTGAGCCTTCTTTACCTATCTGTGGTAGCTCACATATCCGACCCTCAACTTTCCCTCTTCATGTAGTCACTCATTCCGGCGTCATCACAAATGCGGAGCGGTCCAAGGGGATGTAGGTACAATTTAATTGGAAATGAACACTTTACCGCCATTAACATGACATTTTGCACCAACACGCTTCGTATTTTTTTAACCCGACAACTTGAACATTCGTCTTAGAACCTCGTGAAGGGCAGCCACTTTCCTCTCCAGGTTATCTTGACCCAATCGCCCTTCTCATCCGTCTCCTTCTCCACGTGGGTGGTGAACGAGATAGCGCTCATGATACCGTCGCCAAACTTCTCGTTCAGGACGGCCTTGTACGCGTAGCCGTAGTTTTGCACAATCTCGTACAGCCTATAGATTAGGGGGTCCTTGGGTGGCATATCCAGCGTCCGGCCGCGATCTGGCCATTGGTATAGTTGCTGCGAGAGCAGTCCGTGATCGATGTCCAGTAGCTTCGAAAGTCTCTCAATGTCTTGCGCATTGGCCTGTGCCTGTCCGTAGAAGAGAGCTGCGACAGCCACTTCGTCTCGGCCAAGTTCCTTGGCTATAGCCTCAAACGAGAGATTCTTTTTCTTTTTGCCCTCGAAGAGAGTTGCGGACGACGCAGGGAGGCGGTCAACTAGCGAGGCATCGAGGGTTGCAATTGGATGATCTTGGGTTCCAAGCTTAGAAGCCGACATCCTGCCGATGACGTACCTCAATGGACAAGCACACTGCACTTCAGTAGCGATACGGGAGGCAGTGGTGATGGCAAGGGATGCACGGTACTGGGTCTGCGAATGGGTTGAGGAGGAAGAGGACGAGGAGGCGGTGGTGATGTTGGCAGTGGCAGCAAGGTCTCCACACGATGAGATAGTCGGAGGGACACAAGGCGTATTTATGGACGAAGCTCCCCCGGCATCTAGGCAGTTGAATCTTGTAATAATTACAACGCTATCTCATTACTGGGCCCAGTCCGCGGGCTGAAGGAACGTCACCTGCAGATTGAAGTGGAGGGGCAAGCTCCGGGAACTGGAGCCCGCTCCTGGCAATTATACGCCGAGCAAAGACCGGCCGACGGTCGGGTGAAGTCCCGCCGCATGAAAAGTGTAGATCCGTAGCGTCCGAGACGTGGTCGATGCAACGAGCATTCAAATTCTGGAAGCGCGCATCTAAACCGCAAGCCGCATGGTTTGCGGGCCCCTGGCAAGGGAGCCGAAGTCAGGAAGTGTCGTAGTTCTATGGCGGCCGGCGAGGCTGAGGCGAGCATGAAACGTCATGCCAAGTCTGCGCGGGGCAGACTCGTGCGACGCGTACTTGCAAAGCTAAGCCCCCACCTTTCATTCAGGCTTCGAGCAATCCATTGACATTGTGCGTCCTTTCAAAGGCATTGTACTATGGCAGACGACGATCTGGCGTACGGCGAATACCATGGACAGGGCGGAGAGACGAGTGAGCGCGGCTTTCTGGGAGATGCATTTCGCAAATTCACCTCAGGACGACGACCCGGCAACGACCAGCAGCCGGCCTCTTCTGTGCGTAGACCCCTCGAGCCTGCAAATTCTCTGTGTTTTAGCAGCAGATTCTCATCCTTTTCGATCTGTTGGAGTTGTCCAGCAGTTCGAACTTCCCATCGCTCGCTCGGACTTGCTGAAACTGACGTGCTGCGCTCTCTTCCCTTTCCCCCAAAATTAGTTGACGAGCGATCAGGCCGCTAATCAACCTTTCAGAACGTAACACAAACGTACCAACCGCATCTATCTGGACAGCCTCAAGGCATCGGATCCTCTCCAAATCCCCTGCAAGGCTCCGGAAGTGGCATGTCGCTGTTCGACAAGCTGCAACAAGGGGTGCACAAGCTAGGCTACGACCTCAAAACCAAAATAGCGATGAGCGAAATCCACTCCCACACCCATGATGGAGGTCAATGCCACCCAGGTGCTCATGAACTGCACAAAAAGAACAGGTACATGAGTTTTGCCCCGCAAAGACCCAGCGGAAATCATGTCAAGTGGTACGTCGACGGCTGTAGTTACATGTGGGCCGTCAGCAAGGCATTGGAGTCAGCAAGAGAGAGCATATGGATACTGGATTGGTGGCTAAGCCCTGAGCTGTATCTTCGGAGACCGCCTGCGAAGAACGAGCAGTACCGGATCGACAACATGCTAAAGGCCGCCGCCGAGCGAGGAGTGAAAGTGAACATTATCGTATACAAAGGTAATATGCAGCAGTTGATAGAAGATTGCAAGGTCCGGTTTTGGCGTCTTAAAAACTTGGCTAACCGCATATTCAGAGGTTACTCAGGCCTTGACGCGTAAGTACCTAAACCCATCCGTACCTGACTACCTGCACTCGATGCTCCCAGCGTCTGTCGACCTAGTGACAAAGACAATGACAAAACTTGGGCTATGGGCCATCTTCTCATCTCTAGAACGGCTTGAACAGGACTCCCCGCTAATTGAGCCTCCTATTTCAGTCTCCTCGGCGCATACGAAGCATCACCTGGAAGGACTGCATCCCAACATTTGCGTGTTCCGTCATCCTGATCACTTGCCGGATAAGCAAAATATGGTATGTATGAAGTGGAAATTCAGCATGATTTATCTAAAACGGTAAAGCAATTTGTCTTTCGGTGCTGAATTGACGAACAGGCTCAAGACTTCGTTCAAGGTCTGCAGAATCTCAAGTTGAGTGCATCTTCGCTAGCTTCGATGCCTGGAAATGCGCTCAGTGCTCTTTATGGTTCCACTGAAGACTCCGTACTCTATTGGGCTCATCACGAGAAATTATGTCTGGTCGACGGTACGATGGCCTTCATGGGTGGTCTTGATCTTTGCTATGGTCGATGGGTACGTCTCAAGTTCCTCGTCCTCAATTGGACTTACAAGGATACTTATATCTAGTAGGACACAAATCAGCACTCAATCGCAGACGTTCATCCTGGAGATCTGAACCGCATCGTATTTCCTGGTCAAGACTATAACAATTCCCGGATCATGGACTTTCAGGATGTCGTAAGTGAATCACTGTCTACTTTATCAATAACGACCATGATTTAAGAGTTCTTCATTGCATTTAATTCCACCTTACCAATCAAACCTGTGTCTGCTCTGCTGATCTGTGCTTTAGGTTCACTGGCAAAATAACAAGCTTGACCGAACTAAGAACTCCCGTATGGGTTGGACAGACTTGAGTATCTGTACGTATTCGACAAATCACCACGTCAATTTTTTTGTCGAAGTGAATTGCCGAATCATAGCACCCGTCCATTAAAGCCGTATTATGCTAACCAGTTATAGGCATATCTGGACCAGTCGTTCATGACCTTCGAGAGCACTTTGCACAAAGATGGAACTTGATATACGAGGAAAAATACCGTGTCCGAAAGGACACAAGGTATTCTTTGTTAAGCGTTTCTTCAGCTCCAGGAGTTGTCCATCCTCCTCAACAGATTCCAAGCTATCAACAAGAAGTCCCTCAATTCGCACCACCTCCGACTCAAGTGGCACGAAGCTTTGAAGGTGAAGATGAAGACAGCCGTGGGCTTTATGACGATGACGGTGGCGAGAACGACCGCGGCTTATTCAGCGGACGGGAGGGCGGTCTCCGCACCAAAATGAAACATCGTATCGAACAAGAGTACAAAGAATTTGAAGAAAGCAAATACGGTCAGCAAATGCATCAGTATGCAGGCCGTTATGGATTGCATACTCATCGGCCAACACCACCTGGGGGCTCACATGTCGGTGCTGGCTCTGATTTCTCTGTTCAGCTGACGAGAAGCTGTGCGAAATGGAGCCATGGTGTCCCAATTGAGGTGTGTCTATCAGCTTTGAAAATTTTGCTTGCGCTAATGGAGAGATGGTTAGCATTCGATCGCGAACGCGTACATTGAAGTTATCAAAAACAGCGAGCATTTTGTATATATTGAAAACCAGTTTTTTATCACTGCTACGACCGACAGGCAGCGGCCCGTTAGAAACAAGATTGGTGCCGCCATCGTCGAACGGATTATTCGAGCTGCACGAAATGGCCAGAACTGGAAGATGATCGTAATCATGCCAGCCATTCCTGCGTTTGCTGGAGACCTTCGCCATGACGACGCGCTCTCGACGCGAGCCATAATGGAATTCCAGTACAACTCGATAAATCGTGGCGGTGATAGTATTTACGAAACCGTTGCTCGTGCTGGCTACAACCCAATGGACTATATTCGATTCTATAACCTACGCAACTACGATCGCATAAACACTTCTGCCACCATGGCAAAGGTAGAGCAAACCAGCGGCGTCAAATACGAAGATGCACGAAAACAATTTGACGCAACTTATGGTGGTGGCTTCCGGGATGATGGGGCATCTCAAAGTCGTGGGTTACACGATATTCAGACTCGAGAACCATATCCTGGCCAACAACAGTATACCGCTGTACAATCTACGTATGGACAACTGCCCACGCAACATCAATATCAAGCTTACCACCCATCTGGTGGGGCTGCACCACCACCGTTGCAGCAGGAATACCCTGCTGAGCTACCCGGGTCGGAGTATCAAGTTCCTCCGCCTCCATCCGGCCCGACACCACCACAACAGCAGCAAGAAGGATATGGGGATCGGCCGCAATACCAAGGGCAAAATCCTCTTGGTCAGTACCAGCAAGCTGCACAGACCGTCACTGGACCTTGGAGCAGTGGCCGGTGGGATTCCGTCGCCGAATGCTATATGCTCAATGGCGAGGACATTCGTAACGTTCCATGGGAGGGTCCTCCAGAGGCAGAGATTGATGCGTTTGTCACGGAAGAGCTCTATATTCACTCTAAGCTTTTGATCGCCGATGACCGGATCGTGATCTGTGGTTCTGCCAACCTCAATGACCGTTCTCAACTTGGTGACCATGATTCAGAGATTGCAGTTGTGATTGAAGATCACAATATGATTGATTCTACAATGGACGGACGGCCATGGAAGGCATCCCGATTTGCAGCAACGCTCCGCAGGCAGCTGTTCAAGAAGCATCTTGGATTGCTACCACCCCAGGACTACGAAAAGGAAGAGCCGAATTACTTGCCAGTTGGCATTCCGAATGAGTACCAGTAAGTTCATTCGTGCAGGCATTTCATACCCTTCAACCTAAGTTCTGTGACAATATCTATGCGCGCCCTAAATTCAACGCTAATATAAAATAGATTCGGCACAGAAGAAGATCGCGTTGTTGCAGATCCATTAGATCAAAGCTTCCTGGATTTATGGAATACCCGCGCAAGAATCAACACAGAGGTGTTCGGCAAGGTGTTCCATCCAGTACCTCATGACAGTGTTCTTACCTGGAAAGACTATGACGAATGGTACGAGAAGCACTTCCGTGAGGCAGATCCAAAGGACAAGAACAAGGCCAAGCCAGTGGGCAAATACACAGTAGGCCACGTGGTAGCAGAAGAGTTTCCCGGCGGCGTTAGCCAAGTAAAAGAAGAGCTAAGCAAGATTAGGGGCACTCTAGTCGAAATGCCTCTGCTATTTCTCAAAGGTGAGGACATTGCCCAGGAGGGTCTAGAGTTTAATGCCTTTACGGAAGAAGTGTACACTTAATTGAGGAGGATCCAGAAGGAGTGTCAGCGCATAGTTAAGCAGTGGTACGATGTCTGAGAATGCAAACAACATGAGCTTTTGTTTTCCAGCATGCGATAATCGGGAACGCTACCTAATCATTCCCATGCATCATACAATGAAGCGGCTGACGCTTAAACAATTTCTCCTGTCAAAAAAACGTTACTGAAATATTAAACGTATTGCTAAATGAAACCAAGCCTGTCCTCGGAGCAGTTGAAATTGTACGATGTAGACGCTGTAGTCAATGACGCTTCTCTGCGGCGACCGTAACTACATCGGCCAAGGTTGAGAACCGCAGCCTCGCGGGGCGAGGCGTGGGCGGCTCAAAAGCTGTTAGCTAGAACCTCGTCACCGCCCGCGTGCAATCAGTAAAGTGGTGCGTGAGATGAGTTCTGAAAGCAATCGTAAGCCAACGGGACGGAGACAAACTTCTTCTTGACGCGATCCCAGGCAAAGTCATCGCTCGTCCTCGTCCTCGTCCTCGTTCTCGTCATCCTCCGGAAGACCCCAGGCGAGGTCGGCTGAGAACGACGTGCGGAACGATAAGTCCCCCAAACGTTCCACTTTCAACCCCGCAAAGACGCTGCACGTCTTTTTGTTTTGACTTTTATCTCTCTTCCTCTCTCTCTCTCTCTTTTTTTTTTAATTTTTTTTTATAATGTTTTTGAAAAGATCTTCCAACCCGCGCGAGTCGAGGGCTGGTGATGAGATTGCCCGAGTCGGTGTTCGTGTCGTCTCCACGAGCTCTCGCAAACGGTGGGCTGGCCATTTATGTGGGAAAGAGCGCGACGATGACGAGCTCTGCCGGTGCGGTCAAGCGAGTTGCGATCCTTTACCAGGCCCTGGATCCACCACTGATCAATGGCGTTCGCAAGCCTAAAAAACCGAGTGGTATGCGTTGAGAGCTTGCAAGACACCGGCTCTTTCTTGCCTTTCTTTCTTTCATTCATTTTTCCCCCTTTACGTTTTTTTCAAATTGTGTGTGTGTTTTTTTTTTTTCTCTTTCTCCGTGGCTGACGAAGCCCATGCAGGGTACAAGGACTCTGGCGCGGACATAGCGTACGTGTTCAAGCACGGCGGCGAAGTCGAGGTGGTGACGCCAAGCGCATCGCCGGACCCTGCCAGCGACGAGGACTGGTGCTTTCCCGACACCGAGGCCGGCATCGCGGACGCCGTCGGCAGGCGCGCGACCCATCTGTGGGCGAACACGATCGTATTTGCGCAGCATCCCTTGCAGACGTCGCCGGGGCTCGAGGCCGTCGCCGACGAGCTCCGCGTCGTCGGCCAGCCGCCCAGACTGGTGGACCTGTACGACGACAAGGACGTCGTCAACGAGATGTTGCGGTCCAAGGGCTTCGGCCTGCCGCGCGCGCAGCTTGTTCGGGACCCGGCCGAGCTCGAGCAGGCGGCGATGCTGACGCACCTGGCTCGGGGGCCGCTGGTCGCGAAGCCGGCGAGCTGTTCGCGCAGAGGTCCTCCGTTATCCTCGAGGAGTACCTCGCCGGCCAGGAGGCCACCGTGACGGTCATGCCGCCGACGGGCCCGCGGGGCCAGTACAGGGCGCTGCCCGTCGTCGAGCGCGTCAACCACGTGGACGGCATCGCGCCGTACAACGGCGTCGTGGCCGTCACACGGAACTCGCGCGTGGTGCCCGAGGACTCGGCCGCGTATCGCGACGACGCCAGCTACGCGGCGGTCCAGCGCGAGTGCGAGCGCGTCGCGGAGCTCCTCCACGCCACGGCGCCGATTCGGATCGACGTTCGCCGCGCCGAGCATGATCCCTCCTCGCCATTCATGTTGTTCGATGTGAATATGAAGCCGGCCCGTACAGCTTAGCCCCCTTCCCTTGCTCCATAGCGCGACGTTTTGAGAGCGCGCGCGCACGCCCGCGGGGCCGGAATGCTGACGACGCATCCAGAACATGACAGGACCTGGAAGGCCAGGCCGCGAGGACCAGGCAAGTCTAACGGCGCTTGCGGCCGAGGGCTTGGGCTGGGACTATGGGACGCTTCTCTCGCATGTGCTGGCGTCCAGCCGAACGCTGCGTGAGCTACGAAATGTCAGCGTTCGTGAGACGGGAGGTAGATTCTAGCAGAATCCACCTGTAAACATGCGGAACGGGTTGATCGGTCCTTAAGATTTTCGTTCTTTCTTTCTTTTTTGGCTATCATAGAAAGCGCAGCGAATTACGCCGCTCAAACTTTGCCATCATATTATTCTCCTTACATATTCTTCTCTAATGTTCAATCATGAGCTGGAGGTCGTTACGCAAGAAACCTTTCCCAATGCTACAAAAGGATACGTGCAAATGCCGAGCGTCTCACAACTCATCGGGGACCAGAAGGTTTCTCCTGAACTTGTTCGCAGTTTCGTACTGGGTAATCTCCAAGTTGCCAATATCGCACCAATTCTTCACGGGCTATCGACGATTGGTTAGCACAGAGTATATCTTCTATTGCATTCATTTGAGAAGGCACCGGACTTACCAGACAACTCAAATATTTGCACCAACCGCACTTGTCCTTCTGAGTGTAGAAATTGTTGATCAGAACGATAAAGACAACGACGACGAGCACGAGGGCACCTGCCCTGATAAGCCACCAAGCCCACCAAAGGGGCTTTCGGCCCTTGAAGAAGCCGACAGGCTGCTTGGCGAACGTCTTCAAACCCTGACCCTGCTTCTGCTCCTCCTCCTGCTCCAGGGTCCCATATTTGGGATCATCAAGGCCGATGCGTTCTCTTAGCGCGTCGGGCGAACGCAGCAAGGAGAGGCCAAGCGTGAGACCGACGAGAAAACCGCCGATGTGGGAGAAATTGTCTAGGCCTGGGAGCAGACCGAGCACGAAGGAGATGACCATGTCGAGGCCGATGAAGAGCAGCTCGCGGACGGGCGACGTGCGAGATTTCCACGAGTAGAGCAGGTCGAGCAGTGTGAGCGCAATGATGCCGAATAGGGAGCCGGAACAACCCGTGGACATGATTCCATTCGGTGCAAAGTTACCACCGAAGACGAAACCGAAGATACCTGCGGCGAAGTAGATGAGTACGAATCGGATGGTGCCAATCTGCAACTCCATGTCCCTGCCGAGGGTGAGCTGCAGCAGCATGTTGAAGCCGATGTGGATGATGCCGGCATGTAGGAATATAGGGGTGATGAAGCGGAACCATTGGTTGGGCATCGGCGTCTTGCCGTCCTTCTCCGTTAGATCCATGCCGAAGCCACATAGGTCCTGCAAGTGGCAATTTCCGTCGTTTGTGGTCGTGTTCGGGCACTGAAAGGGAATGTCCGGGCTCGAGGCGGGCGTGTATGTGACGGTGTTGGTGGCATTGTTCGTAATTTTCGCGTCGACGTTTTTCATACAAGGCACATACCTCGCGCCCATGTTGATGAGGACGTAAGGGGAAGGCCCGATCATGGGGTTGAAGGAGGGATGTAGCTCAATGGGCGAGCCCGTCAGGACGGAGTTCTTGACGATCTCGCCGACGAAGACGCCGGCCTGGATAAGGAACAATGTATAGCAGGCCCAGGTAATCTTGCCCGTGAACCAGCCTTGCTTCCTCCGCCTCCTTCTGTATCGTCTGTCGTCTGGCCGGATCGGGCCCTGTTCTGTTTCAAACGGGCGCAGCGCGGCACCGACGCCTCCATTCTTCCCGTAGTCTCTGCCTTGATTCTGGAGAGGTATGGCGTTGTTGTCGGCGAAGGGGTCATTGGAGGCGTAGGGTGACGCGTTGTCGCCGGGTCGGCCGTAGTACGGTGGGGAATGTTGTCCTGACCCCGGCTCAGGTTGTGTTGGAGGTGGATATGCTGGGTACTGGCGGTCGTCGAACGGACTCCCCCCTTGCGGAAGGTGCGAGTCCAACGGAGGCTTGTACGGTCTCGGCGACGACGTGGCGGGCACGGGAGGCAAAGGAGCGTTCGTCCTGCCGTACTCTGGCGTTATCGCGCCCGAACCATAGTATGCGGTATCGTGGTGCTGTGACGAAGGAGGGAAGGATGTGTAGTAGTCGTTTGCGGCCATGGAAGGTTTGGTGCTGCTCAGTGAGCGTGGTGCAGGCTAGGAAGCCAGCCTCAAACGTGGAGGGTTCTCACGGCGAGAATCTGACGAGGCTCGAAAGATCGTCTGTTTTTTCTAGACGGAGTACTGAGGCTGGACGGTCGTCAGAAGATCGAGAGGATAGAAAGGAAGGGTTGGTGGCCGTCGGTTTCGCCGTCACGGCTCGAGCGAGGAAGCAAAAAAAAGGCAAGCCAAAGCGAATGTCGAGGTGCTTGCGGGAGAGTGCGGGGGGGTTGGTGAACAGCAACGTTATGTATGCAACAAGAACAGAACGGACAGTGGAGCGGTTGCAACGAAGCCAAGAGAAGTGAATTGCGTGTGTCGTCGTCAGAAGGACTCAGCCAACGGGGACGCTCTCAGGCTGTGGCTGGACCCAGGGGACCGCGGGCGTGCGCACGACGGCTTATTAGGGCGCGACCGCAACGCAAACAGTCGGCCAGCAATCGCACCTCGTCTCTCGCCTTGGGACGTCCGAGTGGGCTGCGTCTGTCCTGCTTCGTGCCGTGCCGGGACGCGAGCGTTGTGTCGACTGGTTCGCCAGCACGACTTCGTTTCAAGCCGGGCCTGCGCGAGGCACATTCTCCTTCGCCATACAAGCAGGTTAGGCCCAGTGCAAGCGTCGTCGACTAGTCAGGTCTCCGCCGGCGCAGGGCTGGGCCGCGTTTCCAAAAATACGGGGCCTCCTGCATCGCCTCTCTCCCAAGAACGTTTTCTGTCCGCTGGCTTGGGGCGGAGCGAGCGATCTTGTCCACCACCAGCAAAGGCCTTGGTGAGCGTCGTCTGGATCCGCCTCACTCGCGGCCACGATCCCCATCGTTTCGCACTGCTCGTTCACCTCTGACGTCTTGTCCGCACTCACGAGCAGAAACCACGTGCTCCAATCCACGTTTGCGGCATTTGCAGCCACAAGTACGCAGAGGTCTGGACGAACGTTGCGTGAGCAGGTTGGATCACTTATCTGATCGAGCTTGCGGGGCGATGTAAGTTTAGCTTGTTTGGACCTAGTCCGGCAACCCATAATTATTTGCTACTCTTCGACAGTCGTATCCGTACATTTTCTTTCAGAATAAGTGCGCGGAGGCAGCTGTGTCGAAACTGAAAACCGCAACCACCCCCATAGTCTGTGTGTTGGGCTGCCTATCGCCGCCATGGCCGTGTGTTGGCCGTCCCAGCAGTCTCCTTCTCCTCCACCCACGCGTCTCTCCACTCTCTCGCCCTGGCATTCGCCCACCAGCAAGATCCCCCTCCGAACAGACGTCGACCCAAAAAAAAATTAGAAATGTCCCACACGCGATCAAGGGCGCGTCTCTCCGCCGGTCTCGCAAAGCCGAGCCTTTGTATTTCCTCCAATGCAGTGCAACTCGAGCCTTTGGGTATCGTAAATCAGTCATCGTAAAAACGCTTCATGTAAAACCATAGCGAAAGAATCTCCCAAAAAAAAAAAAAAATAACGAGAAAAACACCAGACATGTCCATGCGAGCAGCCCAGGGAAAGCGTTTCAGTGCGTGCGGCCTCTCTTTCCATCTCCTGCCCCGTCACAGCGTGCGCCTTGTGCCATTCCTCGCGACGCTGCCCAGCCGGCTCCCCATGTCGTTGTCCATCTTCAGCTCGGCCCATGCCTGCACCTGCGTCGCAACCGCCTTGCCGGCCAATTGTCTCCATCGCGTCCCAACGGCGGCCTCGATCCCAGAGAGCATCAAGCTGCTGGTCCACGTGATGGCCCAGACGACGGCGGCGAGCAGCAGCATGATCACGGCATAGAAGACGGTCTTTTCGCCCGTGTCCATGACGTACAAGCCGAAGGTGAGCTCGAAGCGGTAGTGCCAGAGGCGCACCAGGTCCCACACGGTCCTGGGCTGGCCGGACCTGCATTGGGACAGCTGCTTCGGCTTGAAGGATGTTTGTGGTCTTTGGTGAGAGAGCATGTGGTGGCGCTGGGAGAGCTGGAAGTCCATTGCTGCGACTGGGATCCGGGCAGGTACGTGACGACGACGGGTTTGTCCTCGGTGGCTGGCAGCTTTCTCGCACGCGAGCGGGTCGCGTGTGGGAAGCAAAGAAGAATGTGCGAAGAGGACTTGACGCGGCGTAAAAGCAAATGGGTGGTAGGACAGAGGAGGACGAGAGGAAGACGGCGCTGCTGCGTTCGCGGCGACTGTCGAGCAAATGCAATGATAATCACAGCCAACCCAGGCCGCCGACCTGGCAACCTTTTTATGAATGCCCTCAAGCTTTCACCACGGAATTGTCGGAACCATGATGCAACGGCTTTTTCAGCTCGTCTATACTCTACCCGGAAAGCACTTTACCCCTTTCGAGGACTAGTCCATGGGCCTCCCTTGGGCGCCAGCGCCAACTATACCCTTTCGTGAGCGTCAAAATTGCATGACAGTGATCAGAGTCATCTGCGCTGGCACGCTGCAGATCTTGCTCCCAGCTCCCAACCCGACGATGAGAGTCCTGGCCGTGATGACACATCCGAGTATGCCGGTCGACAACACTCTGGTTGGTCCATGGCCGGGACGCCATCGGGCTGCCAGCACTGCCGTTGACCTTTGGGCAGGGGCTGTCGTGCCGCGATCGCTTTGCTGGCCGCGAATTTGTGTCGTTTCTGACTGGTGGAGCTCCGTCGCCTGACTAAATCATCATTCTTGTTCAAGGCTGCATTCTTGATATCCAGCCTTGTTTTTTTGGTGTCCTCCCCCCAACCAAGGACATGCAAGTGCTTCTGGACAGTGTGAGGGCCAGGATACATTGCTTGCTTTTCAGCAACGCAACATCGGAGCTTGTCTCCTGCCGTTCATTTTCCCCTCTGTGAGTCTGACTCTTCAGCCCAAGCTTAAAGTCAAACCCCATTACTTCGAACCGAGTGCGCAGCTGTGTGAAGTACGACCTGTTCGTTTTCTCGGTGCCAGCACGCTGTCGGAGTCACCGACTACATGCCCATCTGTCCATTGACGTACCCATTTCATCGGCTCGATGCTGCTTGTATCGGCCAGCCCGCCACAAGCACACAAGCGTCATTTCAGCAAAGCTTGGTCAGCATCCGGCTGTCTGAACCTAAAATAAGTGGTCCCTCTCCACTCTTGCTCCGAGTCACGCAACCGAAACGAAGAATTTGTGAATGACGATCAATTCTCGATTTTGGATAACCGCAATCGACAGTCAGCTATCTGTGTATACTATCACTCTTCTAGCTCTACACGAACCGAGAAATTTAATTTTACTCGAAATGTTAACTACTCGCATCGGAGGGCCAGCACATAGATGCACTTTCAGATCATCGTGCTAACGGTGACTTGCTCGCGTTTCTCCCAACCGGTGGGAACGGTGCTCTTAAACTTGACGTAGCCTACCTCATACCCGTCGTCTTCGGCCTTCAAATCAGGATGCGCGGCAATGGTATGACTGAGGAAACCACCGCTAAACTCATCTAGTGTCTGTCCGAACTTCCGGCTATGCTTAATGGCGCATTTTGAGCTCCTCTCCACGTGTTCAATGAGCGCGTGATGACTTTTGAACCTAGAAGAACGAAGTTTGTAACCGTACTTTTCATGTAAAAGAGCAGCTCGAACTTACACCTTGAAGCACAAAGGGCAGCGAATCTTTTTGAGCATATGTTCTTTGTCGATGTGTCTGTGACAATCTAGCGAAACCTCGAACAACTTCTCGCAGTTTGGAAAGGGGCAGCGGTGTTTCTCGATGAGAGGATCCCAGAAGCGATTGGGGTCATAGTCCGGGTGTGCTGGGTTCCAAAACTGAAAGGTGAGGATGTTTGAGCTGCGCCCTTCGTTGTAGATGACCCTCTGCTTCTCCTGCCACTCATTGGCAACGGGAGAGGCTTTCGTGGCTGCTAAGAGCTTCATGCTTCCGTCAGTTGCCTTACGTGATCCAACTTCTGTCGTACCACTGATGTTTTCTTTGATGCTAAGATTGCTCACGGCAGAATGTAGGGCAGGCCATGTCTGTTGTTCCAACGGCATCGAAGGCTTGATCACAGGAACATCTGGCAGAAGAACCTCCTCATCCCACGTTATATCGTCGTCTTTGATATCCAGGAGACTAACACCACCTTCCTTTGCGTGGTCACATGCTGCGTCTATGAAGCTGTACATATCCTTGCTTAAAATCTCACTGAGAAGCGATGGGTCTTGTAAGAGTTTGTTAACCATAGTCTTGTGCTGGCGAAATCCCTTGAATTCAGTTGCGGATATTTTTTTGCAGTGGCCTTCCTCAAGATGATACACGAGCCCTGCAGCACGTGGGAATGTCTCCTCGCAGCCGGGACATTTAATTCCCTGGTCGATGGGGTGCACCTTGTCAAGGGTTAGCTAACTATAATTGCTTTCATTCAAAGAAAAAAGTCCATCTTCGGTAAAGCACGTTTGCAATGTAGCTTACTTGCAGAGTATGTCGTTGGCGGGCGCTCTCAGTGTGGCTTTCGGCACCACAAAACTTGCAGAAGTACTTGTGGAATTTGAGCTCTCCATAGTCCTTGCCGAACTTCTCCCGGTTACTCCAGAAAATGCCCTGGTCCTTCTCGCGCTGGTACTGTTTTCGCGTTTTTCTGTAGATATCCATGCCACTCATTTGGCTCTTGTGTGCCGTTGCCGTGCTCCAGTCCTTGAAGTCGATGTCACAAATGTGACAATATTCGTGGTGCGTCGCGTACTTTTTATGTTTCTTCATCTCTTTTGAGGTTTCGAAGTACTCGTTGCAATTCTCAAACGTGCATTTGATCTTCTTAGAAGCAGCCATTTTTTCATTGTCGATGAACGGTTGCCATAACTTTGGCTTCTGATCGCGCGTAAATATGTTCATTTAGCGTCATCCCACTGCTCCTTCCTGCTGCGGCTAACACGGGATAGAGTCGGTAACAGAAAGAGTAAGATCGATGGGACGAGCAGTAAGATCTTGGGCAACAACTGAACTATGGTCACGCCCACAGGTTCAGATCTCGAACAGGACAGAATTTGTGTTGGCTTGTCCGTGATAGACCTAAGATTTCGAAACTCCTCAACTCACGGCATATCGTTGTCCAGTTTCTAACCACTGTGCCTGACACGTTGGCCTTTACAAGTTGGCCTTTGTCTCAGCGAGCACACAACCTCGATCATACTTGTGCACTAGGATGTCTCGGTCGATCCAGCCCTTTTCCAGCCACACCCCCGGCTTGAATCCGCCCGACAACGAGTTGACTGGAATGAATTTCAGCATTGAATGACAATGAAAAGTTTGACATGTTGAGTGAGCTTGATATTCACGGAGCAAATTCGAACAGCGCACGCAGGTAGAAATCATTAAGAAAGCTAGCAAGACGTCGAGGTTCATGATCAGCACATGGAAGAGAAAGGGAGACACATTGGCGAGAAATAATCTGAGCATAGAATTCAGAAATGTACGTCAAGATATCGTTCACGTAGAAGCACGCACTTGACGTCTTTCCTTAGCACACTATACAGAATTCTTCAAACTTAGGTGGCCAGTAGCGGCAGAATTGATAGACTGCTCCCCAATTAATCGTGTCCATTGAACGAAAACAAATTTGACGTCCCCACGACCTAAAATATGAGCTCAATCTTCGAGAAGAAGGTCACTGCTGTGTTCTCAAAAAAGTGCTGCGAACTTAGAATGGAGGTTTGCCTAAACCGAGCAAGATCACGTGCTCATGAGTCGCGATGCCGCGTAGCGGCCCAGTTGTGAGCCGTGCGCCGGACACGGTCACGTAAACCGCGCGATTACGCGCTTTCTAAGGTGGAGCTGACCTTATGCTGTTCCTCGTCAAACACAACAACGCCGATACTCGTGCAGAGACTCTGTGGTAGCATACTTTCAACATGCCCGGAGTCGTGCCGAGAACGCCTGCGAAGCGTGTGCTTGCTGAAACCACCAACACGGCCCACAACATCAAGGCATCGCCACACGAAGCGAAGAAGCGAAAGCTCGATTCGCCCAAGAAGTTCCGCAAACCAGTTGGCCCCAACGGCACCCTAGGTTCTAGTCAGCCAAAGTCTCAATTTGAAGAAGAGGTCCTTGAGAAGCTTACCCAGAACATTGATGGCCTCAAAAAGAACAACCAGGAAAAAGACCAGCAATGGGCGCGGCCTTCCTTAGCTGACTTCAACGAGAACACCGACAATCTGATCTTCCAGCAGATTGAGATTGAAGAAGGCACGCTCCATGGCGGGAAGGCTGCGCTTAAGCTCTTTGGCGTCACAGAGGTGGGCGATCAGCATAACTCTCGAAGCAACCATGACTGATCTCAATTCATAGAACGGCCACTCTGTGCTCCTGCATGTCACTGGCTTCCAGCACTACCTCTACGTCGCTGCACCAACAGGCTTCACACAACATGATTGCCAGCCGTTCAAGGCCCTTCTGGAGACTACTCTTGCCCAGCACTCGGCAACCATCGCCTCCGTACAGCTTGCAATGCGCGAGAACATGTATGGCTTCCAGGGAAACCAGAAGTCACCGTACATCAAGATCACCGTGACGGATCCGAAGTACATTAACCGCCTCCGTACAGCAATCGAGCGCGGAGATGCGAATTACAAGGGACTGTGGAAAAATGCCGATCACGGAATCCTTACTTTTGACAACATTCAGTATAAATTGCGCTTTATGACGGATTGTAAAGTATGGGATATATGGAAAGCCATCAAGAGAAGCTGCTAAATTTTTGTCTAGATCTCCGGCATGTCATGGGTTGAGGCGCCTGCAACAAAATATCAGATGATCCCAGACCGTGACCGACACTCAAATTGCCAGATTGAAGCCCACATTCATTATCGAGACCTGATTGCGCATCAAGCAGAAGGTGAATGGGCTAAGATGGCTCCTCTTCGCATCCTTTCCTTCGATATCGAATGTGCTGGCCGCAAAGGTATTTTCCCGGAAGCGAGTGTCGACCCTGTCATCCAAATCGCCAACGTAGTCACCAAAGTGGGTGAAGACACGCCATTTGTCCGGAATGTCTTCTGCATGGACACATGCAGTCACATCGTAAACACTCAGATCTTCGAATTCGACCGTGAAGAGAAGATGCTCATGGCCTGGCGAGATTTTCTAGAGCAGGTTGATCCGGATATTATCATCGGCTACAACATTGCCAACTTCGATTTCGTATACCTGCTGGACCGAGCCAAGCATCTCAAGGTCAGTCAGTTTCCGTACTGGACACGACTGAAGAACGTCGTGTCGGCGCATAAGGATACAAGTTTCTCCAGCAAGCAGATGGGTAACCGTGATTCGAAAGCTACCAATACAAATGGACGACTGCAATTGGACCTTCTTCAGCTCATACAGCGTGACTATCAGCTGCGTAGTTATACACTAAACGCGGTATCCGCGCATTTCCTGAACGAGCAGAAAGAAGATGTGCACCACACTATGATCACGGAGCTGTACAACGGTGATGCAAACTCCCGACGCCGTCTTGCTATCTACTGCTTGAAGGATGCTTACCTACCCCAACGCCTGATGGACAAACTAATGTGTCTAGTCAACTACACCGAAATGGCGAGAGTCACAGGCGTGCCTTTTGATTTCCTGCTTTCCAAAGGTCAGCAAGTCAAATTCTTGCAACAGTTGTATCGGAAATGCCTAGAACAACAACTGGTCATACCTAATTTGCCGTCTGAAAGCTCTAGTGAGCAGTATGAAGGAGCTACTGTCATTGAACCAACTAGGGGATACTACGACGCGCCGATTGCCACGTTGGATTTTGCATCTCTATATCCGAGTATCATGCAAGCGCATAATCTGTGTTACACTACCTTGTTGAACAAGTCGTATGTTGAGAAACATGGACTAAAGAAGGACGAGGACTACATTGTTACCCCCAATGGCGACTTATTCGCAACTGCCAAAGTTCGTAAAGGACTGCTATCTCAGATTCTAGAGGAGTTGCTATCTGCACGTAAGAAAGCGAAGAAAGAAATGGCTACTGAAACGAACGCTTTCAAGAAAGCTGTTTTGAACGGTAGACAGCTTGCTTTGAAGATCAGTGCAAATTCCGTATACGGTCTGACTGGTGCCACTGTCGGCAAGTTGCCGTGCCTTGCCATTGCGAGTTCAACTACATCCTATGGACGACAGATGATAGAAAAGACAAAGTCCGAAGTTGAGGCGAGGTATACCATTGCGAACGGATATTCTCATGATGCCCAAGTCATATACGGTGACACTGACTCTGTCATGGTAAAATTTGGCACTACTGAGCTTGCTGAAGCCATGAGACTTGGAGAGGAGGCTGCAGAATACGTCTCTTCCAAGTTTATTAAGCCAATCAAGCTCGAATTTGAGAAGGTCTATTTCCCGTACCTGCTCATCAATAAGAAGCGGTACGCTGGGCTCTACTGGACAAAGCCCGACAAGTGGGACAAGATGGATACCAAAGGCATTGAAACCGTTCGGCGAGACAATTGTCGCCTTGTCCAGACAGTCATTGAAACCAGTCTTCGCATGTTGCTGATCGACCGGGATGTGCAGGGTGCACAAGAGTTTGTGAAAGAGACTATTGCTGACTTGCTTCAAAACAAGATCGATATGTCTAATCTTGTGATCACAAAAGCACTCACGAAGGATGACTACGCTGCCAAACAAGCCCATGTCGAACTTGCTGCACGCATGAAGAAGCGTGACGCCGGCTCTGCACCCGCTCTAGGCGATCGTGTTGCCTATGTCATCGTGAAAGGAGCGGGTGGTAGCAAGAACTACGAAAAATCGGAGGATCCTATCTATGTACTCGAGAATAACATTCCTATCGACACAAAGTACTATCTGGACAATCAGCTGTCCAAGCCTTTGACACGTATCTTCGAGCCTATCCTAGGCGAGAAGAAAGCAGCCTCGCTTCTCACTGGCGAGCACACCCGCACAATCTCTGTAGCTGCTCCAACTATGGGAGGGCTCATGAAGTTCGCAAAAAAGACGCAAACGTGCCTCGGATGCAAAAAGCCACTCACTAGTGAAGAAGAGAAAGATGGCGCGGTGTGCGCAAATGATCGTCCGCGCTTCGCGGAGCTATACCAGAAGACATTAGGGAAGGTCTCTGAACTGGAAGTTAGGTTTGCAAGGCTGTGGACGCAATGTCAACGTTGCCAGGGCAGCATGCATAACAATGTTATTTGCTCGAGTAGAGATTGTCCCATCTTCTACATGCGGATGAAAGCTAAAAAGGATGTGGAAGACGCAGGAAAGGAGCTTGCGAGGTTCGACAAGGACATTGCAGCGTGGTGATCTAATGAAGGACCGCACGGATACGGCTTCTTCGGCATTTACACGGCGTTAGGAATGTCTGCATATGATCGCGACGGATGTTGCTCTGTTGTTCGAAAATGCGCATTGGAATTGAATGAAAAAAAAAATTGCGATTGTTTGCTAAACGTTCCCAGTGCTTTGTACGGCCGTTCTAGTCTGCTTGAGATCTCAACAATCCGACTAGTCTTTGTTATCCTTCGTGATGAGTTTCCGCACTACAGCCAACACCTGAGAGTGTAGTGCTGGTGCTGCAGCTATGTTTCCAAAGTTATTTTCACATCTCCTACCGGCACCAAAATCGATTTTCTTGCCATATATATCGGTTACCTTGCCACCTACTTCTTCGTATATCAAATGTCCGCCTGCATGATCCCACACTGCAGTGCGGTGCGATGGCTTCTGCGGTATGCGAATCCACAAATCATGACCCCCAACCGCTAGTGCAATGTACTTCATTTGCGTGCTCCAGATTTCAGTTCCTGGCCAGTCTATGCCCAGGTGTTCGGCTATTTCACGATGCTTCTCCGCGTTCATGGACGTCGAAGCGACGCAGTCGACAAGCTCGGGTTTCTTTTCAGCTGGGTGGACTATAGCCGGAGCTGGACGAGCCGGTTGCAACCCAGCAGACGATAAAGGCCGCAAAGTTGCACCTTGACCCTTGACTGCCGAGACGAGATATCCATTCCCATTGCGGGGGACAGTCGTCTCGCTGATTTTGGAGGTTTCCAGGCACAGCTTTGGACAGCCTAGAACGCCAACTTTCTGTTCGCCATGGACCACTAAACACAAACAGACGGCATACTGCTGGCTCTTCATGAAAGTTTTAGTTCCGTCGATAGGATCGAGAACCCATATGCGGTCCTGTCCACCGGAACCACAGCCAAGGTCGATGATGTCCAACATTGCCTCCAGTGAGCTAGGCTTCGCAAGTAATTTTTCGCTATCGGCGTCCTCCAGGGCTACTTCCGTGATCATTTGCCAAACTTTTTGCGCCAGCTCTGCGTCTTCACGCAAGAATGAAGCTGATTCCTCCGCAACGAATTTGTCTCCGGGAAAAGCGGCATGGAGAGCGCTTATGATAAGAGCCTGAGCACCCAGGTCGCCAATGGTGACGGGCGTATTGTCCGGCTTATCAAGAGCATCATCTTTGCTAAAGGACGAAAGAACCTTTAAGGTGAAGAGAGTTGCCCTCTGCACGGCAAGCTCGGCAAGCCTGAGCTCTTTCTCGTACATTTATGCTGTCGTGAGGTTTGAAAGCGAACGGGAGGCGCGACTTTTTTTTGGACTGCCAACTCCGTCTTCAATCTGACCGAGTCGAACGCTGTCGCTCCGCGTGTTTGTTTGGAATGAGATTCTGGACCTAGCGAACCGGCTTGCCATTTACGTAATGGCTCCGTTAAAAAGGCGTGACCAGCTCAGCATTCAAACATATTGTCTAGTAGTAGTAGTCGTAGTCGTCTGTGTCCTTGTCGTGTTTCGGAGCGATGGGAACAACCCTGTTCAAAGAAAGAAAAGTCCGGTTGAAAACGTGGAGGAGTGCTGAATGAATGTCTGAGGAGCGATTTTATTCCCGTTTCTTCAACCGCTCTTATGCCTGTCATTTTAGCCTTTGTGAGCCAGAAATACTTCCGGTATTGCCAATTCGATCGACGGGTACCTTTCTTCCTAAGGTCAAAGCAGATCTGGCCTAACTATACACGGAAATGTTGGTCCTTCAGCCAAATCGATCGCAGAGACCTCATTTCGTCCTCAGCATGGTCCGTTACACAACCTAAATCTCCCAGCGTGAAGATTATCGCCCCCGCGTAGACTTTTTCGTTACCAGATTTAGGTGTCTATTCGGTTGGAGTATCGCTTATTCTCCAGTTTTAGTTCTGATCTTAAAGCTCCAGTTCGTATACATGATCCAACAAACTCATGGAAGCTTCAACATTACAAGACTTTGTCTACCTGTCACGTGAATACAGGCTCCGGAATAGCCAAGTAATTTTTTTAATTTGATCTTAAGCTGCATGTTTCAAATCATTTTAATTTTTTATAAGTCAAGGAGGGGCATTTAATGATGAAAAAGTCAAAGCTATGAGTACTCTAAAGACAAGACATATATTCCTACGTTCAATTAACGTCGCTCTTGAAAGGCCGAATTTACCAGAGTAGGAACAAAGTGATATGGGGTTATGACCGCGAGACAAAGTTTCCCTAAACTCGGGTCAGGTCGCAGATTCACCTGAAGAAGGCAGATTTGATGGAAACCCGACTAGCTCTGATATCGGAACTGATGCTAAAGTGTTTAGATCACGACCGTTTCCACGCCACATTCGACCGTGGGAATTCAAGGTTTTAATTTCCTCTATTTTTCCGCAAAGTTGGAGGATTTGAATGATGCTTGAGGACCAAAGCAAGTCGATCAAATAAATGCACGAACAACTGCAAGATTTTGGAATTTTCGCCCTGGAGCCGCATTCGTTCTGGATAGGAATGATAAAGGATGGTTCAGCAAGGCGAGATAGTTCAACACGGACTTGAGCATGGTCTCGAAGTGTACTCCCAAGAACTGACGATCGAATACACCAATTATTTCAATTTGCCCTGCGTCCTCATTGGTCTAGTTTTTGCTCATTGGTGTCTTCCCAATTGCGACGTGTCAAAAAGATACTTGAACGTGAATCAATTGGCGATCTGAGAAGGAATGCGGGGTTCTCTCTGTGATAAAGAGCAATCCTAACCTTGAGATTAAAGCTCTCCGAGTTTTTGGAGATGTAGATGCACGACCGTCTCCAAGGCCGTCGTGAATGTTGTTTAAAAGTTTACAACACGAAGTGGGCTTGAGTGTACTTCCGACATTTTGAACGCATCCATTTATTTCTCGTCTCGAACACTACGGATGCGACGGAAAAGGAGTTAGACATTGCAGAAACGATGACGCTTCCGTACCCAAGGTTGTAAAAAGCAATAGAGCCTTTGGATTTTCAGAGCTAACATTTGTGCTCAAGCAGGATAGTATCTTCCGCTCCATTCAAGGCTGTTGTTGGACCCGACAGGTCCGCATTCACTGTACACTCAGCTCTTCTTGCTAGTCAGTCAGAGGCCTTAAATAGGCTGGTTTACGGACCGATGGCAGAAGGCCAAAACGAGTGTGTAGATTTCAAAGACGTAACGAATGCTACATTCCTTCGTTTCTGCGAATACATGTACACAGGGGACTACAGTTGTGATGTTCTTATTCCCTCTCGGACTGCATCATCAAATATGCATAAAAAGCATATTGAAGATAAAAAAACAGAAATAAAGCCTTCCAGCCTGTCAATACATGGTCAGGAGAGGAAGAGGGGGTGATAGAGACTTACCAATATGAATGGCACGATTTTACATCATCCCGGATAAACAGAAGCAAGAAAATCTCCTATCGCGATGGGAGCACTCAAATGACGATCAAAACAAAGAAGACTAAGGCTTGGGAAGCTTTCGAAAGTCGCAGTCTCCCCACACCTTCTTTCGATGTGAACCAGACTCCTGACGCACAGCACGAAGACGATCCGACGCCAGTCGAAATGCAACATGCGCAGCTCTACGTTCTGGCCGACAAATATGACATAGAGAAGTTGCGCATTCTCTCTCTCTCGAAACTGCATTCAGTGCTGAAATCTCGAGGATTGTATACCGAAGATGTTGACGTTGTCGTCGAACTGTTGGAATACGCTTTCGATAACACACCGGACCGAGAAGGTGACATGGATCCGCTTCGATCGCTGGTCAGCGAATACGCCGCGTGCGTCGTAGAGGACCTGTCAAAAAATGCTAAATTTGACGCTCTTGTCAGGGCCAACGGTGATATCGGATGTGCTCTGTTACGGCATACTGTTCAAAGACTGGATTGACGGCTTTTAAGCTAGTGCTGCTGGCTGTCTCGAGGAGTGGATCAAGAAGGGAAAATCGCATTCGAATGGACAAGACGAAACTTTGAACTTGGGGGCAAGATAGATGCATCGGCCAGTGGAAACAGGTCGGCATCGGGTGTGAAGTTTGACGCCGAAACTTGTTGGTTATGCACTCTCTTTTGCAATGATCTCCAGCACTTTCATGTATTCGTTGACGTCTTTAGCGCCTTCCAATGTAAGATCCCTCTTCCTACCTTCAAATACAATATGGGGCACAGAGTCGATGCCATTACCCGCCTGTTCCCTGATCAGCATCTTGACGTCCATCAGGCCTTCGCTCTCGTCTTCCAACACCTGCCGCGCTTCATCTTCGCCGATCCCCGCATCTGTACAGGCTTTCATTAGCGTCTCGTGGCTCGAGGGGTGCTTCTCTTCCTCGAAATACTGCTTGTACAGACTGTCGACGATCATATCGGCGGTAGCGAGGCCGCGGCGTTCTTGAAAGCACTGTATGACACGGTGCGCGTTCAGTGTGTTGGCGACTACACCTCCGAACTTGAAGTTGATTCCACACGCGACCCCGTATGCGCTCATGAGGGTCGTGTACATCCGCATCTTCTCCTCTGAATCGCCGTAGCGCGACTTCTTGTACCACGCGAATTTGTCCTCGCCCTCTTGCGAAGCCTCCGGATACAGCTGGTAGGGCATGAACTTTACCTTGAATGTGCAGGGAGAGGATGGATTGGCTTCGCGATATTGCGACAGAGCGTGGTCGAGGCGCCGTTTGGCGAGGTAGGTCCACGGACAGATGGTGTCGAGGGTGAAGGAGATTGTTGATTCGTACGTCATGACGTGCTACGACCAGTGAATGATAGGGAAATTCAAAATTTAGAAAAGAGAAACTTGGAATATGAGAACTGGGCAAATAAAAGAGGCCGTTGCCGGACGGATGAAGTCGAGAGATGACTGCAGAGGCAATAAATTATCCATTGCTCCGATCCTATTGCGGGGAAGCTTCGAAATCTGTGAGCGTAGTTCTATGTACAAGGTAACAAGTCTGTCACAGTACAGCCGATCCGCCGCGTAGTGGCCGCGCGAGCGATCCAATGTTTCACCTAAGTGGAATCATAAATTCGAAGAAGTTGAAAGCGCTGCAACACTTTCGGAAGTGTGCGTACAACGTAGTTCTAAGGTGGATGAGCGACAGTCGCGCATGGTGCCTTGCTGCCTTGAGAACATCAGCCACCGCAGCTACGAGCACCGCAGCGCACAGATGGCACATGTGACTTTCACGCCTTGTCTCCAACGCAACAATAGAAAAAAAAAAGCCGGATGAGCGTTTTGAACGTGTTGGTTCTTGCATAGAATGAGTTGTAGCAGCCATGAGTCCCACTTCTGTGTCCGCATTCGCCGCGACGCAGCTGCGGCTTCTGGACGCTGAACTGCAAGCCGAGCTCGCCGAGACGAACTTGCTCGTCTCTCAGACCGCTCCTAACGTTCTCCAGCGCGCTGGCCTGGCTATACTGAACCTGGCCGTCGCATCCCAGCGCACTGGTCTAGGCGGCAAAACCGTGTTGGATCTTGAGCTCGACCCCGCCGTGGGCGGAGGTGATATTCCCGAGCATGGGATCCGGGTTGGTGACATCGTCAGTGTGGCGGATCAGCCGTCCGGGTCGGCAAAGAAGCGCGAGAAGGCTGAGATGAAAAGCAAGGGGGTTGAAGGCGTTGTTTTGAAGGTAACGAGGACCACCGTGAGCGTGGCGCTGGACAAGGACGACGTGGACGTGCCGGGGGGGAAGCTTTGGCTGTATGTTGACACGATCCTGACGCCAAGAAGCGGATGGCTGTAGAGAGTGAGAACTGATGTGTACAACGTAGTGTCAAGCTGGCGAATGATATCACATACAAGCGCATGAACCAGACCATGACGCGCATGCAGAAGATGAGCGAGGGCGAGACATCACCCTTTATGCGTGTGCTGTTTGGACAGTCGTCGCCTTCTCCCGTTCCCAAGGATCTCGACGACCCGGAGCACGGCCTTGACAAGCTGGAATGGTTTGACCCGACGCTCAACGACAGCCAGAAGGAAGCCGTCAAGTTCGCGCTGTTGTCGCGCGAGGTGGCCTTGATCCACGGCCCGCCGGGCACGGGTAAGACGCACACGCTCATCGAGCTCATCCTGCAGCTTCTCAAGCGGAACCTGCGCCTGCTGGTGTGCGGCCCGTCCAACATCTCGGTAGACAACATCGTGGAGCGCCTGGCGCCGCACAAGGTGCCCATAGTGCGGCTGGGCCACCCCGCGCGCCTGCTGCCGTCGGTGCTGAACCACTCGCTCGACGTGCTGACGCGCACGTCGGACGCGGCCGCTATCGTGCAGGACATCCGGCAAGAGATGGACGCGAAGCAGGCCTCGATCCGCAAGACGCGGTCGGCGCGCGAGCGGCGCGAGATCTACGCCGACCTGCGCGAGTTGCGTCGGGACTTCCGCGAGCGCGAGCGCAGGTGCGTCGACAGCCTCGTGCGCGGCTCCAAGGTCGTCCTGGCCACGCTGCACGGCGCCGGGGGGTTCCACGTCAAGGACGAGCGGTTCGACGTGGTCATCATCGACGAGGCGAGCCAGGCGCTGGAGGCGCAGTGCTGGGTGGCGCTGGTCGGAGCCAGCAAGGTTGTACTCGCCGGCGACCACCTGCAGCTGCCTCCTACAATCAAATCGTTGAATCAGAAGCCGGCGCACGAGAAGGGCAAGGGGAAAGCGAAGAGGGATGTGCAGTCGGACGCCGAGGCTGGCCTGGACACGACGCTGGAGACGACGCTGTTCGATCGGCTGCTGGAGCTGCTCGGACCCGGCATCAAGAGGATGCTGACGACGCAGTACCGCATGCACGAGCGCATCATGCGCTTCCCATCCGACGAACTGTACGAGGGTAAGCTGGTGGCAGCTGATGCGGTGCGGTCTCGGCTGCTGAAGGACCTGCCCTACGGCGTAGACGACACAGACGAGACGCGTGAGCCGCTGGTGTTCTGGGACACGCAGGGCGGGGACTTCCCGGAGCGAGCGGAGGACGACGAGGGCGGCGGCAAGAGGGGCATCCTGGGCGACAGCAAGAGCAACGAGAATGAGGCCTGGCTCGTTAAGCTGCATGTGGGGCGGCTGGTGGCGGCTGGTGTCCGGGAGGACGACATCGCAGTCATCACGCCGTACAACGCGCAACTTGCGCTGATCTCCCGCCTGCTGCGGGACACGCACCCGGGCGTCGAACTGGGCAGCGTGGATGGGTTCCAGGGCCGGGAGAAGGAGGCGGTAGTGGTCAGCCTGGTGCGCAGTGGCGGCGACGTCGGCTTCCTAGGCGAGAAGCGCAGGCTGAACGTGGCCATGACACGGGCGCGAAGACACTTGTGCGTCGTGGGCGATGGAGAGACGCTGGCAAGGGCGGGCGGGCCGTTCCTGAAGCGGTGGATCGGCTTTTTGGAGGAGAGTGCGGAAGTGAGGTTTGCTACGTTGGAGGACGTTATCGACGCCTCACGGTGACTGGGCTTGCAGGGGTCTCCTCGAGGGCGAAGAGACGACGATGGCGGAAATGATGGCAGCTGTAACAGCAGCGGCAGTCCTCTTCTCATGGAGCTCCTCATTGTGAGCTGCTGGAACAACACGTCGACTACCGGCGGACCCGTCTGCGAGACCCCGGGGCATGAGGGGGTGGCACAAGAGGAAAACCTACATGGGTGAGGCTGATGACAAGGCTGGCCAATCGGAAGAGGGGAAATTTAGCGGGGCCGAGCTAGAGTGTGGCGTTTGGCGCGCGGCCGAGCCTGGCCCAATCTGGGGCGGTTCTTTTGCGTGCGCAGCCGTGATGAGATCAACTGCGGAGTGACGCTACGATTCCTTGATCCGCACGCAACCACCACACGCAATAAAAAGCAAAGAAAAGAAAAATAGAAGGTTGGGTTCCCGGTTCTTGCTCGCGCTCTCTGTGAGCTGGTCGCTGGGGACGCCGCGGGCTGCACGTGTGTATGTGGCACGTCTGCGTGCATCTGTGTTTGTGTACGCATGTACATGTGTGTCTGTGTGGGTGTTGTTTACGCCGATGTTTACGCCGCTTGTTTTTCCTCGCTTCCATGTTTGCTCTGCGGCCCTACGACCAGGCAACGGGGGGGACGACGCGAAACAATCGATGGCGCGCAAGACAAGTCCGAAAAGAAACAAGTGGCCGCTTGCTGCTTGGGTCGCGTCTTTTTGGAGGCCTAGGCAAGGGCCAATGCAAGTCCTGAATTCTTGTTTCCGACGTTTGTTTTAGTATGTTTTTCTTTCGTCTCGCGGCTGGTTGTCGGAGCAGCGCCGTGCCAGCGCGAGAATCATTGGCTACGAAGCGTGCTTGCCGGATCGTCCGTGTTCCCCGTCCGGGCCAGTTGGCTCAGGCACGTCGCCCTTCAACGGGCTGTCTCTGGCTGGACAGCAGAGAAGGTCCACGCCCGGTGCGGACACGCGCAGGTTCGCTTGCATGGGGACGTCTTGAAGGGCTGGATGGCGACGAGCAGACTCCATGGCGACACAGTCTTTTCTGGTTGGCTGCACGCACGTGCGGAGAGACGCATGGCTGGCTGGTGATGCTGGAGACAGAGGGAGAGAAGAAGAGGAAGGCGGACGAGCAGACACACGACGACGACGACGACGATGACGACGCGGATGATGCGTGGTGGTGCGTCCGGGCTAGGCAAAGTCGAGCAGCGCGGGAGCATGGGCAGGTCCGGCCAAAGCGCCGCGAGCCCGCCGTCGATCGGCCACTGACAGCCAGTCGCAGCAGCAGCTGCAGCTCCTGCCCCGTCGGGTCCCCCAAAGTCACTGCGCTGCTCCTCTCGCGCCGTGCTGCGTACCTGAGCCGTCAACAAACATCCCGAACCCCCGTGCATATCAACAACTGCGTCCACCCGCATACAAACACACACACGCGTCCGGACGGCCTCGACACACTCGTGGAGCTCTCAATTGCTCTTTCGTCACCGTCTTCCGTCGTCACCGTCGTGTGCTTGCGGGCGATTCTTCTGTGTCTGACCGCCGCACTTCGGGCTCTGCTGTCGCTCCTCACTCTGCTTTCCCGCTCGGCTTTTCTTTGTTTCTGCTGGCACCGAGCTGCTCTGCTTCTTCCTCCGCTTCTTCACCGTGCACCGACTTTTCAATCTCAATCACAGGCCTTCGTCGTGCATGTGGCTGTGAGCGACGCGCTTGGAATCCCCTTTCTTTTCTTGCGTCCTGCATCGCTTTGATTGCGAAGACCTTCAGGCCGTATCATCCGCCGTCAGCCTGCTCCCTATCGCAATGGACGCAAAGGTGAGTCGCATCATTCCACAACATCTGCACAGTCTGACACGATCTCGTCCATCTTCGTCTACCGTCGTCCGTGGACGGCCCCTTCATCTGTACAGATCAACACTCAATCATCTTGCTATTGTGTCCCTCTGCCCTTTGAACTCACAAGCAGCGCTCCCTATCGCTCCCCGGCATATTTCGTCACTGACATGTTTGCGACCAGCCTCAGAGACTTCGCGCTGCACCGCGCTTGCGTGACGAGAACGCACTTCCAACCAGCATGGTCACTTCGAAAACACTGTACCACAACCGGACAAAGTCGACTCCCGCGCTTTCCTCGCTGCTCAAGAACCCCGTCAAGACGAACGCCAGCGTGCTCGGCGGTGCGACTACCAACACAAACAGCTTCGGGCTGAATGTAAACACAAATTCAAACTCGACTTTGTCCAATGCCAGACAACGCAGCGCGTTTGCCGACGTGAGCAACACGCGACTTGGCTCCCGCTCGATCACCGTCAAGGACGACATGTCGATTGTCAAAGATGGTCATGCTGCGCCAATGGGCAAGACTTTCTCGACTCTGCAGCCGCTTAAGGAGGTCCCGGATGCCAATGTCGTTCCTCATGCCAACAAGCAGCCAGCCCTCCTGCGGCCGGCTCAGCGACCACTCAACGCTGCACAGTCACGACAGGTGTCTGCTCCCCAAGCCAACCATGCCGGGAACGACGAAAATGTCGTTGCGCCGGGTGTGCAGAAGAGTGCCTTCGAGCCTATCGAGCACAGGAGCAGCGACCCAGACCAATTGCTGAAGAACCTCAACCGCAAGCGCACCACCATCTTCCGAGAGGCACAGCCAGCTGCTGAGCAGGAAAACCAGGGTGCGTTGCTGAAGGAGCCTGTGAAGCCTCTGGTTACGTCGAACGCTCTTGTGCATCAGGTCCTGGACGCGTCCAGGGACAAGAAGCTGCCTGCCATTCCTGAGCCTGTCGTCCCGACCGTGCAGGCACTGCTCCCTGCTATCGAGCAAGCGCGAGATGAACGCGTCAACTTCGAGCAGGAGGTCAAGGACTTTTCACGCGAATTGATTGAGTCGATAGAGCAGACGTTTGCACGCGCCGAGGAGCACATCGCGCCTTCCCATGACAATGAAGTGGATCGGCCTGAGCCCGAGAAGTCACTGCCAATGCCGGTGCTGCCCTCAAGGTCGTCATCACAAGACACCATACCCCAGGTGGAGCCCGCCTCGCGAACGAGCGACCAGGAGGTATATCAGCTTGCCCTGGAGACGCAGCTGCCACCCGTCGACTCGGTCCTTGATAGTTCGAAGCTCCCCTTGTCAGCCCACTCAGACTATCCCGAGTACCTCGACGAGGAAGAGGACGACGAGGAGGAATACTACGATGCGGAAGGATACACCACCGCGCGTTCAATACGCTCGCGTGGTGACAACACTACCGGTGGTCTCACTACCATTATCGAGCCACGCGTGACGCAAAGGGTGCTAAAGGAGCTCGAGGCAGCACGAGACTACGTGCTGGCCACACGAACCGAGGATGACATTGAGGATGAGGCATGGGACACGTCCATGGTGGCTGAGTATGGCGACGATATCTTTGAGTACATGCGCAAGCTGGAGGTATGCCACGTGTTAAAAAAAAAACCCCTCCATATCCCCGTCGTTTCAATACAATAACGAAACGCTGGCTGACCCTTGTCGAACAGAGCAAAATGCGCCCAAACGAACACTACATGGACAACCAGAATGAGATTCAGTGGTCGATGCGCTCCGTGTTGATGGATTGGATGGTCCAGGTGCATGCTCGCTTTGGTCTTTTGCCAGAGACGCTATTCTTGGCGGTAAACTACATTGACCGTTTCCTAAGCTGTAAGGTTGTTTCTCTGGGTAAACTGCAGCTTGTCGGCGCGACTGCTCTGTTCGTGGCCGCCAAGTACGAGGAAATCAACTGCCCATCCGTGCAGGAAATTGTGTACATGGTCGACAACGCGTACACCGTCGACGAGATCCTCAAAGCTGAGCGTTTCATGCTCTCCATGCTGCAATTTGAGCTTGGCTGGCCGGGTCCGATGAGCTTTCTACGCCGCATCAGCAAGGCGGATGAGTATGACCTTGACACACGCACCATGGCAAAGTACTTCCTTGAGGTCATGATTATGGATGAAAGGTTTGTCGCGTGCCCGCCTTCGTTTGCGTCGGCGGGCGCGCACTGCTTGTCTCGCCTTGTGCTAGACAAAGGCGATTGGGTAAGTTGAATGTCTTATCCCCGTTCCTCCCACTCCCCATACTCTCCCTGAGAGCCAATTCAATTCGTAGTACCGAGTGAGCAAGTAGCCAGTAGTAAGTGAAGAGGGCTGACGAAGCAACGCAAAAGACTTTGGCGCACACGTACTACTCGCAGTACACGTACTGGCAACTGCACGACCTGCTTGCTAAGCTGGTCGAGTGCTGCCAGCAGCCGCGCAAGCACCACCAGGCCGTCTTCGAAAAGTACCGCGAGAAGAAGTACAAGCGCTGCTCCGTTACTGCCGAGGAGAAGTTAACCAGCCCGTCTTTCAAACTTCCGCCGAAAAACGCTGGTAGAGAGTCCGCCGGCACAATTACGAGCAATTGGCAGAACGCCTTGTGGAAACGTTTCTAAGCCCGGCCATCTTCTTTAGCCCTGCCTGATCACAACTCCAGACTCTCAAGCTTCTGACTCATCCGTCGTCCGAACGACCGCGATTTATTCATATCTATTTTCTATGTTGTTCTTCTTTTCTTTGCGTTTCGGCGCGCATTTTCGGAGCGGGCGTCTTTGTTCTCTTGCAGGTCATCCATTGCCTCTTTCGATTTTTAGCTGGCGTATGGCACGATCGGAGCTGCGAAATATCATAACTGACTTTCATCTGGAACAAGAGCATCGGCGTTTAGGCGTGCTTTGTTACAGCCACTGTCCTTAGACACCGACGCGTGGGAAACATCTTCGGCAGGCAACTTTGCGATGCCCGCCCTTTTCTGCTTCTTTCTTCACTGGCAACTACTGCTTTCACGACCCGACACGAAGGTTACGAAACAAAGAAAGAAAACAAGTTTGCTACACACTACATATGTTACAACTGGAAACAGACCTGGCACTGCTGCTACGTCCAGGTCGACCTAATATCTTCATGAGCAGGAAGGCTGGGGTGGGCATAAAAACAGATGTTTCCATCCTATCGAGCCTTCCTCCTCATCGACATATCTTTTTCTTTCATTTTCTTCCCCCTTTCTCTTCGAAGGCCCCCTTATAGACGGACTTATACCCCATGGAAGTGTTTGCTCCAGACGGGTGCACGGAGGCAGGTATCGAGTTAGAACCGCAGCTTTAAATGTCCTTGTCTCCTTCTTTATATGAAGTCCAAAAAAGAACGGAATATTGATATACATATATATTTTTTGTTTTCAAAAGATGGGGAAACATTACTTTTTTTTTCCCATCCTTCGATCATCATTGATGCTTCAACTCGACTTTGTGGAAGCAGCAAACTTTGCAGGAGAGGCGATGGGTGAGAAAGAAGATCAGGCGATAGAATGAAAGAGGTTGTGTTTGAATTGATGGACGGATGGAGTAATTGAAGGGGCGGGCTTGCTGTGTCTCGATACTGCGGTCTGTATCTGCCCGTGCTATTGTGGGAGCAAGTCTGTAATCACGGCCAAAATGGTAGCTTTTGTTCTGAACCTCGCCCTCGCCAAAACATCTTACTTTTTTTTCATGCTCGTTCTTCATGCCACACGTGATTTGGAAATCTTTCGACTACAATCTGCCTAGGATTTTATTTCTTATTTTGGACGTCGATCGTCGATGGCTACTCATGTTGTCGTTTTCTCTCTCCCATCACAAGCTACATCCTTTGCACGCGTACCACCGAACCAAAAGAGGACCCAGTTCTGTTTCATGAGGGTACTGCCTGTTCAGTCGTACTTGTTCCGGGATGCAAGCTCGTCACCTAGCAGTATGTACGCGCTCGTCACACTCTCAAACCAGACGCGACACTTCCGATCTGCATCGCTCAACGGCCAGATCCACCCATACGTTGTGCCCTTCGCCACTCAAAAGCCATCCCTTCCTTCCCACCCTCCCACAGCCGTCATGCTTCGTGGACGAAGGAAAAAAAGATCTCTCCCCGCCCTCCTTGCAGGTGCTGCAGGAATGGGAGTTTGAGTTAGAGGGCTTATGCCTGTCGGGGGGAGATCAGCACGACGGAGTCGCCGCGGACGAAGAGCATCTCGCTTTGCTTTACGGTTGGCTGTTCGCGTTGTTGCGTTAGTGACCTTCTTTTCCTTTTCTTATGTTTGAATCATTTCGGTATGAGATTTGCGTCATTGTCTGGGTGTGCGTCTACATCGAGGCCCGCGTCTGCGTCTGCGAGCTTCTATCCAGCGAGCAGCGGCTGGGCGGGGGAAGGATGGTTAAGGGAAGGTAAGATCTAGTTGAGACGTAATTTCTTTCGCACCTTCAGCGCAGCCTCCTCCTCCTCATCTTCTTGTGCGTATATTGTCTCCGTCACGTCGCCGAGCACAAGGTTGCAGTGTGAGTCGTATGCCTGGAAAGGGCCGCGGGGAGGGCCAGAGTGTCAGCAGACGCATTCTTGACGTCAGGCATAGGCTGCCACCGATTCCATCCTGCATGCCAGCAAATTGTCCAACCCAAGGGCATGCAGCTCAAGACGGTGAAAGGGCAAGGAATGGGAGGTTGTGATTAAGTGAACACGTACGTGCAGTCTGCCCTGCAGCTCGCGGTCGCCGCGCAGCTTGACGACGACAATCTCGTCCAGACACAGACGCACCAGATCGAGCGGCTCATTGGCCGGTGCATCGTCCTCGGCCATGGTCGCGGGGGTGGTGGAGTACTCGTACAGGGTGTACGGCGTGGGTATGTGGGCGCAAAGAATGTGCTTCCCGGTGGTTCAACGTCGACCTGGTTTGCTTTTCAGGAGTGGAGCGCGCTAGTGGCGAAAGCAAGAGGCCTCAGCCGTGCTTGGCGTGCGTGGGAGGCCGCACTCTGCATCGCCGGCCTCGCTCTCGCTGCCAGTAAGATGTTAAGTCAGCCCATCTGCACTCGATTGAGACCTCACACCGCCGACCCACGCGTGGACCCACGATGCTATGTTGCTTGGGCATGTGTGTGACCAATGTCAACTGGGGTGGCTCTCTTGCATCAGGGCGCCGCCCCGATGCATGAAGCCGTTTGACAGCAGCGTGATCGCTGCATGTGTGGGCCATGCGTAAGATCCTAAGAACCACCCGTATCCGCAACGTAGTTTACGGGTCTGCCTTGTATGGCCTCCGGTAAATCTGTGTAGGCAGTGCGAAAGTCGTGGCTACGCCACGGCTCCTACACTCTTTCCGCCCCTCCCCTCCTGCTGCTTCTCCATTCTTTGTTGCCCTCTCTCCATCCAACATCAACTTGGAATTGAGCCGACGGACACATATTTTGCACCGCTTCTGTTTATTTAGAGCGCTGAGTAGCCCAGGCAGCTGCGGCCATGGAAATGCAGCGCTCGAACTACCGTGCGGATTCAGCGATGAAGAGCGCACATCGTCGCGAACCCTTTCCGCGCGGCGCGTCTGCAATGTCTTCGCAGAACTCGGTCGGTCCAGGCAATGTACAAATACCACACTATAATCCCGGACAAGATTCAAGCTTGGAAATGTCTGCGCCGTGCTTTGCGAATTGGAATGACTGGACATGGCAGACCAATCACCTTACTGGCTCATTTGTGGACACCGTAAGACTCCTCTATAGATTCTTGACGTGCCTGCTCATTTTCAATAGGACACCGTGCCCTATAGTAACAGCTCGATGACTCAGAGCACCGCCGTAAATTACACTCAAGTACGTCGTGGGATTGCGGACACCGTATTGTCTGTGAATCGTCTAATGTTGTCGCAGGATACCTGGCAAAGTGCGGTGACGGATCAGTTCGACTGTGACACCAGCGGTAGTCTAACGAACCATGTCGATTCGCACATTTCTGACCTTCCTGCTTGGACAACCCAGTCCCCCTTTCAGACTCGAGATGCCTCCATGCCGCAAGGTGGAGACCTGTCGCATCTTCAAAACGTGAGCGCAACTCCCACAGCTTGGTTTGAATCACGTGATGTCAGTCAAGACAATGTGCTTGATTCGAGTTCTCAACAGGCGCAACTGATGTCTGAGACTCTCTCTGCCAATCATCGTTGGCTACCGCTGTGTCGCAAGGTGGTGACAGTCATCACAAATGCCATGTGCAGATCAACATCCGTCACCACGGATTGCTTCTTTGGCATGTGCATGCTTGCAAATACCCCCGAGATCCCACTGAGTGATGTTAAACTTGCAACAATCGGCACAGACGCCTTGACTCAATTGTGCAGCATGGATTCGTTCACGCCCAGGCAGATCCATGGCATTGCTATCCTCGCGGGTTGCAAGGATGACGAGGTCAAGCGTTGCCTGTCGGATGGGAAACGGGAGTCACACGAGGCTGCTCTGCCTCAACCTGCAAGGCCGCCGCCACGTCGTCGCAAAAGAGCTAGGCCAAGCTTCACGACGCAGGTCGATATCATTCCCAAAACTAAGCGTCAGGATGTGGGGACTACCGAAAGTTCCTCGAAAGAAACAGCCCACTCGATGGTCCCCGTTCCTTTGTACCAAACTGCCGCGGCCGCCCTTGCCAAGAACCCGTTATTCTGTGCGAGAAAATGCACCGAGGAGCAAAAGATGGCGAACAAAGCGAAACCAAGAGATCCAGAGAAGCCGTATTCATGCTTAAATCTTTGCGGGGAAGCCTTTGCGGCCGCCGATCTTCACGGATTTAAGAGACATCACCTGTCAAGTACTCCTCAGCATGGCTGGCTGTGCAACATCCCAGCAGAGCTCAAAGATGACGCGGGCAACCGGATCTGCACTGTGTGCGGTCTTGAGAACCCCAGCGATAAGCACGTGGCCGAGAACCACCCTAAGATCATCCCTTGCTCGGACAAACCGATCAACGTGATCCGGAACCAAAAGGGGGGAAGACTTTTTGTGAGGCGCGACAAATTCGACGAGCACGTTCAAAAGCACAAGGGAACCCCAAGCGCCAAGTCATTCCACGGTTGCTGTGTTGACGTTCAGGGCAATTTCAACCCTCAGTGCGGATTTTGTGGGTGCCAATTCTCAACACTGGAAGAGAAGCTGGAACATGTCGCCAAGATGCACTTTGATCGTGGTGAGTCGATGGCAAGTTACCAAGATCCTTGGCACGGGCCTCTGGAGCATAACTCCGGTAGCAATGGTGGCGACGACGATGATAATGACGAGAATGGTGGAGATGGAGATCAGGGAGCCGATGATAGAAACAACGATGGTGGTGGCGAAGCAGGCGAGGGTGATGATAACAACAAGAACGAGGATGATGCGCACGATCAGGGGCCGCAAAGTGAGGATATTGACCCTGGTGGTCGCCGTCGTGATCCTGACCTTCACCAAGACAAGAAAAGACGCCGCCAGCATAATCATCGACCTTATAATGATCGCGGCTCAGATGAAACGCTGCGACAATCAGAATCGGACGACTCTTGCAGACACCGGTCAAATCATCTGAGACTATCCAAGGACTTTAAGCACCTCTTGCGTAGAAGACGCGCTCATAGAAATTCCTTGGGATTCTTTGTGACGGGGTCGTCTTTACTGCAGATCTTAACCGCTATTGCCACTCAATTCAACGGATTCACCGTTGAGCCTGCTATGCTCAGAAGAGTTGAACCTCCAGAAGACACGTCTGAGGAGCACGACGACTCCGATCGAAACGAAGAGGTGAGATTCGAACTATGCGACTGGTCTGGTGTCGAGACTCATGCACCGTTGGGCTACGGCGCTACCTCTGTCGTTGACAAGATACGTCTGTCGAGTCAGGGCCCATACTTTGCCCTCAAGCAACAGAAACTTGGCCAACACGAAATATCAAAGGTTCGGAGTGAAGTGAAGTTGTTGCTAAACGTTCAACACCTCCATGTCTCACGACTGGAAGGAATGGCTTTCCAAGACAAGACATGCTCTATACTTTTGTCACCTGTAGCTGACACCACGCTGGCCACCCTGTTGCAGGCAGATCCATCAGCCTCGCAAGAGACGACCTGGACCCTGAAGTTTGGATGCCTTGCTCAAGGAGTTAAGGCGCTGCACGATGCAGACTTCTGCCACCTAGATCTCAAGCCTGACAACGTCCTCATCACAAGTTCTGAATCTTGGATCATCGGTGATTTCGGCGCATCTTCTCATGGACCTCAGCCCAAGCCTTCGGCGTGGACACCGAAATATGTAGCCCCGGAAATTCAATCGAAGTTAGCGGCCTCGAAGGCATCAGATATTTGGTCGCTTGGCTGCATTGGATTGGAGCTCCTTTATCACTTTGGAGTAGATCCGACCAGGCGAGATGACAATGTGCCCTGTTTGAACCAGAAGTCTTTCTTCTTCAGTGAGCACATTGCCGAGCTTTCAGCATGGCTCCAGACGGAAGCTTTGTCGTCCAGCCATCTCAGTGTCTCGCAGTTCGAAGTTCTTCGACGTACAATAGAAGCCGACCCTTTGCGAAGGCCAAGTATCGAAGAGGTCGTCACTGTTTTCACGCCCGGCCCATGTTGTGCTTTTGTCAAACCCTTCAAATCACTGAGTGCTGCGGACGAGAATACGTCCGCTGCAGACTTTAGATATCCCCTGCTTGCCATGCACAAGCGAGAGTTTCGGCTGATCTCGCTCCGGCCATATTCCGGAGATTCCATATCATGCGAACTTGAAACTTTCAGTCTCGACGATGAGCTCAGGTACAAAGCGCTGTCATATACTTGGGGCACCTCACATAATTCTAGTCTCATACATGTGAATGGCAGCCCGTTTCTTGTTAGGAGGAACCTATACGATCTCCTGGTCTCTTACAAACAAAGTCAAACGTCCCCGATAGACCGGGTGTGGATTGACGCACTATGCATCGACCAAAGCAACGTGAAAGAGAAAAGCCATCAAGTAAGCATGATGAGAGACATATACGAAAAAGCTTCAGAGGTAATAGTATGGCTCGGGCCTGGAACTTCGTCCCAAAAGAAAGCAATGGTCAGCTTACGACAGGCTGTTGACGGGCACTGGAGTCAATCGGCGGCCCTATCCTTCGGCACTGACCTATTCATGGCTTGGTGGACGGTCATGGAATTGTTTGAGCGGCCATATTGGAAGAGAGTTTGGACAATCCAAGAGATACTAGTTGCCCGGAAATTGACCATTCGTTTGGGCGATGAGAATTTATCCTGGGAGACGTTGCAACAACTTGCGCCGCATATCGGATGGGGAAGAGACTATCATTATGCCGACTATGGAAAAAGCTTGTACATGCATCGAAACGATTCAAAGTACGAAAGCAAGCTCTGCCATCTCCTGGTGAACGCGCGAGGCTTTGAATGTAACGATCCACGAGACAAAGTGTACGGCCTGCTCGGCCTCACGAGTGACATCAAGCTTACGCCAGACTATACAGCATCGGTTCAAGATGTTTACATTCAGACGACGAAGGCGTTGTTGATGGAAGGTTATCTCGGGATACTGACAGCCTGTGGCGACCTGGGTCACTATTCTAAATTGTTGCCGTCTTGGGTTCCTGACTTTTCGGTTTCGCGAAACTCGAGTATCCCCGGTAAGGATCAGTTACTACAGGCCTGGGACAGCCAAGACCACTCGCCTCTTGCCTTCCTCGATGGGAATATACTCAAGATCAGGGCATACGAGGTCGACACCGTCAAGGACTTGATACCAAGGAGCCGTAACCCGAAACGTGAGGTGAGTTTAAAAACTGGTGTGGGCGGGCGCCGACGTGCCGCCGACAGCCTTTTCACAAGAGGGGCGGACTCGTTTGGTTATCTTCGCGAGCGATTGCAGCGATTCAAATCGATAGCTCAGACTCGAATTTCGAGGCCGTCCACGCCGACGAATGAGCGTCGAGATCCTCTTTGCAACGTCACAACGTCGCTAGGCGACGAGACCATTGAGAATTTGGAGTCGATGAGCATTGGAATGCGTCACTTGTGCGGCATGCCGCGGGAAATGGAGTTCCCCGGGAAGAGTTTGGAGATGGACAAGGTCATGTTCACCACTCGTCACGGCCATGTAGGCTTGACTTTAAAGACGGTAAAGAATAGAGACGTGCTCGTCAAGTTTCAGAGATCCGGGCCTGTCTTTATCCTTCGGCCAAGCGAGCATGGCAGGTTCCAGTTGGTGGGTACGTGTGTAACGAATGCGAACGAGGATGGCGGAGCGGAAGATGTGCTTGCGCAGCCAATATTCTACATTGAGTAGAAGTCAATGCGAGATCAAAACTCTACTTTGGTTCGTGAGGAAATCGACATGAGACGAAAATTCTATGTTGATCTTATCTTCAAACTAATGTGCAATTTGATCTCACGTTGACTTCTAGTAAAAGTAGAATCATGAATTTTTTTTCTCCTTTTTTTCTAGAAAAAATTCTTTCATTTTTCTTGGATCCAGAAGATACCTTATCCAACACCTAGTCACTATAACTTAACGCACGCTTGCATAACACAGTCTTTCTTGAAGTTCTCTGAGGTAAAATCACGTCATTTTGTGGCTTACATCGTATCAAAAGGTTGCCTATCCCAATGCCAAGTAGCTTCTGAGATTGAAATAGACGACAAATCCGGGCCATGGCGAATCGTTCAGTGGAGCTTCGCGTTGACCCAGCCTTCTTCGTGTCTGAAAGGTCTTTTGTATTGACCGTAATTATGAAAAAAGTCTCGATCAATAGAAAAGCCGGGCTTGGGGACCTCCACAAAAGCTGGAAGCGTCTTCAGCTCAGACAAAAGAGAAGCAGATTGTTCACATCAGTCTTTATTCGATAGGTTCATAGAATTCCAGCCCGTCTCCGCATTTTTCGTGTAGTTCGCGTCTTTCGAATACCTAACGCTGCTCCTCCGTCCACGGCGGTCACCTCTCCCTAACGCTTCTCTCCACAAATGCCTGCGGCGTCCAAGGCATTGCTCAAGATGTCCTTAGAGATGGCTAGATCAACGTTCGCGGCCCTGAGGTTCCTTGCGATGTTGAAAACCTTGACTATGCGGTGGCTGAGCTTGTCCCAGGTAAAAGACTCTTCGGAGTGACCGGCGCTGTAGCCCAGCGGCGCGGTGTCGCCTCTGACGGTGCCTTCAAGCCAGGACAGGAGGTTGCTACGCAAGAACTCGCGCGAGGCGTTTGGGTCGTGGCGATGCGTGAGTAGGACGGTGCTGAGGCCGTACTTGTCTCCAACCTTGCGGTAGCGCTTGAAGTTGACCGGATCGTAGTTGTAGATGGTGCAGGCGAAGCTGTTCTCCCGGTAAAAGAACCGAAGGCACTCATTCCGAATCTGGCGGCACGTCCGCGCCAGAGCAGGCTGCTGTGGACTGTCGCCTACGATGTTGAGCTGCTCGGGCGAGACGACTGCGAAGCGCCATATCATGTTTCGAATCTCGGCAGGCAGACGTAGCAGCCTGCACTTGGTGGGTGCCTCCTCGGCCGCAGAAGTTATGGCTTCGGACTCTGTAGCATCCGCACAAGAAAGGACCGTAGCCTTCGTACATGGACGCTTGGCGCGAGGTGGACATTCGCCACCAATCTGCTCGAGATTGCGCTTGCAATGGAGCCGGGCTAAGAAATACTTTTGACTCGTGTCGCGCTGACAAGCTCGAATGACAACTGTTCTTCTCATTTGTCTGGGATTCAAATCGCCTCCAAGTGGCTTTGGATTCACGGAAGATTCACGGCGGTCCTGAGATATAACTCCTTGCTTGAGAGAAGCGATACCAGCCGTGACTTCAATGGGTTGACTTTGCTGTCTTGACGAGGGTTGTGCACTTACTGCGTCCATCGACGCCAAAGCATGTATAATCCATTCGAAAGAAACTTTTACCTCTGCCGTGGGAAGAGGACTTGTGCCCGCCGTTACCTGAGAGGTTATTGTGAGGGTTGTCATTTCTGCTAGGGGAATATTTATGGCGTGAGGATGCACGCCCGCTCCGGGGTTTTTTTTTCCTTTGCGACAATATCCCAAAAGGTTGAATAAACTTCTATCAACACGAATAAAGCAGCGGACTCGTTCTTGATGCAGAGAAAATCGGAATGTTGAGGATGAACTCGGCAAGAAGATGCACTTCTTCTTTTTTATAGAAAGTTCACCACAAGGCTGATTCATTTGTGCATGACTGCGAACATAGTCAAAAGACTAACTCGCATATCTATTTTTAGCCCTCGGTGAATGCTTGAACTGGTATTTGAATCCAGATTGTTTAGCTAAGTTTGGTTGCCTCACCAACGTAGATCGCAGTCTGCGGCCTCTTTCAATCAGCCGCATCGGAAAACGGATATTGATCAAAACGACAATCTCTATAGCAGACTATGTATCTTGGAGGATCTTTTTCCGTCGAATCTGTGAAACTGACAAGCTAACTTAATGCGAGAAGTTTGAGTTCTAAACCAATTTTCACTTCGCCAAGAATGGCAAACAGTGACGTCCACACTGGATTTCATGTTCGTAAAAGCGTGCTCTAAAGAGCTACAGATCTATTCTGTTTGAATGAATATGCTCATGCCTCTCAAAGAACCACTTCCATCAACGCCCACGTGGTCCCGAATTCGCATTTGCCGCCCTTTCAGACCGTTTCTCGCGGCCTCTTTGCTTTCAGCCCAATTTCCGACCATGATTTTGGCCTCGATGCGACGAGGCTCTAACTCGCCTTGTATCCGGTCAGTTATCCCAAATGCCAGCGAAGTCAAAAATAATTCTACCACAGGGTGAGATCAACGCCTCCCGGTTTGTTGTCTCATAATCAATACCTCGGCTGACGCAAAAATCTCGATATCGAAGCCTTTCGTCCGGTCACTTTTACGACTAACGATACGGGAAGCTAAGCTTCAGGGCGGACGATCAAGGGCATCCATGATTTGTGGAAAATACTCAAGACACGTGGATCCAGAGAGAAAACGTCGTGCTTTTGATTAATGGCGCTAAAACATCAGGTATCGAGGCAACAGCGTGTACCCTACGGTCGAGAGTAATGGTTCTCTGTCGAAGTGCCTCATGGAAACAGTGCAGTCTTCCAGTTACTAGGTACAAGATCATCTTTATCGTGACAGGCTTTCGGATTGAGCTCATAAAGCATTCAGCATCCATGCTCGCTGTCTATGTTCAGGCAGATAATAAGAGTCTTGGCGTTGTTTTGTGTAAAGTTGAAGCAGCCTATGGACGCTCGGAGACTGGGATCGAGCAACTCGCCATCCTCGTCGTTGCGCAAGATCGTCTGCACTGTGCGCGGATATTTGACCTTGATGATCATACTTGTGGATCATATAATTGATTTGCGATATAAGGCAGAGAATTTGACTTAGAAATTATCTTCATGGGACTTGCTGTTCACAAGCACAAAGTCCACGCATTTAAGTCAATACCAGAAGCCTCGCCTTGAATGATTTCCTCCTTAAGTAGGTTCTGATTCTGAGTTTGAGAATGGCCATTTGGTTAGAAAGAACAACTAGGTGAAGGCTGTAAGAATAAATTGAAGATGCCAACTCGTGTGAATAGCTCTATTACGCATAGTGCATACTGGGCAACAACAGGCTGTAGAGCCCACCTGCTGTCTCATTTGAAAAATATCACTCAGACATAAAACGCTTCTTTAACATCAGTTAAACACTCATCGCTGCAATGAATAGACTGTGAAACTTTTGTAATACGCTCGGATATCCAAGATTCAGCAGCCTTTGTTGTGGAGTAATTGACCAAACTTTCGAGGCAGGAATTGAGATCACTTAGTATAAAGTGCGCATTATGGCGTTTTGAACCAAAATACGCATTGCGATTTTGTCCGGCAGATCTTGGTTCGGCTCTACAGTCAGCATGAAAGGTTCAAACCATTTCAAATCCAACGACTCGGCTGGCTTCCAAATATGAGTGGTCGAGAAACCGATGGTGAAAAGACAGAAACGAGAGAGAGGTCGACTTTAGTTCCACTTGGATGACTTGCATATGTTAAGAATCCCTCGATTCAAATTCAATGCAACTACGTTTCGTGATTTGATAGACGTGGGGTATGCGACTGCAACCAGTCCGACGAACACACACGCAAGATGCAGGCTTTTCTCGCACAAATAAGCTACCAGCACAACGCCAATTGTGGCAGACTTGAAAGTGGGACAAGAAATGCGTTTACTAGCAATTGATATCTAGGGAAAAATGCAAACCTAAGCGTCCATCTTCGGCTTCGATTTGAGCACAGCTTTCTAATCGCGATAAGATCTTGCTTCGAGGCGCCTTGGTCGCCATGTGCTTCATGTGTGAGCGAGCGAGGAGCAAGTTCGCCGGTGCTTGAACTTCTTTCTCGATTCCATCGAGTAATATATGCACTCGCTAGCTCGAAGGCAACGCACAGTGATGAAAACACAGAGCATGTCCAGTCCTCTAACCTAGTCAAGTTAGCGTGCAGATCTCCCGCAGCCCAATGAGATAACGCTAATTTGATCTTCTGGCTTGACCTTGGCTCTCGCAACTGTGCTTAACGTCCATCTTCCAAACTGTGCATCGGCCGCTTCCGACAAGTCTACAATCGCAACTGCTCGGAACTCGCCTGTGCAACTCTGCGGGTCCTACCGCGTCGCGTATCTGCTGCTCTTCCTAATTTTGGTATGACGTTGTCGTTGCTGTGGTGATTGCGATACAGGACTTTGTCACCCCCGTTTATGCTGTCATCGCGATCGAGAGGCAAGGCTGCCAACGCGAGGCTGATCGAAGCAGTATCGATCGACAGCAACCTTATCTTGTATAACAAGGTCAGTAGCCATGCCATCTTTGCAGCGTTTTCTTTATCCTGTAATAGCGGCAGCGCGCCAGTTCAAGCTCCCTTGCCCCTTGGCTGTATAGAGCGTGCCATTCTTCCCCTTGCCATTCAAGATGAGTGCGCTCAAGACATACGGAACACTAAGAAAGGATGACACAGAGGTCCAATTTATCGAGTCTGCTGAACGTCAGTATCGGCAACAGCCCACCATGGACCCACGGACGTGGTTCAAGGACCTCACCCCGTACTTCCTCTACATCGTTTTAGTCGCTACGATAGGGCCTATGCTCTTCGGCTATCACCTCGCAGAACTGAACACACCGCAAGACGTCATAACATGCAAGAAGAAGAGCTTGTTTGACACCGGGCTTGACAAGTCGACGCTGCCGCAGTGCATACCAATGAATGACACGCAAGTGGGCATTGTGTCAAGCATGTTTACTCTGGGTGGTTTCATGGGCGCAATGGCTGCGGGACCAGCGGGGAACAGGTATGGACGACTGCGCACAATGATGGCCACAATCTTCTTCTTCGTGCTTGGACCTGTCTTCGAAAGTCTCGCCCCAAGCATAGGTGTCATGGCATTCGGGCGTCTGGTTTCAGGCCTTGGCGCTGGCGCGTCCATTGTTGTGGTACCTATCTACATCTCCGAGGTCTCTCCACCGGCCGAGAAGGGCTTTTTTGGCAGCTTGGTTCAGGTCATGGTCAACTTCGGCATCTTCACCACTCAACTGCTTGGCTACTTGCTCAGCTATGGTCAGATGTGGAGACTGGTCCTGGCTATCGGGGGTGCTATTGGAGCTCTGGGAGGTATCGGTCTGCTTTTTAGTGCTGAGAGTCCTAAATGGACCGCAGGAGAGGGCAAGGGAAGCAAGGCTAAGAAGATGCTTCTAAGAATTAGGGGTGACAAGTTCGACATTGAAGAGGAATATGCGACGTGGGGTGTGCATGATGACAGCGATATACCTGCCGAAGAGGAGACGCTACTAAGCAGCAACAACGAACATGGCATTCGCCCAGCGGTTGATGCTAAGGGACGCAAGGAGAACCTTAGCATGTGGCAAGCTGTCGCGGACCCCAACAACCGGAAAGCCATTATCGGCGTTGTGGCTGTTATGATTGCGCAGCAATTGACTGGTAAGTCGCACTGCTCATGATCCAGCTTAGCATTGACTTACAGACGGTAAAGGCATCAACTCGATCATCATGTACGGTGTCACCCTACTGGCTGATCTTCTCCAGTCTAATTCAGCGCTGCTCAATCTTTTCGTATCGCTCCTTAACATCGTGGTGACCCTTGGCTGTGCACCGCTGATTGACAAGTTGGGGCGTAAATCTTGCCTGCTCACCTCCATAGCCGGTATGGGCGTTTCCTCCCTTTTGCTTGGTATCGGAATACTCCATGAAATCTCCATTCTCTCAGCCGTAGCCGTTCTCTGCTTCGTCGGCTCTTTTGGAATCGGCCTAGGACCCATTCCATTCATTCTTGCCGCCGAGCTTGTCGATACTGAAGCTGTTGGCGCAACTCAAGGGTGGGCACTTGGGGCCAATTGGATATCAACTTTTATTGTTGCACAGTTTTTCCCCGTGGTGAATGGATACCTGGGGAAGGGCAAAATCTATTTCATATTCGCCAGCGTTGCGCTCTTTTTCTGGCTCTTCATTGGATGGTGGGTACCGGAGACTAAGGGAAAGAGAAATGCAGACGAAGTCTGGGGGAGGATACCCCGAGTCAGCGAGCGAGAAGACTAGTCTCTCTTGAATGCGGTCTGCTCTGTTCTTATGTATTATTATCGCTCTGGTCACGGGCTTTGGCAGGCAACATCGGAATGGGATATTTGCATTCGACGGAGTTCGAGGTTCTTGTACATTGTGATACCACATAGGCACAATCAATTTCCTCTGATCTTTTTTCCCTTCAAAAATCCACTCGTTTCTATCAATAAAAGTACACGTCACAGAAGTTGACAGCTGCAAAGCGCAGCGCAGCCCTCCATTTCCTCGCAGCCCGTGACCAGAATCATGCCTCGGATGTTGGACTCCGCGCTTTCGGCTCCCGCGACCCTCCCTTCCGATGACGGCACCTCTCTCTCCAGTGTGATTTCTAACTCTCATGTCATCTAGTCTGTCGCGCAACGAAAACCCATTCCGCACCCGACTGTTTGTTTTTTTATACGTTGTAGCATACATATACATCTAGATATCTAATTGCGTTTTCGGCATCTTGGATTGCTTCAGAGCTCACATAAACCGAGGACCATTCAGCACCACCAGAACAATTGGAAACACACGGAATACGACAGAATCATATTGGCTTATAGTCAAGAGCCAGAATTACCATACGGTAGATCCGAGTGGTGAATGAATAGCGACTGAAGGAAACTCTACTTAACGCAGTCTTTGGTTAACCAACTTAAGTTACGGCAAAGCCAGAACAAATTCACTATGGCCCAAGCAGAAGACCACAGTGAGCAATTGCCGGCTCATGCCTCTCCCGCATTCCCACCAACACTTTCGCCACGACCACGCGCAATATCAGACTTTCAGCTTGCAGATCAGGAGCGTCAACGCGATCCACCAGCGTCCATAATATCCCCTGCCTTTACTCCACCGGCGACTCCCGGCACAGGCACACCAGCTCTCGAACGCCCTCCCAAATCTGTACCTGTAGATACTTCATTACAAGATCCAGCGGATGGCCCAAAACTTGTACAGCGTTTACCAACTGTGACATGTGAGGTCCGGGCAAGGATACCCACAACGAGCGGTCAGGAAATGTATTTGCATTTGTACAAGAACGACATGGACAACAAGGAGCATTTGGCTATCGTCTTTGGTAACCAGATCAGGAGTCGGAGTCTATACGCAGTGCGGCCTGGCGAGACGCAGAGAGATCGCTTGATAAGAGGCGCGTATGAAGGTAGATTACATCCAGGACGAGTGAATGAGATTAAACAAGACGCTGTGGTTGTCCCACCTAGGGCTCCACCACAAGAAGACGCCACCACGAACGCCTCGAATCAGATTCCTCTGGTGCGTATACATTCTGAATGCTACACTGGCGAAACAGTCTGGTCAGCGCGTTGCGATTGTGGTGAGCAGCTCGACGAAGCTGCGCGGCTCATGTCACTCCCATCAAATCAACCCGCAGGCGGTGTCATCATTTACCTGAGACAAGAAGGGCGCGGAATAGGTTTGGGCGAAAAACTCAAGGCGTACAATCTGCAAGACTTGGGCCACGACACGTATGAGGCGAACCTGCTGCTGCGGCATCCGGCAGATGCAAGGAGCTATGGTCTTGCAACAGCCATGCTCGTGGATTTGGGTTTGAAGGACGTGCGGCTATTGACTAACAACCCCGACAAAGTGAGAGCAGTGGAAGGACCGAATCGGGAGATTAGAGTGAGGGAAAGAGTTGCCATGATCCCATTGGCATGGCAGACGGGAGGACAGAAAGGCATCAAGAGCGAAGAGGTAGAGAAGTATCTAAGCACAAAGGCGAGTGGTTTTTCCTTTCCTGAATAAGGCAGGGCAAATACACTAACAAAGATTGAGCAGATTGAGAAGTTCAAGCATATGATTGGATAATCATGCTGGAGGGACTGTGGAGTCACTGGTGGCGAGTACTCCTCTCGCTGAGATAATATTTCCGCCGCAGCTTCGCTGCACATTGTCATAGAAGCGCGAGATCGGGGATTTACTTTTGCGGAATTGAATCCAAGGACCAAGTTCTCGGCTCCCGGACTCCGACCTTTTTTATATTCTTAGATCAAGGGACCTTGCCCACGTAACGTTTTAAACCTGGTCATGACTGGAGCTGCAATCAAGGGTTCGATGCGCTCCGTTCAGATGTTGATCTAAGAAATCATAGATGCCATCCTTCGCAGGCCTGTCTTACAGAGTATAGCGGAGTCACATTAGCGCTCTTTGCGTGGCGTGTATGGCATCTATCAACCCGATGTGCGGCCATTCTCATTTTCCGATATCACGCATACAGATCATTGTGACGGAATAAGCCCTCCACTTTCAGCTGCAGACTGAGTTTGAGGGAGGAGCTAAATGCGCGATGTAGATGCGGATATGAGTAGAACCGAAAGAGTTAGGACATGCAGAGTTTAAGCTACCATTGAAAGTCTCTTTCCAGCGTTGTTTAGATCCCGAGTTAGTACGAGAAAATAGGGAAAGAGTTGAATTGAAGTAGCTCTAATTCTTCGTCGAGTACACGCACAAGCTAAACGTGATGCTGTTCGTTTGTCTTTTTCAGGTGCAAGACCAATTACAACACAGACCCGCTTGGAGGCGCGGAGTTGCTTTGTGTTTCTTGATAACTATCCTTCGTTAAGATTCTTCGAACCTGTGCCCATGTGTAGCGTTCCGATCCATTGTGTAGGAAGACGTTGAGCTCAGTGCGAAGGTCATCGCACTCCCAAAGTGATTTTCCATTGCTCAAGACGCCCAACTGGCCCAAGAAATTTCTAAATGCCTTTGCTCTGTCTCCATCGTCCGGCTGCAAACATGACTTCTCGTTCTCCCTTTTTGCAGCTTCCCGGAATTTACTCGCTCCAGGTGCGTCTTCAGATACGCAAGCCAGCACGGCATCTGCACCGCGGAATATTTGATCCATCATCTGTTCCTGATGGGCTCTTTCCAGGTCGTCAGACTGGTGTATGCAAAGACAGTCGATCCAGAGATGCTGATAATCCTCGCGTCGTTCTACTTGCATCAGCGCGTCGAGCGCGGCCTTTTCAACGCTAAAGCTTCTGCCATTCAGGACCACGGATTCCGTTTTCTGACCGAGTCCATGCTTGTACACTATCGCCGCGTATGAAGGTGCGGAGCCGACGGCGAACGTCCTCAGCACGTATGACGGTTCGCCCCACGGTAACGGTGCTCTTCGCTCCAACAGGCGGAACTGCCCTGCCTGGATAGCTGTCCACTGGAAGAGCATCACGGAACCGACCGCCTTAGACCAGAAGGAGATTTAACGAAGCCGTGCTACAAAACAGAAAGCGTGGCGGTTCTGTGCTGCTCCAATGGAGCGTCCAGTCCGGAGCTTGACGTCAACGGTGCAGAATTTGTTATGCCATTCAGCACATCCAAATCCGAAGTTAAGCCAAAGCCAAAACGCGACGGATAACAAAACCAGGAAAAGGGTAAAGTTCACAGTGACTACTTGTACAAATAGGCCTCTAAAAAAGAAGCCTTCGTTTTAAATTTCTTTTTTTTTATTTTAATTTTTTCTAACCTTTTCAAATGCCCAAAAAAACCAGTCTTCGCAAACTGATCCCTTTTGATGAATAATCTTTGACGCGTCAGGTTGTAAATTGAAAACTTATTCTCTCTGTTGCGGTCGAAGATCAGGTATCATTTTCATCGAACGTTAGCTTGTACAAGAAGATTCTGAAGGATCTGCTGGACTCTTACAAAGGCAGGGTGCTATGCATCCAAAGGCCACGTCAAGCAATCAGATTTGCATGCGCGGAAAAGCACACTACTTTCGGCCATTTTACAGCAAACGACGCCCAGAGTCAGCTTGAAGGGGAAGTTTCATCATAAACTTTTTGGTGCGAACCACACAGAATAGGAGGCAAGTGCATCCATCGTTCTCGCGAACAATTCCCCTTACTGTGGGTTGGTTCGAGAGTATGGATTAAAACGATTTTTTTCCTAACATGAATCCGAGTAGGAACAGCACCCGATGTTCTTGAAACGGCCGATCCTATATATATTTATATACATTGATTACTTCACTTAACCCAAAGTGAAGCATGGTTCTGCGTGCTTACGTCCATGCACCCTAATCGAAAGTCCGTAAGATAAGCACCTTTCCAAGTTTGGATTATATTATAGCCAAGATTGTATCTCTTTTCATTAGAAATTATATTACATGTTTCTATAGCAAAGTTCAGCGTCAAAAGGATCATTTTTGTGGCGGATCATATTTCTCCGAAGGTGAAAAATGAGAGACGTATAAATCCGAAGTATGCTTACTCATGGCTATGTTGATTCTTACGTTATACCGCCTTCCGAAATCAAGAGAACCTAGCTCATCATATATACGATAGGGGTATTATATCTCGCTTTTCGGATCCTACGTCTCCGATATCTTAGATCAGATTTCAACCATTGTATACTCATAAGCTGATTCGAGAATGGAGCACCCTTACCAGCGTGATGAACTAGCAGATGCTGGACACATTGCCAGCAAAGCTTATTTCGAATTAGCTAGGATTGCGAATGAAAAAATTAGCTTTTCTCTGGACTGTACAGCTTAGAATAATTGTTATATCATTATGAGCAACCGCACTTGCTTCCGATATCAAGAATTCATCCCTATCAAAGTCCAGCTGAAGGAGCTTATGATGGACAGCCAAAAGATAATCGACCTTCTGACCCCTCTTGTCTCATCTTCCACCGAATTCTCAACCTCGTCGTCCAAGAAAATGGGAGTCGGTCATCCTCGGTGGACGTTGTTTGAAGCTCCATCGTTTAGCGTGGCAGCCAGGCCAGCCAGCCTAAGCGATCTTCGAGCAATTGTCAAATGTGCAACTGAAAACAACATTCCATTTATGGCCACGTCTTCAGGTCATGGATATAGTCGGATATTGGGCAAAGCGAAAGATGTGCTTGAAATTGATCTCAGGAACTTCAATGATGTAAATGTTGACGAGGATGCAAACACGGTGACCATCGGAGGAGCTGTGCTCCATAGAGAGCTTATAGAGCCACTGTACAAAGCGGGAAAGCAAATGCGTACGTTTGTGAGCGAAACCAGGTTCGAGGACTTTCAGCTTACGTCAATTTTAGCTGTAGGAGCTTGCACCTCTACAAGTGTCGTGGGTGTGACTCTCGGGGGTGGTTTGAATCGCTGGCAAGGAGTCTACGGCCTTCTCATAGACAGTCTTCTCTCTGTGAAGTTGCTGACTGCAGGTGGTGAAATAGTGACGGCTTCAAAGACCGAGAACGTCGAGCTCTTCTGGGGCATCCGCGGTGCAGGTTTCAACTTTGGCATTGTAGTTTCGGCAACGTATCGAATCTACGAACTGATCAACGATGGCCAAAACTTCGTTGCCGACTTTGTCTTTCCTTTCGAAAAGAGCATGGACATCATTAAGGTTTTGAAAAACTGGGAGTTAGATCAAGATCCGCTACTATCTCTCGCGTCCGGCCCAATGTGGGACTCTGCAACGGATAGCCCAGTTCATATCGCAAGTTTGCTTTATATTGGACCAGAGGAGAAAGGGATCAAATATGCACAAAAGCTCCTTGACATTGGACCCCTCTATAAGAACTTTTACATGACGCCGTGGAACGAACTGCACTTCAAATGGGCTATGGGAATAGATGGGTTATTAAGCACTTCTGGAAATACTAGGAACGTCTTCTCGGCCCATGTGAAAACCCTCGATCTGGAGACATTTCGATGGTATTTTGATACACTCTCGGGGCTTTGGAATGAGCATCCTGCCACCCGCAGCGGCACATTCATGTTTGTAGAAGATTGGGCAACAAAAAAGACTGAGGAGATTTCTGATGATGAGACTGCATATCCGCATAGAGATGTCATGTGTCAAATGATAATAATGTGCGGAACAGAGGATGCGAGCTTGTGGCCAATGTTGGACAAATGGGGAAAGGAGGTAACGGACCGCTTCCAGGAAACAAACGGATTCGGGGAGAACAGGATGTACGTGAACTATGCGCAAGGTGACGAAGGACTGGAAGTCATCTACGGGGCAAGAAAGTTGGAGAGACTGAGAGCGCTCAAGAAGAGATGGGATCCAGAGCAGATGTTCAGCTGGCATAATCCTATCCCGATTTGAAACACTCCAGCTTTAGAAAGAAAAAGTGGATAATCAGGTAGATCATAGATCCGAAATCGAGATCAATTTGAGGAATTCTAATCAGATTTCGCAATCGAAAGCATATGGGTCAGTAAAGAACAAATGACACGCAACTTGAGCCAAGTAACGTGACTTGCGCTTGGGCCATGATCCATGCTCCGCCAAGACTGGGAGCTTGCATTGAGAGCTTCAACTTCTATCTGGTCCACGTTATTACGATCCAACCACCATCCCGCTGCCATCAACTCGTCTTCTCCATCTCTGTGCCTTTGAACAAGAAGCTTAACTAGCTTGTCAATCCCTCTGAACAATCGTCGCGATGGCTACTGATCTTTGGTACGTTCCGCCACCTGTCCAGGCATCCTTTCGGGTCTTATCGCATCCCTCGAGGAGCTTGCTTTTCACTGATGTCAAGCTAACATTTCTATCTGCAGTCCTGTTTATGCCGTGAGTTTCCCCTAGCACGCTCGCCTCACCGTGTTCTTGTCTTTGGTCAATGGTGTTCCACGTAGTACGCCTTTGCGGCAGGAACTGACAAGAACAGCCTTTCTTCGGCGCGATGGGCTGCACATCAGCCATTGTCTTCACTTGCTTTGGCGCCGCCTACGGTACCGCTAAGTCAGGTGTCGGTATCGCGGCCATGGGTGTTCTCCGCCCTGATCTGATCGTCAAGAGTACGTCGCCTCTTAAGGGTGCAGAGAAGACGAATTCTGATTCTTGGGCTAACAATGCTGACTAGATATCATTCCTGTCATTATGGCAGGTATCATTGGTATCTACGGTCTTGTCGTATCTGTCTTGATTTCCAACGACCTCAAGCAACAGACACCGCTGTTCACAGGTTTCATTCAACTGGGAGCAGGTCTGGCTGTTGGTCTGGCAGGTCTGGCTGCTGGTTTCGCTATTGGTATTGTTGGCGACGCCGGTGTGCGTGGCTCTGCTCAGCAACCAAGACTCTTTGTTGGCATGATCCTGATTCTCATTTTCGCTGAAGTCCTGGGTAAGCTCTCAGAACGTTGGCAGAGGGGAGAACATAAGCACTAATCAAAGCAGGTTTGTACGGCCTTATCGTCGCGCTGTTGATGAACTCGCGAACTGGCCAGGATGTGACCTGCTAAGCGCAGAGAGCATATAAACGCAGCCCCCTGACAATAGTTTCTGCGTTAACGGATTCGGGCGACGAACTCCACACTCTCTTAGATTGTTAGGACAGTGAGTCAAATGGCACGAATATGGACAGGATAGGGATGCTGGTCGAGATCACGTCCAAATATGGACAACAATTGCATTCTTGCAAGCGGCGAATGACAAAGTAGATATTGGGATCTGTTGGCATTAGGATCTTCTCGGCGTTTTAATGTGTAACAAATAGCACGTTGGATTCGAATTGTGCACATGTTCATCTACATTTTTCGCAGATTGCCATTTGTTTTATTTCGTCGACTTTGCACTTGGATTCCAGAATTGCTAAACTTCTCGTCTAGTGAATACAATGGCATACAAGTATCGACGGCCCACTGCTCCTGAGCAGTCTCACAAAAATTGATGAATATATACATTTGAAGAAAAGAAATTGCCTCGCAACCTGTGATAAGGCTCGCCTTAATTTATGCGCTGGCAGTGGTGTTATGGGAAACGCCAAACTGAGCATTCTGGCAGCTTGCAGCATCTGTGCACTTCTTGTACAAGCTGAGCGCGTTCGGACCGCCGCAATATTCTCCATTATCACCGTTGCACTTCATCTGACAGTTACCTAGAATACCATCCTGTGGCAACCGATCAGCTGCAATGGAGTTACCGCAGAAGCATTGGGACGCATATTCTAGTCCAGCGTACTGATAGCCTGCGCACCAGTCGACACATTTTTCAACGGTCATATCGTCGCCAAAGCCAGCCATGTAAACGGACTGCTTGCCGTCGAGAGTGCGAGTGCTGCCGTCGCTTCCGCAGCCCATATATGCCCAGCCCTTCGAAACGGTAAGGTCGGTGTAGTAGGTGGCTGCTTGGCCAATAGTCGGGGCAGTATAACCTTCACATGTGGGGTGTAAAGGCGCTGGTTCGGGTCCCCGGGTTACAGGATTGCAGCCCGGAAGTGCTGGAAGAGCACCTGCAACTTGTTCATCGATCTGAGGAGGGAGCTTGCAGGCATTCTGTTGGTCAGTAGTGAATTGGTCAATCGGTGGGCAGGCAGACTTGTCGATACTGCCGAACTTGGAGTCATCGGTGCATGTGTCCACAATAGCTTGCAAGGTGTCGATGTCCCAACCATTGACGAAATCTCCATGGAAGCCATAGCCGGTCGCGTCACCGTTAGCGAAGACGAAAGGATGAGTACTGCCATACCACTCGAATTGAGCAGTGTCATACAGAACCTCATAGAACAAGCTGACGAGCTGGACAGGATGAGACGCAGGGCAAGGTCCATTATTGTACGCCCCGCTTGCAGGATAGGACATGTGACTCTTATGATCTGCACTGTCTAGATTTACTCCATCCCAGCAAGATGGAAAGTAAACTTGAGCACGCAATCCACCTGGACATTTGTAGTTTGGAATCTCATTCGTCTCTGGTTGATTGCTGCCAAGGCAAGCAAACGATATAGCCTGGGCATCGAATCCACCAGTAAAGTTGCGCTTGGTTGTATCACCCGCCAGCATGCGGAATCCAGCGGGGAATGCTTTCAAAGTACCATCGCTGGCTGCAGGACCACGTTGTTGATAGTAGACTGTCATCCCGCCATTTAGATCTTGAGCATTGTCACCAACAGTAGGGACGCTCTGGAAGCTGCCATTTTGAGCTTGGTAGTACAGCTTAGGGGTCCAGTAGTTGGAGAAGTCTGCCGTGATAGGGCACGACGAGCATTGGGAAGCTCGAGCCTGATCGTAAGTCATTTCAAAGCCAAAACCGTTTCCTCCCGCAATCTTATGGGCGTGAGCAGATACGGCCCCCGGATTGACGATAGGATCTGCACGCTCTTCAACGACATGATTTGCACATGAGAATCGAATGTAGGCGGATGTCTGGGTAAGAAGCGATGCTGCCACTACGGCGAGAGAAATCTTGGAGTGCATGATGAGACTTTTCGGGAGCCAGAAGTAGGCAATCTAATTCGGCGAGTTGAAAAGGAAGCCTTTAACTTTAGTCAAAAGAATGTAAACCAGCAATCACTGATCCTGGGGTTGGTAGGAATGAAATGAACGTAAAGGCACCGTGGCCGATAGCAGAGAAGAAAAGCGAGCGAAAGGTGCACAAGTCAGGGCAAGCTTAAACGAACGTGCTGAGAATCGTGAGCAGATATATAGAGAACGCTTCTCGACAGAGGAGGTGGCTTGAGAAACTAGGAGTCAGCAAATGCTACCGTAGCAGCCAACATGACCACCATTCCCGAGATCTCAGACACCAAATCGACGCCTCAACATCCTAAAAATCCTTTTCAAGTACCATTTTAGGGGATGCCAAGTGAATGCAGCAAGGTTTTCGGGCGTAAATGGTCGGCTAGCTGCACTCTAAGATTATACTGGGTTTGCCTGAATGGAGCCAGAAAGAATTGAAATGTTTCAGAGGGAAGCGTAGCGCTCGATGGCGCTTGGTGCAATACTGCATTTGCCAAATATGTTGCGGAAGCGAAGATTGTCTCCAGGCTTTCCAGGAAGGATTTTGTGCGCATCTCGGGAATGAATCTCGATCACTTCCCTGTTTGCAGGTTCCTCCCCTGCTACATGTGGTTCGAGAAGTCCACGAAAATCAAAATAGATCGGGGGTTTCTCGGTGAGGTTGATGTCATTTCGTTTATGATACCAAGAAACGGTGGCGTTCCGAAAGGAGCAGATTAGCATATTGGCTTAGAATTGACATGTCTTTTCCGTAGAAGGGCAACTACAGAGTGATCAGATATAGTAAACTTTTCATCCAGTAAAATGATTTGACAGCGAACGGATACACAAAAAAACATTCTCTTTACCTGAGATTTCTTCTCACAGAAAAGATCCAAAAACAAACACTATTGAAATGTTTCATTTGCCCAAGGAGCAGCTGCGGCTTTGGATGAAACAAAGTGGCATCCTGCTCCACAAAGCCTCAGGAATCCGTCACACAAGGGAATGCACTGAAAGGAGTCAGAACAAAAGGATTTCGAAATCATGGACTGTGATCCCCCATTTGCCAAATGCTAGAATTTGCAAGCAAGAATAGTACTCTTGAATTGACGGCACGTAGATTTCTACGAATGGCTATGCCCAATTGGGGATTTCGAGGTCGTCCCGGGCTTAACTTCGGCGTTAATCGTATTCATAGCAACATGGGGATCAACGACATTTTACGTGTATTTGTGCATGTTCTAGTTTTCTGTTATCAACCATCAGAGACCTATTATTGCTCTTGAATAGTCAGCGGAAAAGCTAGCGATCAGAAACGTATGAATTGTCCTGAGGGGTGTATCACATGCAGGATCGTTAGTTACCTGCTTTAAATTATGGCGCCGGATGCTGAGGCCAATCCACCATTGCGCACGAGGAAGCGAAGAGCACATAAAAAGTCGAGAAACGGCTGCAGGAACTGCAAGTTAAGGCGAGTCAAGGTCAGCTGCCTCCCACGTCCAGGGATTGCATATGAGCGTCTGGCTGATATCAGCCCAAGTGTGATGAAACCAAGCCATCGTGCAAAAACTGCGATAGATTTATGGTGGCGTGTAACTACGATACAAAGCACGCAGACCTAGAACCTCAGTACGCGCGCACTTCAGATCAGCTGAGGGCTTTGCCAATCCTTGATCCTGTCTCACTGAATGCAGCATTGCTGGGCATGATCAATAGCTCGCTCTTGACAAATTATCCCCAAGGATATGGCGAACCATTGCAGCTGGAACTTTCAGACCTTGATAAGCTGAGGCGGTGGCAGAACCGCACAGTGCTAACCATCGGATCACCGGCCGTAGCAAGGATATATCAGAAGGAGATTATCAAGTCTGTGGCGAAGTACCCATACCTCATGCATTCTGTCCTAGCTTTAACAACAAAACACGATCGCTTCTTATCCTCAGATCCTAATGGTGATCCAAAAAGCAAGGCTCTAGAGTACTTCCATTACGGGAGATCCGCATCTTTGTTCAACCAAACCCTATCACAACACAAAGAGTCGAACAGTTCAACGGAAGACGATGCACTATGGAGCACTGCAGTATTCCTCGGGAGTCTTGCCTCGGGTACGGTCGATGGTGATTCTCCCGAAGATGTGTGGCCACTCAAGGATGGCACAACAGGGGAAGCACTTGGATGGCTGAAAGTGCACGAGGGTTTGCGGTTGCTCTGGTATCTCTCTCAGCCATTCGCTCAAGGTCGGATGTTCCACGAATTGGTCAATACACCGGACCATAGGTTTATGATTTCGAAACTAGACCCCTACATTCAAAGTGGGATCGAGGGTGTGCCAGATGACTTCGTAGCGCTCTGCGGCTTGAACGAAAATTCGACCGTCGAGAACAATCCCTATCAAAAGGCAGTAAGGACATTGATACCACTCATCGATCTTGACTGGAACGGTGCAAACAGGCTAAAATTCATGGGATTCACGGCCATGATGGATGCGCGCTACAAGCAATTACTTAGAGACAAAGACACCGCAGCGCTGGTCCTGCTCGCCTGGTGGTACGCGCTGGTGCTCCGCAGTCCATGGTACATGTCCAAAAGGGCCAAGCTCGAGTGCAAAAGCATTTGCATATACCTTGGCAGAAGGTGCCCGGAAAACGAACTTGTGCAAAGGATGCTAAGGTTCCCACGAAAGAAAACTGGACTTATTGGGGAGGAGCAGCCTCCAGAAAGGATTGAAGTACTCACGCCTTCTCCTTGGAATGCGACGAAATCTTATGGAACAGATACTGTGCTGTGGTTACGACCTCGGATACTTGGTGATGCGTAGTAAATACAAATCCATCTTCGGAATCTTTTTTCTTGGCATATGTGTCTTATGTGTTATTTGTCTATGATTTTGGCTATGTACCTTATTCAATCCTGCAATATCAAGATAATCATGGCAGCGGGAACAGATTATATGATTAGCTCATCGACTTTAGATTTAGAATTATTGTTGCTCTATTCTTCAACCAACAACCTAAAAGTGCTGTATGTCACTCTTTGTTCCGCCTTTTGTTTACTGAAATATTTAGACTAGTCATGCTTGCGCAATGATCAAGAATATTTGACCCTAATCACTCGGCCCTGATTGGACACCGAGACGTAGCCAACATTGAAGAAGAGATTGGAAAATCTTGATACAAGAAAACGTCATGAATGCTTTCGAATGATATTAAAGTGTGAGCTTCATTTCGCAATAATAATAGCCGTTCATTTCACGACCACATAGTGAGATATTCTTATTACTCTGGTCAAGTTTGCCAGATACGCTAACGGCCAACTTGCGACAAGGGTTGGCCGCAGATGAGCAGTGAATATTGCGAGCACTGATCTCGCTATACGATCTCGCGAAGAAGATAGGAAAGGGAGACAAGGTCCCAAAAGTGGAAAATAGCACTAGTGCGGTTCAAAGAGTCGCAGTATGTCTCCAATTTCAAAATGTAGATGTAGAAAAGCGTCGAGCTTCAGCTAGTTCTCTATTGTCAAATCCTAAGCTTCGCCATAATTGCCGTCCTTCAAACCGAGCGTATAGTCTTCAGATTCCAATTTGAAGGATATTAGTAGGATTTCTTTCACGAAGGTAGAATGGAACGTCGCATCGGGACTGAACTACGGCCAAAGGTGATACATGCACCATCCTGGATGGAGTAGATCGTATCGAATCCAGTGCGATCTCGTGAAGCCAGTTGCAGCTTTCACCTCCCAGCTCTTGCAATGGAAAATTAAGAATACCTTTCGGGAAAATAATCTCGATTTGCGTGGCTATCAGCGGGCGAAGAGCGAAGCGCAACACGGACATGACCACATGAAGCTTGTTATCTAGACTCCACCCAGCCGTCTAATCGCGGCCAAGCTCGCTACTATTTGGGCATCTCGCATTCGGCCAACTCTAACGGCCGAGACGGGGTTCCCGATTCACACTGGGCTATAGTATGATATCATGCATCATTATCTGTGTTCGATTTCCGAGTACCAATGATTAGCGTACCTACTCGAAAATATATGCTATGCATTTCGTATCTTGGTCCGCAACCACATTTACTGAAATCAACACGGCAGTATCTTGGTTACGACCGCAAGTTCATCAAAATTAAATTCTGACCGACTTACAATTCCTCAAAAACGAGCAAGAGTATACTTGAGGTTAAAAAGTGGCTGCTTCGCGAGTGATGTTTAGCGCTTTGTTATAGCACCATGGGGTCAATGCCAGAAGCCAACGTCGACGTTGATGTGCTCATCGTTGGTGGCGGCCCTGTCGGGCTTAACCTGGCATATCAATTGCGTCGATTTTCAATCGGGTCAGGAGCGAAGCCCATATCAGTCCACATCATCGAGGCGCTTCCCAAACCTAAACAAGAGACGTTTGGCCGCGCAGTCACATTCTGGCCTCGCTCAGTCGAACTTCTAGCCCAGCTTGGCCTCGCGCCTCAGCTTCTACAAAAGTGCTTTGCGGTGCGATCATCTGCTTCGTACGATGGCAATGGAAACGAGGTGTTCAATCGTGGATGGAGTTTTCTTGAGGGTATATCCGATACACGCTATCGATTCGCCACTGTGCTGAGACAGAAGTACGTCGAGGATCTCTTTCGTGCAAAAATTCAACAGTTGGGGGTTACTGTAATGGAGAATCATAGGTTTGTTGACCTTAAGGTGATTGATAGCGTGCCTGTTGGTGGAATGGGTCGAGTCAAAGCGCGAATCGTGGTCAAAGACGATCACATTGAAAGGGAATACGAGTACTCGGTTCGCTGTCGCTATCTCATTGGTTGTGATGGCTCCCGAACAACGGTTCGGAAGGCTGCAGGAATTGATTCAGAGGGAAGCAGGACGGAAGACAAGTGGGTACGAGTTGATGGGGTCTTGAAGTCTACGACTATGCCAAAACCAACGTCTTATGGTTCACTAGAGAGTCCAATTTATGGAAATGTTCTCTGGATACCTCTGGACCATGGAGCCACACGTATTGGCTTCTGTCTCAAGGAGGAGAGGCGAAAACTGTATGGAAGTAACGTCGGGGACCGCGAAGTATTCATCAGGGAGGCCGAGCTATCCGTTGCACCATTTAAAATTGAGTTTGAACGCGTGGATTGGGCAAGCGTCTACAGCGTTGGGCAGCGATTGGCCTGCAGCTTCTGGGCCAAAGAATCGGTCTTCCTTGCGGGAGATGCTGCGCATAGCCACTCCAGTGGTGCTGGACAGGGAATGAATACCGGAGTACAAGACGCTGTCAATCTTGGTTGGAAACTGGCCATGGTGCTAACCGGAACGCTGAAGCGTGAGGTGTTGAGCACGTACAACGATGAGAGGTGGCGCAATGCGGACAGACTCATTAAATATGATAAGGATATCAGCTCACTTATTGGCGGGCGACTGCCGGTGGGATGGACAGGATCTAAGGACCCCAACGTGGCGCTCGCTGAGATCTTCAAAGAAGCAACGGGCTTCAACACGGGCTTGACGATTGGATACGATCCAAACATTGCTATATGGAGAGATGACAGGGAGTCCGAGCTTGGACGACATGGACAGAAATCCGCACATACATCAACCTCTGTTATTCCTGCTCCAGCTATCCCAGGGTACCGCGCCCCTGATGTGCAGCTTCTGCTCCCAGCGTTACGACAGCCATGTTGGCTTCATGATTTGACCCCGAACGTCGCTCGCTTCTTCATTCTGACCTTTCTTGGAAGCATTGCAGAATCCAATCTTGTCCGTTATCGCTCTTTCAAGTCGGCGCTCCAGCTTAATTCAAAGCTCGACCTTAGTGCGCAGGCAGAACTGGGTCGCAACGTTGATATCGAGCAATGCATTCGTGGTTCTTGTGCTGAATACTGGCCCGTGTGTTGTATCACTGTGCTCCCTTATGAAGTTGATAATGCATGGACTGCACTTGGAACTGATCCTATAGGAAGTGTGTATCATGATACAATTGACCGAGGAGCTGCTCGTCGTTGGGGCGTGGATGATGATTCAGGTGCCGTTTTTATTTTGCGCCCAGATGGATTCATAGGGGCATCATTCTCGCTCCATACTGAGACTGCTATATCGGTTGCACACTACTTAGAAGGACTTTTCACTTGATACTGTGTGCGTTTATTAGGTTAGCTAAAACGAATCATCAAGTGCGTCTATCTCTCGAAATACTGAGTCAGTGGCATTTGGATTACGTAGCGCGAAAACCATCTCCAACGTCAGAATTATTTGCTTAGGAGACGGAATAATGCCTAGCCTTAGTCTTCGCTGAGATCATGTTTAAGAGCAGAAAGGGCAAGCGGTAGGTATCGTTAGCATAACCCTCGCATTCTAATGAGTTCATACGGCTTGAATATAATCTCTGTCACTGTTAGAACTTCTTATTACTGGAGGCGAAGAGCCGTTCTCCGCTTCTAGTTGCTTAAGAAGACTTGAAGCGGGACTATTCTCTCCCGAACCACGTGTGATGAAACTTAATCCTTTCCAAAGTGCTGCATCCAAACGGATCGTGGCTAGCCTGGCCAGAGGCCAAGCACGACTCTGGGTTCGCAACGTATCTCGCCACTGATCGAGCAAGGCCTTACTGCGTCGAGCAATTTCAATGGTTGGTGATTGCGTAATAGTCATGAGGATAAGACTTGAAAAGTAGCACAGCTGATATCGCGCGTCTGAAATATATTAAAAAGTTATTACAGCCTCGATGAGGATGATATGATCGAGGATGCAGACTTACGAGGGTGCCAGAAACCGGAGAAGTGTTTTGCTTTGAACGCCGCGATCATCTCAACCACGACTTTAGCGCAGGCATAGCTGTTCTCGAATATGAGTGAAATGGGCTCCCGCAGGGTGTAATCTGTGCGAATGGCTTGGTAGAAAAGCGGTCTCATTAGGGCCCGTAGTATTAGCGCCTCTAGTGTCAGATGCGATAATCGTAATGCGCCGCCGTCGTCGAACTCGCTCTCTTCGAGCTCGTAGATTCTTTTGGAGAGCAGCGGAAGGCTTTGTCTCCAAGTTTCAATACGTGAACGCAAGGGCTGGGCACGGCTCAATAAAGCACCCAGGTCACTGTTTTTACGGACTGCTCGCAATGTACTGAGAACAGAATGAGGGATCAGTATCTGACAGGGAAATGTTCAGCATCTAGGAGCTCTGTCTTACTAGAATTCATTTAGTACGTCAGAAGCAATAATGCTTAGTTCACATTGAGCAATGCACATTGGTACGTTTCTTTCGACCCGCGATCGAATCTCAGGATCTGAAATGCCGTCAACTTCGAAGTCGCTGGCAACTAGGCCCCCAACATCCCAGTTGTCCTCATGAATATGGGACGGTCGAGCCACTACGATGGCATGCCAGACGTGTTGCATATAGGTAAACCACCAAAGTCGTCTCCGCAGAATGACTTCCTCCCGGGGTAGTCTCCAGTCTGAGGGGTCGTGGTTTAGCCCCATGTTCTCGGCGATGGAAAGGGCAGAGCACGTCAAAGCCCACGTGCTGAGTGGCTCTGCGACTGCAAAATTTGGAGGTGGAGCCTGCAACAGCAAGAGACAAAGCTGAAGCGAAGAGAGATGCGAAAAGCAAGTGGCACGCTGATAGCTCCTGTATGCGATCGCCCAGAGATCGTCGGCCGAGCTCTGGTCGTAGCCTTTGAGGATGCTCAACTCGTCATCCAGGAAGGAAAAGGGAAGGGCAAGGGCGCATACAGCGGCTTGGATGCCGATGGGACGAGCCGTGGACAGCTCATGGAATGGCATCGTGGAGAAGTCGGAGAGAGATAGGACGGGAAAACGGGGGTGGACATGTCTCACGTATCTGACACAGCCTGTGTTAAGGATGATGGTACTAAAGGAAAGAGGGGGATAGAGCGTCACGACGGAAAAGGTACGTTACATACAATTTGATGAGCCGAGTTCTTAGATTCATCGCGACGAGTCTGTCGAGCAAAGCAAGGTCATCTGCCTCAGTAGGACCGCCTGACTGCACCTTCTCGACAAACTTAAGCGAGTCCTTCCATATGTCTTCGCTCGTCATGACGAACTGGATAGGTTGTTTGCCTGCAGGTATGCAAGGCTCCTTCGCCTTTGAATGTTTCAAGAATGGCTGTAGTCTTTCATCGTCCTTGATCTTGCGAAAATCGAGTCGAAACATGCGGTATGTGTCCAACTGATCGTAGCCATAATTACGAAGCAGGTACGGATCAGACTCGCACGAATTGCCAATAAGCTGATGCGAATATCCTGGCCTAGAGTCAAGGCTGTATTCAAGGGACCAATCAACGCTGGCAGCGGACGCCGAAGCCTCTTGCTGCGAATGAGGATGCTGTTGCTGTGCACCAGAAGATTCGGGTGTCCCTTGTGAAGGTCCTTCAAACGTCAGATTGTTACACGACGCACTACTCTCCCGCGACGGACGAGAGACAGGCGACGATGTCGCGATGGAATTGGCATTGATTGGATATTGGCCTTGCTGTCCAAGTCGATGGCTGGGTACGGGCATGTTCTCGTGTAGAGAACTGTGAAAGCCAAGATAAGTCTGCTCTTCACTCGGTCTATCATCCACGAGAGTCCGCGTAGGCGGCTCTTCTAGGCTTGGGGAGAAGTTGATGAGCGCCATATCCGGTAGCCAAATCTGCGGATCATCCAGTCTCGCCCTCGCCGGAGTCAGCACATCCTGCCCATCCCGTACGTCCAGCATGTCCACCAACCCCGTATCTACATGTGTCGTTGGCACAACCGAGGCTGATCTTGCGACCATATCCTCACCTTGGGTCAAGAATTGGTTGGGCTTTTCCATACCGGACCCTCGCATGCTGCCGTCATTCTCACCAAGGACAGCGCCTAGGTCAGACTGCAAAGGGTTTTTACCGCGTCTATTTCTTCTCTGCGGCTCCCTTAGGAAGGTGCATCGGCGGCAGAGCTTGCTACACAGCGCGCACGCGGCCCCATTGCCAGGCAATTTGCAATGCGTCTTGCGTGAGCGACAGAGATCGCAAGGACGTTGCTTCTTAGATCGATATCTGCGACCGTCAGGTTCAGCGAGCGAACGCTGCGTTGTAGTAGCCATGCCCTCGTGAGATTTTGTACCAGGAAAACCTGCTGTCCTTGCAAATGGTGACTAATGGGATCGAAGTTTATTGAACAATTTTAGAATTCGAGATTCAGTGACTGCTATCTCGCCTTGCTAGCCTGTTTGGTAGATAAAATGCGACGATGTTTGTTTGCGGCCAATGTGCCCAGAGCTTCGAGTTCACGAACAGCCTTGGGAAGTATCGCTGTTTGTCTCCTCTTTGTTGAGGGCATAGAAGTCGCGGGCAAGATAGAAAGGCGTAGTTCTTCCGCATATTGAGTACAGTAGTTCAAGCTAAGGATAGATCTACCAAGGACGGCATTGCACTTCCGCCGCTAAGACAGAATTTAGCGGCATCTCGAACCGAAGAAGTCTTACAAAACTTGCTGCTGACACAGATTCTTGAACGCGGCGCAGAGAAAAATTGCTCAAAAAGCCAGAAACTGTGGGATTTATTCTGTAATAATACATTTATATTCTTTAGATGTGTGTGAGATATATTCATGATCACTGTTGGAGGGCGACAACTATGAAACCAAGAACAGCCCATGCGTGCCATCCAACAACGGATTAAATTATATGCAAATCACGAAGGCAAAGCACGCTGACAACATGACTATAAGGAACGAAGAAAAGTGTATTGAAGACCGTGGAGTTGCGCAAGTGCAGCGAAGTAAAATCTACTTTAAATAGGGTCATTTCGCGATGCATGAGCCGAATAAGATCTGCCAGTTGTGGTACTTGAAGCTAGCTTATTTTGCCGAGATCACACGAAACACACATTCTCGTCACCTCGAACACGGCAAGAGCGTCATTTTCCATTTTCCTTGGCCTTCTGAGTCGCCAGCCACTCCGTGGCAATCTGTTCGTGAGTGCAGAATTGGACCTGATCTTGACCAAAGGCAAGCAACCATTGCACGACGCGCTCGACCATCCCGATGATGTGCGCCATGCCGCTGACGTCCGGGTGGATCAGGATCGGAAAGACGAATTGGGAAACCTGCTTCTCGTCTGCGCCAGCGGCGGCAACAACGGGACTGTTCTCGCAGAGCCAGAGAAACTTGTCCTTCCACATCTGCTCCACGACCCGTGTCGAAACGTAGCCCATGCTGTTGGCCAGGTGCGGGAGGTATTGCAAGGGCATCATGTCCTCGTTGTACCAGCCACAGGGAATCTCGACGAGCGGATGCTGGCCTTCTGCGAGATATCCTTGCGGCGCAATGTTTGATGGGCGCAGCCACGATGAGGCGGGCTTTGAAAAGTCGATGCGGTCCAACGGCGGGTCTGCTGGAGTGAAGTATGGTTGAGAGTCGTGATGCATCAGAGAGGTGTCGTATAAGAATCCGTGCTCTCGGAGCAGTTTAACAGTGGTTTCGCGAATCGTATACATAGGAGCTCGATACCCACGAGGCTTCTTGCCAACAAGTTTGGTAGCAACGTCAATGCTATTTTGGAGCGAAAGATTCCAATCGTCAGCGTCTTTTCATTTCGACATGATTTTTTTGGCACATGTATACTTTGAAAGCTATCTAGCCTAACTTGAGGCTCGAATGCTTTCATTTGGCGAGTAAGAGGGGAAGACATACCACTTGATGAGGACATCTCTTTCCTGTTCCTCAGTCATTTGATATATGCCCTCATGCGCATATCCATGTAGACCGATCTCTGCTCCAGACTTGAGCACGGCCTTCGCCGCCTCAGGAAAAGTTTCTGTCGTGTGGCCTGGAATGAACCACGTCACCCGCTCCGCCAGATTGTACTTGCTGAACAGAACAAGCAAGCGATACACTCCAACCTGTCCTGCAAATATTCCAGAGCTGTAGTCAGCCATGTTGTTGCCGGCATGACAGCCAGTTCCTAGCCAATGAGAGACGGCGTCAAAGTCGACGGAAAGAGCGACCTTTGCCCTCCATCGTGGTCGACGGGCTTCAATGGACAGAGGAAGAGTGAGAGGCACAGAGGCATCTCTAGAGACATAGTATTCGCAGTCAGTGGGTAACCCCCCGTTTACTGGGGCCATGTCCTGTGGAAAGGCGCTCATGACGACGATAAGGTCAGTCTCTGCGCGAAGAGTTACAAACTGGCCCTTCTCGCTGGTCGGCTGGCGAATATCCAGGCCACCGTGATGGTCAATGGCCACGTTCATGAAAATGTTGAATGGATCCGGAACCTAATCTTGTGCAATGTGGAATTCGGGAAAGCTTTGCTTCAGCGCCTGCAAGTTTGTGCGTATTCGCTATCAGTCCGTGCCACCAAAGTTGCAGCGAGCTACGGACGGGAGCCACCAGCTATTAATACGAACCTTGTGCATGTTGTTGGTACAATTTTCATGGTATCCGTTGAACCCCTGAAGTCGGTACCTCTCAGCATCGCAAGCGGACCAGAGAATGTCATGCACCCCCTTGGTAGTGTCTTCAATCAAGGTCACCATTGGTTTACGTCGCGTGCTGTACAAAGTGTCGCCCATTCTTACGGCCACTTTCATCAACATAGTCCTGGTGTGCACCATAGACAGGTAATCTGTGGGAACTTTAGGGTTAAAGGCCCAAAAATCAACCACTTGTTTGCCATAAGTGTTGATAATGGTGACAGTCTGACCAGCTCGTACCGCCACGGCCGTTGCCGTCCGTGCCTTTAGAATGCTCGTTTCCATTTGGAAAAAGCAGACTCCAATCTGTGAACGAGCACTTTCGATTAGATTCTGGTCTTAAACTCCACCAAATGCAGAATACGTATACCTGACTCTTTGCAGAAGTTAAGGCTCAGAAAGTAAGCGGGGAATACTTGGGGTAGAACTGGAGCTTGAAGAACCCAGATGGCAGGGAGAGACTAGCAGCGACATCATAACTCTTATTACTCGTGTCAAACAAATGGGCAACCATGAAGACTTCCGCAATAGGTCAAAATCTGGAGAAGTATCTAGACCTAGGTTTGGCCGATCCTGGTGGAAGTTCGCCGCGAGCAAGGGTCTCGGACCAGGGTCAAGGCTGAGATGGCCGTGACGAGCCCAACACTTTACGGCCAACATAATTTCACTGCTGAATGACGGCGAAGTCGAATGCCGACAGCATAATCTAAGTTTCTCGCAGAAGACGCTGACAGGAAAAACCTTAAGGAATTATTACGATCCTATCGTGCTTGTTAATACCTCTCATGTGGTTTCAAGACTTTCGGCTTACCGGTATACTTGAAGCTGATTCATTCAGTTCTTCATTACAGTGATAGGCGCCGTTTGAGAACGTCCTGGTATTTAATGTGACCAATAGCAAGGCTACGTAGTGTTGAAAGAAGCAGCAAAACTTACTGATTCAATGACGAGGGTCAAGTGGGAGTCGATGTTCGAGAAGCAGGCCACATACATTGATAGGGTGGGTGATGCAATGGAATCATTGTCAGAGTATGTCATGAGAGAAGCGAAACTGTGTGTTTTCTTTTGATACGACGCAAGAGATGAGTAAAAGAGATCTTGAAATTGCTTGATCTGCACTTCACTACGTTTCTTCCACCAAAGCCAGTTCGAACATACTTGTGCGTAGATGACGCACAACGCGACAGACCGCACAGCGATTGATAAGTAATCTCGACCGTCACACCGATCTATATGTTCCAACCATATTTGTGCACAGTAATGAATTGAAGCAACGACTCCGCGGCAAGTTTCAAATGTTGGATTTGTGAGGAACACGCGTCGAGCAAAATTGATGCTGGCATGACGGATCTGAATCGCTTGCGCCTTGACCGTTGTAAGTGCGTGCCTCCCAGCCTCGGAGTCAGCGATTCAGGTCAGCTTACCGTTACTACATTACCGTACACCACGTGTACATTTCGTGCTTTCCGTCGTCCTTGCGGATGAACAGTTCAGCCACCGTGGTGTTGCCCTGCTGGTTTCGCTCCACGAGTGTTGACAGCATGTCGCCGTCGAAACTGGCGCGTTGCTTTTGGCCAGCCAATGTGGCCAGAACCGCGTTGTGCAAAGCAACCATTGCTACCTCCCCAAATTTCCTGCCCCAATATTGAAATGTATTTGCGATATGCGAAGTTTTGTGTTGATCCATGGGTGGTTCGATTCGAATATCAGCAGCTGTTGGTTCGAGACTGCGGTCAGCCCTTCGCTGGCAGCCATTTTATGGTCTCAAGCAACACAATGGAACGTGAATAGCCTCCTTGAATCTGCGTATGCATCGCGAGCAGAAGAATAATAAGGGTTTCTGCTTTCGTTCGAGGTAAATGTGCCCGAGGTTACACGAGATGGTGCTTAATATTGTGCTTAGTATTGTGGTTGTCAACAAAGAGATGAAGTCCGGCGACATGCGTGACAGGTATTCCAGGGTACCAAGGCCCCTATGAGTTCCAGTATTCGAGGGCGACGCATCAAAAGACACCGTAACGACTCTCTGTCTGGCAAATATTCCTTTATCTCGACCTCCGAGGCAACGGTAGCCCTCCATCCTCAATATCACCCACAATCAGGTCCTGGGCATTCTCGTCATCCTCGGTCTTCAAAGCCAGGCCCTCGACCACTTCCTCCTTGACCTCTCTTTTGATTTTCCTCTTTACAGTGCTTGCTGGACAAACTCCTTCCTCGGCTAATAGACAGACTTCGCACTTCCTCCCCACAGGTAGACAAACGGCTTGACCCAGTCCCACCAGCAATCCGTTGATCTCATGCCATCTCTCCTTCGGAAGCCACGACTCGAGTGCTGCCCTCGTCTCCTCTGGATTCTTGGTTTTGTGCCAGCCCCACAGATTCGTGATGCGATGCACGTGCACATCCACACCAATGCCCTCTGTACGACCCCACGCCGCTGATAGGCACAGATAGCCCATTTTCGGGCCCACTCCCTGTAACGATGTCAGGCCCTCGATCGTGTCAGGTATGTCGCCACCGAACTTGTCGCGGATATCGATGGCAGCCTGTTTGATGAAGCGCGTCTTGTTGTTGTGGAAGCCCACTTTGCCGATCAACTGGTCCAGACGCACAGGGTCCACGTCAAGGATGCTTTCGAGACGCAGGCCACCAGGAAGATTCTCCTGGAGATCCTTCATGGCGGCGGCGGTGACCGTGTCCTTGGTTTGGGAGCTAAGCATCAAGGCCACCAGAGTCTGAAACCGTTGGTCACGCGGGGACATGGTTCTGAAAGCGAGCTTTTCACAGCCCATCGTATCGACAACAGCAGGGTAGGCGGCACCGCCAGGAGATCTCATCTTCTTCACTCTGTGCACGTTAGCCTATGACGGCATTCCTTGCTCATGGCGAGGCTGGCAGACAGGGCGCAAAGCAACACTCCGTGTTGGCGACGCCTATCTGCCTAACGCCGCAAATCTCTTCGCTGGAGTTCCATACGCAAGAAAGCTTCAAACTCACTACAAAGGGTTAGAACAACGAAGACCAGAATATATCACGTGAAAGTTAGCACATACCAAGTCATACATCTTCTCCCATCCCGTAGGCGGCTCAACCGACATCGTTCCATCCTCATTCTTTACTCTCTTTGCCGGCTGTCGCCTCGTCTTCTTGGGCCCGCTAGGAGCGGAATTGGCAGTTTCGGAGACCTTGTGCTCGTACTCATAGCTGGCGAGACGACTAAGGGAGGTGCTAATGGCGCGCTTGCGCTTCCGTGACAAAGTTGATGTAAATGATGGGTCCGTGTCGTTGCTAGCCTCAGTGGAGTTCTCTTTCTTGGCACGGCGGATCAGTGAGGATGACGATGACGATGACGATGGCAACGATGATGATGTTGTTGCTGCGACCGCCGCCGAGGAGGAGCGGGTTGACCTGCGTGGGGACGCTGCGAGGGCTTGAACCACCTTTGTAGTTTCACGCGATACGCGAGAAGTCCTCATGGCTCAAGATTCACGATCATTTGACACCTCGTTGTAAATGGCAGTATGCCAGGAGACGGAGATGCGATGGCCCAAGCGAGGTCCGGAGAGGACACCGACGGCGGTACCTGCTTTGCTGAGCGGCGGACGCGTACAGGACGGTGTGTTCGTTGTACAAGGGCGGATCGGACCGTGACTTGCAGCGACTAGCAAAGACTGCGCGCTCGCATTACAATCTTTGATGATCGTCGGCGCATGAAGATGCCCATGCATGCGCTTGCACAAGACGGTCTAAGAATACAATGGCACCCGGGGAACGAGAGATTGGAGCGCAAGTAGCCTGCTGTGCGTGCAGCGTGACCGCCGACGCGGCGAGGGGAAATTACGAGCGTGCACGGCGACGAACAGTCGGGAGAACCATCCTTTGACCTGAGCCCCTGAACGGAGCGCACGCCCACGGACGACCACAAAGAAATGACGGGGCCACAGCCAGTCTGTGTCTGGTGACTTGTCCGTTCAAAAAGAGACGCTCCGCCAGCGATCGGGCTCTGCAAACAGCTGGCCAGAATTTGGAAGCCAACCAACGGCGATCGAGTGCGTCGAGTTGACAAGACGTGAAGTGGCCGCCGCATTCGACTTTTGCGTCGCCCCAGTGCTTGAGCAGCGGCACAGAGACCGCCTGTCTCTGGCGCCCCCCGTCGCCCGTCGCCCCCTCCCCCTTCCCCTCTCCAGCGCCTGCCCCCCCTAAGCCCCCCTGGACCCCCGCCAATCGCGCGCTTGAAACTCGAGTCGCGCCCGCTCGCAGGCCAAAACCCAACTCTGCCCAGCGCTACCCTGCCCGAACTTACCTTTCTCTTCGTCCTCCCCACGTCTGCGGTCTGGTCTTGTTTCATCTTGCCGCTGCCTGAAAGCGTGAGCTGCTGCGTCCACGCACTCTCTCACTCACCACACGACCCGTCCAGCCCGTCCCACGTCTCCCGGATCTCATCACATCTCGTGCCACACGAGCTCGCTTCGCGCCAAAGGCGTTCCTTTCTCCCGCATCGATCTGCACCCCTGCTCGGTCGATTGACTTTGACTGCATCAATTGCAACCGCGACCTTTCTGCTGAGTCGAATTCGCTGAGCCCGCAGGCTCGCTATCCACTGCCACAATGGGAGGCGGCATATCGAAGATCTTGGACAAGATCTTCGGATCGAAGGAAATGCGACTGCTCATGTTGGGCCTGGACGCCGCGGGGAAGACCAGTACGTGCTGTCCTGCTCAGAATCATATACACTCGTCCATTGCCGCTCCGCTCGCCACTTAGTGAGGGTGAGAATGCGCGCGTACGAGTGTGTGTGTGGTAGAGGAATGTGCATCCTGCTAACGCCAGATTCCACCACAGCCATTTTGTACAACCTCAAACTCGAATCAGATGTTACCACTATCCCCACCGTCGGCTTCAACGTCGAAACCGTGACCTACAAGAACACCAAATTCAACGTCTGGGACGTCGGCGGGCAGGATAAGATCCGCCCCTTGTGGCGGCACTACTTCAGCGGCACGCAGGGCCTTGTCTTCGTCATCGACTCGTCCGATCGCGACCGCCTCGACGAAGCACGGACAGAGCTGGCCCGAATTATTCAGGACAGAGAAATGAAGGACGCCCTACTGCTGGTGTTTGCTAACAAGCAGGACATCCCCGGCGCGATGAAGCCCGACGAGCTTAGCAGGCGGTTGAAGCTGGACGAGATTGCCAAAGATCATATCTGGAAGGTGGAACCAAGCTGTGCGACAACGGGCGAGGGCATCTTCGAGGGTCTGGTATGTGAAAGCTCTGTCTATTCGAATTCCCTCGCGGTCGAGGACCACGCGCCTAAAACCGGTCGTGACGCTGACAAATGGACTCACAGGCATGGCTGGGCAACAACGTAAAGGTGCCCGCCAAATGAGCGACGAACACGTCCCATTCTCACTGCCTTTTCCTTCGCGAATCTCAAGCCTTGGCTCGTGCTTCCGCTCTGCTTTCTGTTGTTGAGCAACTTGCCAGCACGCTACCTGGCATACAGCGAGAGAACTTACAGAGAAGGGTCCGGCTCAGGCCATCGAATCCATTCGGCGCAGGTCTGCACAGAGACATCGGAAACACATGCACGCACACATACGTACACTTCATAGACCGCCTCGGACAGATACCCACACTTTTCTTCACTGTTTTTCTTCTTTTTCCTCTTTTCCTCTCCCATGGCGGGGTTGCTGCTTGTCTGTACGAAGTCGTGGCTAGTTCGCATTGAAAAGGCGATGGTAGAAGGTCGCCAAAACGTGTGATGTATCTTCCTTTTCTTTTTGGGAAGGGTTGTTGTTTTGAACGTTGCGGGCTTATGTTGTCTTCTTATAACGCTAGAAAAAAAAAACACTATTGTAATATCTCCGAGAAAGCAGGTCTTTTATTTATTTATTTTTTCAATCACTTGTGAACCATCGTTCATCTTGTGATGAGAGAGCATATACAAAGTTCATTTCTCTTTCTGTGACTCTTTCTCTCTCGGGGCCTCGTGAATTCACTTTCGACAACTTCGAGACCAATTCTTCACTCGTGTCTACGTCCAATGGTGCCGCGCACGGGGCTTATCTATAGCTTTCCCCCCTTGCTGTCGAGCTCACAGAATGCCTTGAAGGTGACAAATTGGTCCTTGCTGTCAGCCTCAAGGACAGCCTCCGCGGTGGCTCCAATAAAGAATACGTAACCAGGCTATGGCGAGTCAGTCGGAGTGTGCACTGGAAGCGACGCGACAAGAGCGAACGTACCTTGACTTCTTCGGTCTTTGGCCCTACCGAGATCTTGCCCGACCCCTCCGTGCAGATGAGAATGCTAGGGCCTTCGATCGGGTCAAAAGTTGCCTTGGCGCCCTCGCCCTGCAGCACCGTCCTCACGACGGCGAACTCCTCGATGGGAGGGTCGTACAGCTTCGCCTCGCTGGCGTTGCTGTATGCGGCGCGGTTCAGCGTCACGTACGGGTAGTCGATCGGCTGCATCTTCTGCTCGTCGATGGGCGCGTAGCTGTACGTCAGCGTGCTGGTCAGGGTCTCGACGTCCTTGAACTTGGGTGTGAAGCCGGCGCGGATGACGTTGTCGGACGCGGCCATGCACTCCACGATGTCGCCCGAGATGTAGGCGTGGATGTCGTCCGCGCGCAGGAACATAGCCTCGCCAGGGGACAGCGTCACGTAATTGAGGAAGAACAGCACGAAGAGGCCGATGTCGTTAGGGAACTGGCTGTTCAGGCGCTTCACCAGCTCGGCGAGCTGGGCGCCCGTGTTCGAGGGGCCACCAGAGCCGGCGAAGGCGTCCTTTTCCGTCGAGGCTTGCTCAAGAAGAGCGGCCGTGGCGGATTCGATCGAGTCCTTGCTGGACGACATAAGCTTCGTAAAGGCCGACTTGAGCGCCTCTTTTTTGGCGGACTCATCTGATCCAGCGACCGTGGCCGTGAAGCTCTTGGCTTCGTCTTCTCCGACGAGCTGGCGAAGTGCCGGAACTGTGAAGAGAAAGTGCGCGATTTCGTTCAGTGGGCGGAAGCCGCAGAGACCTTCGAAGTCGGTGATGGCAATCGTCATCTCCGGCTTGTGGTTGTCATCCGGGTAGTTCTTTGGGTCCTTGGCATGCAGCTGCTCCGCGAGCTTTTTGTTCGGGTGTGCTTGAATGCTGAGGGCTTTGTTGATGGAAAGCACTTTGAAGAGAAACGGCAGCTTGTTCTGGTACTTTTCACTGACTTCCTTCGACATCAGCGCTTGATTGTCCTGGACAAGCTCTAGAAGGGTTCGGCCAGTCTGCAGGTCTTTGCTTGGGTTTGAGGGATGTGTTCCCATCCACAGCTATGCATCTTGTTAGCGGAAGAAGAACAGCATGCTGTTGTCACAGACCTCAGCATACGGCTTTTCTTCCTGGATTGAGAAGCCATCTGACGGAGTGGCGGCAGCATACTTTGCAGCGGCAGAGCTAGAACCGATCTTTCCTACATTCTTTCAGTCTGAAGAAGGAGAATCGGATGTTGTATGTCTGTACCCCATTCGTAGCTGTTCACACCTATTCCCTGTCAGCATACCCAGCCAGGAGATATAAGCCCCGCCTAATGAACACGAACCGCACTGCAATCGGATCAATGGTACCTGCATCTTGTCGAATCAATTAAAAGGCGAACAGACAATGGAGAGCAGGAGTGAAAGGACAGACTCAGGATATTCGGTGTGGAAAAGACTATAGTGCACGTGGGGTAGCTCTAATTGGATGTAGTGCGATCTCCAATGCGCTGGTGGCGCCTTCGAAAGGCGTTCGAGGTCACGCCCCGGCTTCCTCCCTTCACACGCTAGCCGCATTGAGGTCGCTCGCATCCGCTTCGCGGTGCTCTTCGCTGCCGAAACATTGCCCTTTGTCAGCCACACAAGGCAAGTCACTTGATTTCGTCTTTGCTTGGGAATGCTTACTTGATTTCATTGCGTGCACCGGAATTCCCCTTTCCTACCGACGCGCATATGAATTTCCACCATGACTGGACGAAACAGGAATCGCCCTGCGATCATGAAAGAGGCCGATGAAGAGAGCCAGCTATGGAGCGAAGTTAAGAACAGCGGCTCTCGCATTGACCAACTTGTGGTATGTTTGGATCACATTAAAAGAGCGATACGCTATTGGAGATGATGCTGACGAACGTAGGCCGAACATAATGAGAAATGGAAGAGGATGGCCGAAATCAAGCAGTTACTTGATATTCAATTTTGTGAGTGTCATGAATCTATGATATCCAAACATTGCCTTCTCTCTTTTTCAGTGGAGTTCCCTAATTTGCTGACTTCGACATAGCGAGAGACGAAGAACCATCAGAAGACCTGGAAGACGAGCTAATGAAGCTTACTCGTGAAAACGTCAAAATATGCGATGAATTGGTGGCAGCGATAGAGGGCGACTCTGAACAAGACACGAACTCTCTGCTCGGCGCTCTCAACCTACTATCAGCTCTTCGCGCCTCAAGCGAAGCAGAATCACATACGCCTGCTCCTCGCTCCTTATCAACAGCAAAATCGGGGCGCAATGCGAAGCGGAAAGGAGGCGACGCGTCTTCAGTTGTAAGCGATGACAGAGAGAGTGCCGCAGCAGATTCGCCTGCAGCACCATCTCCAAAAGTCCATATACCCGTGCCATCGCGCCTAAAAGTCAACACGAATGCGTCATCACGTGCCGGATCGGTCGGCGCAGGGAGAGAAGCGTCAGTGAAAATCGAAGAAGGAACTGAGAGTGGTGTGGATGCTAAACGTACAGGTGACCAATTTCTTACCTTCATCAACGTTCTTCATGCGGCGAGTTTATTTGTACAGCACCCCTTCGTGGATGCATCATCACACGCGCGCCTTTTTGCAGCATTTCTTTCCTCCAGCATATACATCAGCGCCACATATTCTGACTCCTTCAATTCTCAGCTTCACACTCCGATCGACCGAAATTCCAAGTCGGCACCGAAGTCCTTTACCGCAAGAAGGGCGTCGGAAAGGTCGACCCAAACGACGGCGAAGGCATGCTATGTCAAGTAACCTCCGTCATAGGCGAAGGCAAACAGCGACGATACGAAATAAGAGATGCGGATGCCGAGGCTGTTGACCCACAGCCTTATAGAGCAAGCTTGCAACAGATGACACCAATCCCTGCTTTAGGCACCGTCCTACCTGAACTGAAGCCAAAGACTCACGTTCTGGCGCTCTACCCTGGAACGACAACGTTCTACAAAGCAGAAGTTGTAACGGGGTCAAAGAAAGACGGCGAAGGTCCTCCGGAAGGCCATGTGCGTCTACGATTTGAAGGCGAGGATGAGCTAGAGCCGGACAAGGACGTTGAGAGGAGATATGTCCTGTCTGAGTGGACGGGAAAGTAGATCATAACCAATCAAGTTTATGACAACCTAGCTGCTATTTGGCTAACATGTTTCCAATTGTTGTGTCAATTGCTGTAGGCTCGATGCCAGCCTTTGCCATGATTTCGTCGAACGTTGGATCGTCGATCATGCACTCTCCTTCCTTAATCGCGTCATACGTTGCGACCCACCATCTTACAGCATTTTCTTGTTTTCCACGTTGTTCCACATAGTGTTTTATGTGCTCCTCCTTCGTCACCGTCTTCACAGAGATCTCCTTTCTTACGGCCGCAGCCACAATATCGGCGACTTCTCGCATCGTTCTTGGGTTACTCCGTTTGGATAGGTAGACGCAACGACTTCTCCACTCCGACGGCGGGGCAGCAATGATTGTAGCGTTTGCAACGCCGAGTTCTGCAATTGGAGTCCAGCTAATTTTCCGGTTGCCCTCGTCAGAGAGGATGATCTCTGTGCGATCGTCGCCACAGACACCGTAGTAGCCAAGGTACAACGGCCAGCTCTCGTTGTATAAACCTTCACGTAGTATCGTGACGTCGAATATGCCGTCCTTCTCCATCTCTCTCAGACGTGCCTCCGTTCTTTCATGGGCCGTCATCACGTTTGACTTGCTGGGATTGGCAAACGCCAACGAAGTATAATAGACATGCTTTACACCGGCCTTCTGCGCGGCCTCTAGCGCTACGAAATGATCTTTCTCTCGGCCATGCCCAGGAGGTGCAGGCACAACCGGATCGTAGTCGAGCGCAATACGTGGGCTGGACACAAGGAAAAGCTTGCTGATGCCATCGAGCGCCTTTTCCATTGACGCAGGATCATCAAAGGTCGCATGGCGAACTTGAACGCCTCGCGCAGACAGGACGTTCCATTTGCTATCTATTGGACGAGACGAAGTAAGGGCGACTATTTGATCCGGGGGAATCAAACCTCGCTCGAGCAGCGCAGTGAGTGTCGCGCTGCCAATTTTTCCCGACGCTCCGATTATTGCAAGCATGAACGGATGCTGCTGTCTATGCTCGCAGGATCGATTATGGAAAAAATAAACACCCGGAAGCGATGTGTGGATTTTCAGAGATAGCAACTATCAGGACTATGTACGGGATTACTCTGTGAGTTAGCAGAAAGCCGAACGAAGAGCAACTGGCCAGAAGAAGCTGCTAAGGAGAGAATGATGTAATCACCTTAGCATCTCACCTCTTAAACCTACTCAAGGTCTCCCACTTAGCTGTAATACTTAAGTCTTTGAGGGCATAAGAGTATTTTCTTTTCACAATTTCAGCAGACGAGTTGAAAATCAATTCCATCTGGCTCTCGGTCAGTCGCAATGTTATGTCGTCATTGAAGATAATAAGCATGCTATTTGCCCGCCGTACAGGGAGATGAATAGTTGCTGCATATACGGCTAAACATTCATAGGTTAAACCGCAGAAAGTAGCCGACTACAATTTGCTACACTACATTCGAGATCACTTGTTATAATGCAAGACTTTGCACAACACTTGAGCTGCTCGTATTGTCACGTGATTTGCGAGGTGCAAATCGACGATCCTAGTGTGGTATCCACAATGACGTAGCCTCAGCCTCGCCCCAAATCCAGCATGCGTTCAACCTACCACGAACGTGGATGTTCGTAAGCCCAGAGACGCGCTGTAGCCGTATAATCTACCCGTCCAAGTTCGTCTGTGTCCACAGCATGTGAGCGCTGACGTCGGCCCCGTAGATCCCACAGCCACGTCCAAGTTTCTTGACTTGGTTAAATGTAAAATAAAGAGAATCTCCCTCGACGTTACAAGACCTGCTTCGAATTCAATAACCAAAATTACAGAAATCGCGCTTGAGCGCCTTTAAACTGAATTACTAAGCAACAACGTCATGGAGGTCGTCACGAACGTCGTGAATGCTGCCACAGAGGCGATTTGGGGCAAGCAGAGCAGCACCGCCGAAACCGAAAAGAGAACGGCAGAAAACGAGACTGCTGGCCAGGAGCCGCTGTCTGGCAAGATTGGCGCCGGAACTGCTGACGAGCCATATGATAAGGGCAATGCCGTGGCCGACGAAACGACGTTGCGCAACGAGACGCCCGGTCAAGAGCCCCTATCTGGTGTTCAGGGTGCCGGTACAGCAGATGAACCATTTGACGAAGGCAACTCCGAGCGTACGTCAACCTTCTTTTCTGATTTTGATTTCGAATCGTCCTAGTCTGGACGAATCGTAGCTTGTTTGACGAACAACGTCGTCCTAATCTTGGCATTAGCGTCCGCCCTGAGTGAGACCACAGTCGACACGAGGCCCTTGGAGGAGGAGAGGCCGAAGCATGAATTTCTTCCGGTGAACGGAGAGCCTCCAGTTGTGGCCAAGACACCCATAGTGGCGCAGGAAGAAGCTGGAGAGCTTAGCAAAGAGGATGTTACCACTGAGCAAAGTCTCAAGCCCACTGTCATCGCAACTGACGGAAGAGGCCTCGAAGCACCAAAAGCCAGTACCGAAATGGAGCCGAGTCGTAAGTCCTTTCTTCCGCTTTTCGTGGCATGCTCAGAACTCACATGGCGACACAGGTTTTGAAGAGAAAGAGGATGAGCCAACCGGAGAGCAGCTCAGTGAAGAGTCGACACCAAGCTCGACTGAGAAAAAGCCACGGTCCAAGCTCGGCAGGTTGAAGGAAAAGATGCACATTCGCTCAGGGAAACACGCGTGACTACGCGATGTTCTGGAGGGTGCCGATGGTGCCGTGGGCGTTGGCATAAGTAAAACCAAAGCCGACCAGAAGCGTATCAGCGATGCAGCGAAAGCGGCACATTTGAAAGCTGAAAGGGAGATAGAACATCCTTCATCTTATCCCTGATGGACTGTATGAATTATGAGCAGGGTGTACGGAGAAATGGTACAGATTCAGGACAGCACGTTTCTCACAATCCTCCTCAAACTTGCTTAGCGATATATGAACGAAGTCTGCAGAGACAGCAAAATACCATTTTTAAGACAAGTGTGAAAGAACGTAGTTCGGATTGCGACTGCGCCTCGTCAGGACGCTGAATCGCGATATACGCCGCCTGGAATGCACACGCTATGCACATCAACAGCAGTGATTACAATAATATATGTAAAGTCCCCCTTATCGCCCCAGTATAAAACTCACCGTTCGAAAGAAAAGAGTTTTGATATTCCTTTCCCGCTGGTCATTAATCATCTCGCTTCACCGTTCGCCTTGTCTACAGGCACTCCGTTGACTAGAACTTGTGGCTTACTGTCACTCGCAGCACGAATGTCCGCACCAGTCTCTCCGGCCCATGCATCGCTCTGCTCCTTGCGCAACTCGTCTAAGGTGACTTCGCGCTCCGCAGCGTCGACCTCTGAATCCTCAGAACGCACGTCATCAGTCTCCTTGAAGCCACTGGCAACAAGGCGCCAGAGGATGCGTAAGATGAGGTAAAACCAGAACATGTTCACAAGCTGCAAGGCGAGGAGAAGCCCGAATGTGATGTACTGCGAGATCCAGCACTTGTATTGCTGCGTCTCCCAATTAAGTTCGTAGGGCCCCACGGTCGCGAAGTCGGATGGCGTGTTGAAGTAGGTTGTTGTCCTGTCTGGGATGGATTGCAGTAGCGAAACCGTTTCTGGGAAAATCGTTGAGGCAAAATTGACGATCGGAGCTGTTACTGGTGCAAGTGCGGCAACGACAGATGAGCCATAGGACGTGAACGTGGAGAGAACAGAGAGAATCTGTTCATTGATCGGATCTGGGAAAGGCATCGGGAGGGGAAGAAGGGAAAAGAGGATCCTGAGGTTGATGAAGTGGCGCAAGTACGCCCAGGAGCAAAGGAAGATGATAAAGTAAGGTATGACGATTGGGGACTCCATGTAGTTGAGGATCTTTGAGGTCTAAATTTTTGTGTTGTCAAAATACGATCGCGCAGAGAGACGAATCTTGGGGACTTACGGCAAGGAAAAAGTCGGAGATGTCATGAGTTGTGTACACAGCCAGGCCCATATATGTGAAGTGGAAAGCGTAGGAGAGATATATCAGCGAGATGGTAATAATATGATGGGCAACTAGCTCTTTGAAGTCTTTTCGTGGCTTCTCTTGCGCAAGCATGAGTACGATCATCTGCTGAGCCCAGTACGCCGCCTGGAACAGGTAGTACGTCTTGACCTCGGCAAGGTGAGACCGGTGTGGAAACCCTTCGTACATGCCGTCTGTATTGAAGTACCAGACGGGTGTCTTTTTCATGACGTACAAGCCCAAGGGCCCTAGGAAGCCGAAGTATATGGCCGTGTACGCCTGCTCCATAAAGCGAGCTTGCTTCCCTCTCGTCTTCATGCCAGCTCGGATGGCAAGCGGCCGAAGGATGCGCTGCATGGTAAACTCGCGCGTGAATGTCAGGACAATGGTGTAGAAGCCGACAAAGGCAAAGTCACGGGCGCCTTTGCCGTATTGGAGGGGCGCATCAGCAGGCTCACCCTGCTTTCGTGGGAGAGGATAGGAGAGGAAGAGCGCGGAGTGAAGAGGATTGTCTTCGGAGGGGTTGACCAAGTACAGGGCGACGACGACAAGGCAGATTATGAGTGGATTGAGCCACGTGTGCCGTAGGGAAATGGACTTCCATCGTCGATACAGAGACTTGACTTTTCTCCTTTTGCGGCCGCGGTGCGCACGTTCTGGGTTGGACTTTTGCTGGAAGCGGAGGTCAGAAAAAGGGCATCGACTTGCCACGCAGGGGAGGATGGCATACTACAGGCGAGGAAACCTGCGCTGGAAGAGGTTCATGATCGTACATGGTTGCAAGTGCAGGCACACTGGTATCGCCAGGTGGTTCTCCGCGCAGACTGGACGTGCGCCGTCTTCGAGTGCCGTCAGCGGAACCATTTGGCTTGGGTTCCGCGGCAAGCGACGGGGATGCTTCAGAGCCTGTAGCCATCGACATATCCTACGCAGAGGGTGGAAGAACAATGTACAGTCAAGAACACCTCACCAGCGAATTTATGGCGAGCACGGGGGCACTTTTTTATAAGTTCAGAGATCAAGGGTTTCGCGACGGCTCCGTCAGCGCACGACGTACCTTGGCGCTGCTAGCCCCAATGTGGGCGGAGACGGCCAGGGCTACGTTAGTTCGACGCGCGAGATGTCGTCTCATCAAACTGTCGTTGCCGCAGCGAATCACAGCACCGCTCGCGCGAGCGAGCCAATGGGCCCAGGTGAATCGCCGTCTTCTTTTGCGGATCGATGGTTCAACCGAGTCTCGAGGCCTCCTTCTCGCGTACTGCTAGGCAGGAACCTGCCTCACCCAGCCTGCCGCTTCGTCCTCCGATGGTTGGAGACTCTGGCTGAGAAGCTCGTTTCAGATTGTTTTGGCATGCCGTCGAATGACTTGAGCATATGAAGACATATCCCGTCTGCGTCACGCTCGTCCCGTCCCGTTGGACTGTGGGCCGCGGCAAACAAATTTGCAGCAACCACAACAACAAACTCCAAGAAAGGGGACCAGATGCTCGCAGCAGTGCCATCTCTTCGAGTGTTTCGCGGTCACATTTTTCCAGCCTTATGCGCTCTCCCGGCCTGGCAATCCACGTCTTGATTCTCTTTGTGGGATCTGTCGGAGCTAACTTTCTCCATTTCCCATCTACACAGACTAGACGGGGCGAGAAGCGTTTCCAAAGTGATCACACACTGCAACTCATATCGCGAGTAGCTGCGTACTTCTTCCGTTGGCCCCATAGCTCTCTGCATTTAGCCTGCTAACCGGACGAGCCGCGTCCGAGCCGAAAGGCGCTATGCGTCTTGGGGCTTTCCGGCTACTGGTGCTGTCTAACGTCAGAAATGCATATTCCTCGACCTAAGATCTAGAGTACATACTCGTTCCATGTTTACTAGAATCGCTAAAAGTGCTCTGCCTCTTCGTGGTTCTATAGTTCGAAATGGAAAATTTTCTCCAATTTCCACTTCTAGATATGATTCATGTCTTGAAGTGGAAACTGACATATGTCATGTGTTTGCTGCACTACTGGGCAAAACTTAACAGAGTTTACTTTGGTGTAAACTCTGTCTTCGGCATCTGCTGTTCGACGACTTTTGGCATGTGTACTTTCTACGGCTGCAAGCAACGCGACATGTGCTAAATCTATCAATCGCGATCTCCAGGAACATGAATCCAGCGCTAATATCCGACCTGATTCAGCAGACCAAAGGTTACCAATAGCTCAAAACGGATGCATATGGTCTCTGGTTCCGGAGCCATGGTCTTTCAAGGTGCATTTGGAGCTCCCAGTCCTCGTGTCCCCAAAAGTGGCTGCGGTTCTGTGAATGATGGCGGTTCCCAAAGATACTGATGTCGTCGCTCGGTTGTTCAGTTTGGTTCAAGCCATGGTACAGAAGAGCACTGACAGCCACATTGGCTCAGAGTATTTGAATCCATTGGAGGCAAGGGACCGAACTTTAGTCTTAACAGATTAATGTGTCAATTTCAAGTTCACTCTCGCTTGTTTATGTAGGAGACATTGGTTTTCTTCTTACATACGGAGCCGAATCAAGTTAGTAGAAGCTCCGGAAAATAATGAGGTCAAACAAAAGCCGACAGTCACTTTTCTGCTTCTACGCCGGCGATTTCGTAGGTCTCGCCTCCAACAATGACAGTAATGTTTCTCGATAGGATTCGCTAGGTGCGACTTGCAATCCCACAACTTTCGCTCTGTCGTCCCATTGCCTCAAACGACATATCTCTTCTCGCCACGGATCAGCATCCATCTTTGTCTTCTCCTCACCGCTCATTGGTCCACCTTGGAATACCAAGCTCTTTTTGCTTGCCTCAGATAATGAATCGTAGTACTGTGGGTTAACAGCACACAAATATCGTTTTGCTTCCACATGGCTTCCAACAAGACGCGCGATCTTCTGGCTGAAGCCCAATGCCTGAAGATACTGTGCTCCCAGCTCCTCGTGTCTGATACGACCAACGCTCTCAGATATACATCCACCTTTGTCCACCATATCTTGTACGGAAACTCTCGACCCGAGAACGTTGCACAAGTCTTCAGCCGTAGCGAACTGCCCGATATCATGCAACAACGCTGCAATTATGGTGTCATCGTCTACTGGGGGGTCTGCATTTGCTGCTTGATGTGCGCATTGTAGCGAATGCTCCAACTGCGAAATGGGCTCGCCTATGTAAGGTGTTTCTGCAGACGCGTTGAGTGATGCAATGATGTGGTCAGCCTTCACTGCTGCTGTTGCGATTCTAAGATTCATTTTGAGGGCATTCTCATCATAGGAGCCGGCATTGTGCTCTCTTCGAACGCAAAGAGTTACTTCTTGAATGCTTTGTAGCCAAACGAGAGCCTCGGACTTCTTGCCATGAAACCACGTGCCAGAACTGTGGAGATCGGCTTGTCGCCGTTGTGGATCCTAGAGCTACGGTATCGCCCTTGGTATCTCGGACTTTTCTGAACTTCGGGCTGGAGCATATAAGATGACGGCGATCATGGGCGAAATACATGTTGAGAATGACAAGAAATTGTTTCCGAAACGTGTAGAATTTGTCTCTCGTCACGAAAATGAGCTTGTCTACGGAGCAAGTGCACTTCTTTCATGACCATGGATATTTAATCTTGAGAGATCTATTGAGCGAGCAAGAAACTCGAGACATCAAGGAATGGGCACAAGAGATCCACGATTGGAAGCCTACTCAGGACTCTGCATTCATGCCCTATGAAGTGGGTTTTATACCGCATTCTGGCTTGAAGTCTCGGTGCTAAAAGACGTAGGAAATCAACGCTCGAGGCGAGAGGGTTTTATGTCGTACCGAAAACTTTGTGGACGTTCATCGTGGCTTCAATGATTTACTGCGAAGCGAAAAGTTGCTGAACATACTCGCTCAACTTTCTGGCGAGCCTATGCTTTTGTTCAAGGAGAAAATTAATTACAAGCTCTCCGGGAGTGGTGGCTTCGCTCCACACATTGACGCTGTAGCGTATACTCATGTCAAGAACATCAAGCACCTCACTATCTTGCTGGCTGTGGATGAGACCAACATGAAGAACGGAGGCCTTGAAGTAGTTGATGGCAGCAACGCCATGGACATACCCATCAATGAGAAAGATCATTGCATAAGCCAAGATTGGGTGAAGGAACAGATCTGGACGCCCGCTGAACTCGAGCCAGGTAAGTTGCGTGTCACACGCCCACACGCCATACCACGACAATCTGACCCGAATGCGCGTTAGGTCAACTGTTGATTTTTGGCTCCTATCTTGCCCACAGGAGTGGCGTCAATGCAAGCAGCGGAAGTCGCAAAGCGATATATGCAACGTACAATTGCGCAAAGGAAGGCGATCTGCGCAAGGCATATTACGAAGACCGTGCTAGACTTTGGCCTGCTACGCACAAGAGAAAGGAGGGTGAGTCGTATGCGGAAGGCTCCTTAAGATATGGTTTTGGTAGCCCAATGCTCAGCGTCGAAAGCGGAAGACAGCTGGTGTTTTAGAATCCAGAACGTCGTCATGTAAGTAATCCAGTCAAAAGGTCGCATTTATCTAGTCGCTCTTGCAAGTGGACATGCTGTTCGAAATCTGGACATGCCATGGGATGAAAAAAAGAAAAAGCAGAGCTTAAATTGCGTCATGAATCCTCCATCTGGTACGCGTTATAGGAATGACTGCAGTTATTTATTTTGTCTTGAGCTGTCACACAACGCTCGGTCGCGTGCTTTCAGCAGCTGCTTAAACAATTTCAGTCACTATACTTAGTAGAGTTGATTTACTGCCAGGACATAGCGGTGCTGACGCATAACATAGTATCTTCAGCGAAACGATTCGAATTGTTCGCTTACACTGAATTAGGACTGGAAGGATCTCACGTACCGAATCCAAGGGTATTCATCACAACATCTAGTAGGAATATTGTTCTTCCTATCACATAATTCGACATGCTAAGTCCTACTACATCTCTTGTGGATTTCAGTTACGAACTATGATATTGAATAGGAAGGAGTGAGCTGCTATAACTATCGTAATCGAGGGCGCCATATCGGAAACTTTGGCATGAAAATGAGCATCTGACGGTCTAATATAAGACTCTGAGGATCATCTAAGTAACACGGTAGTCTAGCTTGGGACTCTGATGCGGAATTGAAGCTCAAAAAATACTAATTTCCTTGGCTCTGAAGACTTTCTCACTCGCGGTCGACATTTGCAATGCGGAAAGAATGCTTTCCAGGCTCTAGCCGTGAATGATCACGCTGCTGCGACCGTTGTCGGCTTCATGCTTGCAGAGCGGCTTTTATGAGCGCTCCGTCATTGAGATGTCAGTACTTGACTTGCATGCAAAGCTTAGTGGCTCTGCGAAGCACCCGGGTGCGAAATGGCCAGGCGCGGCGAGTAGGTGTTGCCTCTTGGCGAGAGCAGTCGACATTGCTTTCACTTTTGATACGTTCCTCATGCATCGTGACGCGTTCAAACTCCAGCGGCAGCCTCCCCAAGGCCTTGGACTTTGGTGAGCTCCTCCTTAGTCTCATTCATACATACGTCTACATCAAGGTCCTCCATCACCTGCACTACGAGCCTTATGCTTTCAAAGAAACCATTGACGCTGACTCGAAGCATTCGGTTTGTCGTCGCTCGGTACATAACACGCAACACGGTCTTGCCGGTATTTGCCGCGAGGCCGTCTGCCCGGACTTCCTCCCCGTCAACGATCTCAAAAGTCCTGTCCACTAGAGGACTGAGTTCTTTGTCGACGCTCAGCGATCTCAACGCAATGTTTGCCAGCCGCTCATCAGGAAACGGCACATTAATGACTCTAGTGTGTCTCTGACATTAGCTGGATCCATCCAATATGACATACGTGCTCATCACCGATCGAATTTGCAGGGTCTGGAAGGCAACTCACAATTTGCAGGGGAATTTGCCTGCCTTGGGATCTTCGGCCATGGCTGCGAACTAAGCTTCGGCTGGTAGCGACTGCACAATATCGTCACTGCTGATGTAGCGTCGAGTGTGGGTGGATGTATTACCCCAGGAAGATTTTCATCATCGCGGGGCCACTGTCAGGCAAGAGTCAAAGCCTGGTGGGGATCTGCGGTGATTCTTCATTGGTTGAAGCATTGGCGAAGGAATGACGTCGAGACGGCATTTGGATATGACCACGATATGGTATTTAATCGTGCGCCAGAGCGGTTTCTCCAGTTGGGAATACGAACAACAGAATAAGATTTCTTTCCCGAGACAAATTTTCGTAAACGGGCTAGTTGCACAGCATAGCATATATGAAGATGACCACACCGTCGCCTTCCGAGTTCTTGACGTTTATGAGATTCGCTACAGTCCGTTCAGCACCACATGTCTCTTCCATACGCACCCGTCAGTCGATAGCATCCGCAGCTGGCTGTGCTATTGCTCAAAGTCGACACGCAAGTACCAAAACGAATCCAGTCCAGAACCATGCCAGCAGGCCAAATCATGCAGTTGACAAGTCTGGGCTCGACGTCCAATCCGACGCAGCGCACAAAGGTACATCGTGAGTTCTCACCGTGCCAGTTTTAGGTATGACGCGTTACATTGTTGCATGTACAGATTTTGACGAGGTCTAACGACGTGCAAGCAGCGCGAAGTCCGAGGATTGCCAAGACCATGCAACTTCACAGAAAGAGGTGGCCGGGACCACTCGGAAGGCGAAGAGAGACCATCCTGAATCCCCGGACGTTGTCATCGGCATGCAGGATGAACGAGGTGGGCGTGGTCATTGACCAATGCTAATGAAAGACTGTTGCTTGACGATGTTTTTATCTGAGACGGTAGAAGGTATTCGCGATACGTATGTATCATTACATGTTGTATGTGCGTATTACGGACGATCATGATTCAGTCAATTGTACAATATTCTACAGAAACAACGAGGGCAAGGCTTGCAAGTGCTAGTGATAGACCTCTTTCAAAATGACAAAGGCGTTCCACTAAAACCGTGGTCGCTTGCTGCTATGCAAAGTACTATAAGAGATCTCGTATGCTGCTGAGTCTTCTGGAAAAAAATAGCTACTTTGTGATTTCTCTGGGCTCAATGCACAGGATCACGCTGGAGGGGAAGCCGACGAAGGTGATACTTTGGCCTTCTTCTTCCGAGAGGGGAACCACAGGGTTAATGATGAAGATGCTGGCATTCGGCAGATGGTCGACTAGGGTACACAGACGTTATTCCCTCAGTCCGATGAGATTTGATTGGATCAAGACGAGTTCGTCAATGACACGTATTGCAATGCGAGAACGTCCGACCTTGAATATCTCTCTTGGTATCGAGCAGATTTGAATGTGAGGCAAAGCAAAGACGAATCCACCGTGCGCTGGCAGTACAGAAACACGTGACGATCTGCAACATTGCGGGCCCGAGGAGCTGACAGAATTAATCCGGTCATCTATCTCAGGCGCCGACGGGAGCAAGAGAAAATCTTCGTCACAGATCGGAACTCATTTCTAAAGATCTGCCGATGCGCTGAAGAGCTTGTTGCTAATGGATACGGACAAAGATTCCCCTGGTCTTGTCCTTAACAGAGTCGGAATCCACGCACCGAATTGAGCATAGAATTCCGGCCAAGTCATCCACTGGCACGACCGGAAGATGCGCAGGAAGGCCGCTGATTTGTGCGCGTGCGAGCCAAAGACCGATCGAAGACCGAAGAAAAGACAAACTGGGATTGCGTCCAAGCTCGGCGCAAGAAGCTCGTTCTTTTGCATGCCCCGCATCCCAATGTGCAAGAAGAGAAATTCGAATGCGCGAGCAGCAAGTTCGTAAATGTACTAGATAGTTTCCCCCGACGCAATTATAAGCGCACGGCCTGTTCCCGCATCGCCTCTGTTCCTCAAGGCGCTCTCACATACATTCATCTAGAGCGAGATTCGTGCAACTGACAAACACCATGCCAGCTGATACCGTCGGAAAGGTGAGGAAGTTACCCCTCCATCCATCTACGCAACGGGCTAACCTTGGAACGCAGACCATCACCTGCAAGGTTCGTATGCGGCAGACACGCAGTACCTAGAGTACTGTGATGGACACCAAAAATGCTGAGCAAGCGCAATAGGCGGCCGTCGCGTGGGAAGCCGGCAAAGATCTATCGATCGAAGAAATCGAAGTTGCCCCACCAAAGGCACACGAGGTCCGCATTGAGATTTACTACACTGGTGTCTGCCACACGGGTAATATTTTGCGCTCCATCACGGCCACAGCATCACTAACGAACCCTAAGATGCGTACACACTAAGCGGCAAAGATCCCGAGGGCGCATTCCCAATCGTCCTGGGCCACGAAGGCGCCGGAATCGTAGAGTCCGTTGGCGAAGGCGTCACCTCTGTCAAACCGGGCGATCATGTTGTAGCTCTATACACTCCAGAATGTCGAGAGTGCAAGTTTTGCAAGAGCGGGAAAACGAATCTTTGTGGCAAGATTAGAGCTACCCAGGGCAAGGGCCAAATGCCTGATGGCACTACGAGGTTTAAGTGCAAGGGAAAGGACTTGCTGCACTTCATGGGTACCTCAACCTTCTCGCAATACACCGTTGTTGCAGACATTTCGGTAGTCGCTATCACCGACAAGGCGCCAATGGACAGGACATGCCTTCTCGGCTGTGGCATCACCACCGGCTACGGAGCAGCGGTCATCACCGCCGGCAACGGCAAGGGTGTTGAAAAGGGTTCTAATGTCGCTGTCTTCGGTGTCGGCTGCGTTGGTCTGTCCGTCATACAGGGCGCTGTTAAGAACGGGGCTGGAAAGATCATCGCCATTGATGTAAACCCCTCGAAAGAGGAATGGGCCAAGAAATTTGGCGCCACTGACTTTGTGAACCCAATGAAGCTCCCTCAGGGCCAAAGCATCCAAGAAAAGTTGATCGAGATGACCGATGGTGGCTGTGATCATACGTTCGACTGCACTGGCAATGTCCACGTCATGCGAAGTGCCCTGGAGGCGTGCCATAAGGGCTGGGGTGAAAGCATCATTATTGGCGTTGCTGCCGCAGGCCAAGAGATCTCTACTAGGCGTAAGTGTTGCATTGACTTTCCTCGCATGATGAACTGGTGCTAAGAACACTCCCAGCATTCCAGCTTGTTACAGGTCGCGTATGGAAGGGCTGTGCATTCGGTGGCGTCAAAGGCAGGACACAGCTTCCAGACCTTGTCGCTGACTACATGAATGGCAACCTGAAGGTGGACGAGTTCATCACACATCGCCAGAACCTAGCCGGCATCAATCAGGCATTCGCAGACATGAAGGCCGGTGACTGCATTCGCTGCGTGGTGGATATGAGAGCACAATGACTCCGTACGGATAAAGGACTGATCAATCATGATAACTCATTGTACAAAAGCAATTTGTAGAAGGGTGGAACTCTTTGAGGTTCTCGCCTTAGCCGTGATCAGACGCGTCTCATCACGTGATATAATCAGTTCTACACCAACTTGTACGCCTCAAAAAATCAAAAACATTTGAATGATCCATTTGTTGTCAAATACAAATCTTCTTTTCTTCTCCAAGGGATATTAGTCAACTCTATTGGAAATGTTCAAAGTCTCAGCCTTATGTTACTTCTGATCTAGAGAGAAATTATCTCACATCGAACGATTGGTCAGTGCTTTTTGACGCTGGCCACCAACCTGTCATTCGATCTCAGCCTTCTTCCATCTGCTGTTTACCACTCTAATCTTTCGCAATTGATTATAGAGTGTAGCCAGTGGAGATATCGCCACTGGCTCGCTCAAGCTTTCCCGGAGGCCTATCTGTCAAAGTTGTGGCCAGGTTGGAGCCACTCCGAAATTCAAGCGGACGGGTCCGGCTTCGTCAAACTTCAACCTAGCGTGTCATACTGAGCAGGCACCATCAAAAATTTTGTGGAGCCATCGACTCCCATCTCATAACACGGTGGTCGAAGTTAACGAACGCGATCTCTATTGCATGACCGCGCAGTTGACGACTTTTACGTTGTGGCGGAGGTGTCGCGGCTCCTTAGGTGTCCTCCTGGCAAGTTCGAAGGCGATACCCTAGGACCTGCGCTTTCGAAAGCGACACCAGCAACGTCCTGCGAGCGCACCCTGACGTCGAACCTTGGATTGCTGGTGGGCAGTAATTTTGACATCCGGAAGCAAATTCACGATTGGTCTCGTTGTCTCGGTTATCCAAGGACCGTTGGTACATTTCTCAGGCTGGTTGCCGCGGACGAATATGTCTGAATCGCAGGATGCACCTACAGTACTGGAGAGAGACACGCAAACTGCAAATGGAGAATCAATAGTCTCAGCGGTCAATGCAATCTCTAGAGAGTCCGTGCCCCTCGTTCAAGAACCATGTGTCAATCTTCCGGAAATCGAGATGACTGAGCCTCAGTGCGACCGGATCGACAACGAACTCATTCCAGATGCTGGTTTTGAGCACGCGCGTGGCATCAAAAATGAAAACTACGATGGAATCTCGCAGTCCGACGATGCTAGATACCCAGAATTGACGGTGCGGGATTCAGCAGAGAATTCCAACAGAGCGGAATCGAAAAATGCGACAAATCTTGCTGGTCAGGTAGTGGACGGCGAGACAATTGAGGTAATTGCCACTTCGAAAAGGTCGCTGAAGACGCATGCAATCAAACCCTACAGTACTCTCGAGCCAGAAGACACTGTCGACCTAGTGAGCAAAATCCAGACCATCTTCGAGATGGACACGACTGTGAAGGAGAATGGAGTTGTATTACTGGACGCGCCGCATTTAATACCTGCTGATGGCGATATCAGATTGCCCCCTGCCGACTATGGCTTCGAGGCTACCTCTCAAAGGGTCATGACGCCTGCTAGGCTTCTCGGCACGGGGTTGGTGGTAATCAAGCGCGAAGAAGCCATTTTAAGAGACCAGCAACCAAAATTCTCGCCAGCCAAGGAACTTTCAGAAGATGATATGGAAAGAATTTTTCGTGACCATATTGAAATGCATGGACGTAATTCGAAGCGATTCCCGTACTTCAACATTGATATCAGTGACTACCGGGTTCGGCCTGAAGGCTCATTCGAACTGACCTGCGGGGCACCGATGGACAAATTGTCATACATTGCTGGCGTGAATACCCCTTATGGTTACTATAGCCGTGGCATCTCTCATTTTGGAGCTCATGTGGAGGACTGGCATTTTGCTTCATACAATGTTCTCTTCGCCGGCCAGGTCAAGCTGTGGATCGCGGTGAAGCCTTCGAGCAAGGCCTTATTTGAGAGAAAAATTCGGGAATTGTTTCCGGAAATTGGCACTTGCGTTCAATTTGTTCGACATCTTGCTATCAATATCGCGCCCGCTACATTGCGAAAATGGGGCGTCGAGCACTTTTTTGTTCCTCAGAAGCCAGGCCAAATTGTCGCTGTGTCCGGCTACACGTATCACTGGGGAATCAACACTGGTCAGAATTATGCAGAAGCCATAAATTTCTGCATAGAGAAGAATTGGGTCGCACCGGAAGAGTTCAAAAATTGCTACCGCGGATGTGGCATTGCAGACGACATGATTCCACTTCCTAAGCCGGTATTAGAAGACGGCGACTTGGAAACGAAGAAGGAACGGGCTATTGTTCGCGATCAAGCTTTCCGAAAAACTTGGGAAGAAGAAGGGGCAAAGCTCGTAAATGAGCAGGATATACTCAGCGCAAACAAAAGGCTGAAGCCAAGAAAGCAGAGTGAAACTCCGTCTGAGTCCATGCGCTTCTTTCCAGCTCGAGCTAGGCCTCATCTGACATCTCGAGATACATCAGCCACCCCGTTCTCGCACCGTCAGCGGCCAAGGGCAAAACAGAGAAACACACTGCGAGATTCTATCGAAGTATCTGCGGCCGCGCAACGATTGAACGGTCGCGAGTATCATCGGCGAACTAAGACGGTTCGACAACGATATCGTGATGCCAGCGCGACCCCAAGTGAACCATCAGAGAGTACGGATGAGGAACCAGCAGTCAAGCGCGATCGGCCAGGAAAAACGGGCCATTCTCGGCACATCTCCAGCATTCTTGAATCCGCCCAGCAAGACTCTAATGCTGTTGCTACTCAGATCAACGGTCTCAAGAATATGGTTCTCAGCTTCTTGATTGATCAGAAGAAGGCAGCTTCGGAAGCAACAGCTAAACAAGAGCAGCTGATGCGCTTGCATGTTGATTGGCAAATTAAGCAGACCGAGATAGCCATGAAACAGTCCGAGTACGCTCAGAAAATGATGGAATCCCAACAACGAATGGAGCATTTGACAATGCTGATGCTACAGAAATTGGAAAGCCAACAAATTTCACGTTCAGATTCAACTACAACCGCTTCCAATAAGCAGGCACGAGGACATTCTCGCTTTTCTAAGTCTGTTGGCGGTGCGATTTCTACTAATATCTCTTCCAATGGGATTCACCTAGATGACCGCCAGAATTTACCCCGTCATCAACTTCCTTTCAATGCGGAAGGGCCAGTGACGTCGTCAACCTCAAGTTCAAGACCTCTTGGCTCTAGGTGTGAGTCCTTACTTAATGCAGCGGCACAACCAGATAAAGCATCTTCAGGTTCAAACGTAACCTCCCGTGCTCCGAGTATCATCGGCTCGTCGGCTCGTGCCACTGAACCTGATACCCATACTTCCCCCGAGTATCTACCTAGCACACCACAACCGAAGTCAGCACATTCCACTCCGCTCGCAGATGATCTCGCACCCCAATCACCGGCTTCAAGGCTTCTTGAATGTGCGTCACATGACATTACCACAGATACGAATGCGAAGGCTAGCGATACCCGGAGATGGGAACATAGCGGGAATGATGCTAGCGATACGTCGTCATTAACTGGAGCAGAAGCTGAACAAGGCGACAACGCAGCTCCAGAGGGATCCACGCGTATGGGCCGATCTACTGCTGTTAGCGTCAATGTCGAAACTACTAGCTCCGTGAATAAAATGAAGTGTACGTCTTGTAGGGCCAGGCGTGTCACCTGCGGGAAAGAAGAGCCTGCATGCCTTCGATGCATTACTAGTCGCAAGCCACGTACTTGCATCTATCCAAGCACAAAGATTAAGAGCAGAACGGTCAATAAGCAAGCCAAACGTGCTGCCAGTGAAGCCGAACCTTGCCCATCGGATGTTCCTTTCACTAAACGTTCGAAAACCAATCCGAAGGATGCGGTAATTGAACGTGCAGAATCATCTTCCTCACGTCCTCTCATGACCAGGGAGCTTTCAGCACTTTTTAATACAGACGAATGGGATGTGGTGCCAGATCGAGCTAGTATGGAGCCTATCCCGAGAAAGCGCCTAAGCATTGATAAGTCAAGCACCCCCGTCGCCTGAATTACGATGTTTGTAAGGCCTCAACCGCAAGTTTCTGTTTTCATGGATACCCAGCATGAAGATCGACTAGGACTTCAGCAGGAGATACAGAGACTGTATGCTCTCTGCGTTATCACGATGTATAATATATGATGAACTCATTTTATTCTACGAACGCTCTCAAACGAGCGATAATTCATTTTTGTCGATACTCTTTCCAACCCCTTAAGTTTTCAAAGGTATCTTGCTTATGCACCAATTGTTTCAATATGTCGCTGTCAATCTTCTCACCAGATATTCGCCGCTTCTGACCGGTTCATACTTGGGTTTCTCCCCCTGTGCACATGTTGAAGGGATAACTTCAATCATTCTATCAAAGTTAGGGTTGCAGAAGTAAGCAATCGAGTACCGAGAAGGGTACTCTCCGTCTGCACCTTCACTTGGCGGATGTGGGGGCTCGACGACTCTATGCGTTGTACTTCTGATGGTGTCGTTGCTCCATCGAGCCAGCAAATCGCCAGCGTTGATCACAATCGTACCTTCGATAGGCGTAGCATCGATGAAATTTCCGTTGGGACTCTCGACTTGTAGACCGCCACGAGAGTCTTGAAACAGCAGCGTGACAGAGCCGTAGTCTGTATGTGCTCCAGCACGAACCTGAGATTTGTTCGCGTCGAAGACGGCTTTCTTGACGGGTGGATAATGCAGAAGCCTGAGGGTGTTATCGCCGCGATCCGTGTACCCATCGAACCAGGACTCGTCTATGCCCAAGCCCACCGCGATGGCACGCATTAGTTCGATGTGGAGGTTTTTGCACGTGTCGAAGAAGGACAGCATCGTTGCTTTGAAGCGTTTACCTGCCTCGTCGTCGGCCCACATATTGGGACAATCGGGTTCGCCCTCCCGGCCGATCTCCAAGCTCTCTTTGAGGTCGGGAACAGCAGCCCTCAGCGCTTCTACATCGCCTTGTTCAGTCAGGTTCGTGACCTTCTCCCGTCCATGAGCAGTGTATCCTCGGTTTGCCTTCGGGCTGTACCACGCAAGCGCGTCTTTCTGCTCCTGTGGCCTTGCGAACCACTGCGCAGACTCTTCGAACACGGTCTTGACCGTTTCCTTCGGGATCCCGTGGTTCCTGAGGTAGATGAATCCGGCCTTTTGGAAACCAGATAGGATCTCCTTTGCTGTAGCACTCTTCGCGTCGGCATTGCCGTGCAGGAACTGGGAGAAGTCTATGAGCTGACGCCATGTACAACTTAGCACAGCAACTTTTTCGAAGCGGGAGATAAGATCCGTACAGGGATAAAGAGATCATCCTTCTGAACCGCTGCTGCCGCCATGTTTGCTCAAAAGGTCAGGTTACCGTGCGACAGGATGTTACGGGGTAGACACTTCTGATCTCTCTGCAAGCAAAGGCTGTGCGTTGCGAAGAGGGCAGCACCCGATTGTCTATTCTAGATGTTAGCTCTGTATATCAGCGGGATCTTAGCGGCTCCAGATACGCTCTTTATCTCGCAACGGAATCGACCGACGGCCATGCTTATACTTACCCTTTAGGGAAGGTGAAGCTCATGGCGGGGTTTATCTCGGCCACCCCCACCACGGAAGTAGCTATGCAGGCACGACGCATCCAAATTCCGCGTCGTGATTACCGCGCGTCTGATCATTCTTAGACCAATTGAGCACGTATAAATTTGCTTTGCTGAAATTGGACAACCTCGACAATAGCCGACCGTGAGAATTTCTGTTGCCCTGATTTATTTAACTCTGGGGCTTGTATAGATAGTGCCTGGATTGAGGTAGCTAAGGCGCATTTGGTCGGGCGCAGTCTCGATATCGTAGCTGAGGGCTAGTATGGCACCCATTGTTGACGGTGAGACTGCTTGTCTTGGTGGATCACTGGCAATGGCTTAACAGGTCGCAGTGCATACGCACGTCTATCCTCCTTCGTATATCGAGGTCCTGCGTTCGCGGGCAGCCACAAAAACGATTCCCTATGTCACTTCTTTTCCGGAAGACCCAGATAACCACCGCCTCATCATCTTACCGGGCGAGGATGATTCTTCGACGCCCTCAACAGCAAGAGGACGTCCCGTCGGACCTGTCTATTGGGATATCAAAGAAAAGATCAAGTTCATGGACCGACACGAGATCCAAATCTCCGTCATTTCGCTCGCAAACCCGTGGCTCGACTTCATTGACACTTCAATCGCCGCAAGTGAGGCTGTGAGGATCAACGACGAAATCAACTCGCTGTGCGAGCAGTATCCTGGTCGACTGTATGCCTTTGGAGCCCTACCTCTTTCCGCAAAGCCTAGCGAGGTGGTAGCGGAAGTAAAGCGATTGAACACGCTGTCGTGCATGCGTGGCATCATCCTGGGTACGTCCGGCCTTGGCTCTGGCCTCGACGATCCGGCATTGGATGCCATCTACGCAGCCCTCGAGGAGACGAGCTCGATGATATTTCTTCATCCACACTACGGGCTTCCGTCAGAAGTCTACGGGCCTAGAAAAAACGAGTACGGACACGTTTTGCCCCTGGCTCTCGGGTTCCCGTTGGAAACTACGATCGCGGTGACACGCATGTATCTGAGTGGCGTATTTGACAGATTCCCCAAGCTGCAGGTGCTGCTCGCGCACAGTGGCGGTACACTTCCATTCTTGGCAGGAAGGATCGAGAGCTGCATTGAGCACGACGCGCATTTCATTCATACTGTGAAGGAAGGTGGACGGAAGAGCATCTGGGAAACGCTAAAGCAGAACATCTGGCTAGATGCAGTGATCTACTCCGAGGTTGGCTTGAAAAGTGCAATTGCAGCCAGTGGTGCGGAACGAATGATGTTTGGTAAGAGACCGTCTGGACGTGTACAGTCTCGTATTAATTTTTGAGTTTAGGTACGGATCACCCATTCTTTCCGCCACTGGAGGGCGAGGACGAGGCCTGGCTAAGTGTGAAAACGAACTATGCGGCGATTGCAAAGGCATTTGAGAGAGATCAGGCAACTGCTGATGGTGTGCTTGGAAACAATGCGATAAAAGCTTTGAGATTGCAATGATTATGAAGATACGACATCTAGATTGCCCTTGTAGGTGAAATTTTAGAATGAAAAGGTCGTTGTGAGGCATTCGTGCACTGTAAAGAGTCTACATTTGTCTTTTATTCAATCATATATTTCGAGAATTTGGGCAACTTTTGGATTCTAGATGCCGTCTAAACTCGAAATTTGCACAAGGCGGTAACACGAGGTACACAATCGACGACGAAAGCCTATAAGAACAAGGTCACAGCATGGCTTGGCTCAGGAGTCGAGCTCGTCATCCCAACTGTGGTCTACCAAAGAACGATGACTCATTTTGGCGACCGTTTTACAACGAGTTATACAGTGGCACTTATAATTCGATTGACTTCCGGAGCTTTCGGTTTTAGTACATGCTCAATAAGAGCCGCAGTGGTGTGTCACATCGAACTACAAAATTCTGGATGTCTGTTCGAGTCGCGTTATTGGAGTCTTGAATTCGGACGGAGAAAGGTCGTGCGTGAAGTCGGACCAAAAGGCATGCGTATCTGCTAATCATGCTCGTCGAAACTCACCAGGAATTCATTCAGAGTGCTTGACGCGTTCAGCTAGCCACGCTACATTTCAACCACCTGAACAATAGGTGATGAACAAATTGGGACGTCACTTGGGCTCCTCGGACAAGGTATCATTCTACAATGTGTACTCTCTTGACGATTCCGGCCTTCTTGCCATGATACCCGGGCCAGTCTATTGCTCGCTAGGCCTTCAACTCTCTCACGCCAGTATGACAACAAGCACGCGAAGCTGAGAATATGTCGACGCCCGCGCATAGTGGGCACAGAGCTCAGAGCTTGCACTGGTTCAAGCAAATGATCTCCCACGTCTGTGATCTGATTGGATTCTCCATCGCATATACGACGGTGCTGCAAGAGAGATGCTCGTCCCGGAACGCGCCCTGAGCAATATCACGCCCCTCGCGCTTTCATCGCAGGTGATTGATCGAGGCAAATTTCTGAGTGACTGTGAGCCGCTGCATCACAGAAACGAGGCTACTGCTTTGCGCGGCATCAGCAAGCCACTTCGAGTAGGGCACGACACGAGAGGGAATGCATTTACTTGCATTTGAGAAGGGTAAACACGGAAGCCGGTTAGGGATCGGAAGCGAACAGGAAGGGCCGGCTGGACAGAGGCCAAATCAGCGATGACGAATTCGCTCCCGGCGAGGAAGCCTTGACGTTCGGACTGAAAAGACTGATCGAATTGCAGCGCGAGGCAGGGCGTGACATGCGGTCGTGGATATCGTTCTTGGTCCGAGCATCGAGGGGCGAACAACATATACGTACAGCAGCCATTTGTTCACTGACTGCGCAAAGTGGGCCGCAAACGACAGATCGCACTGCAGAGCGATCATTTGTGACTGCACGGTATGTATGGGTCGTGTCAGCATCGAGCATGCAGACGGAAGCTACTCCGCGAAGCCAGCGCTTAGAACTAGGATTTCCCCCCACTTTTGTCGGTCCATGCTCTGCAGCTGGATTGTTTGAGCTTGAAACCTGGAACACAGATAGCTTCGCCATCGAACGACGAACGAGTGCTTAATTACTGGCTCATCGCTTCCCTTTCTCTTTCTTCATCTCCATCTCTGTTTTCTAGACATCCCCTGTCCTCTCTTCTACATACATCTCATTCTTGTGCTTTGCACGTCTCTACCTAGCGTACAATCTCTCTATTCGTGATGACCGAGCGCGCCCCTACAACCACCGTGAGCGCCAATGGTACCCTCCCACTGCCGCCGGAGGAGCCCCCAGTTTGTGGTCCTACAGATCTGGGCGGTGAGTCGAAAGAATCCACGTATGCTCTTCCCTCCGCCGAAGTCCTCGCCAAAGCGTCCAAGATGCCCGTTCTTGACTCTGAGGGCAAGTCGCACTCCCTGCAAAGCATATACGAGAACGACTCAGGCGCTGTGCAGCGTAACCTGATCATCTTCATCCGCCACTTCGCTTGCACAGTCTGCCAGCAGTACGTACGCCACCTCGCGAATGCGCTGCCTCCGCTCAAACTGGCCGCTCTGTCTCCACCAACGCGGATCACGATCATCGGAAATGGTGACCCTTCGATCATAGAGAGGTACAAGAAGGATGTGCCATGCCCTTTTGATCTGTACACCGACCCGGGCGCCAAACTGTATGCACAGCTTGGTATGATCAGAAACTTGGGAATGGGCAAGGATGCGCCCGAGTACGTCGAGGGCAAGAGCATGTTGAAATTAAGCTGGGACGGATTCGTCAACGTGCTTAAGCAGCCGCAGAATGCATTCAAGATGGGCGATTGGTCGCAGATTGGTGGAGAGTTCCTATTCATAAAGGACGAAGAGGAGTGGCGTTGTACGTGGGCGCATCGGATGAGAACAACCAGGGACCACGCCGAGGTCAGGGAACTCAAGAAGGTTTTGCAAATAGACGAGTGAATATAGGGGGAGGATTGCGGCTTCATTATGATACCCTCTGTGCTTAACGATTGCAAAAAAGGCGTCTTCATGCTTCCGCCAGGTAAGCATCAACGATTGACTTGTGTTTGATTGATTTTAGGGCGTTTTAATGTACTTGTATGTCAAATAATGTTGTACATAGCGATCATATACCAAAAATTACGTTCAATTATCTTCCTGGAGTGTTGTTGCCTTGTTCCTCATTTGCTTGGTGCTTTGTAAAGCTCAAGCGAGAGCAACTTGGGCGACCGCCACGCTGAAATGATATCTTGAATCAAAGGAGCTTTCAGTGCAGCATACCACCCGTACGTGCACAATAACGACAAGGACCCTTTGATTGTGGATTGATTCATGCACATTAGCTGTGGGAGCGGACAGCGCCAGCAATGAGGTACACTAGTTCAGCCTTACCCGCGCTGACGCACATTCCCTGCTGCAGCTTGCAAAGTCGTCATGCTTGCCATCCAACCTTCACGTTTGCAACTTCCAATTGCTCACTCTGATCAAGGCACTATCCGTAGCATCTTGACTTGAACATCTATATAATCGCGAATTCGGTCAACAGTGGTAACTTAAATCATTCAGCCTGATTGCGCATTCTCTCCATCCTCGGGGGTGGACTGATAGACGAACTTTGAACTTTTTTTTGCTTCTCCCGCCGTCTACAATGGAAAGTCCTTTGTTACCCCAGGAGCTTCTCGAAAGTCTCCAACGGTCTATTGATGCCGCGAAAGAAGTGCAATCGGGGCTTTCCGGTTTACCGCAGAATGTTGCTTCGAAGATGCCGTTAGAAACACTGGTACAGGCACATACGGCGCATCTTCTAAACCACGTCTCCATGCTCAAGAGGGCAGCCGAAATATTGGGTAATGAGAATCCTGTCTCAGCGGCTGCTCTTCAGACCATGGTCGTCGCAAGTGAGCAAATGCTCATCGATGCACGATCCCTGAATGAGCGTATTCTTGTAAGTCCAGTCGTTCCGGCAGTAACTCTTATCGCCATTGTAATCTCTTGAGACCAAGGCTGATCCAATACAGAGTATACAACTTGCCAAGCGCCGAGGATTGAAGCCTGCCACCTCCACTTCCGAGAGCTCACGATACAAGGCTCCTTCTGTCGAAGAATTAGACGGCCACAATTCACCAATCGAGGGAGGGGATAATTCAAATAACACGCGGGAATCTGCACCGAACAAAGGAGACAAGAAGACAGAGGCGTTCGGTTATGAAGGCAGCGAGAGTAAAGGCAGCCCGAAACGACGATTAGACGGCGACGAGGTCTCTCAATCTCTGGTGAAGCGAACGAAACTAGATCGTACGCAAATCCAATCAGAGAAGCGGAAGTCAGACATATCAATGGCAGATGCTGAAGATTCGTCGTCTGAGACATCACCGCCAACCAAGCGGCGGAAACGGGACGAGACGCCATTGGAAGGCCCGCTCCCACACGTGCAGATAGAGTACGAGGACATCACAGAGGAAGTCGCCGCACGCATGCAGAAGCATAAAGAGCGCAGGGAACGAGAAATGAGACAAGAGCTAGGCATCGCCGACAAGCGGAAGCGACAGTCTAATGATTCATTTGTGGTGGAACTGGGGGAAGAGGAAACCATCAGCAAGCCATCAAGAAAGAAAAAGAAACAAACGCACACGTGTCCAGGAAAGCACGACTGACCATTTGATTTAATGGCAGCGAGTAAACGTCACATTCGTTTTGGTTAGGAGCGATGCGCTAGAGACCTTCATCAAGAGCTGATGGGGGTTTTACGATGGTGCTACTCGATCAGATGAGAAGGGTGTGACTGCTAAAAGCTACTACTGACAATTGGAATTCCCCAAAAAGAAACTCGGCGATGATGTTTTTGAAACAGCACAAAGTGACTCGGTCCATGAGTAGGTGCTGCAGTATCCTTTACTCAATTTATGTAAAGTTAGCTAAGCTGGCTGGCCTTCGCCACATCCGTGTTAGAACTAGATCAAGCCTGGCTTTCCCGCAACTGGTCATATCCGCCTTCGCTCATGAGCTTGCTGTCTCGCTGGAACCCGGACGCGATCGCCGCATCGGCATTCTCCCGCGCAAACTTCTTTTCGGCCGCTAGCGAAGGGTCGTTTTTCGATCCTATGTCGGCACCAAAGCTAGCGTTCGGCTCGTCGCCCGTGATGTCGCCGCCCTCCTTCAGGTTTTCGCCCTTGGGCTGCAGGTCTCTCGTGTCGACGTTGTGCTGCATGCTCGTTGGCGCGAGGCCGCCCTGGCCGCCGTACTGCGTCCCGTCTCCCGCCGTCGCCGCGTACGGGTCGTTCGCTGAGCTGCGGACGTTGTACGTGGGACCCACACCCGCATCCTTGCCGCCCTCGCGCGTGGCGTCCAGCTCCGACCGCATCCGCGCTTCCTCCGCATCGTTGCCATCGTCGTCACCGTCGCCGTGGATCCTGCGCGCGCTCGACGTGTCCGTTGTGTTACCCGTGAACCCGCGCGAGGTCTGGTCGGAGATGGCGGCGTTGTGCACGTTTGCGGCGAAGTCGCCGCCGGATCGCATCGACTCCGCCGCGAGCGAGTCGGACGTCACGATGCCCGTGCCCTCCTCGATGCGGTTCTCCGCCTCGGGATCACGCGTCACCTGTCACACGAGTTTTGTCAGCCGTGCTGATAGCGCTTTTTTTGCTTTGGGGTGGGCAGGCGCAGTTGAGCGTTGATGGCGAAACCTTGCCCTTATCCTGCGAAGCCTTTGAGGTTACCCGACTGGCGAGGTTTGCAACCGTAAGGCCGCGAGCCACGCCGTTGGCGGCTACGCGTCGGTACCAAAGGTTCAAGATAATGAATCCAGACTTGGGGACTCACCTTGGTTCCATGCGAGGCCATGTTTCTCAGTGTTATTTCGGCGGAGCTCTACAGCGTTCGAACTCTTAACGAGGCAGATCGCTGTGGTTTCGTTTTCGTCGTGGAATGAAGTGAATTTCAGCGTTCTTCTAATGCTCTGCGGGTGATCTCACAATTTCAAGGCCTTCGATCCGTACCTTTATTCGGGGGCGGACCCCTACATTGACGTAGTGCTTGAGGTTTGTGAACGTGAAGTGATGTAATGGCCGATGATCGACGATCAGGAACTTCGGTCCACAAGTTCTGCGCTAGAGACATTTGCGTTTCAAGGCCGGGACGTGAACTGATCATCTCTTGCGTGAAAATGGGTTTTTACGCGGCCCAGGATGCCGTGTTCATATGTATAGAGGCTGAAGGTTTCTGTTGAGCACAACGGGCTCATAAACACTGGTAAAGGATCGAGCTGTGTAAATACGCAAATTCCAATTCAAGCACAAAAGTTATCTACACGAACGATTCGATCTTAGCAGGTAATTTCTTCCCCCCCAACCCCAGACATTGGATATATTTTCAATTATTCGTAATCTCATGCTACTTATCTACAAGATTACTTCAGAGCGTGGGTCGAATAGAGATGGTCTACCCAAGACCGCCGCGTCTTAAGACAGGTCTTTCGCCCGAGACAGAGGGAATCCCCCTCTCTATTTCACGCCGGACGACGGGTCACTCTTCTGCGGATATCCGTAATCCGCGCCCGTTGTATCCTCCAGGCCCGCTGCGTTTTTCTTGTCGCGGGTCACTGCGTCGTTTGGCAATCCGCTCAACCCGTCCTTCGCCGTCCGTCCTACGTTGAGGTCAGATGTGTGTGTGCCCCACTCCGACCCGTCGATCCGCGCAGCGGAATCCCCCGTTGCTGGCCCACGCAGGCTGTCGCTGCCCCCTCCCGCTGATACGTCTCCTTGTACGCCGCCGGAGCCGACGTTGACGGTTCGTGCATCGGCGCTCTGCCAGTCGGATGCTTGTGGAGGCTGGTCTGGCAGAGGAAGGTTCGCCTTGCGCTCTTCGATGATTTCAGCTTTGGAAGTCATGTTTGCTGGGGCGCTGAATTAGCCATGATGCTCTACGGTCGGGAAGAAAGGGGGAGAAAAAGAAAGAACAACAAACACATGACAAGGCTGATTGGCAGCCTCGTCTCGCGTGATCGGGGCTCGCCAGCGTACCTTGTTAGCTTCCAGGGCAAGAAGAGGCGTGGTCTCTGGAGTTTTCGGTTTGTTTACAAATGCGAGTTTTTTCTCTTTTTGCTACGGGCGAGATTTGGCTTCAAATACGGCGAGCATGCGAGCAGGCATGCGATTCTGAATCTTCGCTAACGGTGACGTCAAAATCCCATGTGCCGGATTCGGCCTAGTTCCAGGCGTTCCGCGAACGAACGTCGACAGCAATCCACTTCGACCGTTTTCCGTCCAAGACGTTTCGCGCTCCCCACGGCATCTTGGTACGTGCTTGCTGCCGATCGCCCTGGGTCCACGTCACGAACGAGCCCGCCCGCTCTTGCGTAAATTCGTGCTTCAGTTTTGTCTTCCCAGCAGTAGTCCCACTTTCCAGACGTCATTCTTTTTTCAGCTCATTCAAGCTGGTCCAAAGGCGGGCTCCCCAGGCCGAAAGACGAACCCGTCGAGCAGAGTGCCCGTCCTTGCTCTGGCTCTGCGTGCTTTGCTTGCTTTGCTTGCTTGCTGCTGTCAAACACAACACGTTCTTCGCCTGTGCGAAGGCCGCACAAGCACACCAGCCCAGAGAACTAGACGTCGTCCCGCCCCAGGCACCGAGGAGTGCCCGCTGAGACAAACATGCCTGCTTCTGGCTCACGCTGCCCTCGCCGCCACAACGGCCGAGCGAACGAACGCTGCCAGAGGCCCCTAGCGCCGCATGTCGTATTGACGTCGGGCTGCTTGTATGACTGTGCCTGCCCGTGGCAGCACAACCGCGGTGGGATCGAGAACAGGGCCGCGTTAAGCTTTTTCCCCCACCGTGGCGCCTTTCTGCTGCCTCATGACAATCCCTGTCCAGCTGAAGCTGAGGCCGGTGTTCTTTTATTTTCTTTCTTGTCAGACCCCAAAATCTGGACGAGCCACCGCCCTACCCGCTCCCTCCACCCGGGCCCATTTTTGGTGAATTCACGCTTGCGATTTCTGATTGGTCCGCTGTCATCATATTTATGTGTTTCAAGGCTGACCGCATCGACAACTGTGCATCGCGCACGTCTGAATCTGGTTTTCTCTCCGACGTTGCACTCCCCTTTTGCGGAAATAAAGTCTGCCTCGTCGACGACAGAGCCATTGTAGAGAACGTGGGATGGACGCAGTCCATGGATTTGGTTTACCGCGTTCGTGCCATGAAACACCGCAGCTGATATCTGGCATAATCTAAATCTGGCATGCGGCAAGCCGCTAGCTACATCGTATTCTCCCGAGAACCTGGGAGCCGAACGCCTCTTATCGTCGTACATGCATTACCAGAACTAGACACTTGTTCCCCCCGAACACGGGTGAATATTGCAATGAACACATAACTCGCTAAACATCTTCAAACGCTATGGGCACTTTTGTGTCTGACTATGAACGTGAAGGAATACCTTTTCCTTGAGAATGACAGAGAAGGGCGGCGTCCATAATCTAAGAAAAATCCAAAAATGAAAATCAAACACATCTAGAAGAATCAAGCGAACAATTCCCCTCGTTCGAAGCGGAGTAGAAAACTCGTCATACTGAAATCAAAGAAGTGAGTAACGCATCTCCGGTGCAACTCTGTGCAAGTCATCCAGTCATAGGACAACGTATCCTTTGTTCATATCAAGGTTCAGTGACATGGACATGGCCGGCCCAAACGCTGCGTAACCACGTTTCAAACCGGACGGGAACGATGTCCCGCGTTATGGCAGAATTGCGAAGATTGCCTGGGGCCGAGAAAACGTAGCGGCCGTTAATGGTGGCGAGGTGGTCATGAGCCCGCATCTGTCGAGGGATATCATTGAACATTTCTGCAAGTTGGAGCTCGTGCCGTAAAGTTGCTGGGGAATGCCAAGTCTCAGATGTGAGTGGCGTACCTGTCACGGTCAGTGTCAACAATCGACGTCCGGGTATGAAAGCACTCACCGCGAACACGGACTACTGTGTCTATAATCTCGTTGACCGTCATACGTTCCGCAGCCATGGTCATTTCTCGAGGCCAACGGGCGAGATCAAGAGCCCGAGTGATGAAGCGGGCGGCATCTTGAACCCCTATCATGCACACATAGACATTAGCTTGGTTGTTGGCATTGTACACTGGTGCATTCGCCTCCATTGTGCGGCAATTAATGATGTAGTCCCCCTCGTTACAAAGGCTGGTATTCAGCCCAAGTCGGTGTGCGGCAAGTCCACCAGGTCCAAAGCGTTCGTACAGAACGCCACAAACGAAGACGGTAGATTCCAAGTCGACACTTGACTTATAGTAGTCGAGCCAGTCCAAGATTGTTTTTTTGCCCCTGTCGAGTGGATCATTACTTGGTCGAGCTGATGGTCGACCTTCAAATTCTGCGGGCGCGAACCTCCTGACGCGCTGAGCGACACATGCTTCCAAGAGCCGTAATTCAGGCAGTCCTGTCACGGTCGATATAACGGTGTCCACTCCAGTCACTGCGTGTTGAATCGAGTTTTGGTCATTATAATCCACGACGAGGACCTGGTAGCCCTGACTCGTGAGGTTCGGTTGTGCCTAAGATGGTGTTTGGCGTTAACTCGGAACGGTTTCATGCTTCGATGTCTGGCACTTTCCAAGACGGACACCAGGAGCTCAAGGAATAACACTCACCTGTCTCGATAAGATTACCAGACTGTGACTAGTCTCCGTGACGATGGCATGCGATATCATGAGGGCCAATGTGTTTGTCCCGGCAACGGCAACGCGCATCTTTGAGTTTGCCATTAGATAGAGCATGAAACCAGACTTGGGATTCATGAGAGCCTTGGGGAGTCAACTTCCATCTCGATTTGTATTCTGCAAAGCCTGCGCTGCCTGATATCCCGTGATCTCTCCTTCCCTCTCTCTCTCTCTACTCTCTCTCGATGCCTGGACTGTCGTCCTTGTACTCTCGAGCCAAGGGTCACACCCAGTGATATCTGATAGGTTGCCCAATTCGAGTTCTTGCAGCACGCCTTTCGACTTAGATCGATCCAATGGTCCAGCATGGCTCAGATACCATGTTATACATAGACCAGAATGGTGCCCGGGAAAGAGGACGAAATGCTCCTCATAAGTACGTTACCAAAATTCGTCTGCAAGTTAATAACGACCAAAGGGGGCGGAAGCAGGGTGTGTAGCCAATGAGGACGGTTAAACGGGTGCCAAGCAATGATGAAGGACTGCGGCCCGACGCTTTGTGGACTGGACCAGCAAGACGGCAACGTCCAGAGAAGGTAGACCGCTAGGCTCAAGGAGGCTGAGCGAGTGCTTCCAGAAGGCGTGTACCAAAAAAGAACGACGAAGGGACGGGTGGACGGTGCCTAGAGCTTGCAGCCTCTTTGGAGAAAAGAAAAAAACAGACTTGACTCTCGTCAGGGCATAGGGCAATGGACGGTTTGAAGCAATCTCCGTTTTTCGTAGGACGGCGACCACAATCCCACGCTCTGAGAAGAAAGGTCAAGAATAATGGCAGGCAAATGGACCTATGACAGCGTGCAACAGCGCCTTATGTGTAGGCAATGTCCTCTGTTGCCTGTCGTGCAGAGGATCTCCGGATTAGCCCACAGAGCTGGGAGAGAGGGATGAATGGGTTCAGCCAATGAGAGGACCATTTTCTAAAGAAGATATTATGGCTTGACCCGCTTTAGTCACGGCGTTGTGGGCGCGTGTGCATAAGAAGCCCAGATCATGACGATGGGTTGACAAGCATAAGGAACTGATCGTCGAATTGTCATCTGGAGTAGATGGCGGAAACGGCCTCCCCTAGACAGAGCCAGTTCCTCGTGGCTTTCGGCGCATCCCTGCCCTTTTTTTTTGCTGGCGATAACCGTAACGTTCCGTCTTCTGACATCCGTGTACGGGAAATGCGAAGCGAGAAATTTTGCAAGTGCAGAACGTAAACACCTTAGAATGGAGTTTGGGGGCCGAAAAAGTCAGGTCGTGGTGCTGTTCCAGCGTTTCCCTTACCGCGACTAGCGGGGGCAAGGGAAGCTTAGAGTTGTCAGCAAACACAAGAAACACTTGAGCAGGAAAACAACGAGTCGCTTCAACTGAGTTTTCCATGGGCAGGAGACGATCGCGTTGACCGACGTGGAAAGGAGCTTGGCGAGGTGGTGTGCGTCGATGAGCTTTCCTCGATGCAGACTGGTGCCGCGATCCGGTCAAAGTCAGCCTTGCTAAGATCAGCAAAAACCACAACGGCGGAGCGATGTCTATCCAACAAAGCATGGAGCGAAGTGGGCTCGATCCCGCCAGGACAAGGGAAAAAAGCAGAGTCATTTCTTCTTGTGACGCAGGTACGCCAGCCCTACAGCTTGGGATGATAGGAAAACACTCACGCGGGCTTGACTCAGAACCGAGCGCAGGGAGGAGGAATCTATTGTGAAACTGGCCACGAGCCAGGACTGGCTGGACGTCCGAAAGACTAGATTGCGCCATCTGGTCAATGAAAGCGCTGCAAACCATCTGGCGCATTTTTTGCTGCACTCTCAACCCATCTTGTCATACACGCGGGTGCCTTGGCAGGCAAAAGTGGAGTCTGTCGATGGCTTGTCCCACACGATGATGAGGAATAACACATGGACGGAAGACCGATTTTTGACGTGCGTCAGTGGCCGGTAAACTCGCACAGCACCATCACCAGACTCTCGCGAGGATAGCACATGAGCTTCCTGTTGGCCGTTGCAAGACGTTCTAATGCTGAGCGGAGTTGAAGCCTAAACCGGTGTGCGCGATGCATGTCAATTAGAGGGCAGGCGTGACCTTGAGCGGCTGGTGAGCCACCGCCGTTAGATAACCGTTCGCGCCCTGCAAAGTTTCCGACTTTTCCACCCCAAGGCTGTGGGCCAACAAAGTAGAGCGAAATGTGCTGGCCAATCACAGAATTTGAATCTCGATGACATAAGCACCGTTGAGAAAAGAATTTCCGTAACGAGGCAATGTCATCCCTCCCTTATCTGCTTGGCTAGTTGTTTTCTCGGAATGGCCGACATCGTCACCGGCGACTACATTCCCAAGCTCACAGCAGAAACCCAGGTCACGCACCCTGGGACATGACCAGACCGACTGTCAAGAATGCAATCTTCAAGCTATTCTCATGTACGAGCAACCGCCGCCGCACGGTTTGTTCCATCGATCGGGACAGAGTGTTATTTAGTGTCGGCCGACTCTAGCAAGACTTGATGCTACTACCTTTGCCGACACATGCGTGAGCTGCTCTTCCCTTTGCCCCAGCTGCTTTTCCAAGAACTCATCCGCATTTCAGAGTCTAGCACCTGTCATCGTCCGAAAGGGAGCCAACTCAAGGTCTTGTGCGGGACCCCACCCTCCGTCAGTTGCGCAGGCACGAACACACTTTGGCAGCCTGAAGCGAGTTCCATCCGTAGAGAGAGACTGTTCAACATAGTCGCCAAGAACAGAGATGTCTCCCACAGTGCATACGCTCGTACGATCTCCAAACTGGCCAGCTTCCGCCCCCAACGTAGTTGACAAGGTAGGATAAGCGGTGATCCTAAGGAAAAATTAAACGCTTTTGGTTGCAAGTAGCTTGGAGTTGCACTGTCCAAGACGCATCGAATGTGGGTTGTGAAATTTCTCAGCTCTGTTATGTCCGACTTGTCGAAGCTGCACCCCAGCAGGATACCATGCTTGCATGTTTCCGCCCTCTGACCCCTTTACGACTGAGAAGTCCATCTTCTTTACTGCGTCTACAAGCCTGACACTGCGCAGCTGAATCCTCGATTTGGCCCCCCTTAGCAAGACTCGTTTTCTGAGGTCCGATTCGCGTCCTCGGGTATATTCTCCACCGTAGGCCACCTGCTCGGCTGCTGATGCCGGAGTGCTATTTCAAGACGGACCGATGTCACTCTTTGCCATCTCACTTTTTCTTTCCATTGCTTCCTCCCTGTGACGTTGAGATAAGCGGCTCAAGCTGACCTGAAGATATGATGAGGAAAGCCCTACGTTGATCAACATTGCTTCGATGGATTTCGAAGCCCAGGACCATGTGAGGTGACAGCCTGCATTGATCTTTTGCCAAAAAGACTAAGAACAGGGAATGTTCATTTTTTCCCACAGTGCTGCCTAAACCGTGACGAGACGGAAGTGCCATTGACCCTATCCTATCCACGAAACGCCCTCAAACTACCGACGAGCGTTGACTGAGCGGGGAGACAAACCTGCATCTTACTCAACACCGCCACTGGTGCATATTCAGGCTCCATTTCCTCCCAGCTTGGCCCCTTTAGTCCTTTTTTTAGGGGATTCATGACGATTAGGGAGGAGCAAAGTATTCTTCAGCCTTACTCCCTGGGGAGAGAGGCCAAGCCACGTCGCACAGTTGTCCGAATCAGAGCCGAAGCAAAGGGACAAACGAGTTGTTCGATTTGCCTGGATGACTCATATTGTCTTTCTTTTTTGAACACGCACGGTCGCAACGGTGTCCTGCTTGTAGAGCTACTTCGTTGGAAGCATCTTCGACCTCCGAACGAGTTTTTGAAAACATCCTCACATATCGGCTCCTACGATCCGTACGGCGCAGGCTGTCTTTTAGGCTCCCAGTGTACTCTTGCCCTATGCTAGCAAGAGCCACATCGCGAAAAGCCAGCAAAACGGATCCGAGACTCGATTGAAACGGAGCGCTCTGGTTGACTACGCCCTCCAAGTCCCCAAAGATCAGTCGCGCCAATAACCTGCATCATTGGAAAACGCCGAGAGTGAAGGAAAGAAAGCGAAAAGCAGCGTGCTAATCAATTTCCTTCTTCTTTTTTCTTCCCCTCACATTGCATATAGTAGCTGGTCAGTGCCTAAATGGTGGAGGAAAACTGGACGACAGGGATGATGCCAAAAATAAGAGAGAGAGATGAAGAAAGGAGCAAAGGGAGAGCAAGGATGTACATAAAGCCAAAAATTTTAGAGAAAAAAAGGTTGTACGAAGAATTTTTCACAAGTAGAGTGGATGGCAGCGGTTGTACGTTCTTTCAAGATGTATATGCCGAGGTGTCCTTGATGATCAAGTTTTTTTTTTTCTTTTTTTTTGGTGCATACACGTTGATATCGTCTCGGACAATATAAGAAGTAACCTTGAATGTCAGCAAACTTGTGGTCATGGCCAGCGAAAAGCCTTCCGTTCAGTCGATGATCTGATGTAATTTACGCAGGCAGTGTACCGTGCACAAGCTTGAATTAACTCATCGTTTTCCAAGCATTTCAACCCCGAAGCCGTCCTTACCTTCCAAACGAGTTATCCGTTCGGCGGCCTTGACAAGGTCGTATTGCACCTCGTCGCTGACGTCGCTGTCATGTTGGTAATCCGGATGCTTGCTGATAAAGTCTCTGATCCATCTTGAAGCTGTCCATAGGCGGCCATCCGCTCGCTTTCTGATGAGATCCAGATACGTCGCTAGCTCGCACCTTGTCTCGACGTCTACGTTCATCGAGTTCAGATAGCTCTCGACCAGTGGTATCAGTCCCGGAAACTCGCCATTCTCATCCTTTTGCCCGTTGATCACCTCGTTTATGGTCATCAGCTCATACTCGTCCTCCACCGGCCCGGTTGGCGGAGTTACGGGTCGCGAAACCGGTCGTGACGCCGGTCGTGACCCCCCTGCACCGTTCGTTTTGGTGGGTACCCGCCGCGGGAACGGATTCTTGCGGAACCAAAACCTGTCGTTCAGCACGGCGTTTCGTCGGTGTGCGATTTCCATGTTCTCGGTGACTTTTTGAATGGGAATGTAGAAGTTGAGATCGAACGACAGTATGGCGCGGGTGACGAGGACGATGAAGATGCTGAACGCAGCATTCTCGAAGTCGGTGATCTGAATCTCCATCGACCGGAACTCGACACGCCAGCCTGTGTCCTGAGAGCCGCTGGGCGGAGGTTTGAAGCGCATATGCTGCCAGTTTGTCGACTGCAGATTCTCAAAGTGGTCCGACTTGTTCAGGTCGAGCTCCTTCAAGTCCTCCGCGAAGATGACGAGGGGGTCGCGGATGAAGAGATGCGCGAAATGGGTAGCGAGGAGGTCATCCATGCCTCCATCCATGAGTTTTGCCTTGATTTGCTCGTCGATGACGAGATCAGGGTCCATGTATTCCGGCCTCAATCGAGGATCCTGGGATATGTATGTGCTGTTCGCAGCATATCTCGACTTTGGAATTCGCCACCGGTCGTTTTTCAGAGGCTTGCTTATGGTCAGTTCAAAGGATCGCAGACCACGAAATACCGAACGCACCTTTTCCCCAAGTTCTTCAGCGGTCCGGTCGTCGACCGCTCGACTGATCTGGTTCCACCGAACATCGGTGTCTGCCAGAAAGCCCTTGTAGACGGGAGTGGCGGCCGTCAAGGCCAACATGATGGGTCCAAGAGGGCTTAGCTGGTCGTACATCTTGCGACCTTCTTCGATGTTCTTCGCTTGGAACGTGATTTGCAGGCAGCAGCTTCCCATACCGAACGCCATGGCGTCCATGTAGATGTGATTCTCCTTGACGGCGCCGTTTCGCACGTCGTCGTCTTCCTTGTAGTCGTGCAGATCGTAGTTGACGGTGGGATCGCTCCATGGCCAAGGGGTGTTTTCATCACGGAATATGGGGACGTTCACCTCGACCTTGCGGCCGCGACGAGACCGGATGTTGGCAGCGAGGGTCGGAAAGCGGATATGCGGATTGGCGATCTCGTCCGGGACGAACTGGGAGCGCAGGCGTTCGCCGTGGATCTTCACAGGGACGGTCTTGCCGTCGACAACGAACTCCTTTGGGGTGAAGAAATCGCCGTCACGGCCCAGCCTCGGAAACGTGGTCAAGGTGATCGGATACTCGGTAGGAAGCATATGCTCCTTTGCAATTCTCCGTCTGCGAGTGTTTTCGTCAGCCCACTTTCCACACGCAGCACGAAGGCCGAGCGTTTAGGACCTCAGCTTCATGTTGGGTTCGACGTCAAGCAGATCCTTGAATCCGATGCCCCACGGCTTGCCGGGCGTCGTCTCGAGCATGAATCGTCCAAACTCGGGGTGAAATACGGGAGCGCATTCGCCTTGTCTGCGCTGAGCGTAAGTACAGCAAGCCTCCAAGAAGTCAGAAGGGGTCAAGTGCATACGGTGCTTCGCCTCGTTGAAGGTCGGGGACGCCGCCGCCATGTTCGAGCAGCTTCGGGTTCGTGGCCAGCGCCTGCAAGATGTCCGCCTGTCTCAGGCTAAGCCTGACCTTGCGGTTTTCGTCGTCGTAGCACACGACCAGGTACTCGATCTGAGGACGGATTCAGAACTGATCGATGGTAAGACATGTGGATCGGCGCACCTCGTCACCCCACAGCAAGGCATCTCGCTCCTTGCCTTTTGCTCTGCGCCAAATGGCAAGCAGTTGCTACATGCCACAATCTCATTAGCGCGGTCGTATACGAGCGCGCAGGTGCACGCGTACCTCTATTCCCCACTGGCGCACAAGATTTGCCTGTTCCTTTGCCTGCGGCCAGTCAAGGGCGGTTCCGAGAGCTCTGTACGAGACTACGCATTAGCATCTTGGAGCCGATGGACGGTGGGTGGGTAAGAATGTGTCAAGTCATACAAAAGGCCCATTTCGTCCCAAAAAGCGGTTGTGCCCGGCTTTTACGCCAACGGGGACGAGATGCAGTGGTAATCTGTTGCGGGCCAGCGCCAAAATCGTGGACGTGCGGGAAGGGACGGCCAGCAGAGAAAAAGCTCGACTTGGGGAGAAGGAAGTCAGGCGTCGCGGCGAAGTGGTGTCGTTCTAGATCCACATGTTCTCGAGGCTGGGGATTCCGCAGCGGCAACAGCTCTGGATGCGGGCAGGACGGTGAGATTGGATTTGAAGTTTTTCGTGGTCCCGGTGGTTACGATGATGATGATGTAAAGGTTCGGCCGAGCTTCACACACATGCACACACGCACACACAAACAAGCACATACACACACAGACAGAGAGAGAGAGGAGAGAGAAGACGGGCGAGAAAAAAAAAAGGGATCGACGGGCGGTCCCGCTTTCCGACCGAAAAGATCCGTCACGGGGGCGTGTAGCAATGGTCGCTTCAGTCGGTTCTCATCTTTTGTGTTCCTGACGCTACAAAGTGCACTTGGTTCGTACGTGATGGGGGTCTTGTTCCATGCAAAGTCACATGGCGTCACCGGGTCGCCCGTTGGCCGCTGACTAATTCGTTTTTGCGCACGAGCCGGGTACCAGCGAGACCTTTCTGGCGGAAGGTGGGAAAATAAAGACGGAGAGAGAGAGAAATGTAAAGAAAAAGAAAAAAAAAAAAGAAGAGAGGAAGACAAAGGTGCGGAGCCAGCTTTGGCAAGACCTAATTCCCCTTCTCCTTCGCACGAGAAACGAAGCAACACATGAACAAGCGTGCGATTTTTTTTTTTTTTTTAAATTTTGAATTATCCTTTCTTCATTTCCTCTTGTCTCCGCCAACGCACTCGTCTCGCACCACCGACCGCGGGGCGGGGTGGAAAGCGCAGCCCGGCGTTCGCATGCCGCATCGGGCAAGTCTTATAATGCTAACGCCTCCCCCTCCCCCACGTGCGACGGTGCGAGATGCAATACAGATTGGTTCGCGATGGCGCAATAACATTCGATGCTAACGACGACACGGCATGGGCGTTTTGTCTGCACGCTTTCTTACGCTTCTCCTCCTCCTCCTCCTTCTTACCTTGCCCTTCGACCGTGAGTCCCTCCTCCTCTCGTATCACACCAGACGGACGGACGGACAGAGGGAGAGGTCGCACATTTCAGACTGCAGACGTTGGGCTTGGCATCGGCGACGGGGGCGTCCACAAATCAGTTGTGCCACGGAGGCGACGACGTGATGCTGCTGCTGCTGCGGCGGCGGCGGTGTCTGCCTCGTGTATGGTTTCGCGGCGTCCATCTCGTCGTCGTTCGGACGAGGGCCCCCGCCCGTCCATGGGAACCGGAGCTGGGCCAGCAAGACGAGGGCAGATGGCAGCACGCAGACATGGAAAAGAAGAAGAAAAAAGACAGTGGCGATCAGCCCGATCGTCCACTGGCTCTCCTCTGCATACGAAGCTTCTTCCCATCTTCCTCCTTCCTTCCTTTTTTTTCCGTCCCAGAAGAGCGTGATTATTAATTCTTCCCCAAACCCCCGAAGGTCCTATTGAACATTATCATCATCAAGACTGGTCAACCTCATCGTCCGCTCCCCTTCTCTTCCTTATTTCTCTATTCTTCTCTATTCTTTCTTTTTTCTTCCTCTTCTACCCCTCTCTTTCTTTGTCCTTCACCTCTTTCCGCCTTTGTTTCTTTTTTTTTTTTTTTTTTTTTCCTTTTTTTCCTTTTTCCTTCGTCGTTAAACGACTTAAGTGCGTGATGATCCAGGGTCGAGAACACTCCATCACGGCTTGCCTTCCTCAATTCGTTTGTGACCGGCTACGTGCATGATGCGCGAATTTCGAACGAGCATTTTGGCGAGTTGAACGGCGAGCGTCCTAACGCTTCGTCTTGAGTCGGCAATCCCGTCCAAAAGGAACGTAAACAGTGCATGACGCAGCTCGCCCACGAACAGAGACGAAAGGGAAGATAGTTCTACTGAAATACAGTGTGATACGGATTTGCCGTCTAGAAACCACCCAGAGGTGTGCTGTATCTACCTGTCAGAACAAAACATGTACATAGACCGCCCTGCCTGCCGCACAATCCACCACCCGTAGAAGGAGAAGAGGCCGTCAGATCATCACCCCCAGCTTCGTATTTTTTTTTTTCTTTCTTTTTCTTGCTTCTGACAGTCACTAGCGCAGTCCTTGATCATCAGCCGCGCTCAACTGTTGGGATATTTCAAATCAAAAAAAGACTAAACGCCTCCCAGAATGCATAGTGATCAGTGCTGCCTGATTATGGCGAGCACGTGTAAAGTTCCCTCCCTGCTGATGAAAAGGTAGCCTAAACGCCGAGTAATGCGGAAATACGCAAGAACAGTTGCTCGATGAATAAACCGATTTGTTCGTGATAAGACATTAGATCCGTAGATCTTGTATGGAATGCAATTCATAAGGCCAGCCAGTGGCAAGGTCGAAGGTAGTTGCGCGTTTGAATAGAGGCGCCATGTGCTGTGGTTTTCGCCTTCGATGCAGAGTCCGTCGTGTGCTTGCTCTGCGTGTTTGCCTCTCCGATATTATTTTTACTGCAGAAGACTTCCTAATAGAGCTTCGGTGCGTTTCAACAACTCACAGGGTATACGGCGTGGACGGTGTGACTTCGTTGGTTTTATAAAACGAAAAATCTTCATGCCAAACACCAAACCTAGTATGTCCGGATTAGGACTCCGACTTTGGTCGTAGGTTCGAGCTCCCTATCTGAGCCTTGTTGCCCATTTTGCGTGTGAGCTTAGCATAATCTAGAGCATTGTTAGCGATCCGTGTGTCCTCTCAAAACGATGTGAGAGACTTACGAAGGCCGCAAGCATTGCATAAGGTGCGGGCACCGTCAGGGCCTCTTCTCCACTCCGGGGTCTCGGCTCGATTACAGCTATGGCAACGTCCGGGTGGTGCAGCTCGCTTTAAAATTGTCAGTACAAGGCCTCTCAACGGCGCGAAAAAAGAAAAAACAGATGATTCCTTACCCCTCGTCGCTTCTTGGTATCGCTTCCAGCAAATCCACCCATGCCTTGCTTATCGTCCGAGTAACCGTTCATGTCAGGATAGTTTGCAGGAACAGGCCGTGAAGGATCCTTCATCTGCTGTTCGATAGCATGGTTCTGAGCTATTACCATTTCCCGTATCCTCTTCAACGATTCTTCGATGCGTCTGCTTTTCGCCATCAATTCGTCGACGGTTTGCAGATGTGGGACCGATCGTGGGCTGATGCCAGCCCTCTGATTGCCATGTGTCCGCACCCCATATTCTCTTGTGAATTCCAGCATCTTCCCACTGCATTCAGCAACCTAAGAAAAAGAAGCGTTAGGATAGCCCCAAAAAATCGTGTGACGAGTGCTTACCTCGTTGAGAGAAGCCTCGAGATCGAAATCATCGAGGTGTCGCTTTACAGAGTCACCGTGGAAGCCAACGGACATGCTGGATCGGGCCCTGTCGTCCATTTGCCCGTTCTCCCAGCGGCCTGGCTCTGCGTACGGTCTCGGGGGCGCAGGGGGTGCACCGGAGGAGTACAGAGGTCCGGAGGCAGAAGGTGCTGACGGGTGTTGATACTGATAGCCCTGGGATTGATTCCCCGAGTACGGATAGGGAGGTTGCGACGGGGCCGTGTGTGGAGGAGTGTCGTACGCTGGAGAAGGATGTTGGGAGGCGTATGTTGCGGGAGGGCGGAACGAAGCAGTAGGCGAGCTATCCGTTTTGATCGGGTGTAAAGTCGGTAGCTTAGGAGGCTGAGGGGGATACGGAGGACGCGAGTAGGCGTCGGCCTGGGCGGTTGGAGTGTGCGGCGGCTGTACTGGCGGTGGACCACGGTTCATGAATGGACTTTGCGGATGTGAGGATGGGTACGAATGTGGCGGCTCCGGCAGGACAGGACCGGAGGTCACCGATCTTCTGTGAAGGTCGGCAACGGACGTGCTCGCGGGCGCTGGAAAGTAGCTTGAGCTCGACGAGTGTGCGGGAGGAGGAACTTGAGGAGGGTATGGTAACGTGTGGTCGGCCGAGCCAAGTGCCTCTGAAATCGAAGGAAGAGACTGCCGTGTGGTTGGAACTGAGGATGGTTCATCCCCGGATGTGCGGCGAGAATCTGGCGGAGAAATGAGGCCAGTGTGGCCTAGTGGGTTGCTTGTGCTGCCCGTTGTCGTGTGACTGTACGGCGAAGGAGGCGGAGGCGGCCCAGGAAAGGGTAAAGCAGGGCTGGCCATTGTCGCTGCCGCGCTCATTTGTTTGCGGTCCGTCTCTTGCGTTTGTTCACGGAGGTCTGTATGCACGTTGCTCGTTAGCCAGTGATCTTCACATGCTCGACGTATCAAGCCCACGGCAGACAGAGGCAGCAATCAATGCAGCAAACACCGACAATCGAGCAACTAATTAGCCACAATGGCGATGCTTCGAGCGAGGCCAGACAATTGGGCGTTGGAACATCATGTGGTCGGTACGTCTCATTCGTGAGGGAAAGTGCAATGGCAGCTGTAACGGATCTGCCACCCTGCATGGGGAGCAAAGGCAACAGAGCACACCCGCTCGAGCTGTGCAAGGTTGCAGGCCGTATGCATCAACTTCAAATGACCTTGGGACGAACATTCAGGCAAATGAACTGTGGTGGTGGCTTCGTTGTTTTTTCTGTTGGCGGAGCGATAGACGTACCGTGGGTAGATTCTTCAACGTGGTGGAGGCCGGTGGCGAGACAGATAGCAGCAGCTGTGAGGAGAGAGCTTTGGAGCCGAGGCGAGGGATAATTATGCAAGCAAAATGTTTAGGGGACTCTTCCTGCGAGCGGAAACGGTCAGCGGGCGGAAGTACGACGTGGGAGTAAATGAGAAGGCGAGACAACAAAGGCGCAGGACAGGCAGAGAGCGGATGCAGGAGGCTCGTGAGGTGGTAAGACAACTAGTATATTGGGCGGAAGGAGAAGACCAACCAGGACGACTAGGCGGGATTTCTTGTTCTCTCACGAGGAACATGCGATCTCAGAAGAACGGGAACAGAGGAAAAGAAAAAAAAAAAGAACGGGCGAACTGAAGAGGAGGAGAGACACAGGAATCCGACAGGGAGGGTCAGTAGATCTGAAATGCGGCAACGTACCGGTTTGAGCAGCGGCAAATCATGACAAGCGCTGGCGAAGAGAGAGAAAAATAAGAGCGGAAGGATTATGGAGAGGTAACGAGCGGGAAGCGTTGGTGATGAACGGTGATATCAGGGAGCGAACAGGGACATGGCAAGATCAAGATGCCGGGTCAACAAGATGGAATCGAGATGGACTGCACAAGAGCGGCCGGGATCTGTGGGCAAACTTCGTTAATGGTAGGGGAAACGCCTCCGAGAGCAGCGCAAGGGCAGCCTGGCTTAGCGCAGGCCAGGGAGGCTTCTAGGGTGGTTTTGGGGGGCGAGGGGGCGTCGTGGTGCTGGTGGTGGAGGGCGTGAGGGTGGTGGTGGTGCGGTGGGGAGGCGCGGGCGACGGAGGGCGCAGAACGCATTGGGGCCGCGCGGGCTGGCGAGTGCGTGCGCGACACGGACACTGTGTTTATGTCTGTCTGTATACATGCGCACGCACGAGCATGCATAACGTATACACACCCACACACGCGTTCCTGTGTGTGCTTACATCGCTGCCGCTACGCCGTTGGAGACGTGTGCATGCCGCGGGCGGAGACGGCCAGACGTGCGCGTGTGTGTGCGTGCGCCTCGCAGCGTGGAGAGCGGTTGCGAGCGCGCCAGCACCGCCGTCTCGCTCTGTGCGGGAGCGAGAGCGTGTGCGAGAGTGCAGAGGGTGCGCCTCCGGCAGCGCTGCGTCGGTGTCTGGGCGAGGCAGAGGGGCTGCAAAACGAAGCGAGGCCCGGGGCCCTGCACGAGAAGCGCAAGGGCAGCAGGGCTTACGGCGTCGATGGCAGGGGCGCGGCCAGACGCGATCAAGGCCTCTGACTAGAGCAGCAGATGCGCCAGATTGCCATTGCGCACGCTCCAGTCATGGGCCCGCTTGCTTGGATTCGAACCACTGGCCAGAGGCTCCCTGCCCGGCACGCTCTTCTCCTTTCTGCCTCCGAAGAAAATCGACGTGCTGGCGAAGATGCGAGGCAGAGCAATCGCGACGCTGTGTCCCGGCGCTCGATGCAGACAGCTGTGCCTCTGCCGTCCAAGAGTCTGCCCAGGCCGTCGTGAGCGCGGGACGCCGGAGCCGCAGAGCCTCGAGCAACAAACACCTCCAACAACATGACTGCAAACTAGCTCACGAACAAATGCAACATCAAACACGCCTGACGGTCCTTCCCACATGACTAATAACTTGCCGCATCTCTCCCCTTCTCATGGCTTCTCCCCCCAATACGCCGCCGCTACCACCACGAATTCCACCACGGACTATGACTACGACCACCACCACGGCTCCGCTTCCCCGTCTGCCTACGTCTTCGATCAGGCACCTCACGTCTCGCTTGCCTGTTTAGTTCCCCCTTCCTTCCATCTTCCCTCGGCCCCTGCCTCGACTAGCAGCAACCCATAGACCATCGCATAATCATCATCGTCGTCGTCATATCATCATCGTCTCGATGGTTGCCAGCGCAATCCGGCTAGGACACCGTTGCGCAGAATTTCCATGATACAGATTAGTTACAGCAAGAGACCCCAAGCCACATTGGCGACAAGCATGGGCGCGCCATGGGAACTGCACCAGCGACCCGCTCTTCTCCGCCACCCTTACCATTTTCTTCTTCTTTCTGATCGACGTGCGTTCTAGCTCCTTGCGCGCGGAAGCCCACAAAAAAGCCGTTAGTGATTTGCTTGCCGCTCCAGCATCCTCTTCTTTTCTGTCTACACATCACAAATTCTGCAAGTGGAAGAGAAAAAACGCCCCGAGGGCGTTGAACGACTCGTTCCGCCCCAAACTATAGCCTCTCAGCGCCATTTTGGTACAGCAGTAGTCTGAATTCTTTTTTCTTTTTTTTTTTTTTTCCCACGCTCCGCCGGGCCCCTTCCCGCCGTCCTAAGTGTGGCCCAAGGCGCTGTATCATGGCACGCCAAACATTGTCATCCTCCTCATTGTCTATATTGGGACGATCGGGCGCCTTTCGCTTCTGGACTGTGCACCGATGTGTCCACGATCTTCCGGTTGGCAGCTCGCCCTAAAACAGTATGCAGGTCTACTTTGAGGCAAGCCATGCCGACATGGGATTTCCAAGCGAACTTGGCTCTCAGCAAACGGAAAAGTCTCGCTGTGATTCCTCGTGGCGGCGTCGTTTAGAGGGGGCATTAGCATTGTCATCACCTGTCCTCGAATTTCTCTCCCCCAGCAGCGGCGTTAGGCCCGTGTCACGGATTTGTCTTCGTCACATTGCTCGTGCCGGGCATGATCTCCGCTCGCTCGATGTACAAACGATCAGCGCGGCCGCTTTGCATCGCGATCATGGCTTTTGAGTGAACCGTAGTCGGCACTCAGAGATGGACGGGCCCCGTCCCGTCGGTGTTGGGATGCTGGCAGCCATCTGCACGATGCAAATGGCGTGCAGGGACAGCACTCTGCCCCTCCGTCGTGCCACGCTGCCGTCTGCTGGAGCCTTCGCTCTCCGCCCACCTGCGACCGAACTTGCTCCAAAACGCACGGCGAACTTCGTATCGTGCCCAGCGATGGAACACGCGCATGGGATCTCCGGCTGACAGATTGCAGCTGGTGGATCCACGATTCGCACCGCTACGCGACCGGGGCTACCGATGATTGGGGTTTCCGAATTCGCTGCACGCCCGATTGGCCACGAGCAACTTTGTGACGCCGCAACGTCAGGACCGGGGGGTGAACAGATGATCTGGGACCCACACCCCCCTGACGCCGGCCACGTTTTCTTCCCAGATCTTGACAGAAAGCGAGCCGTTGTGCGCGCTGCTGGCTCGGCTGCCAACCATGATTTCCTGCTGATGGTGGTGATGATGAGAAAGGCGCTGCACGAACCAAAAGCTGATATTCGTCGGACGGTCGTCATGGCCGCCCGTCTGCATCTCACACTGGCTGCAACCCTGGATGTGCTGTTCTCCTTCACCTCTCCCGTGCATGATCTTTGACAGGGCCTTCATCGACACAGTCCCGCCGATCCTCAATCGAGAAAATAAGCTGAAATCCTGCAGAACGAAGAATGGCCGCCACCATGATTATTGGCCTTTGCCCAAGCAACACTTAGCGACATTCTACTCCGCCGCCGGCGCTCGGGGCGCGGGTGTCAGTGTACATTGTCTCGAAAAGCCACGGATCCTGAAGATAGCGCCCGCACACCACCCTCCTTTTCGTCCTTTCGCCTGTCTCGGAGACCGCACGCGCGGAGAAGCACCTCACGACAACTCCTTTTCGAGTTGGTCGTGTCCACGAGGCACTGAAACCCGTCAAAAGACCTTCGTCGAGCTTGACCTTTTTTTTTTGTGACAGCTCTCCCGCCGGGGACAGGAAAAAAGGAAAAAGTAAAAAAAACCGTGAGCATGACGCCTATCTGCATGTCCGATGCTTGCAAAAATCCCCGGCTCAATAGACATGATCATCGAGCTGCATTTGGGCACTTTTCAAGGGTGTGGTCTTCTTGTCTGCAGATCTATCCTCGATCGACGCACGAGCCTTGCCGTGCCGGGATCGTGCCACGCCTCGGTGTTTCACCACTCTGAAGAGCACTTCGTTGGCGGTGGTGGGGATCTTCGTAAGATGAATATATACGGTTGCCGCAAAACAATCATTCGTCATCAGGGTTTACATCTCAAGATGCTGATGAACATTCTGCTACAACTGCCGCTGGCACCCCAAAACTCTGCGGAACATTAATATTCTCATACCTTCATGCCCTATTGCAAACACAAAACATGAACAGCCAATCTGGCGCCTCCATCAAGCATTGACCCCTTCGTTTCGTAATCGTACTTAAATCACGTCTGGAGGAGCTCGCGTATCTACCCTGGCGTCCTTTTCCCTCCCCCTACCAAATCAGAACCCACTTGTTACATTATTGAAGCCAATGTCCGGTGACTGCGGCCCTGCCAATCTTTTTTTTTCTCTTCGAAGATTAAAGAAATAAGAGCGACCGCGCGACGACTTGATTTCTGTAACGACCATCGGCTCCCGGCTCGGGCAGGATCTAGCATGCTCACTCGATCCCAGAAATCTCGGTAAGAAACTAGTGCCACGGCAAGGTACATTGTTCACGAGTAATGAAACGCCTTTTCCTGATCCCGGGAGCTGGCCCCAGAGACTGGAACAGTGGAATGCCGTGTTCAGCTATGGCCACGGCCAGCACCCATCACGTACAGGCCTGCTGCTTGCTCCGATGCTGAGTGGCATCGCTCGTCAATAACAAAATGGGACCGCGCGCTCGCCAATGCTCAGGAGTCACCATTTGCGTCAGAAAATAAATAATAGGGGATGCGGGTTTGTGAGTCGACGAGAAATTTACGTTTCTAGCAGCGTGCACGGTTCGGTCCTGTTTTGTGCAAAATCGTACGATCTCCACCTTAAGGTTGCGGGACGTTTAGCAGCCATCACGGGTTGTCTGCCGCGCCTGCTGCAGAACCTCCACCTGTCACAGCGCTGCTGGTTCAAGGGAGTGGGCGCATACGACCAGGGTTTCTCGCGGATGGGCATTAACAAAATAGGGGGGAACGATGAGCTCGATTCGAATCGGAAAAGGCGAGATCGTCCCCCATTTAGAAGTGCCGGTATCGAGGTGGGACCCGGTTTCTGCTCTTACCCACCTGGACAAGCGGGTGACGATCTCAAGGTGGCCAGTGTTTCGACAGGGCTCCTTGATTCCTCTTTCAGCTTCTCAGCAGGAGCAGAGTCCTAAAAGAGGTCAAGCTATCATCTAACCGTTCAAACGTGACAGCGTTACGAACGCCATCATTCTTCCGATCTCTCATGCGGCTGCCAAGGAGTGACCTTGTTCGCACCTCTGGATGGCCGGCGGAGTGATGCATCCACCGGAAAGACGCGCGGAAATATTCGCTACTACAGGATACCCGAACCTTTTTGTCGTCCAAAACCGCGAGCTAAAAAAAATCAGACGATGTTCTGGAAAAGATCCTGGCCTTTCATGCCATAGGCATGATCGTTGGCGTGAGCACCTGCGAAGCGAGACGCCCTTTTTTGTTTGCTCTGCCAATATGAGAGCACGATTCAGACCGGGCCCTAGATTTGACGCTGCAATCTGATTAGCCTGTGCTGTGTCTAACGCTGGGTACCGTATGGCCGATGCATGGAGGCAGGCTGTCACTGGCCCAGCCCTCCAGCCTGCAGACCCTAGGCGAACAAGCTATGCGCGCACATTCGGAGATCTTTCTGATGTTGAAGCGGTATAATCCTTCCCAAACATACCCTACCTGGGTGTCGTGTTTGCGGGCCTAACGCTCAAGCGTTCAGTAGATACCGTAGATACCACTCGAAATGCGCCCCATCAGGTCTCGCGGAGACGATCTCGGAGAACCCATCCATTTTCTGCTTGTTAATCCTTGCCTTCGTGTACGTACTCCCCAAGACGACGGATGTTCACCAGGGTCGTGGCAATCACCCATCGTACGATAGGCGATCCATGTCTATCTCAAATGTCTTCATCAAAAGCGCCCCGTCACCACTAATCTCGTGCGTTCACGCAGCTTTGCTTTTTCGCAACGCTCGCTCACAACGGCTATCACCGCTTCCCTGGGAGCTGAATGCCTTCGCTTGTCCATCACATTGTCTAGTCAGAAGCTTCTGACTTTCGATTTGACACCCAGCAAACTCGAAGAGGAGGTGAGGGAGAGTCTCATCGACATCGAGCGACCTCCTGAGAAAGCCCCCAGCGATTGCCCAGGATCCGGTGACAAGGACTAATGAGATGGGTTGTTTCGCCGCACGGCGCTCAAAGCATCGACGACCTTGATTTCGTCATCTTAGCAATCACCCCTACAATGTCTCATTGTCGACCAGCCTCCGAGTGAGCATCGTAAACGAAGACGGAAGTGCTGTCCGAGACCGCTGCCCCGGCCTTGGTAACGAATCAGTCCGTCGCTCCTCTGCACATTCCTTGAACGAAATGGCTGGCAAAGATAGACCTTGTCTTGTCTTCGATCTGACTCAGGTTTGGGGCCTTTTACGATCCGTCATTTGTCAAGAGCGCGAGCAGGGAACGATGTACGGCTGGCTATGCTGGTGAGACATTGATCGTGATATCACGACGGACAGCAGGGCCCGACAGTCCGCGAGGCGAGGCCGACGAGCAAGGGACTTTTTTTTCTTGAAGCCCGGCTCCGCAAGGTGACGACAAGAGACGTCAAGGTCTTATTATTATCAATATAATTTACTGGACACGATGTTGTTCTCACGCTTTTCTGTTGTTGTTGTTGTTGTTGTTGTTGTCGTCGTCGTCGTTCTTGTCGTTATTATCATTCTTCTTATTGTTCTTCGTTCAATCGGCTCCAGAGACTGGTAAGTCGAAAATCTTCAGCTGGCTGGGGCTATCATAGAAAGAAGAGGGTGGGGGAACAGACTCCGTCAAACCATTATTCACTCCTGTGGAAATCGGTTCACCGCAAGCCCAAATACCCGTATCGTGAAGACGTGAAAGCTCGGTCCAGAGCTTATGAAATGCCAAAAGCTCTCGTGAGCCCTCAGCGATCGTTGTCCATGTGCTTACTTTTCTTTCTCGCCCATCCTCAGCGACCTTCTCGCGAACAGTCCGCGGATCCGTCGTGCGCTTTGGTCCACATGGTCAAATTCTACACGGTGTGACCTTTGCTGTGGAAAAAGCCACGACGCATCACAGGAGGCCCAAGTGTGTCGGCTCAGGAAAAGGCGTCCGAACAGATGGTTCAGCGTTGACGAAAAGCACAGGAAAATTCAGGGCATCCGGAGCTGTTACGATGAAATTGTTTTTTTTTTCTTGGTTCTTTCCTTTTTTTTCTCCCTCTCAAAACGTCGTCCTATCCACTTGTTCCCATGGCGGACGACGATTCCATCCGTCAAAGGCCACACACGCACAGAGCTGAAGAGCAAAGCGCGTTCGCCAGGCTCAAAGGACATTTCGTTCGAGGCACGAGCGTTCGCAGGAGAGGTGCGCGGAAGCCATGGACGTCGTGCGTTTGTCCTTTTTTCTACGTCCCTGTGGAGTCGAGCTGAGGACTTTTTTTTTACATATATTATTTGGGCCTTCGACTCGCTTTTTCCGCCTACGATTTCGTATTGAAATGCTTTCCCTATTCCCTCGCCCCCCCTTTTTTTGTTATTTCTTAAGAAAGTTCTTTTTCTTTTCCTACTCTCGTTTCTCAAAGCCTCTCTTTGGGGCGAGCATGCAGGCGCCGTCGGCTCTTCTGACCAAAATGCAAGTGGCACGATCAAAGCGCAGCAGACGTCTCCGGACTGCCGAGCGGTTGCATGACGACAGCGAGCCGCTCCAAGACAGCACGGCACAACAAAACAACGACGATGGAGAGATTCCGCTACCGTCAGGCAATTGTCATGTTAGAAAGTGATATCAGCGATCCAGTTGTACAAACTAGTGCACAATGCATACGGAGCCAAGGTGGACGACGTCGCAGAGGGTTGTAATTCCAGAGACATCTGTTTCACGAATACCGGCAGGATCTCAGGGAATTGGTGGCTTGCCTTAGCGTCCAAAACACCACGAGGTGGCGCTCCCAAACTGGTGCAGACAAACGTGGCAGCTGAAAGTGAGAGAGCGGCGCTACAGCAGAGCAGCATTCCCCTTTTCAGAGTTACGCAGGACCTCCTTGCGTCACGAAGCAGAAGGCGAACAAAAAGGAAAGAAAAGAAAGGAATTTGGGCGTTTGGGGCGTTTTGCGCCGCCCTCGACGAAAGGAGCGTATCTGCTTGCGCAGAAGGTAGTCACCGTCTGTGGACGCCTTCGCCCTTCCCACGCCGTGCGATGCGGGCGGTGAATGCCATTGGCAGCACGGCACAGAGGCCACGGGGCCGGTGGCAATGATGAGCGAAGCTCATGCGAACCGGGGGCTCGTCATCGTGGTCTGATTCTTTTCCTGAACGCGCCAACTCGGCTCCTGTGCGACTTAGTTGCAGCTTACCGCACCGCAGCTCGATCCGCTTTCGACGGCCTTTTTTGCATCCCGCATGCAACGACAGACGCAAATCGTGATTGAGCCAAGGAACGGCATCTGAGTCGTGACTCCGACCCGGCCCGCCAGAATCTCTCACGATGGCGCTTTTCTTTCCCGTTCCCTCTAGCTCCAGCGGAGATCTGACTCTCACTCTCACTCTCACTCTCTCTATTTCTCTCCATTCCATTCTTCTTCAGGGACAAGGCGCAGTAGACCGCGGCCGTAGTGCCATCCAGCCTGGAACAAAAGTTGCGACACATCGTGCAGAAAACCCCATGCTTGTTGACGGTTCTGCCTCGTGGACGTAGATCGAGCCAGGACATGCGGGCATCGCTTGCAACTAGCATGTCCTCTTGCATCGCGGAATCTGGCTTGAGAGACTGCCTTTTCTGCGGTGCAACGCGCCATCATTGTCTGTTCCTACTCGCCTGCCAAATTGAACTTGGTCTGCCTCCAAATCAAACTCTCCCGCGTGCCAAAATCTTTCCTCTGCTAGGCGTGGCCGTTTGCAGTAGTCGACGCACGGCTTTTGCCTTTAAAAAATCCCTCTGGTCCCGACGGCTCTGCAGCTTGTGGCTCCGATCACCCACTAGCAGCAGATATACTTTTTGTTCCGTTGAGCTAGTTCGAAGCTGCGCGTCACCACTACTAGCCAATAGTGCGACTCGATCGGGTTGCCAAATGATCAGACTCCCACGGCCTTACTCGCCTTAGGGACTGACCTATAACATCTATTAAATGGCCGTTTGGGCAGCAGCGAAAGTGCTAAACACCATGGACTGCATGTCGCCTCGCCCTTTGTCTATCTGACTACGATTTGGCCTAGCGGAAGCCCCACCATCAGAAGCGTGTGCGCTATTTCTTCGCTATGACCGCTCGTCTTCTCATCAATCAGAGCAGTGGCACGGTCACCACGATGGAATTTAGTAGGCCCTTGGTGCCTCAACACTGATTGTCGTGCCGAAATGACAAGGAGTTTGTATTTATGCGAGCTGTGCGTGCACAAGACGGGTCCCCCTTGCCATGAATAGAATGAGCTGTTCAGCATGAAGGGCATGCAACTCACGGCTAGGATGAATGCTTCTTAATGTGTTTGCTCACGCTCAACCAAATTGGCTCGAGACATCGATTGCAATTCATACAAGGGTGCACAACAATAACTAGTCCAGCTCGTATTGCGCTTCTATGCCCCCATATACTCATTCGTGCTCGTGCCCCAAATTGCTTCCGTGAGCAAGGGAGAATGACAGACACAAAGAGAGAGACTGTGAGAGACAGAAACGCTGCATTGCACTAGAACCAGCCACTCAAAAGCAGCTGACGCGTTATGTTAGCGAATCGCTTGCAGCTGTCAAAAACATAGAGGAAACGCTAAAAGCCTCGTGGTGCCCCTGTAGAGTGTCGATCGGCAGCCTCCGTCTCGCCTAATGCCAGACAAACAAACCAATCGCTCAACTCTGAGCGACGCCTTGGTAACGACGACCAGCTGAGGATCCTTTCGCGTGTCGTTTGGGTCGGTTCTCATAGCAAGAAATATAAGCAAAAAGGCTCTTCGTTCAAGTCCAAGTGTGTTGTTCCTCTCTTCGACCTTCAGCAAAGTGGCAAGAGTTCCTGATATAAGTTAGCTGTTGAGCTGTTCGTAGCACCTCTGCCAGTGAGCCTATCACGTTCCAGAACACAAACGTGCCGAACGCAAGCGTTCCAACATCAGGCCATCCCTCTCGTCCACCATCCCCGATTCTCGCCCTCAGCCCTTCAGCATTGGTCAATCCTATCTTCGACAGCCGCGGATCTGCCTCTTGCAGCAAAAAAAAAGGGCCCTGTCACAACTCTGGTGACTGCGACCGCCCGCCCCTCTGATGCAGGTCCGATCCTTGCGCCCTCTCCTCAGCTCGCCGTGTCGGATGATCAGGTGTGTCGGCACGGATACGATCCGCATGCTAGATTCTTTCCAGAGGTAAGGCATCTGTTGAACCTGCATTATCTAGATCAAGCTGTGGCAGCGCGATCGAGTTCGCGCTGCTCCACGGAGCCGTGCTTTGCCGTCCCTCTTGTGCTACGCCCTGGGACTGTCTCCGCTATGAAGCCGGCGACTGCCGTGACAAGACAACAGGCGGACTCTTTCAGCCTTAAGCCTATGGCTGTAAGCGTGATGGAACCCAGAAGGCCCGGGTGGGGTGGCGATCCTTCCATGCGACCGTGCTGACAAAATTTGCCTTCACAGGTCGACCCGTACAGTGTTGTTGATGACCTTACCTCGAACGGCTCGAGCCAACGAGAGAGTCTGAGTCCGTCCGCGGGCGACGTGCGCGTGGTTCAAGAGGTTGGTATGGACGGGACGGAGCATCCATTTTTAGACGGGCGGGACTGGCCGGCAACATCCTCTCACAGCATACATTTCGACAAGACATTGTCTGCGCAAAGCGTACAGAATGGCATGGACGCCGATTATGGCTGGGACTCTTTTCTGCAGTGGACGCCAGGACATGGTCAGCCTTCGGGCGAACTCGCTACAACAAGCAACGCACCGTCGCTTTATGATCGGACAGTGGGATCGATAGACGAACAGCCTACCCACAAGTTAGGCGCCGTTGGAGCCGCAATGTCAACGCCTGGCTCCTCGAATACACCCCTTGCGTTCGGGCAGGCCATGAGCGTCGCTCCTGGATTTGACTTCACAAGTCCTCCATCGATGATTTCCCCCCTAGACAAACAGAACTTCACTTTCAATGGGCACAACACCGCTTCGTCTCAATCGCTCAACGATCCCAGCAGACCTTTAGTCACCTCCGCTTTCTCGCACGGTGGACAAGTCGCAACCACAATGCCTATGCATGCCCCGCCGTCGAATGGGAGCTTGCAGCAAAGTCCCAGCTCGAACAACGCAAGGGCAGGCTCGTCCGACTCTCCGCCGTCTTCGTCAGAGCCTGACCATAGAACGCGAAACATGAAGAAGCGCAAACCCGATGATGACGACGAACCGAGCGGCGAGAAGGGCGGGCCGCCGAAGAAGACTGCGCATAACATGATTGAGAAGCGCTACCGCACGAACCTGAATGACAAAATTGCCGCTCTTCGCGACAGCGTGCCTAGTCTACGAGTCATGTCCCGAGCAAACGCTGCCGACGATGACGAGGAAGAGGTTGATCTTGAAGGCCTGGCTCCTGCGCACAAGCTGAACAAGGCTACGGTCCTTTCCAAAGCTACGGAGTACATCCGACATCTTGAGAAGCGGAACAAGAAGCTGCAAGACGAGCTTTCGGCGCTCAAGAAGCAGCTGGAATCGTATGAAAAGATGTCCATGACCTCGTTTGCCTACTCCGGGAACGTGGCGACGCCAGAAGGCGCATCCTATGAGCAAAATCCATTCGAACAAGTCTCATCCCGAGTTAGTGGGCCAAACCCGGTGCGAGGGATGATCCCAATACCTCAAGAGCTTCGGCAAATGCGGGAATCGACCGTACATGGGCAGCCGTATGTGACGTCCTCAGCGTCTTATCCGGTCTTCTCGTCAGCAGGACAACAGCAACAAGCTCCGGGCCGTCCCGTTGTCAATGGACGCGGCTCAAACTTCGTGAATAAGATGATGGTCGGGTCCCTGGCTGGTCTAATGCTGTTTGAGGGCTTTGTGGAGCGCGAGAAATCCGGCGAAGAGCCAGAGGGTCGTGGACTCTTTGCCCTTCCAGTGTCTCTGCTGTCAAGCATTGGTAGTCATGTTTGGCCACAGGCATTTCCATTGGGCGCGTCAGCGTCTGACGCAATAGCACTCCTCAAGGCCTGCCTCATCTTCGGTGCTGTCGTATACGTGCTTCTACCTCTGCTCGCTTTCGAAACGCGGCCCAAGAAAAAACCAGAAGCTGTGTCTTTGAACCAGGTGCCTGCGATCGCGTCGCCTATCGACGTCCGGCGGAAGGCATGGTTGACGGCTATTCAGACAGTGTGGGTGCCTCAGCATCAGTTCGTGCTGGAAGCTGCAGCTCTGCTTCTGAAAACGCTCAAGTTGAGCACACGAAAGCTTATCGGTTGGCAAGGCTATGCCTTGATCTGGAACGTCACAAAGGAGCAAGAGGCCGCCAGAGTCAAGGCATGGGACATTGCGCTTGACGCGCAACTTACTGGAGGCGACGCTGAGATCAGCATGAGCCGTTTGGTCCTGACCTTGCTCGCGTCGGGCACGTTACCCGACACCCCGGCTCGCCTCATGCTCAAGGCTCTACACATCCGTGTCCTGCTCTGGGAAGTTGCAAAGGCAGGCTACGGAACCTGGTTCATGTTCGATGAGCTGAGCCTAAAACTGGCAAGGAGATACTGGAATCAGGCGCGGCTTGAGAACAAGATGATCAAGAACAACATGAAACAACGGCAGGAGGACGACCAAAACGACCGACAGGAGCTGCCGGCGCACCTGGAAGCATTGCTCAGTCTAGAATGTGACACTGTTCTTGTCAAGCCGGTCGTTCAAAGAGCTTACAATCTGGCGTGGAACCGTCCAAGCTCCGAGAACACACAGTCAGACGTGAGCACAGACAGCGTGGTCAATGACTTTGCTATCTCATCTCCCCTCGATGCACTAGCCGCGTGGTTTTCCAGCTTGCTCACCAACTTCGCGCTCGAGCAGTCACTGCTCAAACAGACCAGGTCTGTTTTGGAATCTGTGGACGCAGCCACTGCGATCGCGCCGCCTATGTCGGCTGTTCATGTGCGTGCTCTCGCAGCGAAGGCTGTTCTGGCCAAGAAGGATCGCCTCCATCTAGTCGATGCCGCATACAAGGCTCTGCCCAAGCCAGCTTCAGTAGCTACCTTATCCGACTCGAAGAGTTCCCTCAACTCACAACCACCACTCCTGATCGTTCCAAACACACCAGCTTCATCAGATGTGCCAGAAGCACTGGGATTGGCCAAGTGTCTCGGCCTAGTCGAGGCCAAGGTTGGAGATAGCAAGGAAATTGCTGGCCTCTCCGACAGGGCAGTTTCGGCTTTGCTGATGTATCGACCTACGGAGACGAGTTTTTCGATCTTGTCATTCGCTGCAGCGTATCAAGTGCTAGACCACTTCTCTGCTGACCCAGAGCTCAGGCTGAAGACCAGGCCTGCCCTTGAACGAATGGCCAATGCCATGCGCGTTTGGATCGGCAAGGAATCTGGCAAACCTGCCGTCGCCGCACTCAGCCTTAAAACACGGACGATTGTTGTAGATCGATGCATTCAAGCGTCAAAGATGTTGTCAGGTGTTTGCACAAATGACGACAATAGCGAAGAAGAAAGCGATGCAGGCTACGGCAGTCTGGAGGAAGGGAAAGAAAAGAGCTAATTTTCTCCATTTTAGGAGAACGTCTTTTTTCCCGGGCAGCCTTCGTAGGGGATATTTTCTCAAAAAAGTTTTCAGACACATTTTTATTAGATATGGTTACGAACTTGTGAACCACTGGTACCAACATACTGACGTTGTTTTTTCGTACCAGCAATGGACATTCTGTAATGAGATACCAAGCCGGATTGGTGGCGGCCATGTATATATCGGTTTATGATATGATCGGAAAGTAGTACGAATACACTCTCCACCTCCATTGAACAGCGCCAACTGCTTCCTCGGCTTGTACCAAACGCTTTCCAGCGGTGTCCAACATTTTTCAATCTCACGGTCCTCGATGACGTTCAGGTCCTTTATCTGGTGAGTTTGTATGGTGTCCGCATCAGACCTGTTCGTGTTGCTGGGACTTGTGGAATGTCGCCTCCTGGCTGAGATCGACCGCCGCCACAGCTGCGGCGTTCAGACTCCGATCTCGATTGCTTTCCTGGTGTAGAAGAACGACGAGCGGTTTCGCTCGTGGCAACTGCTCTACGGGTCCTTTTCCGTCGCCTTTGCACGCGTTACGATCGCAACGTCGGCCGCAAGAAGCTTTACGACTGCCTGGTTTCCCACGTTTAGAAAGGAAGCGAGCACGTGCGTCCCAGTTCGCGGGCTCGCTCTTTTATTTTTATTGCTTTTTTTCCCCTGCTCTCTCTCTCTCTCTCTCTATTCTCGAACAAACTGCCTTCACGACGCGGAGCTGTCTGTGGCTGCCGTTCACGTCACAGACGCCGCGTGCCGCCTGTGAATCTTTGAGGCACTCGTCAAGGCAACGAGCGGGGGGGGGGGAGGGGAAATCGAGGGCGTCCTGACGCCGTGTGTTTCGACCGTAGAAGCCCGAACGAGAAACGGTAGCATAAAGCTTTGTGGCTTCGTTAGTCGGAGACAGGAAGGACTTTTTTTAAGGATGCGTGTCTCCATGAAGCAAAACTATCCGATTACGCCGTCGAAGAAGGCTGTTTGCAAAGAGAGAGAGAGAGAGAGAGAGAGAGAGAGGGAGGGAGGGATACCTTAAGCTTGAAACGCGAGTGACTGCTGATGAGGGGAATATATACACGCAGGTGGTGAGATCGTGGTGTCACGGGAGATAACTCGAGATCGGTCCGCATGTCGAAACTTTAAAGAAGGAGCAGGGCAAACATATACAACGCATTCTCGAAACCCGAGACAGAACAGCCTTGGAACATGGAAACGATCGATCGTATCTTGCACGACATTATATGTTCAAATACTTGAGAAAGTTGACGTATATCTTGCATTAGTATTGAGATACTCTAGGTCACAGATGTTGAGTTTCACCTCAGCAATCAATCATCCACACCGGCTGAATTACTCACTTTCTGCACAGCCAGAGTTCCACCAAATCGTTGAAGTATCTTCGTCACTCGCGGTTTCCAAACATGTACTCGGTTGCCGCAAAATACCATTTGTAGCAGTCCTTCGAGAGCTGATTCTGCACAGTGGACTTCGTATGAGCACCCAATAGTAGTCGTCTCCATCGTATGACGTACAAAGGTAGACCATGGCAGGCTTTCGGCCCCGTTCTCTACCCAGCTGATGTGACCAAGGTCGTCCGGGTCTTGGAACACCTCAAAATAGAGCAGTTCTTTTTCTTTGGATTTGGCGTCGAACGCTGGCTGAAAGACTTCAAAGAAAGCGTTGACATTGGACGCATCGATCTAGATCTCGACTTGCAAAGAAAATTGGCTTCGCCTCATGGAGGCTGCGGAAGGGATCCAAGGCGCGTTTGTATCAGTCATGACACAGCAATGAGGCCTCGCTTTCTGCTTTCTCTGCTGTGGAACGCACTGTCTGCCATGTACTTTGACTAGAAAGAATTGGGCGTGCCCTCTTTTTAGGTTGCACCAATGTGCATCAAACTCTTCGTGAAAGAGAGCAATAAATCAGTAGTGCTTTTGTTAGCTCTTTAGATAAATAACCCTTGTTGCTTGGATCGGTTCGATCCTACCCCTGGTAGAACAAATTATATAGGATGATCCGTGGCGGTCTTTACTTTTGGGGCCATTTCGAAGATGTTGAGTTTTCACCCTAGGTAAGATGAAATGGACGACTAGTTCGGTCCGCGCTTCTCAAGGATTTGTTACCAGTTATCGAAATTACCAAATCCTTTCGTCTTCGACTTCTTCTTTGACGGCATCATGTCCTCGTATGTGTCTTCTGTTGTTTTGGCTGCCTGAATTTGCGAGTTCTGCATTAATGCCGCTTGGAGATATTTGCCAACACTGTCTGCACCTCCCTTCTCGAGCTTGCCATCCTCTCGAAGTCGCTTGCCCGTCCACGTCATTCGGTCATCGTCCGTTCCTCCAGCCCTTTTGATCTCCTCCTCCATCTTCTCCTTCTCCTCCTTTTCTAGTCGTTCTTTTGTGAATTCTTCAAACGGATCGACGAACACCACCACGTCCTTTAGCTGAATGTCCTCCTTCGGGCGATCTTTCGCATCGACTTCCACAGCTTCCAACTTCGCCAGAACATCCATCCCGCCAACTACCTGCCCAAAGACTGTGTGTTTCAGGTCAAGATGCTTGGCGGGCCTGTACGTGATGAAAAACTGACTGGAATTTGTGTTCTTGCCTTTATTCGCCATGCTGATCACACCCCTCTTGTCATGCCTTCTCGGTCCCTCTAGCTCATCTTCAAAATTCTTGCCCCAAATACTCTGCCCGCCTTTACCGCTACCAGTTGGGTCACCGCCTTGGATCATGAAGTTCTTGATGTTGCGATGAAACACTAAGTTACGGTAGTAACCTTTCTTGGCAAGCGATATGAAGTTCCAAACAGCTTTTGGAGCAAACTCGGGATACAGCTCTATGTTGAGATCCCCATGGTTTGTTGAAATACGCGCGTACCCAATGTGTTTCACTCTGCGAGGTTTGAGCATGTATTCCTCATCAGTGAGTAGGGCGCGTTCACCCGATGTTTCGGGCGTGAGACCCGTAGATGTGAAAGACGCCGCCGTACGCCCGCTTGTGTATTGCGCTGCGTTATATGGCACTGCTTTCTTCTGCCGCTGAGCTCCAGTCGCAGAAGAGCTGTCAGCCTTCCGTCCCTCACGGGCTTTTTCATTCGCTGATGCCTTTGATTCTGCGACCTTTTCGCGCTCTAGACGTGCACGCGCAACGGCTTCCTTTGCCTTGATGATCTTAGCAGCGTTGCCTAGAGTGTTGGAATTGATATTCGCGGCTGGATCTGCGCGTTCTGCCTCTTGTTCTGGAGTCAGAGTGCTGACCCCATCTTTAAGGTATTTGAATGAACTCAAATCTCGTGACTCAATATTCTGCGGGTCCTGTATTGTGATGATGTCCGCTCTCGTGAAGTCTTCGTCCGTGACGAGATCCTTCCAATTTTTGGCCTTAATGTTGAGCCGTTCCACCGTATCCCACGAAAAGACGTTGCCCGTATTTTTTAGCGCAACAATATGGGTATTGTCTGTGAAGACTTTATACGTAACAGGATCGACATACTCGTCGTCGTCGTTCTTCGTGAAGTTCAGTTTGATCAGATCAGCGCTCCGCATCGGTTCTCCATTAATGGGATTTGTGCCATGCTTCTTTAACCAGGGTACAATATGTGTGAGATCGAAAATCGTGCCTTTCGTAGTGCACACCGGGTGCTTGAATGGCTGTAGCGACAGCGCGCAGTAGTTGTATGGAAGTCGCTTGAAGGATGCTCCATCCACCTTCTGCTTGCCCACGCCTGCGCCAGCACTGGCGCTGTAGGCATCTTCGGACGCCCATTCAGAATGGGTAATGTATAATTTGTCCGTTCCTTTACCCATGTCTTCACTCCAAATGAGAGAAGTCTGAAGCGAGGCAAATCCAAGGACGAGAGAAATGCATCAGTCGCCTTACCAAGAGATAAGATCGTTAGCGTTGATCTAATCAGCAGATCCCTGGCTACGACGAAGTTGGTGAATGTGGCCTCATTACACATGCGACAACTCGAAACTCTCATGTACAATGCCACAAAAAACTTTTTTTGCTTATACCGCGCTGTAATCCATCCTTTCTACCGTTTTTGCTCTGCGATCTGATAGGTTGGGTCGTAGCGTTTGCGGGCTTCTATAATGGACGGTTCGTATGCACTACCGAACGGGGGATACACCCAGCAGATGAATACAAATGGATGGGCAAATCACAACCTCGACGAGGACAACTTTGCAGAGCCTAAAGGTGTATCAATGCGATCTTTTGATGCTTTTCGTACGTAACTTATAGGCATATACTCCATATCTAGAAGTCTAACATGGCTCACAGCAAAGGTTAAGCCAAGTTTTACCGTCAAAGGTTCACATACAGGTTCTGCGTGGACTCTGCTCTTGATAGTTGCCACAATATCCCTTCTTATAAGTGAAACAAGACGATATTTTGCAGGCAATGTAACCCATTCTTTTACAGTGGAAAAAGGCATCTCTCACCAACTACAAATCAATCTAGATATGATCGTGGCTATGCGTTGCCCTGATATCCACGTCAACATACAGGATGCGGCTGGAGATCGCATTCTGGCAGCAGATATGCTTCAACTGGATCCGACAACGTGGCGCCAGTGGGATAAGATCGCAGGGGATCGCCTGAAGAATACAATTGATGATGATGCGTATGGTGCTGGAGCAGACGAAGATGTGCATGATTACCTCGGGGCTGCAAATAGCAGGAAGAAGTTCAAGAAGACGCCGAAGGTGATAGGGACGGACAACGCGTGTAGAATTTATGGATCAATTGAGGGCAACAAAGTGCAGGGTGACTTCCACATCACGGCACGAGGACATGGATACATGGAGTTCGGCATGCACCTGTCTCATGATCGTTCGTAATATCCAGAACTACCTTGCTTCCCCTTATGGAACCACTAACATGGATGCGCAGAATTCAACTTCTCTCACATCATAAACCACCTATCTTTTGGTCCTCACTACCCCCTCCTTACCAATCCGCTTTCAAAAACCCGGACCACCACAGACAAGAATTTTTACAAGTTCCAATACTACACTTCTATTGTACCCACTATATATACCACCAATCCTTCGACATTGACGCTCTCTCCTCCGGAACATATCGTTGACCCGTCATCGAACTCCTACACACCGGCAACCAGTATGTGGAACCGCGACACCATTTGGACGAATCAATATGCTGTCACGGAACAATCACACGCTGTAAACGAAATGAATGTTCCAGGCGTGTTTTTCAAGTACGACATTGAGCCGATCCTGTTGCTTGTGAGTGAGGAAAGGGGAAGCTTTATGTCATTTCTAGCTAGGTTGGTAAACGTGGTCAGCGGCGTGCTTGTGGCTGGCAGCTGGTGCTTTACATTCAGCGATTGGGCGGTCGAAACGTGGCTCGTAAAGAAAGGTAGAGAGCGACTAGGATTTTTGGGGCACGGCCGAGGAGGGGAGAAGTTTGTATGACATTATGCGCTGGTTGTAACTTAGCATTGGGCAGGAGTTTTGCAATCGATGATTTGATTTAGTATATAGGCCAACATTGCACGAATATTCATATCTCCCATGTTGTTCTCTGTTGCTGGAACTCCACAGTTCGACAGTCTTCTTTGCAACCAGATCATCTTCACACCGTATAAAATGCTTTCGCATCTTCGCTCTTCTTACCCTTGACATTCTAGCGTGCTTTTCAAGTTTGGAAGAAAGACAAGTCAAGATCAGTCATGGAAATATTTCAGATGCTGAAAGTCGAGCCTCTTAGTGCTTCACCCTAAGCTCATTGTCAGTTGTCGCTCATATAAGTTGTGAAATATAATGAGCTAGGAGTTGACTCCCCCACCAGGGATGCGATACCAAAGTGCGTGTCAATGAATGACGTTGTTATGTCCTCCATAATGAGAGAATTCTGCCTAATTTACATTAAAGTAGCAGTAATTTTGATATCGACCACGATTCCTGCTGGGCAATGCCTGCCAGCGTAGTGATCTGAGTAGACCCTGGACCTCGGCATAACTTGCAGTCCCATTTCTTCCGATCAGTTCGAGCTTAGAATCATTCCAACACATGCATTACACAATGAGCAAGCTAAGAATACTTTGTCTGCATGGTTTCACATCAAATGGAGCTGTGCACGCTCAGCAACTACGGCGAATTACGTCACAGTTGCCAGAGTATGACTTTTTGTTCCCGGACGGGCCGCACCAGGTCGACATAAAGGAACAGATGGACATGTCGAACCCCGGAAACCAAGCATGGTCAAATCTTGTCTTGTCTTCAGGCCCCGCTGGCCACAGGGCATGGTGGTTCGCGCGTGACGGAGACTGGAAGTCGAAGACCACAGGAGGCTTTATCGGACTGGAAGAGTCACTCGAATATCTCGGAAGGTTTTTGCAGGAACACGGGCCTGTTCACGCAATCTGGGGATTCAGTCAAGGAGCGTGCTTCACCGGGATGCTGTGCTCTCTTCTCCAGCCCAAGCTTGCCAGTAACTTCCTGCGAAAGCACATACCGGCTCATGCGGCACCCCCGCCACAGGCTGGCGTTATATTTTCTGGGTTTAGGGCCAGATTTCCTCAGTACGACGGCCTCTATGAGTCAGTAATAGATATGCCGACGCTTCATGTCTTTGGCAAGCAGGACCCTTTGGTCCGTCGAGAACGAAGTGAGGCTTTGATGACGGTGTGCAAAGACCCCGAGTCTCTGATTCATCCCGGTGGCCACGATATTCCTAAGGCGGCTGAGGATGTGGCTAAGATTGTTCACTTCACGAGGAAACATGTCCAAGGCGACCCTTCGACAGCATTGCAGGCATCAATGTGATATTATAATGTGATGAGCCTTCTAGGCAAGATATGTCTACTTTTGGACTGCCAAATAACGTTGTGTACGGCTGGTTGAACAGGAAGTTGCCATGAACGCGAATTAAGATCGAGATGAGATTTGAGGGTAACGCTCAGAATTTGCGAGCATCTGATAGAGTGCTGGTGAGTGGACGAATTAAGGATTAGATTTGCACGATGTCGCCTGGCTGCTACTTTAAAGACGGATAAATGGTGGTGGCTTGGAGAAGCCGAATGTAAATCCGTTTAGAGTGTCTGTCATTGGTTGCACAAAGGGAAGTCCAGATGAGCACTTAGTTCAATAATGGCATGGTTAGAGAAACGAGTTGATTGCTCGTGAATAAAAGGTGGCAAGGACCAATCTATCATTCATCAGCATCCATCTTGACGAGCCATCGAAGGTGTGAGAATGAGCGCGACAATGCATCAACTCCTTCATGGAAACCAACAGCTCTACTGGAAATGCACTAGACTTTCTGATCCTGCGTTTCAAACCATTATTTCCGTATTAGAACCTCATTCATTTATTCATTAGACACCACTGTTATGCCGTCATCCTTTCCAGCATCAATGGCCACCCTCTGCACTAGTCTCACCCACCTTCTTCTCCTCCACTCGCCCAACTTGTGTCGTCCGTGTCCCTCCTCCCACGTCACAATCGCTTTCTTTTTCTCCTTTTCCTTGCCAATCTCCTTATTCTTCATTTTCTTACTCTTATGACTCTCCGCCAGACTGTCTAGATCGTCCTCATCGTCCTCAAACTCATACGCTAAATCACTGACCCACCTTTCCCCTTCAACTTCAACCTCGACACCTGTAATACACCGTTCCTCAACCCACTCTCTGCTCAACAAGTCGAGAGTCCATTTTTTGTCTGCGAATTTCCACCCTCGAGGTGGGACTACGTCCTCAAAAAACCGGGTACCTTTGGGTCTATCTCCCGCAATCATGGCTGGACTCATGGGATCATAAGGATGCGGTGTGAAGACCCATGGCTCCCACTCGGCTTCTCGGTCGTACGGATTTCTGTGTTGTAATTCAAATATCTCAACTTCGCGTTTCTCCGGCGCAGGATCGAGTATGATGTCTGCTTCGGCAAAAGCATGCAATTGGGACTGAACTTCGCTCTGTTGCTGGGCAATGGTTTCTGGGCTCGCCTTTTGCTCGAGCAGATCCTGAACAAAGGGATGATTGGAGCCAATAACCGCCCATCCGCCGAGTAAAAAGACGAAGCGCCAGGGAATCAGGTGCGCAGTCACAAAAAGGAGAAGAACAGCGAAGAACATGACGATGAAGAGGACGCTCGTATATGCTTCGTCAGAGAAATTGGTTGGCGGAAGGAGGCGCTTCAGAATCTCGTCATGCAGCCTGCTAAAATCTTCCATGCTATTTTGCAGGTCACGCATATTGCGGAAGAAGTCCTTGGAAAGATCGGGAGCGGGCTTGATACGCGTTGCTGGGGCAAGGGGCGGTCCGCCTAAAGGATATAACTCCGATGGAAGGGTTGATGGTGGTGGAGGGTGCCGCGCGAGGAAAGCTGGCACCATGATGAAGAAGAGACAAATGGCTAGGGGGACTACGACGAGAAGATACGGATCCAGGCACACAAATGAATAGACTGCCAGAAACGATAGCGTGTGGGAGGGCTTTCTCCACGACAAAACTCGAAACACGCGATTTTGGAAAACGAATACTGGGCCTATACGAGCGTTGAAGCGCCGAAAGTTGTAAGACATTGTTCCCACGCTGAAATTCGGTTTTTCGGCGTACGTTCGAGGACGCTTGGTATTAGACTTCTCCGTATCCACAGCGCCATCGGCTGGTATGACTTGCGACAACAGTCTGTCCGTCATAAGTTAGCAGAAAGTCGACGAAAATTCGCTCCTGTCCTGCAAAGTTCTGAAGAGGGCAGGTGAGGTGTATCTGCTGCATCTTGCGCTCATGAAGCACTTGAAGCATCCGCACAGCAGTTTGCTCTGATTCAATAGCGCAGAGGACAAAGCATGTTTCGCCAGCTTGCTCTCCAGATGTGTTCGTCTTATCTTCAAAGGAATTCATAACATACAAGTTCAACAATCGATCTTGCATGGACGAAGACGAGCGCTCTGTCTTCCTGTTGTCGATCTTATCGAGCACTTTGCTAGCCCCACGTGAAAGCATATCCTGGGATTTGGAGCGGATATGGGTACTCTTCCCGGGAGACGGCGTCCTGGCTGCCCCGTCGTGGCTCGTAACGCGAATAATGGGCATGCCATCATCTCGTTCTTCGCTTGTGGGCCGATTCTCGTCCATGATACGACAAAGGCCGACGTTGATGTGTGGTTGCTTTACCTCGCGCTATGACGAAAGCCTTCGTTCACGCAGACCGGACCAGAGGTAGCGCCGAACTGGATGTGCGAGACCTGTCAATAAGAGAGAGAACTGCAGGGTCGACGATGCCGAACACTTCATGGGGAGGACTGGCAAACAACAATAAGGAAGGAACACATTGCTCCTGTGACGCAGGCACGATCGTGGCGGAAGGCGAGAAATCAAAGAGAAAGAGCGAGCGAGCATGGTCATTTGGGGCTACTGCAGGGATGGCCCTCCTCCCTCCACAACCGAACCGCGCTAGGCCCCAACCGGCCATAAACACCTGAACCTCCATTCAAGCCACAAGCTTGAATCTAAAGAAGATCTCCCAGGGCTCCTCGAACCTGCTGAACCTCCTTTCTCGAATGTACCTTACACGTCCGCAAATACACCACCACACGCCATTCTCAACAGCTCCCAAACGGCATATCGAGCGCCTGCCTGGCCAGGTGTCAACGCGACCGAACAGCTGCTTCTCTCGGTACCTCCTGAGTCCCGATCGCCCAGATGGTTAGGATTGCAGGCTCATCGTAGCACAACCCACCGCACGCACGAGGCGTCAAATCTGAGGGAGGCGGGACAAGAAGGAGGACAGCCGACGTACATGCTGCTCTGTGTGTGCGAGGCATTCTTTTAGTCTGCTTTGAGCACCGTGTGAGCGTTGCGGAGCAAGTATTTTTGGTGTTCAGACCCGGGCACCCCAAACAGAAGCACTCTTCACCCTCTGCCTTGAGACATCTCATGTATGCGGCCACCACACCCCAATGATACACACGCAGCGAATGCCCACCATGGACACAACCACGATGGACTCTTCGACCTCGCAGCTAGGCTTCGCAACTGAAGAGTCTGCCGGGTCTGGAGGTATGTTATTTTGCATTGCTTCTGCCCTCATATTGTTGACATGCCACCCTCCCAATTTCCACCCAATACAAGCCCTACCCATGTATCCCAACAACACCACATCCATGAACACCTGTAGCGTACCGTAGCACTGTGCAACACGGTCACAAACATGCTGCATCCAGGGTAATTCTAACACGTGCAACAGCTGAAGGGCGTGCTCCCCGGAAGCGCCTCCAGCGCGCAGCCAACGCAGAAAACGATGACCCCTTACGCAAGTCAGGGATGTCTCTTCCCTTCCAACGGCCAAGAGATGCCATTGCTGCTGGCGGTCCTGCTGCTGCACAACAAAACGAGTCCGCTAAGATGAATATGCATGCGCGACGTCGCTCTACGTTACGAGAAAACAATAGACCGCTTCTGGGCCCACGACCATTGGAATCAAAGAGGTATGTTGAGCATAACTCGATTGGTGTCATCATTCTCAAAGCCCCTTCTTGCACGGCAGTGGCTCTTCCAAGAAATTCAAGGACTTTATGTGCTGATTTCGAGTTCACATCGTTTAGAGTGATCAGCGACCATGCACCTCCTGCGCGCCTTCCCACGTCACAATTGCCGACGTCCACAGGCGATCACTCGCTTAGTTCGGGCGTCAATACACGATACTCCTTCACAAAGCTTCGTGAGAGTAACCAGAGCAGAGAAAGCACCGGATCGCAAGATTTCCTGCCCTCCGTTAGCTTTGATGACTTTCACGCGAGCCTAGCATCAATCGATCCAGATCTGGTTCAATTTCCTGTACCCGGTGGTGACATCACGACCGCTGCGTCACGCCCGCGGCTGGACTCGCCTAGCAAATTGACTCTCCCGGATGGAAAGCCCAATCTTGGCCAATCGGTAATGGAGAGAGGTACAGGCCGAGGCAGCTCGACTAGTGGTGATGCCAGTAAGGTAGCACGAAGCTCGTCCCTCGCCCGTCGCTTTAGCAATGCACGCCGTAATCTAGACCAAAGCTCGTCGGCAGATACAGCTGCAATGCCTCCACCAGCAGCTCCTGCCGCCGGAGGTCGGAGTCGACGTCAGAGTTCCATCACCTCAAACCCAGGAGGTTCGGTTACGTCTGCTCCTACTACAACGGCTCGGCCGCCCCGCAAGTCGGTCGGACCTGGCTTGTTGTCACAGGGCCTGGAAGAGCGAAGGGCTGCTAGGGAAGCACAAGCGGGCGCTGGTTCCGTTTCTCGCACTTCATCGATGAACAAGGGAGTCAGGAGGGAGACTTTGGGACATCAGTCTGGATCCGGGCCTGATTTGGCACGACTCGCGCAACCTCGAAACCCTCGAACGAAATCTTTGCAGCCACCTCCACGTGGACAGTCGAGTAATCATTTATCTGCAACACCAGTCAGTGGTTCATCAGCTACACCAAATCCAGTCTCTCCGGCTCGCTCGACAACGCATCGTAGCCACACTCCATCATCCAGTACAAGCAAAAGACAGTCGATTCATGTCGGTGGGCTGGGCGCCAGGACGATAAGTCCGACAGATGCCCGTAGACTAAAGAGGCTATCAACAGCGGGCAAGTTACCCGTACCCCAAGCGCCACCAACACCGCAGCCGGATACTCTCCCAGGTCTGCACCTCAGCAATCATGTTCAGCTGGCAGGATTACGAAATAAGACTGCCACGCCCTCATCCGCACGAAATACGCCAGATCTTGTTAGTGGAAAGAAGGGTGGGTTCACAGGTCAAATACCCGTTCTCTCCTCGAGTTCGAGCTATAGCTCGCTACGCGCACCAAATGGTGGCGCCTCTTCAAGAAATAGTCAAATCATGCAAGGTTCGAGAATACCGACGCCGAAACCAAGGAATGTGCACAGCTCGGCCGGGTTTCAGGAAGAAGAGGAGGTGCCACCAGTACCCGCGATCCCAAAAGCGTTCGAATCGCCAAAGGACATACAAAATGGCGAGTCGTACTTTGGAGCACGGAAGTCACAGAAAGTTGAGGGCGATGAATTGAAGGGCAGTGTGTCGAAATTCTCGATAGATGCTGGGCGGGCTGGATCGAAAATAGGAGGCCGCCCGAGCATGGATGTATCGGAGCTAACAACCCTCGGCCAAGATCGTGGCGGAGTCTCTGTTAGTGCCGCGCGGCATAGAAGAGGCCTGACTGTGGGCAGCGGTGATCATGGTGAAAAAGCGCCACAGCCTAGTGCAGCGTTGAACAAGAAGAACCTGCAGCCACTGAGGCTGCCTCCGCTAAACCTCTTACCATTGAGTATGCCTACAGCGGCACGAATTGCCAATTTTCATGGAACAAATCTCGACACAGACGAGAGACAACATGCGACTCCACCTCCAAAGAGAAATTACACCAAAACTCCAAGTACACCAATGACCGCCTCTAAGGCGACATTCTTCACAAAGAACGGTCAGGAGTATGAGGATGATGCCTATGACTTGTTCAAGCGCAGTGCTAGTTCGATCCACTTGGTCGACCATTCAGCATCTCGATCACTCGGCCTTTCACCGACCACGCCGGTTGCCATTCCAAGTCCTTTTCCTCGAAATAATGCGCGCACGCCATTCGCATCTTCGTCACTGCCAAAGCCGGCAGGCGATTTTGGCCCCCTGGGCAACACGTCCGAGCAGGAGATGCATCCTCAGCAATTGGACAGCAACAAGCCAACTGATGCCAACACAGCGGTTGCAAGTCCTAAACCGCAGACACTGCTTATTAAGAAGGAGGCGCCATCGGCGAGAACATCAACTTCTGACGAACCAAGCACACCAGCCTCAACATCATCGAACTTGCGACGCAAGTTGAGCTTGAGCTGGAAGCGTAGCTCATCAAAAGCCTCACAGCGTGCGAAAGCTGAAAAGGCAGAAGCTGAAAAGGCGGAGAAAGAAGCAAAGGAGGAGGCCAAGAGAGCTTCTAAACAAAGTCAAAAGGACATGCCTCCTCCGAAGTTACCTGCTTCTTCGGGCTGGAATGGTAACTTTAGTCCCACAATTACAGAATCGTCGTCACGACCTTCTTTTGAACGTTTTGGCAGAAAGGCTAGCGGTAGTGCGTCGATCAAAGATGCCAGCTTGTCCGAGGCGTTCAGTAGTATTCCTGATCTCAAACCAACGCTCTCAAATGACCCGCCATCTACATACAATGAACAGCGACGCATGGCATCGAGATCGACATCATCGTCCGTACTTACGCCAATGCAGCGCATACTAGGTACTAAGAGCTCACTTGGAACGCTCAAGGCAAGACATCTAGATACGAACTTAGATAAAGACGACCTGGCTGCCGATAGAATTATGGAAAAAATGGGCTCGAAGCGTAAGGATTTCGAACAAGCGGCGCGAGAACTCGATGAGCTTCGAAGGAGGGCCGTACCACGAGAAAAGCTCACCGCGCAACAGGCTACTCAATGCTGGGATCTTAACATCTTTGAACGCGGCGAGATCATCGACTATAAAGAGGTGTACTTTTATGGAACGAAGAACGCGCGTAAACATGTGGGCGATCTCAACCACGCAACAAATAATTTCGGCTATGATGATGACCGGGGCGACTACAACATAGTGCTGGGTGATCATCTGGCATACCGATATGAGGTCGTGGATATGCTCGGCAAGGGAAGTTTTGGGCAAGTTGTGCGGTGCATTGATCACAAAACTGGCATGCTCGTTGCCATCAAGATAATCAGGAATAAGAAGCGATTTCACCAGCAAGCCTTGGTCGAGGTCAATATTTTGCAGAAATTACGCGAATGGGTAGGTTCAAGAGTATGAGACAGTGTCAACATAAGTGCTAAGAATAAATTCTAGGACCCCGACAACAAGCATAGCATGATCAATTTTACGCAGAGCTTCTACTTCCGAGGCCATCTGTGTATCTCGACAGAATTGCTTGGCATGAATTTGTACGAGTTTATCAAGGCGTACGAATTCAAGGGTTTCCCACTTCCCCTTATTCGTCGCTTTACAAAACAGATGCTGAGCTCTCTCTGTTTGCTCAAATCAAAACGCGTCATTCACTGTGATTTAAAACCGGAAAACATCCTTCTGGCGCACCCGATGCACTCTGAGATCAAGGTGATTGATTTTGGCTCTTCATGCTTTGAGCATGAGAAAGTATACACATATATCCAATCGCGATTCTATCGATCGCCTGAGGTTATTCTGGGAATGAGCTACGGAATTCCAATCGACATGTGGTCTCTAGGGTGCATACTTGCTGAGCTTCTAACTGGATATCCGATATTTCCTGGCGAGAACGAGCAAGAGCAATTGGCTTGTATCATGGAGATATTTGGTCCTCCCGAGAAACACCTGATAGAGAAGAGCTCGAGAAAGAAGCTGTTCTTTGATTCCATGGGAAAACCGCGCGTTACCGTTAGCTCAAAAGGACGGCGGAGGAGACCGAGTTCAAAGACGCTTCAACAAGTGTTAAAGTGCGACGACGAGGCCTTTTTGGACTTCATTCAACGATGTCTGCGTTGGGATCCGGACAGGAGGCTGAAGCCAGACGAAGCTATGCAGCACGAGTTCATTACAGGCGTCAAACGCACAGCTCCAGCACGAACGAGAGTTGCTCAAGGCACTGGACCGACGGCAACCAGTAGTCCAGTGAAACGGTTCAATACCGTCCATCAGACGCCTCGTAGCAAGGCGCAACAAGAGGGCGGCGGTGCACGCCCTCTTCCTGAACCTCCCGCGACAAGCTACAGGAACGGCGCTGGCGTTCCGGCGCCTTCCACGTCGCCCGTGAAGGGTGGGACAGGACGCAGACATTCCACATTTACCGCAGGGCAGAGCACAACGGGAGCGAAGGGCAGTGTAGAGAAGAGAACGGTGACAGGAACCACAGGGCTTGGGCCAAGTGCAAGTGGATTGCCCAGGGTGGCTCAAGGAGGCATCAGTCAAGGCAGAAGCGTGAGCGGCAAGCCGGATCTGGCGAGTGCGGCTGCAGCCGCTAGTCTAGGACGAAGTCAGCAGTCGAGACTCTGACAGATCCAAGCTAGGATGGCACGACACATGACTCCTGGCGGGTACACGAGTCACCAACATAACATGAAGGAACGACGCAGTACAGAAAACGTATATCTTATGTTTATATTCTAATCATGTTCCCCATCATTACCCGAGACGTCTGTTTTGTAGAAAGTAGGTAGCCAGAAGAAGTCGGGGACGATCAAGGGCTTGCATTTGTATGTACTTAATGCATTGGGTCTGGTGCTGTATCTTCGATTCTTCCGGACGGGGAGGACTCACGACATCAAGAGGCCAGAGAAAACAAGAGGAGTCCTTTTTATTTTTGACGTAAATAGACAATGGTAGCTTCTGTTGCCCCGCGGCTTTGCCACAGCACGCGACACGTCCGAATGTTGGCGCGCTTGCTCTGCCATCAGAACGAAAAGCGTCGACGTCCAGGCAACGAGGAGACGTAGGTAGACCTGCAGCGCGTACCGGTGACGAACTTTCGGAGACGGTTGGGCATATATCGCCATGTTGTGGACTGCGTTGTCTCGTCCTTGGGGCGGAGTGACTTGCCTTCAGGTATTCGAACGTGTCCTTCGCGGCACCAATCACCGCGGGAGCCGGCGATGCTGACGGAGTCTGTTCCGACTGCACCTGCTGTATGTGGGGAAATCGAGGCAACCGGAAATTTCTAGCACTCTCTCGAGAAGCGGCGATCCGTGGTTGCGCGGGACAAGGCTGCGCCTCCCGTCTTTCCTCCAGCGGTGTGTTGCATTAGGACATGCTTCTGAAAAGGCAGCCGCCCCACCAGAACAACTGCCATGCCCGCAAAGCCACCCAGCTCGACGACGCCTACCCAGCTTGGAAACTGACCCTGAGAAGGAAGGGAGTCGCAGTCGACGCTTCGACAGAGCCTCGGTCTTTCTTTCCCGGAGGCGGTCGCCTGGCCATGCTCGAGTGTCCAGCATGGATCGCGGAACGGGTCTCGCATCACCGCCTCCAAGCGCGGTCCCAGCTGAGAGCGGCCAGGCGGCGCTGGGTCATAGCCGGCAGGACTCTCCCACCGCATGCATTCAGTGCCGGCATCGAGGTGTGCAGTGCGATGGCACTCGTCCGGCCTGTCATCCATGTTCCGGGTCTGGCGGAGAGTGCGTCTATGAGCCTGGATCCGAACAGTCACGCTCAGCCGCGTACAATGCAAAGCTGACCGAGCTGCTGGCCGAAAATGCTTCTCTAGGCGCAATCCTGAACAAGGTGACATCAATTCCCCAAGAAGACGCCAAAGAACTGCTACGCCAGTGGCGTGCCGGCGCTGGCAACGCTCAGCACGCGGAGTCGTCCCATACGACCATCGACGAGGCTGTTGACAAAACGATACCGCGCGAATCACAAGTACTGTGGCTTCGCCGCCCTGGCTGTCCACCGTTCTTGTTTCCTGCTGAATCGACGTTTCGTATCGCGGCTCAGGACTTCCTTAGTTCCACATCGACTTTGCTTCACTTGGTGAACCCTAACGATGTGGAAAGTTACCTTGCTGAGTTCGCAAGCGGCATTGAGGATACTCCCAAGCACCTTCTGGCTGAGATGGCTGCGCTTTTTGCTGCCGCTGCACCGTTCTGTGCTGGTCTTGTTGTCAAAGACGTTCGAGATGCAGTAGCCGGAACTGCCGTGAACTTGCTCCATGACGTATTCGAGAGCAACCCAATCAGTGCCCTCAAATCTACCTGCCTTCTCGCAATCGCCTTCATTATCAAGAAGGCACTTATTGCGATGAATTACATTGGTCCGTAGTAGTCACTATCCTCGACAAGCCCTGATCTTGACGATGGTTTACAGACTTTGGATTACGAATTGGCGAGGCGAACCAACTGCACACTAGGCTGAAGCCACTGGGTATGGACAGCGTGGTTTGGATTCGTAGTAAGAAGATTTTTCGAACCTTGGTTTTCTGTAAAAGGTAAGTCAAATTTCGTGTCTTCCCGCTGTCCATTTCGGCTGACATGCTTGTGAAGCTGGCTAAGCACTACGCTCGGCTTTTTAATTGACACGCCCTTTTCGAGGAGTGAAAGCCTAGGTACTAGCGTCCTCGAGGCTCAGGAAGGCGATATTGAAGACATGGCCCAGATGCAGATTACCAAAATGTCTATTGTCAAAGCAAAGATCTTTGCATCATTCAGGCAACCACACATATCTCCAACCCTCATTTACGAGTATCGAGCTGCTGTGAGCCAGTGGAAGGAAGAACTGCCGTATTCTATGCAGCTCGACAACCTCCTCCAGATAGAGGATCTACGTTATCGTCGCATACTATACTCCACGCATTTAGTATACTTATGTTCGATAACTTTGCTCTACCGATGCGTGCTCGTTGAGCATGTTGAACGAAGCTCCCTTAGCGCACGTCCAGATGACAACCTTTTTCAAGCCTCAATGACTATTGCCCAGGAGGGGTGTTTTTGTGCCATTCAGAAAATAAGAATAGTCAACCTGCAACTAGAAGAAGGCACAATGCTTCCGAAATGCTGGCTTTGCATGTAAGTTGCAAGCTGGTTGTTTCTGTTTGTGGGTTCAGAGACTTACAGCCTCAGGTTCTCCACATACGTATCATGCGCCCTTCTCCTCCACGAGGCGTTCCTAAAGCTCTTGTGCACTCCGTACAGAGCAGATGTCTCACGTGAAATGGAAGCCGTTCAAATGGGATTAAAAATCTTGAAGTTCTGTAAGACCCACAACGACATTGGAGCCCACTTTTATCGCACTATTGCGACTTATACCGCTATATTACAAGGAGAGCTTAATGGAGTTAAGCAGCTAATTACCCAAGCAAACATCACGGAGGTTGGTCCCCAGACGCAGCAGTTCTTTCCATTCCAAATAACGCCACCAGGCGGAACAATTATCCATCGAGCGTCTCGAGATATGATCCGGATTCTGAGTTATCCTCTCGGAAGCACGTCCGAAGTCCAGCCTCACTCTGCTCGTGTGCCTGACGTGCTTGGAACCGCTGAGGAAGCCGTTCTCGGTCTGCATCTAGACTGGATGTGTGGTGGCCACCGGAAGGAGACAAAATCCTAGCTTATTCGCACTGATCAGTGCCTAGAGGCGTCTAATTTGAATCCGAACTTGATCGTTGATTCAATCCCACCTTTTGGCTGGTCATGAAGTGCACAGACGATCGCTTGCTCGGCATTGAGTCTTCAGAATGGGATCTTGAGCTGTGAATAAGTTTAAATCATATGGTATGCCTAAAGACAAGTATACCCAACGAAAAAATGCCACGGCTTGTGACAGCAGTGCATGACATTAATCCTTTTTAGTTAAGGCTAATACTGTCACGATCAACTGAAATTACATCTCATGTATTTCTCCGTTCGTAAGAGTAATGTCTATTGTTTAGATAGAAGCACCTTGCCCCGGGTTTACTCACGTTAATCATATCGTACAAATGATAGCAGCCTCGTCTGCAAAGTCATGAAATTGTGTTGGATTGCCGTCTCGCGCAACCGTTGATTGTTAACCGATCATCGATCTTAGGCCTCAAATACACCACCCCATCCTCCTCTCAAGTCTGCGATGTCAACCCGCCATCCTTTCCAGTTGATCAGGCCACGCTTGACCTCCTTAACACGTTCCAGTCTTTTCTTTGCCTCGTCTGCCTGCGCTGCGGCAAAGGCAGCTTCATCGAATTCAAAGGCATCGTCGCTGAGGAGGCCCAGGCTTTGGCCTCTATTCCGCCGCTTCTCCGTGTTGGTGTCACCCCTAAATGCGGCGATGCCCGAGTTGATCACGTCGCTGAAGGTTGAATGCTGCGTCTGTTTGCGCACGCCCACGGGCGAGCCGGTCGGGTTGAGGTCGATATCATCAAACGTTCCATGGCTGGAATAAGGGTCGCTGTCCATGCCAGGCTGGAGGGCTATGCGCTTCTCGCGCCAGACACCCCTTCGAAGCTCGAACACCTCCTCCTCTAGCTCGCGAACGCGAGACGCGAGCCTTTGGCGTTCCTCGTCTTCAATCTCGTCTAGACCGTCGGCGTCGCCCTCGGTCTCGAGCTTCTTGCGTCGGACCGCCTCGTCCATCAAGCGAGCATTTTCGTTGCTCAGTGCCGTGATGCGCGAGCGAAGCTCCTTCGCCTCACGCTCCGACTTGCTCAGATCCGCGAGCTTCGCCTGGTGTCTTGCATCAGATTCGCGATGCAGAGTCGTCAGTGTCTCGACCTTCTTTTCCTGCGTGGCCGCACGCTTCATCGCTTCCTCGGCCGCACGTCTCGCCGTTCCTAGCTCAGCCTCAAGCTGCGCAACACGCGTCTCTGCCGAACTGCGTGCGCTGCCGTCTGCCGCGGCCCGCTCGCTAGCTTTGTCCAGGTTCGCCTTCAGGTCTGCGAGCTCCTGCGCTGACGATTCGGCCTCGTGCCGCGCCTTCTGCAGGTCCAGCTCGAGGCTGGAAATGCGACTGGTCTGCTCGTCCGCGAACTTCTGCGCAGCCGCAAGCTTGGATTGTAAGGAGGATATCTCAAGCTCGAGCGAGGAGATGGTTTCGCTCTTGGAGGCAAGCTGGGAGGCGAGGTCGGAGGCGCTGCTGGACGTTAGGGAGACAGATGAGGAGGCGCGGCGTTTTGCGGCAGCAAGCTGTGCGTTCTGTCGTTGGAGGGAAGCGATTTCCGCTCTCTGTTTTTTTGGGGGTAATTGCATGTCAGCCGAGCCGTCTCAGCACGCTATCAAGGGCATGCTATCAAGGGGAGGGGAACAAAAAGGAGCTGCGATCTTCGATGCCGGATTGACCACATACCAGCTTTTCCAGCTCAGCGGCGTGCGTGTCCGCCTTTTTCGTCTCATCCTTCAGCCAGTCGCTCTCACCATGGGCCTCTCGCAGCTCTTGAAGCTCGTCCTCGACCTTCTTCTTGTCCGCGATCAGCCTCTTGTTCTCTTTCTCCAGCTCGTCCACCCTGGCCGCCAGGTCAACATCGCCCGTCGGCGACTTGGGACTCTCCTTCCTGAAGCTCTCACTCCTCAATTTGGACTGAATCGACATGGACGGCTGGCGACCATGTGGCTGCTTGGGCGACGCAGGCTTCTCCTCCACGGCAGGCTCGTCCTCGGCAGCGTCGACGTCATCTTTTACGTCTTCGGTTTCTTTGCTGGGGAATGACTCTGCTTCTTTGTCGTCCTTCTTCTTGGCGGCGCTTGCGCCGCCCTTCTTTGCTTTCTGCTTCTTCAATTGCTCGTACTGCGTTCGCCGTCAGCTTGGAATGCTCCTGATGCGGGTTGATGCCAAAAGTCATCGGCGACCTTTTTCTTTGCGGCGGCGAGCTTCTCCGCCTTGTCTTCTGCCTCTCCCATAATCGGCGACCGTACGGGAGTCCGTTACTGTTTACGTGGAGTTTCGGCGGGATCGAAATGTTGGCCGTATGGAGGCAGACAAGGGTCAACTGGCATCTTGAGACGCGAGTTACGGCCAAGCCACCTTAAAGTCACGGGACCTGGCGTACGAAACGTGGGGAGAGCGAGCGGCCGACTGTTTCGTCATTCAGGACAGCGCACGCTGGTTTTCGTCCTGCAACCTTTGGTGCTATTCAACCTGATTTGGCTTCTCAGCTTCCCTTTCCCTTAGCGGCTACATGTGAGGCAACTTGATCATCAGTGCTGATTATTTTTCCTATCCTTCCATCACCAGTGGTGCCATCCCGCCGTCGCGGTGCGCACACGCTCCAGGCGATTTTCGTGACTCTGCCTCTGTGCACCCGCGTCTTGCACGGTCTAGCCGAAGTCGCGCGCGTCCCATTGTCCGCGCTATTGCACACTCCCCGTCAACACTCCACCACTCTCTTTTGCCCTGCGCGGTGAGCTTCCGTCACGTCTTGACCGTCCTTTGCTCTCCTTTTACAGCTTGAGAAGGAAAACACAAAGCTACTATTCTTTGCCTGCTTGCGGTTGGAGTCCTCTCGGAAAGTCATGATACAATGAGCAGCCCACCCTCGTCCGGCGCCTTGGAAGAAGAGGCATCAAAGTCGAAGACAAGCTCCCCAGACAGGACAATTGCCTTCCTTGTGCACTCCCCAGACAGCGTTGCCAATAATCTGCCTCCAGATTGTGACAACAAGCCGCTGGCAAGACAGAGGAGAAGGCGGACGAGGTAAGCAGCTGACCTGTCGCGTTTCCACCCGACGTCCCCTCTTTATCTTACAACGCGATCTTTCATATCGCATTTTTACGCTCGAAGCCTGGATGCGTACTTACGAACCCATAGTCCGGATGACCAGCGTGTGCTAGAGGAGGCGTTCTTGCGCAACCCCAGACCAAGTAAAGAAGAAAGGCAGGAGATTATCAGCAAAGTCGCGTTAGGCGACAAGGAAGTCCAAGTACGCGTTTGACACGCTGTAGAGTCGGACCTCACTAACGCAGTTCTCAAGATATGGTTCCAGAACCGGCGTCAGAGCTCAAGACGCAAAGCAAAGCCGCTCAACACGAGCGACATCGATTCTCAGATGTCGGGCAAGTCATCGAGTCCTGCCCCCTCTTCGCCAATCCGGGAACACGTCGATGTAGATAAAACACGCGAAGAACAGCCAGGAGCACAGGGTGCATCGCCGGGATGTGATTTAACGCAGACGGTCGGTGTCGAAGCGAGCGTAGAACACGGAGAGACATCAATCCAGAACGAAATAACTCGTTCTGACAAGACCAAAGTTGACATCGCGACAGAGGACAAGAAAGGCTGTGTGCAGCACGACACCCAAAGCACGGCCGTGGCAGCAAGTATCACTTCGTCGCAAGACTTGCCGGCGTCCACGCTCCCCACTGATGTCGGTAGCTCCCAAACGCTGCCGTCATCCTCCCAGGACGCTTTATTCTCTTCCCTTACGCGACCAACGTATCTCGCGAACAGAAGAAGCGCGTCATTCGCTCGACAACATACGGATGAAGTGCCTGTTGCCTCGTCCGTTTCTACGCAAGATCAACGCGTCCCTGGGCTCAGAAAGAGCGGCTCATATCTTCGACTGTCAACGACAGAGGACGGACAGGCAAGAGTTATCGATCGCTCCATTCCATCCCCTCCACGAGCGCAGCCTGTAGCAACGAGCCCAACCAATGACCGACCTCCTCTTGGCGGCTTGCGGCGGAGCTACAGTGCTGCCGGCTTGAGCGACCATTTCACGCAGTCGGGATCTGAATTTTCCTCTCGGGCGAAAGTCCCTCGTGTCTCGCAACTTGGGCGTTCTCGTGATTCCCGAGCATGGGAATTCTGGTGTGACAGCGAGGCGCGAAACTCTCTCGTCAACAAAGCTGAGCAAGAGAACAGCGGCAGCGCTGCAGATGCCATCGGACTGATCAGGCAGAACAGTAGAACTGCTCTGCGACCGAACAGTAGGAAGACAAACTCCGCAATGGTCGGCCGAACCAGTGTTGCGGCATTGAACAGCGGCAAGCCAACCAAAGTCAGACTGCAGCGAGCGAACACTAGTTATGGTCGGCTGCAGCAACCAGAGTCCAAGGACAGCAAGAAGGGCACAGAAGAACAGCTCAGTCCGTCTGGGGATTCGGACAAGGAGAATTGGGATCCCGAAGACAATCAAGCCAACGCAGCATCTCGCCGTCGCCCACCTGCCATTAGTGCATCGAACCCGCGGCGAGGGCGCACTATCCTCGGCGAGAACACGCAATTGCCAAGCTATGCAACGAGCTTCGGTGGCTTCATGGACGCCGAGAAGAGAAGGACCGCTCCGCCTGCGGCCGTCGATGCAGAAGTTGAGGCCTTCATGGGTGCAGGTGGTGGGAACGAGGATCTAGACTGTGTTCAGAGTCTCTTGAGCTTAAGCAAGGGTAACTGGAGGTGATCAGGGTCATTTGGCAGGGACGAATACAGGGAACAAAGGAGGAACTTGGGAAGAGCGCACATGGCAAGCAGGAGAAAGGAGAGGGGACGGAAGGAGGGTGGGCGATTGTCGCCGAATGCCTTGTCCTGCGTGTGCGACGAATCCAGGGAGCCATTTAGCATCAACAGGCGCGAGCATACCTACCTGGATTCCATTGTCTGTGTCAACATCACGCTAAACGAATTTTTTATGCTGGAGGCGAGCGAAGCTGGAGGCATGGCTTGATTCTACCATGTACGACACCGAGAATGACATGCGAGTTGCTTTATCTTGTGGCGCATTTGGACTCTCTGATTCGTGCAACGGGTGACGCGGGAGTTTTTGCGGGCTCGCACAAGAGAGACTTGTGATTGGCACACGGCGGACGCAAAACATCAGCGCCGCCTTGCGGGCGCACACGAGCGGATTTCCTCAATCCGCCCAAAACGTGTCCATGGCTGTCCCCAACAGATACACGATCGTCTGACCAGATTTTGGCGGATCGAGGCTTGTTCGGGAACCGGCTCCGACCACTGCCGAGCAGCGCACCGAGTCGCCCCAGGATTCTTCGCCGCGGGGTCAACCTCAGTCGGGCCGGCCTTTATCTAGAGCGGCGTTAGCTGCCCTGCCTTTGCCCTTCATGTACGTTTCTGATATCACATTCGCTCCGCGCTCTCGTCCTCCTCTCTCCACTCTCCCTCCTCTCTCTCCATCCAGACTCCGTTTCTACCTGCTTGAGCGTTTCCCAAACAAACACCGTCGCATCGTGATGCCTCGTCATCAACCGTCACTGGAAGCACAACTCTAACCCTGCGTCACCAGATCTGCTCCCTTTGTTGGCCTCGCTGATTCCCCGTTCCTCTCCACGGCTTCCCTTTCACCACCATGATCGTACACATACACCAACACGTTTTGTTCTACTTTACCGTCCTCTAACAGTAGACTTGCCCTTTCTGATCATTCAAACACGTTCTCCTCCCAGGCGAGTGCTCCTTTAAGATCACCTGACCTTTCCTCCTCGTCTTCTTCACACTGTTTGTTTGTTACTGTTTCTTGACGAGCTTTGCGGAAAACGAGAAAGATGCCTGCCATACTGGTACATGTCCCGCCAGCTCCTTTACTAAACGGCCAGCCGCGCATAGAACAGATGTCCCGAATGCAGCAGGATTTGGTGGCTGCTCACATGACCAAGAGCGATCGATTCGATAGGCCCGAAGCTCCAAAGATGCTCAGGAGAATAGCGGCCAAGGCGCGGAAGCCGCGTGTCGCGATCGTCGGCGCTGGCTTCGCGGGGCTGAAAGCCGCGGATATCTTGCTGCGACACGGCGTCAACGTTACCATTTTTGAAGCGCGGGATCGCCTAGGCGGCAGAGTATGTGCTTTACGCCACGATGGCACCTCGAAACCCCTTGTTGCTGACCTTGTGTAGCTGTTCCAGTCCAAAGTCGGCACGCACACTGTAGACATGGGCCCGAATTGGATCCATGGAACGCAGAACAATCCCATCTTAGACTTGGTACATTCTACCGAGACAGCAACGCATGACTGGGGCGAACGACAGGTTGCCTTTGGTCCGGACGGAACCGAGATTCCAGAGGAACTAGCTGGAGAGAACGCAGAGATGCTGTGGAGTCTCATCGGTGAGGCATTCAAATACTCAAACGCATGCAGTGCCCAAATCAACGAGAAGACCAGCCTGATGGATTACATCCGAGATCATGTCGATGAAAAGCTAGTGTCACAAATGATGTTGAGCAATGCCGACGCTGTTAGTTTCCATATCCCCTCGAAACAATATGTTAGTACGCCGCTGACATGTTTGAAAGGAAGAGATGAAGCACCGCAAAGGTCTCGTGCTAAAGCTAGCCGAGATGTGGGGAGGTTTCATCGGTGCCACGACGAGCACGCAGTCCTTGAGGTTTCTTTGGCTAGAAGAGTGCCTCGAGGGTGAAAACCTGTTCTGTGCAGGCACATACGAGAAAGTACTCGAGCACGTGTCCACACCAGCACTCAAGGCTGGTGTGGTCAAGCTTAAACATGTGGTCAACAAGCTTATCTCAACTGACGAGGCCAAGGTGACGGTTGGGCTCGAGGGCAGAGGAACCGAAACTTTTGACGAGGTAATTGTGACGTGCCCGCTTGGTTGGCTGAAGAGAAACAAAAGTGTGTTTGAGCCAGAGCTACCGAAGAGAATGAGTGAAGCTATAGACGAGCTCGGATACGGAAATCTGGACAAAGTATACATCACTTTCTCGAAACCCTGGTGGGACAGTCCTGCAACTCAAACAAGCGAACTTACAGCCGCTCGGATACAGGAAGCTAAGAGCGAGGCCCCTAATCTGACGGCAACGACTGCACCACTGCGCCAAATGACGCCGATTGAACGTAGTAACGAGGAGCATTACGTTGGATTTACTACATTTATTGCGCCGGAGTACGCAAAGGACACCAATCCGAAAGGGTGGATACAAGATTGCATCAATCTTGCCGCGCTACCCGCGGGCTGTGAACACCCAACGTTGCTGTTTTACATCTCCGGACCAACAGCGGATCATATCGCTAAAATCCTGCGAGACCACTCAAGTGGTGGTAAATCCAAAGTTGATGCGGAACTGTGGCGCTTCTTTGAGCCGTATGTATCCCGTCTACCGAATTACCAGCCAGGAGATAAAGAATGCCAACCAGTGGACGTTTTGGCAACTGGCTGGACCAACGACAAATTCGCAGGGTACGGCTCGTACACAAACTTCCCCGTGGGAAGCACACGGTGCGATGAGAGTGTTGAGTGTTTGAGAGAGGGAGCAGGCTTGGTCGAGAGAGGTGTATGGCTTGCCGGTGAGCATACTGCGCCCTTCGTTGCGCTGGGCACAGTCACTGGTGCGTACTGGGCTGGAGAAGCAGTAGCGAAGAGAATTCTGGATGCTTGGGGTGTTCAAGCATGACGTGAGATTGTTTCTTCACGCGCATCCCGGATGACTAATTCATAGAGGAAGATGGGGACCAATTTGGAGGCATGCTGTGGTTCGGAAGTTGACGAGCCAAATAGAGTGACAGTTCTTGTGGAATAAGAATAGATTTAGAACCGGGCGTTCTCATCTCTCACTCACACCGCAAGCTTTTGGCAAGCGATTCCCGTTTTATTTGAAAGCTCATCAAGCTTACTAACCAACTACTACCGATTACGATTCACGCACGTTATTTGAGTCCTCTACACGAACTGCTAGAGATTTCCTCTGCCATAAGGCTCTATGCAAAACTCTTCACCGCCTTCTCGCTGATGTCCCAAAGTTTTTGTTCAGCAATCTCATCGTATGCCCATGGCGCATATCCTGGCGAGCCTAGTGGCCATTCAGCTCGGGTTTTGTATGGGCTAGGCGCGCTTTCTCCACAATCCTCGCAGTATCGTCCGGGCTTACCATGCCAGACTTTCGCCGTTGCACACCAGACCGTCGTTGCGGCGCCCTGTTCGACGCTCTTCCAAGTCTCCCAGTGCTTGTCTTTGTGGCTACTTGGGGCCGTGGCAGTTTGGCCGAGATGTCTCCACAGTTCAGTGGTGATGCCTCCCGGGTGAAGGCTAAAGGCGTGGACCGGATTCCGCGCGTCCGAGCCGTACCTGCGTTCGATGCCGTTGGCGTGCAGAATGTTCGCGTGCTTCGAGCGACCGTATGCGACCATGGGCTGGTACGGTGTTTTGTCAAAGCACAGGTCTTCGAACACGCCTGCTGCGCTGAGGCCTCCCTCCTGATGCCAGTGACCCATGCTTGCGACGTTGACGACGCGAGAGGGGAAGCTCGTCGTCGAGGAGGCGATGAGCGTGGGCAGCAAGAGCTCCGTGAGGAGAAAGTGCGAGAAGTGATTCGTCCCTAGATGCGTCTCGAAGCCGTCGGCCGTTTTTCCGTGCGGTGCCGCCATCACGCCTGCGTTGTTGACGAGCACGTTCAGACCGGAAGCCTGGGCCAGAAACGTCTCGGCTCCACGCCTCACGGAGGCGAGGCTGTCCAGCTCCATCTCGATGATGCCGACGTCCCTCGTCGAGGGGCTCGAGGCAAGGATGTCGCCTCGGACCTTTTCTGCTTTCGCCGTGTTCCTCGTCGTGATGAACACCTTGGCCCCCGTGTGGTGGAGCGCCCTGGCCGTCTCCACGCCGATTCCAGATGATCCGCCTGTGATCAAGACCGTCTTGTCTTGCCACCGCATGACGACGTCTTCGTCCGCGATGATCTGCAGCGCTGTTGGTCTGGCATCTCCTGGGCCTTGCGGGTTTGCGTGAACATCAAGGTAGGGCTGAATGAGTCCCGCGTCTTCCATCTTTATGGTCACCTTTGATGGTACTTTCGACGGTATTCGATCCGAACTAGTGTGGTCTGTGACCTCGTCTCTTTTTCTCTTGTGGTCTCTTCAGTCACAGAGTTTCGAACGCTTGGACTTTGTAAATAGGTACATGCGAAGCAGAGCTACGGCGAGCCCTTGCTTGGGTTGTTGATCGTGTATTTATCCTGAAGCCGATATCAAGAGTCGGTCATTGAACTCATACACATCTCCGCTAAACTCCACCGCACAATCTGACATTCTCGCACAAGCGGCAGCCGAACACGTCATGAGGGCAAGTACGACGTCAGGGTAAATGAAGTCAAAGCGCACGTAGCTTACAGATCGAGATGTCCAGCGAGGTTGTTTGAGGCGTTTTGGGAGAAAGGTTGGTAGGTGGGGGCGGAAGGGGCTGGGGAAGGAGTATCGGATTTGGAATCACAGCTTCTTAAGTCCGAGCCTACCAGACCCGTCGCAATCAGGGTCGGGGCACAAAGGAGAGTATCATTTTGGGCCTCAGATGCATATATGAGGGAGCGATTTCTAGACGGGAATTGCAAGAGGAAACGGACGAAACTTCTCTCTTCGCGCAAGCTTGGAGGGTTGTTGATTACTGATCCATAAATCTATCAGATCACTCAACGTTTTCAAGCGGCAGCGGCAGCAAATTGTGATTTCCATCATGCTCCGTCTTCCAATCCGATAATTGTAGGGTTGCAGTATTCGTACGTTCTCTCTTTTCAGAATGAAGAATTTCATTTTTTTTTTAAAAAAAAAAGGGGAAAAAGAAATAGAAAAAAACGGGAGAACAAAGCCTATTTTGAAAGTGTATCGGAGTCATGTGCTGTACTCGACTTTTAATGGTAGTAGAATTGCGCAAAGGGAAAAAGGAAGGGAGAAAAAGGCAATGAAAATTGCTGGACTGAATTGGACTCTGTTTATTAGGATTACAAATTTCAGTTATAATGAGCGTGAGGACATTGCATATCGAAACCTGGGTCACCTAATACAATTTGTTCACCTGGATTGGGAGAATCTTTGATATTCTCTTGGTGCATGTATTCACCCAGCGTATTACTTCTCGGCAGTTTCTGATTTCGCATCACGTTTGTAAGAACTGATCATAGTTAGGAGAGTGTCTTATCCTTTGATCTTTTTGCTTTCTTAAATTTTTTCTTTTTTTTTTTTTTTTT